ACGTAGAGACACGTTCCTCCCCACCATCAGGCCTTACTGCCGGTTACCACGCTCTCATGTACAATTTGGGCCACTCTCTCATGTACGCCAATACTATACAGATATACAGATATACATACACATATATACACGCACATGCTTTGTGCGAGGTGCCGGTCGCGCACCTGCTGTATGACCGGAAACACCTTGTTGGGTTCCCCACGCACCAGCGGCAGGTGCGGGTACAGCACATTGAGCGCTGCTGCCACCAGTCGTAGCAGTCGGTTGGGGCCCCGGCTGGCCATGCCCTGGGGGGCGAGATAGCAGAATTAGCAGTGTAAGGCAGTAAAGGGCAGCCGACGAAACGATGGAGTAGCATCATTAAAAAGGCAGTAACAATAGAGCAGTAGCACTATAGCAGTAGCACTATAGCAGCAGTAGCTCTGGGAGAGCATGGTGGTAAAACATGTTGTCACCGAAAGCCGCGCAACGGCCCCAAGACGTCCCCTCGCACCAACTCATACATACATACGTACATACAGGCAGCAGGCGGGCAGCCGCCGTCTGTCGGCCAACACAGGACCGAGACAGAACCGCTGTGTGAGCCAAAGGGCCCCTGTTGGACCCACTATCCCCCCCCCGCCCGCTGCCCCACCTGCAGGGAGATCATGGGGGACAGCAGTACTGCCCCGGCGAACAGGGAGGTGCCGGTGTGGTACATCACGTGAGCCGCGATACCCCCCCCCAGACTCAGGCCCAGAATGAACCTGACCAGGAGGGCGGATAGAGAGACATACATATATAGGGACATACAGCCGCACAGTAAAGCACATGTTGTAGGCACAATGAAATACATTGAAGCACACAGCGTGTTACTAAAGGCGTTATTACTCAGCATGTACGGCATGGCGTACAATGTTGAAAGTTTAAAAACACCAAACAGATCATACGTGGAAGAGACTCGCTCGTGAAGAAACACAGACTCACCAGGGGGAATACATAAAACACCAGAAGAGAATAAGTGCGCCCTTTTTCATTTGTTTACTAAAGCAGAGACGCAGCGTGTATGTGCACCACGAGATGCGCCAGGTTTGCGTGTGTGTGTGTGTGTGTGTGTGTGTGTGTGTGTGCGTGTGTGTGTGTGTGTGCGTGTGTGTGTGAGATTTTAAGATGACTTAATAAACCGAGTCGCGATATGGACACCTCAATGTGGTGCGCGCGGGATGAGGCTTGGTGAACACCCAAGCACACACGCCGGGGAGAAACGTACCTCGGCGCGACCCGCGGGTCAGAAGGAAAGCCGGGGACCACAGCGGCAGCACTACTGCCGCCGCCACGACACTCGCCGCCCTGGCCGCCGCCAAGGGCCCTTTCCTCCAGGGCCTTCACCGCGTTCCCTTCATCCCCCCCACCTTGGTGCTGCGACTCAGTGTCTGTGGGAGCTTGTGGCGATCCTGGAGTGGGGGCTGGCGCAGGTACCTCTGGCTGGGGCTGGGGCTGGGGCTGGGGCTGGGGCTGCTGGAGTTGCCGAGGGGGGGCCAGGGGAGGCTGCTCGGCGGTCCCGTGGTGCGGCAGTTCTCGCGACTGCGGTTCATGCTGGTGTTGGTGCTGGTGTTGGTGCTGCTGCAGCAGTACGGTGAAGTCGATAACGTCCTGAACGTAGTGCTCAAACCTTTCTATGTAGCACCTGGGGGAGCATGGCGATGAGGCGGAGGGGAAGGGGGCGGTGGGATGCCGGGGTTGCTTAGCGAGAGAGTACTAGGCGGGCATGGCGATGGCGATTACGATGCCAATGGCGAACATGGGAAGATGGGGTTCTCCATACTCTCCACACAGCTATTAAATAGTTCGCCTCAGCAGGGAAAAAGCCATGGTAGCTTGCTCGTCCTTTCTCGCTCCGGTTTCGGTCATTCCGTACCACCGTACAATCTCTCGCTGTACAAAACCCGCACACGCCAGCCCACACTTCAGCTCCCGACCTCGCCTATTCCTGCCCTTCCGTTCTCCCCCCAATCACCCTTGGGCGAGGTGTACGGGTACGTGTACGTCTCGCTCACCTGCGCCCCTCCGACCTGCCCGCCCCTTGTAGATCGATACCGCACACAGCGTAGCCCTGCGGAGGGGGTGGATGAGGAGGTGGAGGTAATGGACGAAGAGGTGGAAGGGGAAGGGGACGAAGAGGTGGTGTGTGTGTGTGTGGAGGAGGACATGGAGGAGGTGGGGGAGGTAGTGGAGGTGCTGTAGGCGGCGCCAGAAAAGAAAAGAGAATCTCCCCGATCAGGACTACGTTGACTGGAGGGCAATGGACAATGACAAAGAAAATGACAACGGCGACGATGGCGATGACGATGGCGATGACGATGACGATGGCCGTAACGATGGCCGCAACTTCACAGGGCGCACCGACAGTCAGTTCGGCCACCAATGCAGCCCCGACGACAGCCATCAGAAAAAGAATAAGTAGAGATGAAGCAACACCCGTTCATAAGAAGCAGCAGCAGCAGCTGTTCCAATGAACCCAACGGCCCCACCTGCGGGTGTCGAACCGGATCTCACAGCCCCCAGCCCCCAGCCCCCACCGCGGCGGCCTTCCGCATCCTCAGACGACGTCTAAGGGCAGCTTTTATCACGCCACAGCACAGCAAACCATACCATAGCACACCACAGCACACCACACCATTTCCCCCTTCCCCACCGGCCCTCAGAATACATTAAATTATACGCCAGGGTCCATACTGCGACCTGGCCTGCACTATATACCGTACTTTGCCGTACCTGGCGGTTGAGATGCTCCACCCATGATCCGTCGTACTGCGGAAGGGAGCCCGGACACTCGGTGCGCAGAAAGTCCCAGCACAGGTAGGCGCCTGCGTGAGTCGATTGGAGGCGGGAACGGCGAAGAACGGCAGCTGATGACGTTTTGTGCCATGCGGTGGTATATCCGGTAGTGCAAAAAACAATTTTATTGTTCAGGAGAACATTGCAAGGGAAAAGCATTTAGGCTCAAAACGCCACGGGTCCACCGACCCATTGGTCCCTCAGCAGGCCGAGCCCTCCCACCGTCGCAAACCACAAGAGCGGCATCCGCCTCACCGTGCCCATGGACGAGCACCACAATGCCCTTTGGCCGCTCCAACACTCGAACGGCTCCTCCGCCATTTCCATTGCCATGAGCAGCAGTAGCAGTAGCACTCGCAATAGCAGTAGCAGTAGCAGCAGCAGCAGCGCCGTTAGGACTGCAGCCAGCGCTACTGCTGCTTAGTGGCGGCGTCTCCACGGCGGCTGCATACTCAAAAGGAGACGTGGCGTTCCGTGACGCAAGATCACCCGTGCTCATGCCCACGCTAGAGCCGGCGTATGCGCGACTGCCATCATTGCCACCGTTCCCGCCTTGGTCCCCCCTAATGCGATCAGCCTTAGCAGGACGGCCCGCAATCGAGTCGCTTTCTTGGGTACTCGGGCTACTGCTGCTGCTGCGCTCAAGTCCAGCTGGGGCATTCTCCGGTCCTCTTACGCCTGCGTCAACTGAATCGGTTGGTGTACGGTATACGGCAGCTGCGACGGCTGCGTCACAGCTGCTGCCCTGCCCGGGTGGACTTAGAGTCCGCACATCTGGCTGCTGCTGCTGCTGGTATTGCTGCTGCTGGCACTGCTGCTGCTGGCACTGCTGCTGCTGTTGCTGGTGCATTGGAGGCAGCGGCCGCGGCGGCGGCGCGGCGGCTGCGGCGCCCGGCTGTGGTTGTTCGCCAGGAGCCGGTAAGCCCAGATCCAGCTCTAGTTGCGCATCCAGATCCAAATCTGGATCCAACGACAGCTGCGATGCCACGCTGAAGGCGTGACTGAGCAGGCACGCTGCCGCCACGCTGCGACTACGGTGCGTCAGTGCCGACAGCGCTGCACGGCTGCCGGTGCGGGACAGCCCGGTGCCAGCAGTGCCAGCAGTGCCCGCTTGTCCATCCGCCGTGTCCGGGACAGTTGTGAACTGGATCTCCGGGGTCCCTCGCTCGGCGCAGGCGGGGACCCCCGGAGGCGGCGAGGCGGCGGACGCGGCGGCGACGGTGGCTGCGAAAGGAGCCGAAGAAGCTGTCGGAACTGCAACACGGACTGTGTCACTATATGGCCCAGGTGCAGTAGTGGGCCGCGTTGCCGCGTTACCCGTAGGCGGGACAATGAGAGGCACGGCAGTGATTTCGCCTGCTGCTGCCACTGCGGCTGGTACCGCACACGGGTGCTCTTCCGTGGCGGCGTTCAAGTGGTTATCAACGGCGATGTTGACGGTAGCCGGCCAGAAATAGCAAGCGAGGCGGTAGTTGCGGCAGTTGCGCATGTGACCCAACCGACCCACGGGTCCAAGCACAGCCTGCAGGTCTGCATCGTCCACGTGTACTGAATGCATGACTAGCAAGGAGTCCAGGGAAGGAAACGGCGGCAGCCGCAGTGCAGTACGGCGGCGACCGCCGGTGCTGTTGCCCTTGCCATTTGGGCTAGCTGCTGCTGTGACATGCTGCCCAGATGCGGTGGCGTCCTCGGCCGCTTTACCTTTGTTTAATTCCGCTGCGATGTTTTCATGTGCCTGGCGTTCGTCTTGGCGGTTGTCGCCTAACTGAAAATTGACGTTTTTTTTTCCTGAGCGCTGATCCCTGGTCGCGGTGTCGTTGGGTCCTTGAGGAGCCAGGGTTCGCTGTGTTTCGTGTGGGAGGGCAGGGCAGCCGCTTGAATATGGCGCTGATGATGTTAACGAGCTATCGTCAATTGCTGAGTCGGAAGCTCCGGCGGCCCGCGGGTCAGAAACATCGGCTTGAGCAAAGCAAGAGGCTGGCCAAAGGGTAGGTGTTGTTGCGCTGGGATCGTTTACCGGGTCCATTTTGGAGCTTAGGTTGTGCAGTAAAAAAAGGGAACTATGACAAAAGTTCCTTATGACGCACGGAAACTCTGGGGTTGATTCTGCGACAAGGAGGACCTGACGAAGCAATCCTTGAATGAAAACCGTATTCGTGAAGTGATACAAACCTGGTTGTCTTAGTGCTCGTTGAAGTACAAAGGGTTCCAGAGTGCATACGAAACATTGCTGTACGACAAAGGCGTCTACGTTGCGTCATAGGTTCTTTCCCTAGGCATTCGGGCCCCTATATGCCTCCCACGTGTGCAAACCATAAAAGCTTATGAGGATTATCCAGCAAAAAATCCATCGGACGAATATGCACTGGCCTTCGGCACGGACCAACGTAACAGGTCCACCGGGGGGGCCAAACGTACACAACTACCCAAAAAAGGTTTGCGTTGCCCGCACCGTCTGAAGTATAAAAATTATACAGGCGTCAAGGATTGCGCGCCATATTTAAATCAACAGACTACAACAAATAGGTAACAACCACCACCCTTCAAACAGCATACATGACAAATCTGCGTGCTTTCAACAGGCGCACAAAACAGGTGGCTGCACCGTGAACCGGTCAAACTGTCACCAGGTATTTGGACACCGCCATTTTGACCTTCTCCATGAACTCTGCAGGCGCCGTCTGCTCCGCAGCTTTAGCAGCGTCAATGTTTTGCTGCAACAGGTCCACCAGCGCCTGATCAATCTCATTGGCAGCGACCATCTCCTGCGGGACAAAGCAAAGCGTTGTTGCTTAGCTGGAAAAATACTTTCTACCTGCTATACCTGGTTTGGGTCGTCAAACTTTAACGATGCCATGTTCATTCCGCCCACGTAGCCCTCGACATGTCGGCAGCATGTCTGAGGCAAGGCACTTTTCAAGTTTTTTTTGCGACTCGTAGCCGCCGCCAAGCCTGGCTGGGACCCCTCATATGGACCTAGATTGTAGCTCTCTAACACGCTGAGAGGCTGATCTTGCGACTGCTGTGAAAGCAAGCAACCGAGAAGTTCGCGTGCGCAGCATTGGGAGCTACCATCGTCAACACCGCCGCATGCCGGCACCAACGCCATCGGGCTCAGCCTGTACCGCAGTCCTCCAAGAACAGCTTCGCATGCCGACATAGCTTTCCCTGGTGTGCTCAACGGGTCATCCGAAGATGCCGCAACAATAAGCCCAAGCTTCAACCCAAATTGCCAAAACCCAAAACCCGGATGAAGCTTTAAACGCGACATGTTTGTAACTCGTCGCACGGGACACAGACACAAGCGACGACCGATCAGGTGCGCATCGCCCTCCTGCTGAACACCATCCCTTCCGACCCAGCACCCGCCGACGACGCAGCCCCTCTCCGGAGCACACCTGTGCTCATTGAGCGCTCCACTCGAACGCGGCCGAACACAAACGGCGTCCCTACTGATCCGCACCTCTATAGAGCGTACCCGTCATAGCCCTGGGACTACCGGTATAACCACCGCCGTACCCCGGAGCCCTCTACTTCCCGAGTGCGGTGTTTCTTCCCCCCTCCAACCCCCGAGCTCCGGTCCAAGGGGAAAAGGCACCGATCCCGTGTACCCCGAGCTCCCTGACGCACCAAGATGGTCTCCTTCTTATCTTTCGCCGTCAACAGCTTCTTCAACCGCTCCGCGGCGCTGGCCGTCTTAACAACCGCCTTATCTACCGCCTCCACTGCCTCCTCAAGGTACTGCCGCAGGGTTTCCAGCTCCGCGAGGCGCTCCTGGTCGGGCTTGGCTGCGAAACGCTCGGCGCCTATCACGGAGTCAAGCTGCTTGAAGAACGCTGGCGTCAGCTTGGGACGGCATCGCGCGACCTCAAATTCCATGTCCTCCGCCTCAGTGTTGAGCATGTATTCGACCAACTCCATGGGGTCCTCGGGAGGATTGCGTGCCTCACGACGCGTAAGGACTTGGCGGCGGATATCGTCCTTTGCGCGTTGCATTTGAGATGCAAAATCTTTGTTTTGCTCCATCATTTTATGCGTCATGCGCCGTGAAATGAGGCCTGTCTCAGGTGGCCGTTTGAAGAGCTGTTCGGGGTCATAATTCACTGCGTAGACACGGACACTGTTGCGTCGAGAGGACCGTATGCAAACAGGCGAACTGAGCCTCGAAGCACATGTGTAAGAGCAGGATGCGCCTGCGCCATTCATGCTACGTGCAAGGAGGCTGCTCATTGGGGCGCAGGCCTAATTGCTCTATGCTATCCGTGTCCTGTATAACGTTTGTTTGAACCTAAGCAATGCCCAACAATTCCGTGTACATCGCTTGCATCGAGATTGTTACTGAGGGCCAGAAGTACGGCAAAAAAAGATAAGAACGTTAAAGAAAGCACCCATATCGATTTGGTTAATGCTACGTAGTGGAGATTACGCTTTTTGCCGGAAGAGGCAAAACGGAGCCAGGAAGGGGTCGTGTAGAGTGATTATTCCGGATTAGGCTTTGAGTCCACCTCCTTGACAGGAAGCACTGGACTTCCTCCTTAGGCAACTTGATCTTCAGCGGGAACGAAGTGATCACTGAATACTTTCGATAGGTGAGGAAGCTGGCCATGACGCATAGTTGCGACAAGGGCTCCGCGACAGCGTCGCCTGCGACTGGATGGATCATATTATCGCAATCTTACTCTCGAGCCCTATAGACATTATGTTATACCCTCGCCTTATCAGCTCGTGTGACTTCCTGATATGGTCGCCGCGTGGATAAGCCGGTACTGCCGGATATCGTTTCCTTAAGCGCGCTGGGCTTTTGTCTGAACCTGCTGGAAAGCGAATCTTGGGCGGCGCCTAAGCGATTAGATAGTATGAAGCTGTGTTTTTCCTGGGAGGCTTGGTTTTCCTTTCCCGCCCATCCATCGGCCTGTCTTTTTGCTGCCGGAAAGGACAGAGGCTTTGTTTATCTTCTTTTCTGGAAACGGGCTGTATATCGTGCCGTTCTGTGACAAGATCTACCCGGCTGCCTTCCCCTTGGCAGGCTGCACCAGCAAATCCGTATCCATGCAGCAACCTAGGGCGCCCTCGGTCCCGAGGCCGCCCGCTGCGAAGATCTTCAGCGGCACCTCGCTGGCCGTTTCTTTGTCGGGGCAACCTCAGATGGTAGCAACATCCCGACCGCTGAGCAACTTTTTCCCTTCCGCGGCGACTGTTGGTATGTGCCGCGCCGCATCCCTCAGGTGCGGGAGCCTCTACCGATCTCTCCCTCAGGTCGACATTCCATTTGGCTTTGACCTTCCATCTATCTGCCGACGACACATGTTGGGTCACACTTCCCTAGAGACACTGCCTCTTGCGCCATTTTTGCATGTTCCGGTCAACCACTTTCACCCCCTTACAGCCCGTGCCGAAGTATTGTTCGTGCTGTTTGTCCTTGAAGAGATGGAACCCAGATACATCGGCAGACGATTTGCACACACGCCTTTACCTGACCCAGATCGATTTTTAAAGTTATCATGCCCGTGTTGCGTGTAATTTGGTTGTTGGATGTTGCGATACGGGACTTTAACCATGCTTGTGTGTAGCCAGTAGCCAGAATTGTCTGTCTTTCGATTTTTGTTTCTTAGTTGTCCAACTTCCCGCGTGTTGCAGGACGCATGCGGCACCACCCCGTAGCGGCCCGGGCAGCAGCGGCGCAGCTGCCACCACGGGTCGCCTCGGCGCGCAACAAGCATCCACGGGTACACCCCCTCCCGCCGCTAAAGGCGCCAGCGGCAGCGGCGGCGGCAGTAGCAGCAGCGTGGCCTCTCCCTCTGCTGCCACCACTGCCGCGGCGCCTGCAACAGTATTCCCAGCCGCCGCCAGCAGCAGTAGCAGCGCTGGTGGCAGCGGCGGCAGCACCGCCGCCGCCACTACGACCGCAAGGAAGCCAGCGCAGGCAAATGAAGGCAGCGGTGCGGCCGACACCGCTGCAGCTCGTGGTGCTTCAGGGAATGGTGCTTCTGCTTCTGCTCCTTCTGCTCCTGCCGCCGGGGGGGCTGGCAGCGCAGGCAGTGCACCTAGCACGACAGCACGAGGGCCAGCCAGTCCGGTACGTGCCGTACAGCGGGTCCGTACACTACGGTCCTTAGCTCCTGTGTGTGCGCATGATGGCCTGGTCCAAGGCCACTACATTTGCCATGCATAAGGCCCATTGTCGCGGTCCCGTCTGGAAAATGGGTGTGAATGGAGGGATGTGAAATCTCCCGGAGAGACAACCCCTTCAAAGCTCCCGGCCCTGGTGTCCCCTTCACTCTGCTCCCCCACCCTGCCCTCTCTCGTGGTTCGTCTTTTCCCCACCTTGCCCCAGCCCAGAGGACGTGAGACTGCGCATGTGGGTTCTATGACGTCCCTGTTCCATGACTCGTCCTGTCCGTCCGCGCTCAGCCGCCCCTACTGGCCCCTCTCCATTTTCGCTAGTATTGTTTTCACCTCCCCTTTTTGGTCCGGGAGTTTAGGGCGCCGTTGCGCCATTGCTTCTTTCGGGATCCAGCACCATTGCGGGTGCTCCGGACGCCGGACAAACAATTCTTCCTCCCATACTGTCTTGCATCGTTCCCACCCAACCCCCATCCATCCCAATCCATCGCTTCACACAGTCTTCCAGCACCTCCCCGCCTCAAACTCTCCTTCATCCCTTTTCCTCACCCCGTTCGAACATCTCACACCCTCCCCCGCTAGGTTTCCTTTGACAAGGCCATGGCCGCCAAGATCAACGCCGCTCGGGAGCTGGCTCGCCGTCTGGCCGAGGAGAAGCAGGCGGCTAAGGCGGCCTCGGACAAGGGGCTGGACAGCGAGGGGTGGGTAGCGGGGGAGGTGGCTTGTGGGTAGGGAGGGGCTGAGGGAGGGAGGGAGCCTGGGGCATGTCTTGATCTTGACGATTTACAAGTATTTGATTTTTGCTTCGCAAAAAACTGCAAGCTTGAAGTGAATTTACCTACCGTGATTCATCCAGAATATCCGTTTATGCGTGGTATTTCCTGGATAGCGGCTTTTGACAGCAGGCAAATCCCACACCATTCCAGTGGACTTATTCAGCACACTCCCCCTGGCCCATGGTCCTTTCCCTTGTCATCAAATCCACTGGCCACTCCTTACGATTGCGAATCAGGAAGCGCGCCGCGGAGTTGGCCAGTGCGGAGGCCGCCGCCCAGGCCGCCAAGGCGGATGCTCTGGTGCGGGCGCTCCGGCGCGCGGAGTCCAACCGCGACACCCTGCTGCGGCTGCGGGCCGAGAATGAGGCGCTGCGGGAGCTGCTGTTGGAGGTGGCGGTGGATAAGGAGACGGCGAGGGCTCGTATGGAGCAGGTGGCTTGGGTGGGGGATGGGGGTTGGGTTTGGGAAAAAGGCGACCGGAGAACACTGATGCGGATTGAATGCTGGGATGTGCTGGGTAAGAGAGGGAAGGCGGGGGAGGGGGAGGGTCGGCTTTGCGCGAGGTGGTGATGGTGTTGTATGGGGGAGGTGGGAGAAGAAGAGGAATATGGGATGGCAGGATCCTTTTGCTTGCTTTGGACGTCGGCAGGTAATCCTTTGATGGATCTTGCAACATAATGGAACGGTTTCTGCACCTCCTTTCCTCCTTCCCAGGTTATCTCCACTCTCAGCGATCAGGCGCTAATGGAGCGCACCCGGACGGATGTGGCCGCGGGTAAGGTGCCACCGCCCGTTGCCGCCGGCAGCTTGCTCAGCAGGTCAGGACCCACTGCGCCGCTCACAACGCCGATGGCCGAGGACGCCGCTAAAGCTGCCGCCGCTGCAGCCAAGGCGGCCGCGGCGGCTCCGGACTCCGCTGCTGCCGCCGCCGCCGCCGCGGATGCGGCAGCTGCGGCCTTGGAGGCGCAGTTGGTAGCGGCGAGTGCTCAGGTTGCCAAGAGCATCATCCCCAGCAAGGTATGTGTATGTGAATGTGTGTATTAGCGCGGAAGAGTAAAAGAGGTTGAGAGCTTGGGAAGGTGCTGATAAAGGGAGAGACACTGCGCCTGCCTGTTTGCCTGCCTGCCTGTCTGTCTGTCTGTCTGTCGGGTCGGTCGCGTATTACGGGCCGGCGTTGAGACGCCCCAAGGGCGACCTCGACCTTGGCGAAGTAGATTGACGTCGCATTCTGGTGAAGGTGCTGATGGTGCGCTCTGTCCCATGCGTCTGTCTTCTTAGCGGCTCTCCTCCGGTCCTAGGTCCTCGGGTCCCTCCTGTATTCTTATCCTGTATTCTTATCCTGTATAGGTTCAACCCTCGTGGGCCGCGAACCCGGGGGCCTTCTCCCCCCGACGTCAGTTGGTGCGTTGGACGTTGACGGTTGTCTTCGTCATGTTGCACCATCGCCATTAGCATCACATAATTCCCACCTCATGATTCCCATCTCTATGGCTCATGACAGGACCCTTGTACAAACGCGTGCTCGTTCCTCCCCCCCTTGCCCTGGCAGCAGCTTCACTCGTTTGTGCTTCGTCTTTCCCCCATCCCTCCCGCCCCTTTGTCCGCACCCAGGCTCCCTCCGCCGAGCCCGGCCCGCCGGAGGTGCAGGACGAACAGCTGGTGGCGCAGATGCGCTCCGTACTGCAACAAAAGGTGTGTAGACATGTGCGTTATGATAATCTGATAACCTGAGGCGCGGGCAGGAAACTGCGGACAGCGATTATATGTGTGTATGTATGTACGTGTGGAAATTGAGAAGGGGGGAAGGCGGGGAAGCGGGATGGGTACTACGCCGGTAGAGGGGGATAATGTATGCTGAATTATCTGGTCATTGGGCGTGTGAGCGGTGGGGCAGGTGGACAAGCTGCAACAGTCCGCCACCTCACCTCACATTACATCATCTCATCCGGCCAGCCAGCCAGGCATCTGAACTCGACATGTCAACGGGTTGTGTGATCGCCTGGTGGGGACTGTGAGAATTATTATCCTCAGCCAGGAGTGGTGTTGCAGCGGCCGGATGCCGCCGGGGGGAGGCTTTTGTGCGTTTATAATTCCTTTCCTTCAATCCGTTCACGTGGAATCCCACGGCCCCACGGCCCCACGGCTGCCTTCTCGCATGTTTTATTTCAGGCGCCGCTGGAAACCTCCGAGGACACCATCAAGCAGGTGGTGAAAAAGGCGGAACAGAGCAGCGCGGCGGCGGCACCCGAGGCCTCCGCCGCCGCCACCGCAGTCGTAGAGGAGCTCCACCACGCGATGGAGGGAGCGGCGGCCGCGGCCGCCGCAGTGGCGGCGCCGCCGCCTCCGGCAGCGGCAGCGCCGGCGGCCGCCGCCGCTGCGGCGCCTCCGGCGACAAAGGCGCCGGCGGCGCCACCGCCGCCGCCACCTCCACCAACTCCAGCCGTTGAGGTAGCAGCGCCACCGGCGGCGGCGGCTGCACCGCCGCCGACGGAGGCTCCGCCTGCGGCGCCGACGGAGGCTCAGCTCCAGTCCCTGGCGTACAAGGCGATTATTGCCAACCAGCTGATATTCACTTGGCCGGAGGGTAAGAGGGGTCCACGTACGTCTGTTGGCCACTCATGTGTGGGAAGTTATTAGGGGGGCTGCAGCAGGTTGAAACTTCCCTATGCCCTCCATTTCACTCACCCCCTGCACCCCTTCAGACGTGCTGCTCTTTCCTCCCCTCCTTTTTTTCCCCGATCGACTGCTGCAGAGGGCGGACCCGTGGGTCGGCCGGTCCGCATCTACTACAACCGTGCTCGCGGTCCGCTGCCCCCCACCCGCCGGCTCCAGGTCAAGGCAGGGTTTAATAAGTGGGAGGAGATTGTGCAATTCGACATGGAGCCAGGACAGGGCCTGCCGGTGAGTAGGAGAGGGGAGAGGAGAGGGGAAAAAGGAAAGGGGGAAAGTTTTACTCCAACGCCAAAAAGGAAACTCATTGCCGACGTCCAAGCATTAAAGGAAGGGAGAGGGAAACCGAGGCAGGAAGCTTTGCAATGCGGTACAGAAAGGGCAATCAAGCTGGCTATCCAGCATTATGTAAGCATAGGTAAGCAACAGGTGGTAACAGGCGGCGGTTGGGTAGGCCTGGATTATTGTTACTGGGTAGACTCGGAAAGCGACGAGAGGACGGGACGCAAGGGAGGAAGGCGATTCCTGGAAGCCGTGCTTACCTGCTAACCACACGCATACACCCATACGGCTACCACTGTACAGCACCTCTACCCAAATAACCCTTATCCCTTGTTTACCTGCGTGCGCCTCCCTCCCTCCCTCCCTCCCTCCCTCCCTCAATACTTTCCCTTCGTACCCCCAAACCCCCCCTGATACACATACACATTTCCCCCCTAGCCCGGTGGGGGCAACGAGTGGTGGGTTCTTTCCCTGGAGCTACCCACCGACCTGTTCCGGTTCGACTACGTCATCATGGATGCCGTATCCGGGTCGGTTGACAACAACGGCTGGCGGGACTACTCTCTAAAGCTGGTGGATGCCCCCACGGAGGATGAGGTGATGGCGGCCAGGGCGGAGGCCTATCGCCGGTTCGACGAGGACAGGTGCGGTGTGTCGGGTCGGTGTTAAGAGGCTGGGGGGGCGGGGTGGGGACGGCGGGGCTTGGAAGGGGGGGGGGAATGGATAGCAGGACCGGCGGCGTGAATGAGATCAGGGTAACCATACCCGCGGTAGTGCGGTGATGAATTGTCCTGGTAGTGGTGGCGACGGTGCTCGTCCCGGTCAGCGCGACCGTTCCATGTCGGTCTGTCAACGTTCATGTTTTGAAGGGCTCCCTTGTAAGGGCTCCCTCTTTTGTCCGAGCTGGAGGCCCCCAAATCCCCCACCGCGCGCAAACCTGCTGTACACCGCAAACGGCGGGTGCCTGGCGCGCTTATGTACCCTAGTAACAGTACAGTACACACCGCACAGCAAATAGCACTCTTTTTACAGTCACCACCTTTTTTACCTGGTCCCCCCGCGCGCACAAACACACACACGCGTCAGGCGCAAGCTCATGGAGGATGAGGAGAAGCGGTTATGGCGGGTGGTGGAGAGTAAGGCCCTGGACGCGGCGGCAGCTGCCCGAGTGGAGTTCCGCCGCCGCCGGGATTCGGAACTGCTGGAGGCGGCACGTCAGGTGGGGTGGGTTGCGGAGTGGTGGTGGGGGGGGGGAAAGGGGAGGGGGAGGGGGAAGACCGGCCGGGAGCGGAAAAGAACGTCAACGCTCCACTCTTATTTCCATTCCATTATTTCCATCTTCTCTCTCTTTCTCTCCACTATCGCCCTGTACCCCCTTCCATCCCCTCCCTCCACGCTGCAGGTGGTGGCAGATCGGCGAAAGGCCGACATTACTGCCGTACCCGCCGCCGACAGCGTGCCAGGTGTGTATGCGTGGTGCGGCGGACCCCCCCGACCCGGCCAGCGTGCCTTCTTGGCGTACAACAAGGTGCACGGAACCGCCGGAGGGGGCCTTATGCATGCCAACGGTATTCGGGTACATCTGGGGTACGACGGCTGGTGGAACAAGATCACTCAGGTACGTGTGTGTTTGTGTGTGTGTGTGTGTACGGCTCCCCCGGAGGGGGGAAGAGGATGTAAAAAGGACGGGTGCACGTGTTTTTCTTTGTATTTTTTTCCATCTTGTGTTTATTGCTTTGCTTGGACTCGTTGGGGATTTGGAGGGTTGATTGTTGTTGTTGTGTTTCCACTTCCCCCAACATACGTGTGTTCAGGTGGCCCAGAAGCCTCCCACTCTGTAACAATTCAATACATGTGTACATTTCGTACTGCAAATTTTGTTTCCCCCTCCCCTTTCGACACGGTAATTTATTAAATCACTCGCGCGGCCCCCTCCCCCCTCTTCCTCCTCCCCCTTTCCCCTGGTTAGTATGCTTTCTTTACATCCGCCGCATCAGTCTTTCCTTGGCATTACCTTCACTCGCTCGTGGTTCGTCTCCCCCCTTCCCCCCCCCCCACCGGTGTTCAGGTCATCGATCTGGCTCCGCTGACCGCCGAGCAGCTGTCGTCGTACAAGCTGTCAAGTACCGGCGGCATGCAGTGGTACGGCGCCTGGGTGGACGTGCCGTACAGCGCGGCCGTACTAAACTATGTGTTTTCCGACCGCGATCAGCGCAACTGGGACAACAACGGCACGCGGGACTACCACACATTGGTGGCGGGTGAGGAGAAAGGGAGACATGTGTTTTTAGCTCAGGGGGTTGCAGAGTGAGTGTGTGTGTGTCCGCGTGTGTGTATGTCCGTGTGTGTGTGTGTGTCCGCGTGTGTGTATGTCCGTGTGTGTATGTATGTATGCGCTGTTTTCAGCCTACCTCGCCGTGTTCGCATTCGCGGTCCACTGTCACGCCGGGGGCCCTCGTCCATCTGCACCTTGTAGACCCCCTACCCCCTACCCCCTACCCCCTACCCCCAGCCCCCCCATTCTGTCGGCACGGACACTGCCACTTGACGCTTTGCTATTTGCCATGCGCACAACCACCCATCCCTCCTCACCATCTTACATTTTGCCCAGGAAGGCCTGAAACCCTTCCCCTCCCACCCCCGACCAATACACACACGCACGCACTCTACCAACACTACCCCCTCCCCGCGGGCCCCAGGTGCCCATAGCGGTGACGAGCTGGTGGAGATGCTGCACGCGGCCATGAAGAGGGACTCCGCGGACAGCGACAAGGAGGTGGAGGACCGGGCGGCGCTGAGGGCGGTGCGGAAGGTGGAGGCAAAGGTGGGCGCTGGGTAGGCGGCAGGGAGATAGGGGCGGGAGAAGGGGCCGGGGGCGAAGCCGGAGGAAGGGGAAGGGGATCAAGGGGAGGGGAAAGATAGAGCCTAAGCGCAGGCTTGAATTTAGTGCTATTGCTAGTGGCACCGCAGCCGCGGAGGGACAGTCTAGGGGGGGATGTCTGTGTGGGCCCTAGGAAGGGCAGCCCCTGCGTACCTCATGGCTCGGGATCGACAGGCCTCCCCACCGCAACCAGCTCAAGCAGCAAATATATATTGAAACCGGTACTGCCGAATTTCAGCGAAATGATTTACACAATTTTTACCGATATAGATATTTACGTGAGATGACCAGAACTTGTAAAATCATACACGGCTGCCGCGCCCAGCATCCGTCCCGACACCCCTCCATTCCCCTCCCCTCCCCTCCTCTCCCCTCTCGGGTCGGGTCGTACAGGGTCTCACCATGCGCAAGCGGCGGGAGGTGCTCCACGAGTTCCTATACACCGTGCCGCTGTCCCCGCGCGCGGGTCAGACCGTGGATGTGTTTTACCGGCCCGAGGCGACCATGCTGCGGGGCCGCCCGGAGATCTGGCTGCGGGCTGCCTGGAACCGGCTGGGGGCGGCCGCGTGTAACGCCGCGGGCGGGCCGCTGCGGCCCCTGACGGCCCGGTTGGATCCGTGTCTGCCCGGGGGCTTGGGCTTCTATAAGGCCACCGTGCAGGTAGGGGGAGGGGGAGGGAGAGGGAGGGGGGGGGGAGGGGGAGGGAGAGGGAGGGGGGGGGGAGGGAAGGGGATCCTATGTTCTCGTGTCATCTGGGTTTCTTAGGGTTTTGATATTTTGTTCCCTGACCCCCACCTCCACCCCCCGCATTCCTGTATCTTGCACGACCATTGGGTTTCCGTCGTCATCCCCGAGCCTGCGCTTTAAATACTGTTCGCTGCAATATTGCGATTTCTATTTCCCCCTTGCCCCGTCCTTCCTCCCCGCAACCCCTTTCCCCGCAAACCCCCGATACCCCCCCACCTCCCCCCGCAGGTCCCCGCTGAGGCCTGGGGTATGGATCTGTCCTTCAGCGACACGGACTCCACCAGCGGGGGCTTCGTGGACGATAACGGGGGACTGGATTACCACGTCCCCGTGGAGGGCGCAGGTGGGGGTGCGGGACGGAGGGGGGGGGTACGGGGGGGGGGTAGGGGGGGTAATGATGGGGTTGGGGGGGGGGGTACAGGTGTCTTTGTTTGGGGGGGGAGAGGGGGGCAGAGGAGGGGAAGGGGCCGGCGGCCGAGTGTGGGATGTGTGTTACGAAGATGGGATGTGTTGTGCGTTTCGTTAAGTCGAGTACCTGTGTGTGTGTGAGACGGGAGGGGAGGGGGAGGGGGAGGGGAAGGATGACTGTGAGCATTCGTGCAAGTTCTTTCCCCACACCACCCCCATTCGAGATTCATTCGCTCGTGGTTCGTTTTTCCTCCCCCATTCCCTCCCTCCCCCGCCACCCCAGCAAACCGCACATTGCACATACACATGCTGTACCTCTTTCCCTCTTCTTCCACGCCCGCAGTTACTCCGCGTCGTTCCCTGAGTATCGTACACGTGGCTGTGGAGATGGCGCCCATTGCCAAGGTGCGGTGCGGGAGGGGGGAAGGGTATGGGCAGGGGTGCGGGAGGGACAGGACTTTGGGTTTGAGAGGTGCATGAAGGGGTTCGTGTGAGGCATCCAGGCTATGGACGGCTCGGCAATGAGGGGACAGGCAGCAGCCCTTACACGAGGGTGGGTGGGGGGAGTCCGGGTGGGGGGAGTCGGGGAGCCCAGCTGCGGGACCCCTCCTGCTCGCCCGTCTTGTTGTAATCCCTATTTAACACAATTACCGGTTTCTTCGTTGCTAAAGCAAGGTTTTCCTTTCCATTTCCCAATTTTCCTTCCATTCCCCTTGCCTTCCACTCCATTGGAAGTTTGGCAGTTTTGATTCTTTCCGTGCCAATTCTTTCCTCGTTTCCGCGTTGCGGTTTCCCCCAATTACACCCCCCACCCCCACCCCACGCCCACACACCCACATACATACCGCGCACATATACACACGCACACACTCACACATCTTCCTGTTCTTGAGGTTCAGTTCACTTTAAGCTCTGACATACGCACGGACCTTCTGAATCCCCAGGTTGGCGGTATGGGTGACGTGGTTACGGCACTTGGACGAGCAGTTCAGGAGCAGGGCCACGACGTGTCGGTCATCGTTCCAAAGTACGACTGCATCAACTACAACTTGGTGCGTGCTGGGGCCTGGGGAGGAATCATCATTGTTATGGTAGTAATTGGGTTCGTTTGTTGTATACGTACCGTTGTCGGTGTACGGAAAAGGTGATCTTCCCCCGGTTGATGGACCTGCAGGGGGCTGGGCCCTGGTGCATCTCCATTGGTTCAACTTGCGCATCCTCCCCTCCCCTCCCCTCCCCACCCCATGCTATCTCCCCCTTGGCACTCGCCCCCCTCCCCGCCACTCTTTATTTTATTTTATTTTCGTCTAGTTTATCCAAAGTTTATTCAATTTATCTAAATATTTTTTAATTTTAACTTTTAAATTTAATTTTCAAAGTAATGAATAAATTTTCGTCCCCCCGCTCCCGCCGCTCTTGATTTATTTGGATTCCGTCCTTTGTGTTCTGACTTCAATCACACGACGTAGGTGGACAACCTGGTTCAGGAGAGCGGCTTCAGCTGGGGGGGTACCTTCGTCCGCGTGTGGAAGGGCGCCGTGGAGGGTCTGACCACCACCTTCTTGGAGCCCGAGAACGGCATGTTCTGGGTGGGATGCATATACGGACGAAACAACGACGCACAAAGGTGAGGGATGCGAATGAAGTGCGGACTGTGAAGGGGAGGAGCGGGAGCAGGGGATGGCAGCCCCACCACACACACATACACACACACACGCACACGCACAAACACACATCAAGCTTCCTTAAGAACTGTCCAGCTACCTGTCCTCCACCACCACATTCCTGGACCACTACTGGACTACTTGTCTTCAGTCAAGTCCTGCATGTAACTTTTTGAACCCCTTCTCGAGGCGAAATCGATTGATTGAAACACACATAACCTTAAGTTTCCCACACCCAGAAATGCACACACACATATATATGGGTATATATATTATATATAGATATATATAGATAGGTACACATACACACGCGCGCGCGCGCAAACTCCCTGATAGCGGCGCAGACTTTTAAAACACGCGCACATGCTCTCTCTCTCCCCACTGGCAGGTTCGGGTTCTTCTGCGGCGCCGCGCTGCAGTACCTCAAGAACACGGGCCGCCAGTACGACATCCTGCACTGCCACGACTGGCAATCTGCGCCCATCGCCTGGGGCGACCGGGGCGCCGCGAAGGCCGTATTCACCATACACAACCTGTCGTACGGAGCTGACCTCATCGGCCGAGCTATGCAGGCCTGCAATGTGGCGACCACCGTATCACCCACGTACGCGCGAGAGGTGGGACTGTGTATGGCATGGTTGGGTGTATCCTGATTAGGAAAGGCGCCAGGAGCTTGTTTATGCTTTTATCGAGAGGCGCTTTCCCGTCGTTGCATTTCCACTGGGCCACTTGGGCCTGCAATGCTCCGAGGGCATTGCTCTCGGCTGTGTTAGCAGCCATCAGTCCCCATTGTCTGTTTGTTTCTTGGAGGTTATGAGGAAAGCGATATTGCAGCTATAGATACAGCAGCAGCACCGCTTACCTGCGTTTCATTCCCTCGCAACTCGTCTGCCCTCTCCTTCACCTCACTCATCTCACCTCTTTCATGTGCCCCGCGATGTGTGTGTGTGTGTGTTGTGGGGTGTTTGGCAGATTGCGGGCCACCCGTCCGTGGCTTCGCACCTGAACAAATTGTACGGCGTCCTAAACGGCATCGACCAGGTAAGCTTTTAAGTGGCGGTGGGGACGGTGGGGGCGGCGGCGACGTTGATCCGCTGCTCCCCTCGCCCTCGCCCTCGCCCTCTCACCAACCGGTATTGGCCGACCCGTGTGGAATGGTGGTGGAGGAGAGTGTTATACTGGTTATTGAGTTGTGTGAACTGTAGACCATCGGCCTCCTGACGCACCCTTTTTAAAGCCCGGACACGCCAACTGCCATCCTCATGCGCGAACTCCTCCGCTTTGAAGATTTGTCCCTTGTATTGCCAGTCTCCTCCCGCGTTTACCCCCCCCCCCTATTTCACAACCCTTTCCGAGCCCTTCCCCCTTTTTTGTTTCACTACCGCGCTCTGCGTCCCGATCCTGATCCGGATCCGGATCCTGATCCCGATCCTGATCAGGACATCTGGGACCCCTCCGAGGACCCCTGCCTGCCCATGCACTTCTCCGCTGAGAATGTGGCGGCCGGCAAGGAGGCGGCGAGGAGGCTGCTGAGGCAGCGACTCAACCTGGCCCAGGCGGATGTGCCCGTGGTGGGCTGCGTCACCCGACTGGTGGCGCAAAAGGTAGGGAGTCCTGTGCTTGCGTGTGTGCTTGCGTATGTCGAGGGGTTGGAGGGGAGTGGGGTGAGGGATGATGCGTGTCATTGCTGTGGGTTTTTGTTTTTGAAACTTATCCACAACACTTAACACCGTACTGCGAGAACCTGACCGCGGCCTAACCCAACTCCTCCCCTCCCCTTTTTCAGGGTATTCACCTGATCAAGCACGCCGCCTGGCGTACGTTGGAGCGTGGAGGGCAGTTTGTGTTGCTGGGGTCAGCACCGGACGGCCGCGTGCAGGTGAGCGGTTGGGGCGTGTGCGGTTTGTGCGGTGATGGGAGGGAAATAATATGCCGATGGTGCGACACGAATAACGCTTCGGAAACAAGCTCCTTAGTCACCAGTGACGTGTTAAGATTTCCTTTGTGTATGAGAGTACGGACTTTGCTGGAACGGGAGCGGGGGGGGCTAAAGAGGCGGTGGTAGGTGCAAGGGAACTTAGGGAAGGGAGGCGAGGGAGGAAAAGGCGCCCGCGGGAACGCGTAAAACAACGAATCCGTAAACATTCACGTCTGCCTCCTGTGAGTGGTTTCGCACCCAGGGTGAAGGCTGGCTGTGTCCGGGTGCTTGTATTGTTGTATTGTGCGGTTGACGTCGGTTGACGTCGGTTGGGATGCGGGATTGTTTGGTACCTCCCCTCTGGCGGCTTTATGTTTACACTCTGTATGCCTACCCCCGGCGGAGGGCCCCCCTCATCAGGATACACATTCGCACATTCACGTCTTTATTATCGCTGAACGTCCCCAACGCCGCCACATGAAAATCACCCCCGCCCGCCTGTGACCGCACGCGCCGCCCCGTCGGTTCTTCCCCTCGGCCTCGGCCCACAAGTACGGCAGCGCTCTCCAGGCGCGTCCTCGCACAAGACCAAACCCAACTAAACCAAAGCAAAGCAACACGCTCAAAGCCCCAACCAATCACCAACCAACCCTTAACCAATCACCAACCTACCACTAACCAACCTGTCAGGGTGAGTTCAACCAGCTCCGAGAGCAGCTGGCCCAAGCCTACCCCGACCGAGCTGCATTGGTGTTCACGTACGACGAGCCGCTGAGTCACCTCATCTACGCGGGATCCGATCTGTTCCTGGTGCCGTCCATGTTCGAGCCGTGCGGCCTCACGCAGGTGCGCCGCGATGAGGTGGCTTTGGATCGTACATGACTTTGATCGAACCTGGGTTTGGATTTGGGTGCATATTCGGTTGGGCTTGGTGGTGAGGATGGTTTCGGTGAAGCTTTTTTTGGGTGGGGAGGGGAGTGGCCTAACTTTCGAAGAATGCGCCGCGTATTTCCTTTTCGTTGTGACTTCACTCTTCTTGCGCCTGGTGTACCGCTGTGCTGCTCTATTGAAGGCACTCCGCGTTACAGAACTCGCATGTGGTGGGCCCCTTCCTCGCGTGTGTGTGTATGTGGGTTTTAGCTCCTAAATCTTTTCGTCTCCCTCCTCCTCTGCCGTGCACCATCGCCCCCTGGCCCCCTACACGTCCCATTTGTGGCGCAGATGATTGCCATGCGGTACGGCACCATCCCCGTTGTACGGAAGACAGGTGGCCTAGTGGATACTGTGTACGACATGGACCACGACGAGGACCGTGCCCGTGCCAAAGGTATCCGCGTGTGCGTGAGTATGTGTGTTCCCCCGCAGGTCCGCGGTATCGTTTTTGTGGACTGCTCTCTCTTCCCGGGTGTTGAGCAGGCACCAGCCAGTATTACGTCGGGTCCGCGGTGCTGTGTTATATCCCCCTAGGTGTTGGTTGTCCACATCCTATCCATTCAAGCCCCTGTGCCGGCCCGCCCCTTCCCTTTTGCGGCCTTGGCGGCCTGCCCCACCCAGGCATGGAGACCAACGGCTTCAGTTTCGAAGGCACCGACTTCGCGGGTATGGACTACGCACTGAACCGCGCTTTGTCCTGCTGGTACTCGGACAAGCCGCTGTGGCACAGCCTGCGCCGGCGGGCGATGCAGCAGGTTGAGGGGGGCGGGGGTTAAGGGCCCAGCTGGAGGGGGTTGGGGGATACGGTGTAGGTGGTGTGACGGAGGGGGGCCCGGAATCAGTACGCATAGAAATGATTTTGTCTCAGCACACCCCCTCATCGCCTAGTTTCTCTTTTGTAATGTTGTCTTCACATAGGCCTCGTGTGTGGGGTGTATGCGATCTGACGCCACCCCGGCCCGGGCCCCCTCTCTCGGACACAGGACTGGAGCTGGAATAGCCCCGCACTGGACTACCTAGAGCTGTACTACAAGGCGCTTAAGTCGTAAGATGCTGTACGTCTAGAATCTCTTACGGGCTCCTGGAGGGGACTGACCGCATGCTGCCACCGCAGCGGCAAAAGGGGCGGCTGCTTCGGGGCAGGCTTCGGGGGTTCGGCGTTGAGGAGGAGACGATCTGTACAAGGTTTGACAACGGAACTGTAGCTCGTGGAGGCTACTCCTACAGGACTAAGTTGCTATTGCCGTTTCTACTGTTGCTGTGTGCGATTTTCTGGTGCTAAATGAGGGGGCTAAAGGAGCTGCAGGGTGGATTGACATCGGAGACTGCATGGCGGGAGGGTGGGCCGTGCGTGTGCGTGCAGCATCTCAGCGCATCGGGGCACGAGGAAACAAAACCGGATCGGATAAACTAAATTCCATTTTCTTCATTCCTGGGCAAAGGTCGAATAAAGGAGTCCTGCGGGTCCTGTTTCGGTGCACGCGAAGCGGAAAACGTTCTTGCAGAGGGCCGAAGAAAAGGGGGCAGTCAAAGAGGATAAGCCCCCAGGTGAACAAGGGTTTTGGCAGGTCATGCGGGCGTCGTGAGAGATGTCGAGTGCACGTGGGTGCGGAGTGCGCGGCGAGGGACGGCAGGCATGGGCTTCGGCACGCGAAAGGGCTGCGACAAATGCAAGGTAGCGTGATGTCAACCAACGACTGCCATCGGGGACAGGAGTGCAGCATGAAGAACGGCATATGGCAGCAGGTGGTAAGACACGTGGTCACACTGAACAAGTGAAATAACGTTAAGCTCCTTGAAAGAAGAAGCGTGCTAATTTCAGAAGCCTCTAAAAATGAACGCCGCTACGCGTCGCGGCTTTTCCTTTTTTGGTTGTGCCGTTTTTGGTTGTGTGTTATGCCACGGGTTACAGGTTCCAGCTACATACGATGGGAAATGTTTAATACCCCTCCGCCAGACAGCGCTATTGTAGACGGTGCTGTGCTTGGGGGCTTGCTAGCTGGCCGTGCCGGCGAAATGTGTTGTGGTCGGGCGCAGGTCGAAGATATATTGCCCATTCGAGTTGCGTGCCATACAGCTTTCAGGGTTGATGTGGTTGGTTATGGGGATTTGATGTAAGCTGGGAGTTTTTCGAAGTCCTCACTCGAGGTGTGTATGCGTCGTGCGCGGCATTATTCTTTGGCAAGCTCTCAAAGGGCCTACTGCAAAGTGGAATGGTACGTGTTAGCGTAGAGCATGTTGATTAAATGCATCAATGATGTCATTTGTTCGCGTTGCGACACGGAGATGATCACTCGTGCATGTGCATGTAAAGATTTTACGGGTGTAGGTTTTTCTCAGGGATTGCGTAGGCACAAATCACACGCTTCCGATACTAAACCCTGATCTCACCTAGTAGGTGACTGTTCGGTCGAGTTATGTACACCGTTTGTAGGCTCTGCCTGCCACGATTACACTTGTCTCCTTTCCCGCCGGGTGTATATCTCATACTTCACTTGCCGTAAGAGAGAGCCAAAATGAATGGAAGAATAAGAGGTATGACGAATTAGGGAGCAAGCATAATCAGGCAGCCTCCACTTACACAACTCTTCCACCTTTGAAACACGCGTCAAAGTCAAGTCAACTTTGTCTTCATTGCTGGGCTCCATGATGAACGACCATAGTGCAAAAAGTGCACAGCGAAGTAACAGAGGTCCCATCAGCCCGCATCACCCCAGCGCTAACACAGGCCAATCGCAAAACACCTGTCAGGCCCTTACCCATAATCTAGACAGGCAACGTCTGTCTCCATCATGTAATATAATCCTGGGGACATTGCAGGACCTTGAGCCTTATCCTAGCCTCAACACTGAACTAGTGCGCGACCAGAGCCGACTCACCATTGTCCACCATTACACGACCTTTGGCTGCAGCCGACAACCTAGGAAAATTTGCCGCTGTCACCAAGCATATTTGCAAAATAGACTCACAGACGATCAAAGATCATGGCAAGGCGAGCTTACACCACCTTAGCCTTAGCGCCAGCCTCAAGCAGTTGAGTCTTGGCGGCCTCGGCGTCCTCCTTACTCAAGCCCTCCTTCAGAACCTTAGGCAGAGTGGCCGTGAACTCCTTGACCTGGTTGACGGCAATGTTGGCAATGTTGCGGACCACCTTGTAGATGCCGACCTTCTTGTCGGCTGGGATGTCCTCCAGCACCACATCGAAGGTAGTCTTCTCCTCAACAACTGGAGCAGCAGCAGCAGCAGCTGGCATGGCGGCGACAGCTACAGGAGCGGCAGCCGAGGCATCCACTCCGAAGGTCTTCTCGATCTCAGAGACCAGCTCAGAAGCCTCCAGCAGTGTCAAAGTCTTCAGCTTGTCCACAATCTCGGAAACAGCAGGGCTGGCACGGACAACCATGCGGCTGCCACGGAAAGGAACGCTACGAACAGCGCTGGTGCGGGGCCGGACGCCCGCAATCGACCTGGTCTGCATGCACAGGGCCATTGCTATTGATCTAGATGTAGTAAGAACGTGTTTCTCAACTATTGGCTTAGTGCAGCAGAGGCGCAAGTGAGATATTGTGGCGTGCCAGAGGTCCTAATTGAGGTCCCAGCGAGGCGGCCGTACGACGAATAAGGCCCTTCGTTCCCTGAAGCTCGTGGCTCTCAAAGACTGCCTTCTATCTATTAACGCTCTTTTAAATTGCACGAAAAAAAACAGCGTTGACAAGTATGTACCAAGTCACAAGAATGTGTTTTGTTAAGAAAGGTTGATGTTTAGAAAGGTTCTCTGAAGCTCGAGGCTCTCAATAATTGCCTGCTATCTATTACATGTATTTTGAACTGCACGAATAAGGCAGTATTGAGAAGTATGTACCAAATCATAAGAACGTGCTTTGATTAACGAGGTTGATGCATGCTTTTGTCTATTCATCTGGATTGTCAGCCTTATGATAATCATGCGGCAGCAGTTTTCGTGCAAAGTTGCCCTTAAGGTGGAATTCGTTGCACGAGCCTATTTTTACCAGGCTTTTCCTTACTGCGTTTCCCCTTATTTTCAAATTGAAGTTTTGGACATAAAATTAAGGCGCAGTTGTTTGAGTGTCGTGGAAAACTGAGCTGGGCCATTGGTCTCGTGAACGCAGATGCCTGGCTGGGGTATAGCCGCGAAGAGTGCCTAACCCAGATGTGAATGAAATGCGTGCTATAACTGCGAAGAGAGGCCCTTGGCCCTTTTCACCTTGGGTTGGCGTCTCCATAACTGCCTAGCCAAAACCTAGTTTCATTGCCTAACGCTGCTATGGTGTGAAGATATGGTCTAGTTGATGGACTAAGTTTCGCATGCTGATCGGTGGCGATGGCTGATCTGTCTCTTACGGATGTCGGGTGACTGGTCTAGTTGGCAGGACCCAAACCGCCGTCGATTGTACGGTGTAATCAACTTTCAATAAATAGTCCATGGCCTCAAGGCTTTGACGGAACCCCCGCACTCGTGCGGCACTTGTAACTTGTACCATTGCCTTTCCTGATTGTAGCATGGTACTCCTGTACGACACGATGGGAGAGATGCTGTTCTTGTACCTCAGGCGGGCTGCACGCGAAAGGGTTGGCCATCCGGAGTTGCACAAGTACAAGGCGCCTTGCTGAAGCCTGGAGCCAGAACCCCCTTCATGGAGTCATTACAATTTCCTTTCCATGTCTTACCCCTGTGTGTGTAAGTATACCACAGGGCAGTGCATAGCATAGTCGTGCCTATAACCCAATCCTTATAATCTGAGCGAGCGCGCCTATAACGTTGTCATAAACTCGCACGAGTAGCTTCTTGGACAATGGCCTCACCGTATGCGTCCCCAGCACGCAGCCGTTCATGCAACAAAGGACGTGCGCCAAGCCCCCCTATCGACACCCCTTATCGACAATGATGCCGCGTCGCGCCGTTATTTGAAATCTAACTTCCTTATCTGCTCCGCAGCCTGCTCCCGCAGGCCGGCTGCGAGGTCTTCATAACTTGCACCCGTCAGGCCGCTACCTTTGGTCCAACTGCCGGGTTTTCCGCGATACAGGCGTCAAACCACTCGACCCGCTTCACATCCTCCAGGAACTGAACCGCCCAAGGCGCGCCCTTGGCTGCCTCAGCCTTCTTAACAGCCGCCGCAAGCGCGGCGGCCTGCTCCCTGCGCACCTGCTCCGCGGATTTGCCGAGGTGCTTGTCCAGGAGAGTGGTGGCATCAGCCTTAAGGGCCTCCAGCTCAGCAATAGCCTGCACGCAGTCACGAGGACATTTTGAACTCCGAAAATAATGTAGAAAATGACGCCTTGGTTGAAACACCGACCTAAGGCCTAGCCCCTGCCAGCCCTAATAAGGGCTCAAGTGAAAAACATGTCTCTAGGTTGCGCAATATTAAGCATTACGGGCAGCGATGGCGTCAGAACTCAGACGAAAAACTTATGCCAGCCAAGCAAATCACCCCCATATCCGTCATCAACGAAAACAGCTACTCACGTCCTTGACAGCAGCGTGCTGCTGGTAGCGCGCGTACTCCTTGACGACGGCCTGCACATGTCAGACAGTTTTTTTCGCATTTTTAGTTGCAACGTCTGCAATGGGTGCAGCGAACAAGTGGGCTGATACATGTGCGAAAGGAGCACAGTCAATCCTTTTTCTATGGTTGCTACGCTCGCACCTAAAAGCTACCACCCATGCTTGAATGTTGCACACCACGTGTTTGGTAGGGCGTGCCTTGAATACGACTATCAAGGAAGTTACCACATACGCACGACACGAACATGGGTAAAGGGTTGTGACTGTGCGCCTCACAAACGCTGTAGGTGCGATTCCCTTACCATTACGGGCTTACATTAGGCCTGCTGAAATCCCGGAACCTAACCCACATTAACATTTCTATTCCACAACTTACGTCGTCTGTGACGCCCTTCTTCACGTCCACGAGCAGCTTTGCGGGGATGCCGTGTGCGGCGGCGATTGCCTGGACAATGCGGCGAGGAGAAAGAGCTCAGCTCATTTGTCACGGGCATGAGACCTTGGTAGACCCATTTTAAAGGGTTCGGCGAGAATTTTGCAGCGTGGCCAAACCCCCTAAAGCGACTTCTCCCCTCCAGAAGAGGACCACACCGAAAATATCCAACTTCAAGCAACTTCATTGTCTCGTACACAGTTCGGCCAACGGCATGCCTGACTCTCTACCTGCCTTCTACACCAAAAAGGGGTCAGCACCTCACCCAATTTGTCAGTTTACCGAACTGCACACCCTGCGCACTGCGCTGTAACTGTACTTCCGCCCATGCAAACTTACAAGGACTCCGACCCTCGTACATACTTGTATCCAACTCTTTTTGCCCATGTCCCTGCCAAACCAGCTTCGTTGTCCTGATACGCAGAGATCCTCCGGCGGACGTCTAAGGAGTCCCGTGACAGCATGCAACACTAACTCATGATGGACCTTTCTCCTGGTTTCCTGGTTTGCCCTTTCTTAGGGTTATACCAAGTCTCGCGCGTCCAGATCACTAGTGATGGCCATTGCCAACCCAACGCTTTCCCGGTCTTTAAGGTTTTTCCCTGCTCGTTCATTTGCGTTTTCTGTTCAAGAGCAGTGTCTTACCTCAACCTTCTTGGCAAACTCTTTGTAACCGGGCGATCCCCCATCCAGCGTCAGCGTCGAGTTGGTCGAGTTCTCAATCTGCTGCACTGCCTCCAGCAGGGCCGCGTACAGCTCCGGGCTCATGAGCGACTGGCTCTTTGTCAGCAGCTCCTTGACGCTGTCCGCAGTTGCCGCCGTGTCAGCTAGACGCTTGGAAACCTCGGTGGCAGGGTCCTCAAAACCAGCCTGGCGCCATAGGACATATGATGGATGCTTGTAGACAAAATGCCCCCAGGGACAATAAGGCTGTTGCCATGTAGGATAAGGCTCGTTCATTAAGGCAGAAAATTGAGAGAACTCGCTCCATCCATAAAACGCCGTGCTTGTGAATGAGAGACATACACGTTGGAAAGTGACCGACACTCATACAACAGTGATAGGACCGGTGGGGCCCCGGCGCTTTGCTAATTCTAAGATGTTATAAACCCCGATAGCGCTGGGCGCTGCGCCGGTTCGATTCCCACTGGCTCTTGTCCAGGGTTTGAAAAGCCGGGATGAGGCATTAGGGGACGCCCTGCGCGAGAGCGTGTCGCTCACGCGAGGGCGTTGGAAAGTGACCGACACTCATATACCATTGAATGGTGACAGTAGAAACATGACCCGAGGGATTCCGGCGCTTTGCAGATCCTAATAGATACAGGGAAACACACTGCCACAGATCGGGCGTGCTGCGCAAGGCAGCTCAGGCAGGAATGGGACAAGCGCGTGAACCCTTACCACTGTTTGTCCCTTTTCGCCCTGGTGCGCCTCGGAAGCGCCATGATTATAGAACCAATAGAGACGTGCTGTCCTGCTATGCACCTTGTCGCCCTCCCAAAACCCTATATGCACCTATCGTAGTAATAACCTCTGCTAGGAGTCACTTCACTATGCCCGATGACAATAGGCTGCTCCAAACACCCACACGCAAAACCCCCGGGAACTCAAACTCCATACCTTCTTCCCAAGAGTTCGCAGCTCAGCAGCATAACGCTTCACAGGCGCGATGTTCGAGCTACTGTATCCCAGCGGCACGCTGATGTTCTGCATACAGATAACCAGTCGGCGTTGATGGAGCGCAGCGTTCACCCGGTGCCTGACAACAGGCCATCCGCACCTGGAGACCGTACTCGACAATAGCGGCTGCCTTATACTTCTTCTCAATTTTGCTGGTTAGCTCAAGCGAGCCGTCGGCAGTGCTGGACTCCAGCTTTGCGCCCTTGTAAAGCGAAGTAAGATAAGCCTTAACCGAAGCCTCAGCATCCGGATCAGGATTGCTCAGATTGTAGAGCACGTCCTTCTTCGAGGGCGCAGCACCTGCAACAATCAAGTGCGCCATGCGTCCACGAATAAAGCTTAAAACAAGCACTCGGAGCTTCCGGAGGATAATACCTGCACCTGTTGCAAACGCCCGGGCAGCAACCTCTTGCAGACTGCCGGCGCAAGACCGCGACAGGACACCCTACAGCATATCGAGGACGTGGCACATAATGAGACCCTTTTCCAGCAAGATTAGGGAGCCTGACAACTATACTTCATAGGGAACTAAAACGTACCAGGCTACGCAGCACTAGACCGTTCATCGTGACGGCGGGTCCCAAACGATCAGGTCCGGTCCCGATGAGCGGGTTAGCCCCGGTAAATGCAGCTTCGAGCAAAACGCTATCTACTAACTGTGCAGTATCGTAAGATGGACCAGAGACCAAAAGGTACCAACACGAACTGTACGGGGTTCCGACACTAGGTTATGAATGCGCCCTTCATGCTTCAGCGGTGTCCAATCAGTGAAACATTTTAGGGTTGATACAGCGTGCAAGTCTTAACTTGTCAAGTTGGTAAGATTAGGTATACCTGCTGTGGGCATTTACTACTTTCCTCCTTCCGGGCCTGAGTGCATGCCCTAGTGTGCATCAACATGTACTCAAAGTCGGCAGTCTTAGCGCACTTTTGCTCCTCCTAGGCATCCTCTGTTCCCTGAAGCCCCTTCAAACCCTGCGCCAAAACCGTTCGCACAGCTCGTCTGGTAGAAACATACGTTCCTCCAATGTGCGAACCTTCATCGCAAGAACACATCTCCGCCACACAGTAAATCACAGGAGGGTGTTGCGGGTATTACATCTACGACCCAACACACACATGCCCAACCGTCCGGCGTGCTTCCCTCTCGGTCTCCTCCTCGCCAGCTGTACATCGCAACGCAACACCTGGCCGCGTAGCATCCGAACCGACAGCAAATCGCACGACCAGTCCTCCCGTTGCTATTCCTGCAGACCTTTCGCCCAACAGGTTCACAGCCCTGCCAGGTCGTGACACCCGCCAAAATACCAGCCGAAGCCCCGAGTAAAAGAGAACGCCCCATGGATAATCTGCGCGCCGCAGCCGCCTTCCCCACTGCATCTGTCTAAGCTCGGATCCTCCGTCATAAACTTTTTAGATTTTAGAAACATAAAGAACTTGAGCCGTGTGCGACGCGAGTTGCATGCACGGATCTTCAGGTGTTCACAGCCCTAAGCCACCACGATTTCGCAGGGCGCAGACCTCTGCACCCGTCTGCCCATCCGCACGCTTCTTCTGCCCGGGCACTCATGGCGCTAGCAGCTGGGGGTTGCCCTCCCAGAACTCGTCCCGAATGATGTCCACATAGAGCACTGTGGGAACGGATCGTTCCCGCAGCACGGGTGTGCCGTCCTCTTTTTGCTTCACCTCCACAAGCGCCTTCTGCCGAGTAACTACCGAGCCCTGGTGCCATAGCCACGGGCCAAGGGTTGGAATGCAAGGAAATACGAAGGAGTACTTGGTTAAGACGGGGAACGAGAGTTCAGACAGAAGGGAAATCGAGAGAGTTCAGGCACGTCAGGACGCGACTGAGGGTACAGGGACCGGGGCAAAAGCAGGCTCTGGCTGCGGCTGGGCAAAACAGTTACCTTGCAAGCATCGCCCGAATGTAGCCTTCAGAGAGCAGTGTCCGTTCGCCTTTGGAATATCCATAAAACAAAAGAGTTGTGGGACAGTGGACGACACAGTGCGCCGCGGCCGAGGCTCGGCCGTCGTGACCGAGGCAGTGACGTTGCTCGGCTGCGAGCGGCCCAGGATGAGGCCCCCACGCAACTCGAGGTGGGACACACACACACACACACACACACACACACACACACACACACACACACAATCACACACATACATACACATCAGACACACATCTCACACACACGCGCGCGCGCGTACACACTCACACTCACCGCTCACACACAACCGCTCACCGCTCACACACAGTCACTACTCAACCACACTCACCACTGCCTCCTCATAGCTCAGTTCAGTAAACACCACACAAAACACACAGATAGTCTCCTACTATAAACACAGAGAACTGAACACACTATTACTTGTCCCCCAGGCGGAATGGGAAGAGGGCACCCTCACCTTCTTGAACTGCTCCGGGAGGTGCGCGTAATTGATGCCGAACTCCCGGAAGAGCAGCTCATTCTTGAAGGCCGCCTGGGTGCCCTGGGGAAGGGGGAGAGGTGGGGGGCATGAAGCAACGCCAGCAAGCCAGCATCGGTCAGGTTGTGTGGGCACGAGCGTGTCCTCCTCGGGCAATGAGCACCGGCATCCCCTTCACTACAAAGCACTGTGCTGAAAAGCTGCCAAATGCCACCGCGGCTGACGGATCAATACCTACGGTGCCTCGCTGATGCTCCCTGACGCCCATGCGCAGCCAGAAGGGGAAAAAGGGCCTGCAGCGTTGCCTCCTATATACGCAACTTAGCGGATCAGTCCTTTGCGAAAGGCGCGCACCTTGAGCGTGTCCTGCGCCTCCGCTGGCGTCTTACCGCTCTTGACCAGCGCCCAGAAGCATGTATTATACTGCAGTACGGAATTGGGAGCTACATGCGGTTGGCTGATAAAGTAGGACAGCCCGTAAAGAGGTCAAAAATAAACTAAAGGCCGTCGTGCGGGGAGTTTGGGAAACCTGACAAGTCCAGGATGCTCGGGAATCGAGCTTACGCACGTGCTTAGGCAATAAAAAAAGCAGCGGCACAACGCACGGATGCCGTGTCGTCACAACTGACGCCGCACGGGGTGTCTGTGGGGATGGGAGGCATTGATGACTGACGCTGAGCCGCCACTGCCGCTGCTCAGTCCCGCCCCTTACCCCGCTCGGGTTCCCCTTGTTTTATAGTTTCTTCGTTCCTTGTCCGTAACGTGCCCTCGTGCGGCCCTTATACCAAACCCTAAGTTCTGTAGTTCTGGCAAAGTCAACAACATACCGTGCAGAGCATTTAGTTCCTGACATTATTTAGAGAGTGTTCCTGGCCTTGTTTAGAGAGTGTAGCGATGTGCTCAGTCTTACCATAATCTCGCACCTGGTTATTGATGTGCGTGTCTGCCTGTCGCCACGCTAGGTAGTCGCGCAGGTTCGAATCCAGCGGGTAGCAAACCGCACGTCCGTCGAACATCGGTGAGGCACGCAACGGTGTGTCAGGCAGGTGTGCGGGCCAGCGGGCCACATAGTTGGCCGTAAAGCAGCTCACGATCAGGGACACCAGCTTGGCGGCGCGGCGGCCTGGAGCACGACAACACGTTTGGGAGCCACCATGTGCAGAAGTTAAACGAGGCATCTGCCGAGCTCCAGATGGGTGGGATGAGAGACGTGGAAGTCTCCGCCGCCAATCCCTTCGAATGCATTGTGGTGAACAGATGGATACGTTAGATTGCAACAAGGTAAAATCGACATGTTTTTTTTAAGAGCCGCAGGAGGAGGCAGGAGGACTCTGGGAAGAGTTCTATTATTGGCTTACCGTACATGTCCGTATTGCGGGCCAGCACAAAACTGTACTCGTCGCTTTCGCCATACGCTAGTCGGATGTCGGGGAACTCGTTCATGACTTCCTGTACCGCAGCGGGACGAACGGAAAAGTGCGCATTTTCCACCCTCCTGACCCCCATCATAATGCAACACGTGGGCATCTCCCAGCTGTAGGCCCCACTCCCGGCCCTGCCCCAGTGGACGCTGCCCAAGCCCACCACCGCCCAGGGGCCGCTAAAAGATCTGGACACTCCGGGCAAGATTCACTGGCCGGGTCGATGCCGCTGCCCATCCGCCCTCCCCTCTAATCGGCACTATATTTCCCATGAACCGGCCCAAAATGATGGTCGTGGAATGGTGGCCACCTGGCCGCTGCTGCCGCAACGACATCACGCAGCACCACGCAATCAATCTTCCATGGCCCCTTAGCGCACCCGCGCACACTCGTCCATGAGGTCCAGAGCCCGCTTGTCATTGGGCTTTTCAAAGCCGTGGAGGTCACTGAACCTGGGCAGGACCGTGGGGTGGCGGCAACAAATGACTATGAGAATAACTATAGTAGGCTATAGTCCTAGCTTCATGTCAGCGGTGCCCGGCGGCGAAAGCGTTGTAGGGGCCCCTTCAACGGTTATGCCCTCACCCAAGCACATCCCCCAACCCGTCTGCGGTCTTACTTGGTGAAACCCCTGCCGTCGAGGCGGATAACTATCCAGCAGCCCGGCAGAAGTGTGTCGTCCAGCTCGTATTGCTTCACGTATTCGTACTTTGAACTGGCCATGCTACCCCGCCGCGCGCGCCGCGCACGGCTGCTGGCGGCGCCTACGGGTGCGGCCGGGTGGGTGAAGGTGGGTGCAGTTTCGGGAATATTGGGTTCAACGGGCGTAGGTTCTACGGCATGGGATGTGATGGATGGACGTTCGGTAGAGCGGCAGCAGCAGGAGCGGCTAGCTGAGGGGCAAGGCCAGCAGGAGCCCGCTCTAACAGGTAGCTGCGGCTGCCAAACACGAAATGGATTGTTTCCAAGTCGCAGCTTATTTGCTGGTCGCGTTAAATCAAAGAACTTGCAGCCCCTAGTATAGCTGCTGAGTTGCGTGGAAGCCACAGCACGGTATGCTATGCGACAGTTAACACCACCATGAGGACATAACCACATGCTGGCATCATGGATTGTAAAGGCTATATATGTTGATCACTTGAGAACCTAATGAGAGACTTGGGAGGTCGCGTGTTTCAGGGTTGTGGTTGCGGAGCCCGAAATGTAAATTTGGTCCCGAACGAGGAGGACCAGCGCCATTCTTTGATGGATTTCGTTATCGGTGTTGAGCTGTCAGGTTTTTGATATTATGATCATTCTGTAGGTTCTACCCTGCGATGCCGGCATGAGCAGCGCGGCCGGACAGCAGATCAGCTGCACGGCGAAGCCTATGGTAGAGTCAGTTCAGCACAATTGCGATGTTACAATTCATGTGTGGATGTACATGGGGAAGCGGAACGCCGAGCCATTTCCTGCCAATATCCGCCCACAGGCCAGCGAACATTCGGGTCAGCGGGTCGCATGGTGCTGACGCAACAACTTCTCGAACCCAAATTCAGGCGTTGAATGTTGTCGCGACCGCTTATCGTGCGGGTCGTTCGTCATTCCCAGCCGCCAGCCCTTGTCCTAGCCGTGATCAGGACCACAACAGCACCTCAGGCGTCGACCTAAATGATTTATATGCCCATCCAGCGACGCCACCTGCTCGAGACCCCATGGCGGTGGCGTCAGCCGAGCGCTACCCCCATCATTCCGACAGTCATTCGCGCCTGTCTGCTCGCCTCGTGCTGCTCGCCGCGGACAACGCTGCGTGTCTAACGTCATCGCAACTCTATGACATAGTTTACGCGATCCGACGCGCAGCCGACGAGCCTGATTGCGGGTTGCAGCTGCCGCCGGTTGCCGTCGAGCGACTTATCCGGGAGTTGCGACGCCGGCGACAGCTGGCAGCCTTACTGGATCTGCCGGACAGCGTGTTCCGCTTGCCGTATAAAGGACCTCTGAGCCATAAGCCCCCGGAGGCCTCTCGGCCGGTTTGCGCAGCTGCCACTGCCGCAGCCAGCACCGTTGCCAATGACGCCGTCGCTGCCACAGCGGAAGAAGCAGGTGATTCCACGGGGTCTGAATCAGCAACTCAGTCCGAGCTCCGACAGGTTCATGACACGGATTTGGCAGCGCCCTCCGAAGGCAGCGTTCCCTTAGCTCGTTCTGCGGCTTCATCTTGCACCGGCAACACTGGTGCCGCCAGCGCCGCTGGCGACTCTGGTCGCCGCCCCCGGGCCGCTGCCAGCGCAGACCCCACCGCCGCCGCCGCAACCGACATATCCACTTCTCCAGCTTCCGCCAGTCGCACTGCCCGCCGCACCATCTTGGGAAGACCTGCAGAGCCGGAGGCGGACCTGGCGGATGTGGTGACCAGGCAGCCGGCCGGTCCCCGGACCGCGGCTTTTGCTGTCGGCTTGCATGCTGGGCAGCAGGGCCAGGCGCAGCCTCAACGGCCGCCGTCTCTAGGAGCAGTGGAAGCACCAGCATCAAAAAAACTCCGCACCAGCGCAAGACAAGCCGCGATCACACCACTGCCGTCGCCAGCAGCGGAAGAGCAGCACGTGCATACCGCTCCCGGCAGCTTGCTCCGGCCCCAAACATCGAAGCGGCGGGTCCGACAACCAGGGCAATTAAAGCTGCGACAGCTTGGAGATGCGGTGGTGGCGGCAGGGAGCCCATCCGCAGCAGTGGCACTGCCGCTGGTGCAGGCAGGGCAGCAGGATACATGCCCTCCGCGTTCTCCTGGGGATGTAGACGGGGGCGCCAGGACGCACCTGCAGCGGCGGCCGATTCAGGACGTGCAGCAGCAGCAGCAGGAAGGGGATGATGCGGACCGGGACGCGGACCTCCAACGTTTCTTCGAGGAGCTGCACAACGTGGGGGCGGGGCTACCTGCACAGGAGGCCCTGGCCGCCTTGGAGACGTGCGCTGTGGCAGGTGCGTTACCGCCGCGGGCGACCTATGAGGCGTTGCTGCGTAGCGTACGGCGTGCGGCGGCGGCAGCTGCGGCAATGGCAAAATCTGTCAGGGCGGCAACGGCGGTGTCGCTACCACCAAAAGACCCCGATCGAACCGGTGCCGCTCGGAGCGGCGAACTAGCCGGGGTTCGCTATCCTGGTCCAAGCGGTGGCACCGGAAGCATAAGCACCTGCGCTTCAGTTGGCGTATTGCATGTGACGCATTCGTTGCCGTCAGCGCCGGCGCGGACACGGCCGCCACTTCTGTCCCCAACGCGTATCGTTGCGGTCTTGCATGGCCTCACGCGCTTGGGTCAGCGCCTTAGCCAACCGCTATGGCGAGATCTTCTATCGTACCTGCTGTCGTACCCTGATCCGCTGCCGCAACGCCGAGAGAAAGGTGGCAATTCCGCCGCCGCCGCCGCAGCAGCAGCAGCGTGGCGGCCGCACGTGGCGACACTGAACTCCTACGACTTGGTCGACCTGGCGACGGCCATGGCCACTGCGGGCTGTAACCCAAGTACGCAGTTTCTAGAAGCACACGCGGCGGCGGTAATGCGCTGGGCTCGGCAGCTGACGGGCCGCCAGGCGGCGCGCCTGCTCTGGTCGTATGCTTCCCTAAATTTCCGCCCGCCAGCAGCCGTGCAGGCCGCCCTCGCGGCGACGCTCCTCGCGGAGACGGATGTGGAGCCTGGGGAGCTGGCGCAGGGAGTTTCGGCGCTGGCGCTGCTTGCAGCGGCAGCGGCGTCGTCAGGAGGAAGCCTGGGTACGGCGGCGACGGCGGTTGCTCGCCGCAGCCGGGCCGTCTGGGCGGCTGGCGCCCCGTCCATTGGCGTAAGTCGTAACCACGGCCTGATGTCCCTTGTCCTCGACGCAGCGATGGCGTGTAAACAGCGGCACGACGCCTTGTACAAGGCTGCGCTCGAGCCTGGTACGGCATGCGATGGTTCCAGAGCGGCTGCCGCTGGGCAACCTTATCCACCGGGCGGTCCCTGGTCCTTGATGTCCTTCGGGAACGACCCGCTGATCAGCAGCGGCAGTAGCGCCGACGGCAGTGACGGCTCCGGCGGCAGTAGCCGAGCACGAGTGGTAGAGGTGGTGCCCGGTGCCGTAGCGGCGAAAGGATGCTCACGCAGGGACTGGGCGGCGGTCAGAGGACAGGGAGGCGGCGGCGGCGCCCTCGACGGAGCTGGCGCTGCGGCTGTAGCTGTTGCCCAGCTACCGCTGCTTGAGGAGCAACACGGTTTTATGTCGTGGCTGATGGAGGTGTTGTGTCCGCAGGGGCAAGCTGCCGCCGCGCACGGGGGAGCGCACGGTGGCAGCACGGTCCGCGGTGTCGCGATGATGGTATCAGCGACTACCGCCGGCGACAGCAAAACCGTTGGCGGCGTCGTCCGGTTACTGCCGCCGCTGCCAGGGCCGCTGAGTGCCGCCGGCCTCGCTGTCACTTGCCGACTGGTGCTCTTGCTACTGCACTGTAACTCGGGCACTGCGATTGCGGATGAGGCGTGGGCGCAGCACCTCCTGCGTCAAACCACGTCGCTGGCGCCGTCGCTGCGTCCCGCGGATCTGGTCCCCGTCATGCAGCTCGTTTGCCACTTGTACGGCATGTTTCCGGCGCTGCTCGCGGATGGCGACGCCGCAGAGGACGCCACGGTGCCGTGGCAGCCGGGGCCCAGAGGCAGCGCAGCCTTGCAGACGCTTGTCGTCAGTGCATGCTCGTCCATGGAGTGTTTGTCGTACGGTCAGGTGGTTGCGATGTACGGCAGCGTCTCTGCCCTGGCCGCTGAACCCCAGATTCTTGGGCGACTTGGCGATGGGCGCATGGTGGTGGGTCCCTCCGCCAAGCCTTCAGCCGCAAGCCCAATGAGCCCCGATGCCGTACTGCTTGCCCGTGCCGCTGCTCGCGGCCGCTCTGTAACCGCCACTGCTGGCATCAGCACCTCAGGTAGCAGTAGCGGCCCCGTAGTCGCCGTCAGCAACCCCAGCTGCAGCAGCACCAGTCGTACAGCATGTACGGCTGTAGTGGCGTGTTGTGATGACGGCTTGGAGGATCCCGCCCGCTGGCTGCTGTCACTGCTGCGGGATCCTGAGGGAGATCATCATCGGACCGCGGGCGGCGAGCTGGATGCGGCTGTGCCTCCGCCACGCGCGGCTGTGCGTAATGCGGATGTGGGCAGCAGCACGCGGGTGGCTGGTGAGCCAACGGCCGGCAGCTGTGGCGCCGCCATTGGCAGCAGCAACGCTGCTGCTATAGCCACTGCGGCCGTCGCTGCAGCACTGCCTACCTCCAAGCCGGCATCAGACTCAAAATCTGCTGTAATCCAACCACAGGAGGTAGCGGCAGTAGCAGCAGCGAAGGACCGGGAGTCTACGACGCCCGCCGCGGAAGCAGATGCGTCAGCTGTTGAGACTGCTGCTGCTGCTGCAGCAGCCGCCGCGCCGAGAAATGCGATGCCAACTGTTAGCGATTTCACGGCCGGCGCTGAGCCAGCGGCTGCCTCCAGCGGGCGGGTGACTGCTGCAGCCAGCCCTGCATCCATCAGCAATTCGGGACCTTCCGCAGGCAGCGCCGCTCCCGCACCGCGAGCAGGAGGCCTCACTTTCCCCTGGCCGATTCCTAGCCATCGGTCCCAGCGCATGCCTGAACTCCTGGCTCCGCCACGGCGGCGGCTTCAGGGCGCCGCCGACGCTGTCGCCGTACACAAGGCTGTCGCCGCCAGTGCTGGAGCAGCACCGGCCCAGTCAGGACCGCTCGAAGCTGCGCATGCAAACTCGCAAAGCCCGGCCTCTACCGCTGCTTTTTCCGACAGGGCAGCCGTGGCAGCTGCAGCCGCCAGTGCCAATGGCGCCCTGCAGGCCCTGATCGGTGTACTACGCAGTTGTGCTGAGGCCCGTGAGCCGTTGCCGGCATGGGCGCTCCTGGCGATGCAGACCGCCTGGCGGCAGCATCTGCAGCTACAGCCGCAGGCCCAGCTGCGTCCGCCAGAGGTCGACGGCTGCGCACCGCCGCCGCCGCCAAGCACTGCTGATGCACGTGTGGTGGCGGAGCTGCTGCTTGCCGTCGCGGCGGCGGTGCCGTGGCGAGCCGCGGCCCGCAGTGCGGCCCTCCTGGAGCTGGCGGCGGTGCTCGGGGCTGGCGGCCAAGGGGCCTTGCGCAAGCTATCCCCAGTGCAGCTAACTAGCTGCGTCCATGCTGTGGCGCTGGCGGCGAGCGGACGTGACGGTGACGCCAGTAGCGCCTGTGACGACGGCGGTGCTGATGCAGCTGCCGGTGCCAGGCGCGTGGGCCGAGCGGCGGCGGCGAAGCGGGCGGCAGCACTGATAGCGGCGATGGAGCCGTTGCTGGATGAGGTCCACCGCCGAATAGCGACATATAGCGACACGACCGCAGCAGAGGCTCTGCCGCCGCCATGTGTCGCGGTCGTTTGTCGCGCACTGTCATACTTGTCGTACACATCCGTATGGCCTTCGCGGCTCCGTCGCCGCGAAGCCGCCGTCGCTGCGGCCGCCCGTGCACGGCTGGCTGCGGCGCCACCAGGAAGCCCCTCCTCTCCATCCTCCGTATGCCTCCGCCGCGCCATTGCGTCTCACATGCCGCCACTGTCGGCGCAAGCGCCGCCGCCGCCGTCGGCGATTCAGTACGGCATCTGGGTCCTGCGCCACCTCGATCTACAGGTAGGGCCCACCTGGCTGGAGCGCCTTGCCGCTGGCTCGCCACGCTACCTACGCCGAATGCACCCGCGCGCAACGGTTGACTGGCTCGCTGCATGTGCGGCCCGCAGCCACGTTCCGCCTCGGCCCGCTTTGCGCATGGCCTGGCTGCATCTGCAACACACCTGGCGGTTTCTGGGTTGGCAGGAGTTGTACGAGGTAGTCTGGAATGCCGTCCAGCTGCGCCTTAGACCGCCAAGGTACCTGCTGGCGGCCGCTTGCGAGTCCGTAGCAGACGCCGCGGCGGCGACGGCGGCGGCGGTGTCATCGTCGGCGGTGGGCGGATCCAGTGCGCTGCACGGCAGTGTTCCTGACGAAGTATCGACGAGCGCTGTCGCCGCCGACGCCGCCGCAGCGGAGACTGGCAGCAAAACGGCTGGAAACGTTGGGATACGGGGACGGGGGGCGGCGGACACCAGGTGCGGCAGCAGCAGTCGGCACGGAGGGCGATCAGCGCGGCACACTGCGTCGGTTGCAGCGCGGCTGCTGTGGGCGGTCCAGTTCGACGAACGCTACACACCCACGCGGCGCGCCACGGCGGCGCTGTGCGCCGTGCTGGTACAGGCATGGGGCAGCCTGACGGCCGGTGAGCAGTCCGCGGCGCTGTGGGCGCTCGCACGCTTGCCGCCGCTCAGCGGCTCTGAGCGGGCGGTCCATGAGTCGGGACTTGGCGGCGTGGTTGTACGGCACTTTGTCAGGTACAGCACCGGGGCTTTGGAGCGAGCAGTGACCCGCGACTGCCCAGGGAAGATGAAGGCGGAGGCGGTGCAGGCGACCGGCAATACGATTGCGGCTCTCGGCCCTGCGGACGACGTCCGCGGCTGTGGCAGTGGTGACGATGCAGCGTCGGCAGCAGACCTGGCGCGCACGGTCTATGCGCTGGCCCGGCTTCGTCAGTCGCTGCCGCAGCCCCTGGCTGCACAGCTGTGCGGGCGCCTTGTGGCAATGACGGCGATGCCAAGGACGGTAGGGCCTGCTGCGGAAGGGACGCTAGAGGCCGTGCCCGCTGCTGCCGCCTATGGCCTCGCGGACGGCCTCACGGAGGCCTCGTTCGGCGGCGGTCTGCGCCCGAAGGAGGTTGTACAGGCGTTGTACGGTGCTTCCCGGCTGCTGCTAGGTCATTCGCCTGGCGCCACCGGCGACGCGAGCACCGCCGCCGTAGTGCGGCCGCTGCTGCGCGCCGCGCTCTCTACCGACCCCTCGGTCCTAGACGCCCGCAGCCTGGCTGACGCCCTGGGCACCCTCTCCCGCTTCCGCCGTGCGCTGGCGCGCCACCGCCCTCGCCCGCGCCTCCAGACCCTGTACCAATCACCACAGCAGGATCCAACTTCAAAGTCGAATCAGGGCCTGGATCCAGACCTCGGCCCAGATTGGAACCCCAGGCCAGAAGATGCTGGCACTGCGGCTGTTAGCGGCAGCGCAGGTGCTTGGAGCAATGATCCGTGGGTCATCAGCGCGCTGGCGTGCGCCGGCGAGCTCTTCGTGCGCTCCGCTTTGCGGGGCCTGGGGGACCGGCCTGTGCCTGCTTGGTGTGTGCTGGAGATCCTGCAGGCAGCTGGCTTTCTAGGCGCGCCCGTGGGGCCGCAGCTGGCGGCTGCTGCCGCGCGGCTGCTGTCCCTGCACCTGCCGAGCATGCCGCCTGCACGGCTTGCCGACGTGCTAACGTGCTGCGCCGCGCAGCCATCGCCACTGCCTGCGGATCTAGCCTGGGAGGCGCTGCAGCAGCTGGTGCGGGTGGAGACGCGGCTAGCGACTGCAGCCGCAGACGGCAGTGGCGAAATTGAGTCAGGCAACGGCCGCGGCGGCGGCGCCGCTGCCCCATGGCCGCCGTTACAGCCTGACGAGCTAGCTCGGGCTGTACTGGCAGCGGCGCAGGCGGTAGACTCGCTTGTTGCTTGGCGCCGCGTGGGGCATCCACGACCCGAAGGAGGGCTTGTTGGGCGGCGCGTGACACATGATGACTCGCGTGGGTGCTCACCCGGTGCGGAATCAGCGCCGGGTCTGGCGGCGAGCTGGACGGAGGTGAGGGAGGTGTGGCTGCCACCGCCATTGCAGCTGAGCCGGCTGCTGGCAGCGGCCGTGGCGGAGCTGGCCTGTCGACCAGCAGACCCACGGGTCGCAGCCATGTCGCCCGACCAGCTGTCCATGCTGGTACAAGGCGTGGTAGCAGCGGGCGCGGCGCCGGGGGCCGCCTGGCTGGAGTGGGTGTGCGAGCTGATGCGAGTGCGCCTGGAAGAAGCCAGCCAGCATGGGCTGTTGCGCATGTGCGGAGCGTTGGAGGTGGCGGAGATGTGGCCTGGCCAGGCGTGGGCACAGGCGTGCCTTGAGCAGGTGAAGGATGTTTAGGTTACGAAGGTCTCCCGGTCAACTGAAGACGGGTTTTGGAAGTACGGGAGTACGGATAAGTCTTCAGGAGCATAGCGTTCCGCCCCGTGGCGTTGCGTGATGAGATGCAAATGTACTGCAAAGCGCTGAGGGCTAGCTGTAGTAAAACTTCGATAAGCCCAGTACAAAAACTATACACATGTGCCGCACGGTTGCGACAGCTAACGATGTCGTATTGCTGTTCAGGCGTCCAAGCTCGTAAAGGCGCTCCGCATGCCCAAGACTTCCGAGCGACAAATCCAGGCGAAGCTGCTGCGGCTACGCGCGCTCGGCGCCGCCGCCGCCGCCGCCTCGCATCACATCCCCGACGCCACGCCACCACCTTTCGCGGCGGCCGTTGGCGCCGCCAACGGAGGACCCGCTGCGGACGTCCCTGTGCTGGGGCCTGGGCTGTCGCGGTCGTACAGGACTGCAGGCCCCAAGACCGGCGAGCGTGCAGCACGCCCGGCGGCCGTGGTGACTCCCTCGCCGTCGCCACATTACGAAAATAGCGGCGACACATTTAGTGGGGGGGGAGCGCAGGAAGGGCAGTCCGTCTCCGCCCCGTGGCTTCCTGAGCTGATAGACACGGAGGCGCGGCGGGCGCTACAGCTTGTGTACGGCATGCATGGCGCGTTTACCGCCGCCACACGAGCCGCTCTGCGGATCGGCGGAGCGGATGAAGAGGGACATGCGGCAATTGGCGGCCTCGAAGGCGCGGCTGAGCACGCGATTTGGGTTCCGGATGAGGAGCTACGGCAGAATCAGGCACTGCAGCAGCTACGACTTGCGGATGCGCCATGGGACATGGCACCCCACGTCGATATTGTGCCGCCATCTGCAGCCGATAGGCGTCACGCCGCTCACTTTCGGGCTGTGGAAGGCAATTTGGACGCGGATGTGGGCGCGTGCGCGAGAGCGGATGGGTTGAAGTCGTTGGCTTCATCTGGCACAGAAGGTCAGCAGCAGCAGCAGCGCCAGCGTCAGGCGCCGGACGCGTTCTCACGGCTGCTGCTTGTCTACAGATTGACGGAAACCCGGGTGGACCGAGTCATGGGGCTGACGCGGAAAGTGGCGGCCTTGCAGTCCGCCAACGCACTACATGCCCTTCGGACCAACAAGCCGCTATCGCTGCCGCCGCAACAGCAACAGCAGCAGCAGCATTTGCTGCTGCAGTCCGAGCTGGGGCTTGGGTCATTGGCAGTGCCGGGGCAGGCGCGGCGTATGGATGGGATGGTCGGGACGGAGTCTGGTTGGCGTGATGACGGCGGCGACGTGGTGGATGAGAAGTTGGCTTTAGTGCGTGCTCAGGCCACGGAGAGCACGGCGTTAACGTGCTGGAACATGGGGAATGTGGGAAAAGGTGGTTTGGGGAACGGGATGTCACGGCTGCTGGTGCCGAGCCGCAGTGGCGCGCCGGTACGGGTGTCGGCCGAGATGCTTTCGCCACTCGCGGCATACCTCCAACAACAACAGCAGCAGCAGCAGTACCAGACGCAACGGGGGACAATGCCCCTAGGGCTGGGGTGCTTTTCGGAAGGGGAGCCGCGGCACGGGCGTGCACGGGTGCACGCTGGTGCACGAGGGGAGGAGCAAGGTCACCAGCGGCATAGCGGTGATGGCGGCGTGGGAGAATGGCGCCGGGGCGACGCCAGTCCAGATTGGAGTGGCTTGCTTGCCTGCTTGGTGCACGTCAAGTACTGCGGCTTGTTGCACACTTTCAACAAGATGTAGGAACAGATTTGTAATGAAGAGGTGGTTGTCGGAGGTTAAGCAGGAGGCAGGCTAGTGACTGTGGTTCTTCGGACCAACCCAGAGGTTTGTCGCGTCCGTGTCGTGCGCATCTAAAGACGTGTTTTGTGTTTTACCGACACCGTTGTACCAGTACTATGTTCATGGGCTAAATTGCCTCAGATGCCAGCGGCATTTCGTGCTAGTTAAGACGCAAGAACTTTGTATACCATGGAGATTGCGGGCGCACCCTCGGGCGTAAGTGCGCATATGCAATTGCATCTTAGTTTTTGAGGTATGCGGAGCAGTTGGAATGGCACATAATTCAGTTGTAATGGGAAGTGCGCTGCAAAGTGCACGGATTGGTTGCGTTGGATTCAGTTGCTTCATGTAAGCCCACCGGAAAAGTTGTCGTGGGTAATTGCACGTTGATATGTGTGCAGCAAACCGCAGTAAATGATATCAAACGTTTCTTACGGAATTTTAAATACCGCTATTCCTTTCGCGTCACAGGACCTGAGTCTTGCATGCCTAGTTTACATAATTAGGTCGCATAACTGGGCAAACTAGCAAAGGTCAGATGGAGGAAGTAAAGCAGGATTTTCGCCTAGAACTAGCTCACAAGGTGCGATTATACGTTGAGGTGTTTCCCTCGGGATGCTTTTCGTAAAGTGGCTCCCGTCACATAGGTTTTCCTGATCAAGACTCCCGACATTCCAGTTGACAATAGAGAGGTGCTGAAGAAGGAGGTCCTAGCAGTGATCTACGAAGGAAGTAAGTGATGAGATCTACGCGCGCCTGAGGCCAGACGGGATGGCTTGGCTAACTATGGGCCTGATATCGGCTCGTGAGTTGATACACCTTACAATGGGCGCAGACCTTGCACCGCTATATCAATACCTCTGCTCGGAGCTGGGATGGACCCTGGACAGCGAGAAACTGGGTTTGATGCAAGCGGCCAATGCCGCGAAACTGGCAGAGTTCGATGAAAAGCAAAAGGACGCGGAGGAGAACCTTGGCGAGACGGAAGTACGCGATGTTATGCTGGCCAGAGCAGAGTACTTGGGCAGCATAAGCGATCGTGAAGCCGCATCCCAAGCATTTGACGCTGTGGAAAAGAAGACGGCAAGCGGGGGAAACAAGGTAGACCTCCTTTTCAGCCAGATCAGGTACGAGGAACCTTTCAACGGTTACGGGAAATGGGTTGGGGTGGGTGGGGTGGGGTGGGTTTGGGGACCTTGGCCATGGCATGGCAGCCGCCGCATAGTCACTTGCGCTTCTAGGTCTTCGCTTTAGGATTTGTGATGCTCTGGCTGCTGCGCACGAGTTGGCCCCGCGCGTCGCTGGCTGCGAGCCGCGGGATTCTTTTTCGTAGGGCCACAACGGAACATGCTTAAGCGATGAACCCCTATGTTTTGCCAGGCTTTTCATCTTGTATGGTGACTGGCGGCGGGTGAAGACACTCATCGCGCGGGCGCAGTCGCTATGCGAAGAGGGTGGCGACTGGGAGCGTAAGAACAAGCTCAAGGTAATTGTGCATGGAGTTAAGGACGTTACCATCCGTTTGGTCTCGTTTCGCGCAGGCGACGATGAGCTGTTGGCGGCTACCCTGAAATCGGGCACTCCAGGTTCGACCCAGCGATTCAGACTTGCGGATCCGACAAATAGTATGCGAGGCACACTCTAGGCCTTTTGAGGGGCCACTACGACCTTCTAAGATGCGTAATGCTACCTTGGCAGCCTCCCCATACCGTGTTTAGTAGAGCTCTTCGCACAGGCCGTGGAGTATGGCGCTCCTTGCCTGGTCCCAGTGGTGGAGCCGCTCAGCTATGCACTTGACCTAATGCCGGCTTATTGCACTTAGCGTAATTGCCCCCACCTCTCGTAAGACCCTGGCTCATGTGCAGCACCGTGCCGCCACACGGCTTCACTAACCTGTTTGTGCTGCAGAAAGGAATAGCAGTTCCAGGTGCTGAGGGTTGCGGATAGTTCTTTCCTGGTTTATGCTGCAGGACCACGACGAGGAAACCGCACGCCTTATGGTGTTGTCCGCTAATTCCTGCGTGACCTGCAGGTGTACCAGGGCGTCTTGGCCATGTACACACGCCAATTTGCGGCGGCAGCGGACCTGCTGCTGGACTCCACCGCCACGTTTACGGCGTCCGAGCTTTTCCCATATTCGTGGCTCATCTTCTATGCGGTAGTAGTGGCGCTACCGACGTGAGTGGCGATGTGGCGGGCGGGGTTTCCGCAAAGGTGCACGGAAAAGAGGGCATCGTGTAGGGCTGTTGGCACCGCCATTCGCCTCTATGATGTGCTGTAGTTTAATTTAACTCCCTAGGTTGTGGCCCTGTTCATATGTTCTTCTTCCATCCTAGCCACGGGGTCCTGACCCGCCTTTTCGCGGCTCGCTCATCTCTTCATTTCTTCTCTATCCCCTGTTTTCAATCCCACAACAATCTATCGTGCTGTAGCCTGTCCCGATCGGAGCTGAAAAAGCGGGTGGTGGACTCGCCTGAGGTGCTGTCCGTCATCCATAGCCTGCCTGGTGTGCAGCAGCTGCTCGAGGCGCTCTACCACTGCAAGTACCGGCAATTCTTCTCGGTACGTGTGTCAGTTGATCCCCGCAGTTCCAATAGCTCCTTGTGCGGTAGTTGAGAGCTCATGTTTTATGTCAAGGCGCGAACCGTGCTCAATGTTCGCTGGGACGCGGGTGGGATAGATGCTGGTGTCACTTTGGTTAGCCGTGTAGTGCAGATGCGAATAGTTTTCGGACCGGCTTAGGTTGAGCTCCCCCGTTTGCACCTGCGCAACGTGTACGTTTCCTTGGCACAAGCCAAGCAGATGTACCACCACTGGCCTTGGTTTTCACTCGCCGTCGAACAGACGTATGCATGGGAGCCGTCCCATGCACGTTTTACATGGGACGGCACGCGCGCGTGCTTTTAGGATTCGCCCTCCGCTTCGTAGGCCCTTCAATGCGCCTTCACATGTACATTCAAATGGACGTTGCTGTATGACCCCTGACATGCTGCAGTCGTTCCTGGAGGTTATCGAGGAGATGCGGCGTGACATGTACCTGCACCACCACGTGCGGCACTACAGCCGGGAGCTGCGCGCTGTGGCGTACACACAGGTGCGGGGCTGTCTCCACTAGGACGCTGCGGCCCGAGTAGGGGTTCGAGAGGTTAGCTTAGTGCCAAAGCATCCGTGTCTTTGCCGGAGTTAAGTCAGGACGTCTGTCTTAGTTTCAGAACGTGGTGATATCTGGGACGAGAAAGTAAGTAAGGAACGGAGCGCAGGCTCTGGGAACGAGGGACGGGAGGCACTTCAAGTGTTTCCACATCACGGGGAAAACCTCAGCGCGTCCATCGAGTGAACAGGAATAGCATATGCTTGCTGATCAGAAAACATGTCTTAGGTTTTGTTCGTGCGCTTGCTTTATTTTGTTGTGCAGTTTCTGGAGAGCTACAAGAGCGTCACACTGGAGTCCATGGCGAGTGCCTTCGACGTCTCATCAAGCTTTCTGGACGCGGAGCTGGTAGACTTCATTTGCTCAGGCCGCCTGCACGCCAAGATTGACAAAGTGGCGGGCGTTATCGAGACGAACAGGTGCGGACTGGCGGTGTGCAGTCAGCGCTCTGGGGTACCAAGGTTGATCGGCACTGCCAGAAAGGGGGTTGCCTCATCCGTACACAAACTTTTTGCGTCGATTACCGTTGCGATGTATATTAGCATTGCTTGCCATGGCCCCGCGCTGGGTCCGTCCCATTCGCGTGTCACACTGCGTTTGGCTGAGCGTTGGAAACCCTCTGATGCGGACGCCCTCCGCGCGTCCTTGTGTACCCCAACTTGACGTGCAGGCCCGATGCAAAGAACGCACTGTATGCCGACACTTTGAAGAAGGGCGACCTTCTGCTGAATAGGGTGCAGAAGCTCTCGCGCGTCATAGACATGGAATGATGGACCGAATAGTCGGCAGCCCTGGTGCTTAAACGAAAGGAGCGGCTGCCGGACGTCCCTCTATATATTTTTGAGGCATGGGTGCCCTGCAGGTTCCGGCCTGCAGGCGCTGTAAACCGTTTCCTTCCAGTACGTTCTTCTGGCGAAGTCCCTGCAGTTGATGTTTATGACCGCGGAAGAAGAGGAAAAAGGGATTGTTCAAAATGGTGAACCGTATCTGTGTGTCACCTATCTGTCGTACATGCCGAAAGCTTGGGCAGCTGGTGAATGGCTTTTTCTCTTTGGATGGTGTAAACGCGTGGAGGTTCTTTAAGCTCTGCAATGCTCGTGTGCACGGCCTCTTTATACGTCCTATGCATGAGCGTGCAGAGCGGGGTTGACTGAGGTGATGGGCAATAGGAGGAAATGGACTGAACGGATGCAGTCCACGGCTTCATACCAAAATGTTTGACCTGATAGGCCCGGCAGACCTTTCGGGGGCTCAGCTGTTGACAAATCGCCAAGCCTGCAGGTCAGATTTTGCCTGGATTGCTTACCGTCTACCATTTTAGCTGGCAGGATTTGCGTTGTCCACCCTACCGTACCTTTCTTGTCGATATCCGCCGTACACGTAGACTTGCAGCCACCAGATGGTTGTATGGTCGAAAGCCACGTGACATTGTTCAAATTGCCTTGTAACGCCGGAGAAATATCAGAAATGGGGCCCATACAATCCTTGCGATGTAAGACGCAAACAGCCGACTAAAAGGCGTCTCTACCACTACGCAGGACCGGCTGTGTGATGAAAGGCTGATGACTGTCTATGGCGCGTATGCCGTACAGGAAACGAACATCAGGAGGTTCGGGGTCATGGACATATATACAAAGATGGGCCTGTACGGGCAGACTCTGCCGTGATAAGTGGGGAGATAACGATTCCAATATGAGGCATTGACGCAAAAGGATTCCGACCTGCCTGGATCGAACAGGCGACCTAAGGATATCTTTTGAAGACATTACAGTCCTTCGCTCTTCCAGCTGAGCTAAGGTCGGACATGTTAAATTGAACAAAAATTTACTATATATAGGAAATTTACAACTAGGACGTGAGCTAAACCGTTCCCGCGGTTGAACACACGCAGTTTCATCCAGTCGTTTTGTAAGCCACATATTTTTGGAAACCATGTTCCTTTGCCATTTGCCACCTATCGCGTAGGTTAGCCCGCTCGAGCTGTCGGGCCGGGTAGAGGCGGGTAAAGACTGTTGTGCCGGGTAGAGGCGATGGAGGAGGATGAAACTCATTGCTATCCTTCACCAATTATACGATAACTCAGGACCGTTTTAATGCATATTGCCGCTTTTTTATTCCGGTTTGATTGGCACATTGGGGCGATGCCGTATCGCCATAAGTATGCTAAAACGGTACGTATGATACTGTATGCTGATTGCTGTGTGCCTGAGTCTCTATGTGGTATTACACAAAGGTCGACAGGCGTGTGGACGCGTACCAACGTGCACATCAACGCGTGCGTATATGTATTTCTGCATATTTGTGTCTCTATAGGTTGTGCATCGTACATGTACATGGGCGCGCCTGCACATCTCCACTCATCTCTGCATGTGACTTCCTTTAACTCCACATGAAGAAATGGCTATAACAGTTTTGGAGTACCGTGTTCCTTGTGACGGAGACCTGCACAAAAGGCTAAAGACATTGAATTCGTATAATAACTGACACTGACAGTATTGTACTTCAATCCACGACGTGACGTGAGTTGGGGGCAAACCCTAAGAGGAATGTTCCAACGTTGCCACAGCTCATCTTCCAAAGTCCCGACGCAATGTTTTGAGACAGCTTAAGCCTCCCTCCACTTCAACATCCACCTAGAGTCAGCCACAGCCACGACACGTGAAAACCTTTCTATTTACCCGGAGATGAAAGGTAGCTTGCCAGGCACCACCTTTTCCCCCAAAGGCAGTCAGCAGGTGCCGAACTTCCCAGTTGAATGAAATTCTAAGATAATGCACGAGTTACGGAATGCATGCGGCTATGTTTTGCACTGCTGTTCGGGCCCCCAAGCTACAGTAAGGAGTCCTAAAACACCTTAAGTCTCATCCATGGCTAATAAGTGTCTCGGAATAAGAAAAATTCTATCGCACGTCGGGTACGACGACGATGAGCGCCCCCGTTCGTACGGTGATTGCTTTTACGACACAGACCATAGCCCGCAATCCACATTGAGTTACTTGCTATTCGGCGTTGGCCAGGCGTTCCATAACGTTTGGCCTATGGCCACCACCGAACTAGCCAAAGTACGAGTGTAACTAAGATGAACCCCAGGGGACTTGAGGGTACATGGGAAAGTAAGGAACATGATCCTGTCAACCTTTGCACATGCGATCACGCGTACAGGAAGCCGCAAAACCAACAACTATAATCAGTCAAGAGATGCGAGCACCGCGCAGGACGCGGGCAGGATTTTTCTAAGCCCGTTCAAATGGCTCGTGCATGGGGCAACAGTTTGCACATCTTCCTCGCCTGCCCAACTGAAGTTTGGTTTGACAAACACCCTCCGCGAGTGTAAGCTATCCAGTCTCAACTTTTCCGCTAAGCAGCATCAAAGATACGCGCATTCATGTTTTATAATTATATACTAGTAATGCAGCTTGACAAGTGCGATCAAAAACAACTTTCCAATGGGGTTGCTCATCCAAATTCACCTTGCCTGCAATGTACCCTACTTCTGAGGATGTCCAAGTTCCCCCTGGCGCGTTGGCTCACATGTAAACATCGCTCTCTTCTGACAGCTCTTCATCGGTGCTCTCGTCGTCGCTAAACCGCACCGGAAAGGAGGTCACACGTGACACTACATCAGCTGCTTCCTCAGCTTCCTCAACACCATCTCCGCCAAGCGAATGCAGCGGAAAGCATCGTACCGGGAATGGCCGGCACACTGGCCTATTCTCACCACTACCCTGCATGCGGACAACCTTTCCCCCGGCACCATTAACACCTGATCCACCCAAGCCGCATCCGGATCCCTCCGCGACACACTCGGAAGACTTGGCCGACGCGGCTGCTGCAATCGCCGCCATGGTTGTCCCAAGGGCCGTTGCGTAGAGTGACAGCTGCTGCTTCTGGAGCTGCAGGAAGCCCAGCATGCACCAAGCCTGTCCAGCCGCAACGGTGTCCGCGAGGTCTGACGTGCTAACTGCTGCATCCACCCCCCCTGCTTGCACGCCCTCATCTGCCAGCGCCCACCACGTGCCCTCCCCACTTGAGGCTGCCTGCATCGCGACCACAGCGCTGGTTGCCTCGTTGACAATGTTCCGGGTTACCAGGGTCTGAGGCTGATCGTGTACCTTATTCCCCGTTTCAGGAGCACCCGCAGACAACTGGACACTTGGGACCACCGCATCCTTGTCATCAGCTAGCCTGCGCTGACGCCAGAACGCAAACTGCTCCAGTGCCTCCTCTTCCGCAGCAATGGCCGCAGCGGCAGCAGCGGCAGTGGCGGCAGCCACACCTGCGTAGGCAGCTTTGCAGCGGAGGCGCCGGCGGTAGAGAGCTTTGAGTGCCGCCGACTCTGCAACGCACGCTCGCAGAGCAGTGGCTGCATCCATCGCTTCCACCGCAAAACAGACGCCAACAAGCACGGTGCGTGCCCTAACCAGCCTCGCCAGTGCTGCTTCTTCTTGGGTTTCCGCCAGGACCCTCACGGCGCTATCGGCGGCCGCCGCCTCAGAAACCACGTGCAGCTTCAGTGCCCGATCCCGGAGGAGCTCCTGCACAGCTGCCGCCGCTGCCGCGCTGCCTTCCGCCTCCTCCGCTGCGTGGCAGGCCGCTGCCAGTGAAACACGCGAGAGGAGCTCCTGCCTGTCGGTGGCATATGTTGTCATCGCAGCCTCTTCGTAAGTTGGACAGCAGACGGGCACGTCTGCGCCCGTCGCCTCCTCATACGCGATGCAGCCTAGCAACTGCTGCGGCTGCGACCAATGTGCAGGCATGGCGCGAGCACACGCCGAGTCAACGCGCGCCGCGAGTGTGACATTGCTGGCGATGACCTGCGCAACCTCCTGCAGCTGCTGCTCCCTTCTCGCTCCAAGCACCTTCATTGCGTCCTCCTCACCAGCCTCAGCAAGCTGTGCCGCTGCGGCGCTTGCCATCTCAATGGCCAAACGCTCGGGAGCACGGCGCGCTTCCCATAGCTCCTGGTATGCTATGTCTTCAGCGCTCGAGGCGTGCACAGATATTTCAGACTCCTCAGCCAGCGCCGTCGCGTAAATTGCAAGGGCCTCCTCGCGGTGAATCGCCAGTGCCTCTAACGCCGCCGTCTCAGCGGCGGCCGCGAGGGCCGATATAGAGGAGCAAGTCGACGCGGCGAGCGCGAACGCAGCGTGCCCAGTGCGGCAAAGCTGCGCCAGCGCCTCAAGCGCCGAGCTGCTTTCCGTCGCGAACACGCATGCCTTGTCAGCTGAAGAAGCAGTAGCAGAGCTGGAACCAGAATCAGATAGGGAGGTATCTCCAGACAAAATGCAGTGTGTATCTGCAAGCTTAGAAAGTGCGCCCTCTCCGCTGATGGACTTGCGGACGGCGACCAGGGCGACGGCGGCGGCCTCAGCGGCGGCGGCTGCGAGCCCTGCGCCACAATGGCGCACAGCCGAGGGCAATTTGACGCTCGACGCTCCGGCGTCTGCTGATGCTTTGGACATCAGCATCAGGAGCTTCTCCTGTGCCGATAAGGCTGCCTCAACGCTGGCCCTGGCAGCGCGACTGGTCGACTTCACTCCAAAGACAACGCCCAAGGGGTTAACTTCTGGGCACTGCTGCGGCACAGAGCAATCAGAAAGCGCCATTACAGAGTCTGATGACGCAGCCTCCGGATGGAGACCCAGCTGGCCATCCGCCTCAGTCACCGACGCATGATGCTCACTGATTGAGAGGCAGGAGGCCCCTGCCACAGGGCTCGGCCCCATTTCGACGGCTGCTGTTGAGCAAGGCGCCAGGGCTGGCTGTCCCGCCACACGGCATTGCGCTGCAGGGACCACCGCTGCTGCTGCACATTCAGACGCCTCGGGAATGGTAGGAGTTGCTGGCCACGGTGCAGCAGGCCGCCGCGGCCGACTAAGGCGCCGGCAGACGAGTTCCTGCACTGCTGACCAGTCTGCGGACGTTGGGTCGACGACCTCAGGTTGCCCATTTCCCGTCGCAGCCATCTGCATGCCAGCATACACGCCACATGCCTTTGCAAGGCGGCGCATTGCAGCACGGTCCGAGCCAGCCACACGCATGGCAGAAAGGGCTATCGAGCATGTGTCAACCGCTTCCGCAGCGATCCTAAGCAGGGCTCTCCTGTTCTCCTCAGTCCTTGGGCGCGCAGCCGCCAAGAGGGAGCTAGCATCCGGCGAAGGCAACCCCACTGTAACATCCGCCGGGCTGGCCACATGACTGTTCGCTACAGAGCGGCTACCACGCTTTCCGTCAGCAGCATCCTTTCCATCCCTGCTAATACGGAGTACGAGGTCGCCGCTTCTGCCGGGCGAGTCCGGACATTGCCCCATTGACTGGACCTCCAAGCTAGCAGTGGCACTGGCGGATGAGCTCAGTCGCAGGGTCTGCGGCAACGCACCCACGGCGATGCTTGCGCCCAAGCCACAGTTGCCCAGTCCGCCTACGGAAAGCTGCGCCGCAACAAGAGATCGCCTGCCCTTCCGGCGGCGTCCTCTGCGCAAGAGGGCCTTTGAAGCAAGTAGAACCGCCGCCGCTACACCGGCCACTGCAAACAGGGGCGTGCGCGCAAGGGTTTTCGCTGTCGCCGCCACCGCCATGGCACCTGCTGCGCACACCGCCGCGCCCAAAGTGTGGCCCAAGGCAGCTTTGTCCGCTATGGCAGCGACCGATGTTTGGGGGTTGCACAAGGCACGGCTGGCTCTGGGACTGTTGAAGACGGATTTGGCCGCCGCCAGCGCAGCGATAACATGGGGCAGCTCAACGATCTTTGGGGCGCTTGTGTCTTCGTTGCGCCACACATCCTTCATGGCAATGCTTCCCAGCAGGCACGCTGCCTCGCCGGTATCCTTGATTACAACGCCCGCCGCAGTCAGGCGTGGTGATGCTACGGCGTCCTGACCAGGGTGACAATGGAGTTCGAAGCTACTTTTGGATGCTGAGTCGGAGCATGAATCCTTCGTTGGGCCGGCAGGCACCTCGACTACGAGTGGCGCTACAATGTTGTCAGCCAGCTGGTATTGCGCTGTGGCAGGTGTCGGGGCGGCCAATGCGACCGCGTGACCGCCCTCATCTGATTCCCTCATTTTCAGTTCCGCCAACCCATGTTCCGTGCAAGATATGCCCAGGCTCTCAAACACGAGGGCGTCGATGTGCGTGCCACTGAAGGGTAATAAGCGCGCCCCAGGCGACGTAAGGATTCCGGCGTCCTGCTCCCAGCCGCCCGCACCGTCGTGCACCGGTAGAGGCGCTGAGGGCTCATCGCTGTCCGACGAATGGGCTGACGATGCCGCAGCACCAACTGCGTAATCACTGGCTACCGGAGTGAAAGTCATGGTACTTTTGGGGCTGTATCGGCCACGTGCTGCATGGAGGGACAGCAACACCGCGGTATGACCTTCATCTACATCCACGTCCTCGCCAGGCGAGGTGGGCCTGCACTGATAGCGTAGGCAATTGGAAGGCTCCCCGGGCACGGCGGTCGCAGCGGCAAGGCGCATGCCGGCGGCAGCTGGAAGGAGCTGCGCAGCTGGTGTAGCTGCACTTTGGCCGCGCCAGCGATGGGGCGTCCCTGACAAGCGGCGCAGCGGCACTAGGGAGGGGTCATCCTGCGCGTAGCCCTGCAGCTGGGACTGCCTCCCTGCCTCCGATGCAGGCTGCGGCAGTTGTTCGTGCTGGCCATTTGCCTCCGTGTTCTGGGACATCAGCACTGCCACGCTGCGCCACGCCCAGGCAGGCAGGCCGAACTCGTCCTCGGCGTCACTGGCGCCGCTAGCATCGCCGCCCATGCCACGCTGCGACTTAACGGCCGTCAGAGCGCGGCGTCGGGTGGGTATTTCGCCCGCATGCATCGCTCCCGCGCTCAAAAGCTGCGAAGACTCAGCCATAGGGGACAGAAAGCTCTCCTCCAACCGCAGCCGCCGCCGCCGCTCCCTGGCTCCGAGAACCGCCACCCCTGAGTCGGCCGGGGCGAGGCTGGCGCGTGAGCGGTCGATAGCCGACGGAATCGGGGATGCCATGGGCATTACGTCATCCATTCCACAGAGTGGCAGCGGTTGAGGCAGTGGCTTTAACGGGCTGAACAAGGCGCCAGGCGAGGGAAGACAGGGGCTGCGTAGAAGCGGCAGTGTGTCGGCCGGGCTGTACAGGACGGGCGGTGTTATTGGCGTCCGCGGCAATTGCTTGAAGAGAGAGCGTTGCTCAGACCGGCGGGGCGGCGATGTATCAGGCTGCTCCCTCAGGAGTTGCGAAGTGCTGATTGGGCGGGTGCTTGGAATAATATCGCTGCAAACCGAGTCAATGCTGTAGCGGCAGACAGGGCGGCGAAGCTGGCCCCGCATTTTGCCAAACGGGGCCGCAGCACCGGAAGCTGCAGCGGCGGCGCGGGCCAAGGCGGATGAGTTGACTATCTTTTTGCCCCTCGGGGAGTGCTGACTCGTGACGGCAGAGATGTTGGTCGGTTGGCACACAAACTTGCTGTTGCGGTTGCTGCTGCTGGGTCCCAGCCGGTATGGGCCAGAAGACGGCGCCATGCTGGACGCGTTGTTGGCTCGGGTTGCAGTGGTCGGCGGTTGGACATGGAGGCGCCGGCCAGATTGCGGGGTTCCCCCCGTTGTCGACGCAGGGGTACTTGCTGTGGGCGTGGTGACGGCCGGCGCAGATTGTTGCCCCGCGACGCGCGGCAACCGTGTACTAGGTCTCCTTCCCGCATGAGACGAACCTGCGGACACAAGTTCGTGTGGATAAGACAGCGACTACGTCAACGAAGGAACCAAATATCTCCAATGGTACCTGTAGTGAAAGTTAACATAAGTCTAACACATAATTAATTGTGCCGCACGCCACGACACGCTGTGCAACAATTGTAACTGACAGGGCACTGGGTTTACAGTTTCTACTTGCCTGCCGTATAGTCGGCATCGGCACGAGATGCCAAGCCAGCCCCGCCATGCGAGCCGGAAAGCACGGAGGAAACAGAAGTCACCCTGCTGGAGGACTTCCCATACAGATTGAAGGGAGGTCGGACCAGTGCCGGCGACAAAATCGCGGTAGTGGCGCTGCTGCGTTTCGCTTGTTGGCCAGTGTTTTGATACGACCCGGCTGACCGCGTGTGTGGTCGGGCTGTAGTGGAGACTGGGAAGGAGCTGTGGGAGGTGGTGCGTTTGGCGGCGCCGGTGCACGCAGGACTCTTAGCGCCGTCAGCCAATGGGGGAACACCTGGCAGCGCCCGCGCAGCCCCGTTGTCCGTTTCACTCGTGCCACAATCTGCAGCTGCGGCTGTAGAAGCTGTCGTAGTAGCTGACACACAGCCGTGCCCCTCTTTCGTAAACATAAGCGCCCTTTTCGACTCTGCCGTGCTGCTGCAGCCGCCGAGCCGCGGGTGCGTATGCGTAGCATTTGCAAGCTTGCGGGTGTTGCCGTGCAGCGCAGGGGAGTGATCCTGCGGAAGGGGCACAGTTGCTCCAACCGAGATACTTGTGCAAAAGCTGACGCTGGATCCGTCAGACAACCTTGTGGCATCGTCAAATAGCGCTACCATGGCACCGACGCGGCCTATACGCTCCAGCTCCTGCTGTGGACTTAGCCCTTCTCCCAGCGCGGAAGCACCTGGCTCAAAGTCACTGCCATCTACCGTTGGCAGAGCGACAGGGTCTTGCGTACGACCGGCAACGGTCTTCTTGCTCCAACACTCCCGTAGAGATGCGACGTGAGCAGACAGCGGTGACAGCGGAGACTGGAAACTGCCCGCTGAGCCGGCGTACGCAAGGGAAGGAGATGCTGGTGTAAGGATTGTGGAAACTGATGGCGGCGTCTTCGGGTCGGCTGGGGTAGGAGGAAGACCTGGAGTAGGGGGAAGGTCTTCCCAGTCCATGCCAGGCGCAACGTCGTCCAGCTGCTCAGCAACAGCTCCCAGACTAATTTTACGGGGAAGGCCAGCATGCTTAAGCACGGCAGTGGCACTCGGAGGGAGGCGGCGTTTGGTGCACATGCCCCCGTTCGATGTGGGCTGACCTCCGCCAGAGCAACCTTCACTGTTATAGCAGCTTCCCCCATGGGAATGGCCTCCGGTACCCCCCTGTGAGTATGCAAAACCGTGAACCGAACTGCCCCCGAAGGAGAAGCCTACGCCGCCGCTTGTGCTGCTCCCGTCGACGCTTGTCCTATTGCTGAGCAGGCCAATGCTGCAGAGGTCATCGGCGCATGACTGCGACGCCATGCCCCATGAAGTCGGACAGTCATCGCAATATGAGCTGACCTCGGAGACCCGCGGGCAACCCAAGGGAAGCACAGGGGGCGATCCGTGTACAGGCTGCACCGTCATCTGGACCAACGTTGAATTGCCTTTTGGGCTCCTGGATTCAGCTAATGACCCATCGCCAAGCCTTGGCGAGTTACGTCCGCTACTGGCGTTGCAATGAAGTCCGATCGGCATATTCAATCCCTAGCACCCAAATCCCAAATACTGTCGTCCAAAGCTTTCGCCGTCACCACTAGAAGCTAGGCCCCAAACCTTGAAGCGAGTCAACCGCAATAGGTTGTTTGTGGGTCAAATTCCCCCTGCACATCATTTGGAACGCGCAGGCAATAGTCAGGAGTTCCACACAAGTTCTCATACTAAGCTCGCCTACTTCACACGTATGGATATGTTGAGCTGTTTAATCCAACGGGCAAAGATACCTCACACACTGCTACTGCAGCTTGCGTTCCTTCCCCGGCAGACATACCGTTCCGCCATTTCATCTTGGCGATAATGGTGTGCTTCAAGACGAATTAGGGGCCGCGGGGAATTATCTGCCAGCTGTAGATAGCTGCGTCGACGAACTCTTTCGGATCCAAATTTTTAGTAGATTGCAGACATGAATTATATTATACTGATATCTATATAGCACCGCGTTGTGTTTCGCGTAAACCTTAAGTACTTTTGAGCAATTTGAGGGACTTTCAAAATTATGGTACGGCTTGGCTTCGTACCACACCCTAGTTTCCTGAGAATGCAAGATTGTTCCTCGGTATGGTCTCTGTGGATGCTTTGATAAAGCGCATGCGTCCTCTTTAGCAGCAACTACTTCATATGGCTCTCATTTCTTCAAGCTTCTTCCATGCACTGTATGGGGTTGCGGAATAGTACCTGGAGAAAGGTGTAGTCATTACCACGCCAAAGCCAATCAGTTTCTCTTGGCACTGTTTTGCCAGGAAGCGGTGTCACTGCCATTACGTCTGTGAACGAGAGCTTAGGTATAGACTTAGTAACTACGAAACCAGTCACAAGAAGTGAGGATAGAAACGACATTGCAACAGTTAACTAGCTCACAATGTCAAGTGGGAATGCTCTCCTAGCAGGCTCAGCAGCCAGAGTCCAGGAAGTATTAAATAGCCGCGGACATTCATTCAGCGCCGACCTGCTGGGTGATTTGACTTTGCCGCAGACGACGTCACCCGTCGCAGCTGTTGCCTCTGGCAGCGCCATGGACTTGCTGGGTGACGAGATTAGCGAGGTGCCTACCGTAGTCGATTGCAAACCTGAGTATTCATTACCGGCGGACGCAACAGTGGATGCCCAGGGCAAACGGAGCCTGTTAAGCACAGCGAAGCACAGCGGTCACACGGACGACCTACTAAGTGAACCTCAGCCCGGCACAGCGTCATTACGGCAGCCGGGCGCTGTCGCATTGCGCAATAGTGAAGATGGATCACCGCAGCAGCAGCAGACACAGGCGGCACCAATTGAACCCTCCGGCACCGCCTACAGGAACGATCAACAGCAAAAGGAACAACAGGCCGGTAAGGGTATTCGGGCTGAAAAGACGCTGCTCGCAGACGGCCAGTCACGAGGGGTCATGGTCACGGCAGCCCAGGAAAAAGAACTGCCTCCAGTGCACACTGATGAGGGATCCCAGGGGGCCAAGCCCAAAAACAACGACGGGCCCCAGTCCCTGCCCAGCGAAGCCGCCCATGCCAGGCAGTCCGCGGATTGCGGCCCGTCGGATAATGTAAGTGAGGGCCCCAGCAGTCAGGGCAGCGAGTGTGAAGAACGGATGGTGGACTCCGACAGGGAGGTGGTTGAGGAGGAGGACGCCTTTGGCGACTTCGCTGACTTCACCTCCGCCTCGCACTTCTTGCCCGGGGGCGCTGGCACTGGCTTGGGTGCTGCTGCCCTCGGTGGACCTCCGCCCGCATTCGCTCCCGCGGTGACAGCGGCACGCGCCATGGGCACCGGCTTGTCGAGTGTGTCATCGCCATCTGCGCACCGCCACGCACATCTTGGTGGCCTGGCCCGGCCTTTGCACAACATGCTGGGCGTTGGTGGTGGAGCAGCTAGTCACCACGGGTTGGCTGGGGGATTGGCCTCTATCAGCGGCGCAGTGTCAGAGCTCGGCAGCCTGGCCGGCGAGTTCAGTGACTTCAGCCATCAGTCACCGCCGCCAAGCGTTGCACCATCACGCGGAGGTAGGCCGCTGCGCGTGAATGAGCATAGGCTGTCCTGGGTTTCCTATCTGAGGATAGGGACGTAGCAAGTCCTCTTCTCGCAGTCCACTTCATTTAAAAACATGGCCTCGCGTGTCACAGTTGTTAATTGTCACCGAATAAGAATTTGGGCACATGCATAGCCATGGCTCTGCCGCGAGGCGACGTCACGCTGTGCCGTCCGCGGTGGTCACTGCTCTGTCCACGCTTCATGCTCGACATCTTTTCTCCATCTTTTATCATCTTTTTCGCTTTTGAAGTAACTCCTAGGACGCAGTACATCCATTTGTGAACTGTTCATCGTGTGTCCTGTCTGTCTTGCCAATCCGCAATCCCGGCAGGTGGCGGTCGCAAGTCTGTTGCGTCCATCGCCTCTGTTGGCAGCCGTGCCGGTGGCGATGATGACTTGGGTGATTACAACTCGGTCGTGGGGAGCAGCGTCTGGCGTGCACCGTCGCAAATGGCTACCTCCTCATATGCGGCAGCGGCAGGAGCCGACGACGATTTTGGAGACTTCACCTCCGACATCACGTCAACATCCGATTTTGCGCCGTCCACACAGCCGCCCTCAGCTGTCGCGGTAAGCGGTCCCGGCTCTGTGCACCCGGACGATGATTTTGGCAGCTTTGCGAGTCACCGCAGTACGGCCGATGACGACGAGGACGATTTCGGGAACTTTAACGCTGCACCAGCGGCGGCGGCTGCGAGCGCTGTGGCTGGAACGGGTGCAGGGCCGTCCGGGAGCGGAGCTGCGGCGGCCGCCGGCGGGGGTACCGCTGGTTATAGCGGGCCGGCGGCAGCCGTCACTAGCGGCGCTGGTACGGCATCTGGTGGCGCGGCTGCAGCCTTCAGCCCTCGAGACCTTGCCGCCGCAGCCACGGCAACGTCTGGCGCCCATCCGTATCATTCCACTCAGTCCGTTGGCCCCTTGCCAGGCAGCAGCGTTTCCACGACGGAGGCTGCCGCCGCCACCGATGCCGGTCTGCTGCAGCTGCCGCCGTCGGAGCTTCGTCAGGCTGTCGCTCGCGCGCTGCAGCCGCTGCTGCCGCCGGCCACGCCGGTTGTGGGTATGCCGCATATCCCGGACGAGCAGACCGTGTCCGCGGCCTGGGCACAGCTGCGGCGACACATGCAAGGCAACGCGACAGAGCCGAGCGGTGTTAATGGAAGCATCGTTGCGCACAACGGTGTGCCGCTGCCATCGCTAGGGACTGCTGTGCCGCCTACGGAGGCGGCCAGCGGACAGGACGGCAGCGCCGGCCGGAACGGATTTGTACCTGCAGTCAAGTGAGCTCCATGCGCGGGCTTCGTGTAGTGTAGTGCACTAAAGCCTTGCCTCGCAGATATGCGGGACGTTTAGTCCTGGGCCCGTCTAGATCGCCATACGGAAAAAGTAGATTCTTACCTAGATTTGCGACATTGATTGCCTGTTCCTGTGAACACGCTTGTGCAATGGGCCCTTCCAAGGATTGACGGGAGCCTTGGTCTATGTCTCTCCCTGCCTTGTAGGTTCACACGGACCCTGCGCTGGAAGGGCTCAGACTCAGAGCGGCGCTTGCTCTCTGGCCTGGGCCTTAGCGAGTTGGCGGTGCAGGCGCGCATGGGAGACGTGGCAGAGGGGCCCCGGCCGGCGGGTCGCGCCCGACTGGACCCAGCCACTGGCTCAGGTGGCGCGGTTCGCCAGGGTGGGCCGCTGGCTAGCTTTGGTGATGCGCAGCGCAAAATGCGGATGGACCCAAGCTCCCTCTCAGGTGGGGACGTGCTAACGTGATTTAGGAGGGCTTGGCAGGGCCTGACTTCCAGGGCAAGGCGGCGGAAATCTGGGGGGGATGCTGGCGGCTGTTGATGGGCCGTGCGGGCCCGGCGGTTTCTAGGTCTCAGTAGCTTGGTTGCTGCCGTTGCCATGTAAGATGTGATGCTTGCCGTTCTTGACTCGTTGTCTACTGTTTGCCGCCGCAGCTGGTCTTTATCGGGACACCGAATGTGACGGCGCTCCGTTGGGCAGCGGCAACGCTGCAGGCAGCGGCAGCAGTCGTTCACGCGGTCTTGACCAGAACGGAGAGGCCTATGGGTACCTGCCGGTGCACGGAGGGGGCCCCCCCTCCGGCGGCACACCGCGGGCCGCTAGCGGAGCCAACGGCTCAGCTGGAGGGCAGCAGCAGCAGCCACTGGGATGCCGTTTCGAAAAATGATATCTGTGCTACGAATATGGCGGCTTTGGTTTTCGTGTTTACCAGATACTTGTGGCACGTGTGTACTTGCCTTGCGAAATGTCGAAACAAATCACGAGCAGCCGCTGCTACCCATGCTTTTTGCTACTGCCAGAACGGAGGATCTTTCGCGGCCTTGCCTCAGCCACCTGTTACGAGATAAGGGTTCTTTGCACGACTGCTTTCCCTTTCCTGGCCTGCGATGCTGTATGCCTGGGTTCGGGACCGGAGGAATGAGGCTGGGGCGTGGTGCACCGCACAGCCCACGTGCTACCTTCTCAAAGGTTGCGATGTCGAAACGTACATTGGCGTACAAAGGGTCCTTTGGTGTATTGCCCAAAAGTGCAGGCTGGCTTAAAGGCTATGGTGCAGAGATGTATGTATCAACACCTGCAATGCCAAGTGGGAAGGAAGCCTTTACGCGGGCACCGGAGTACAACCCCCCCATTCGCTTTGGTTGTCATGGAGTTTAGGTGCGGCAGAGACGCCGTAGTTCTCTGCCACGTGTAAAATGAGGCTCCTCAAGAGGCCTTGGGGGACAGGGAGGGTGGAATTTCCGTGGGCCTGCTACTGCTGTAGGTCAACTCTTTAGCAGGGAGTATCCGGGTTTGTGCAGTCTTTTTACTTAACAGGTGTAATGCGGTCAGGCATCTTGCGCGAAGTGAAATAGCACGGCGGTGTTGCCACCGGCTGTAGCATGGCGCGCATGGGAGATGTCTATGCAGGTTAGTACTGCATAGGTGATGGCGCTTGTGGTGTTCGTGTGGGTGTGGCAGTGGAGTCCGTGCTGCTTGACTGGGTGGTCGCACCGACGTGAAGTGCACTGTATGGTTAGCGTGTGTGATTTTTAAGCGAATGACTACCAAAAGGTCATTCATAGCTACTTGGTGTATCCAAAGCAGCAGTGATCTGCATGAAAGTCCGGCAGGCCGAATGGCGTGTCGTGCTGTACACCTGTCATCGCTGCTATGTACGGTGCTTACACATCTTGGAAGAGCATGCTCATTCGGGAACTTGCTTATAAGCGGTACCCTCACTAAATCAGCAACCTCGGCGCTTCAGCAGGCTATTCCCCGAGGTGGCCACCATGTCTATAGATGATATTTAACCCCTAGCCCTCATGCGCCAGCTCAGCTCAACGTCTCATTTTTCATAATCGTCCTCCAGCGGCACTTCCCCCGCGCCTTTCTCGTGCCTCTGCGGAGCCCTGTTGATCCTGTTGTTGCTTGCTTCGCCGCCGCGGCCGCCACAGCTCGGGGTGTTGGGGAACACACAAACCGTCGAGCCAACTGTCAATGCTGCAAAAATGATAAGAATGGAGCTTCCATCGCTGGGACTTGAACCGATAGCTGTCGTACTGCATAACCCATTTATAACGTTCCCGGGATCCTGGAGCAGCCGAATGGTAGGCAACATAGAAAGGTGGGCAAACAAGCAGTAGCAACAAGAACTACACAACCGCAAGTGCCAGCTCAATGGCCTTGTGGACCCTATTTCCACTTCCATCGCATTGGCTCCCGCCCTTCCGTGGGAGATGCAGAGAGGAACAAGCCGGAGGAAAACCGTCTGTCCCGGATCTCCTTTCTTGGGATACGAGCCCTACACAACAGGGCAACATCCATCGTCCCATGGCCCCGCGGCGGAGCTTCAATCGAGAAAGCTAGAGGACTTTGAAGGAGACGACGATTAACCACAACAGGTTGCACCGTCGCGTTCCACATGTTGCGCGTGTAACCGGGGCCCAGCTATGTAGCGTGCAACGTACCTATGGTAGCTTCGCCGCTGTGGCCGCCCACAAAAATCTCCACATGTGTCATGTCGAATGCGTGCCGCCGTGATCCGGGGTCGTAGTACGTGCCGCTGTAAAAGACCAGGTCGCCTGGCTTAAGCTGCGCGGCGTTTGCCAGGCGGATGGGAAGGGTGTCGTACTGCAGAAGGGCACCACAAGGCGGAACGGCCTCGCGCTTACCCCACATCAGGCTGACCGACGGCACCTGTTCATCATCTCATCAATACCCGTACGTAATGGCATTCTGTCCTAGGGCCAGACCAAAACCTTCCAGACCGAACTATGAACCTCCGGCTCTCCGACGCTGGTCAAAAAGCCCAACAACAAGTACCCAACACCCAACATGCGTCCAAAGCTTAATAAAGTTCAGTCCTATACCCACCGGGTGTGTACTGCATTCCCGCATCGACCTGGCTGTATTCCTAATTCATTCGGCATCTCAGAGAGCCTCAGAGCCTCACAGCGTCTCCGCCCACCCACAAGCGCACCTGATAGGCCTGGTTACCTGGCCCCAGCCGGAATCCCAGCTCGGGATGCAGCGCCCGCGCCACCCGGCGTACCAGGCCGCAGCAGTCGAGGAACATGGGCGAGTGGTAGAGCTGGCGGCCGGAGGTGGAGCAACCCTCGCAGGTGCAGTGGTGCTGGTCGTGATGCTTGCGAGCGTAGGGCACGCCTGACAGGTGGGAAGGGTAGGAGTTGAGGGAAAGCCGCGGGGGAGGCGGAGCGGTGGTCAGGAGACGCCAATACACACAACCCAAAGGACAGCGTGCTGCCATGTTTCTTGGATATCAGGTACAGCTGCCGACCAGTGGAATTGACCTCAGAACGAAGGCACGTGTTCATAGCGCAAGCGTCATGGTTACGTTCGCTACGCAGGAGAGTCTCTTGGCATGGGTCAAACCAGCATACTCACCGATAAAACCCTTAGCGGTCTCCACAAACAAGGCCCGGAGCCGTGCTCGCCGTTCTTCCTGATCCAGTGTTGGCGGCGAGGAAGGTTTGGAGGGTTGCGGCCGAGATAGGGACGCCCCAGTCGCCACACGAGCTGCATTTTTCTGGGGTTGGCCATTCCCGACAACAAGAAAAACGTAATCTCGCATCGCATGGTGGGCCCATGAGGAATTGCAGTGTAATAATTATTTCTGTGCAAATGAGTAGGATGGCTTGACTTTGTGTGGCACGACCCTGCACGATCCTGCCAATTCTCGTAACAACCCGGGTTAAAAGATACACCTCCCACGCGTTATTATCGGGCATTGTACTCCTGGACATAGTGCAGTATTCATTTAAAGAGAAGCTTTACATGGGGAATTTAATCGGACAGCTCGCCTGTTGCTTCGATTTAACGAACGCTGTAAAGGCATCCTGGAGGCTTGGGCCCCTCGCCGTAACTTCCAACGTTTCGCAGTTCCCATGCTCTCCAGAAGTAGTCACAGGAGTGCGCATCGCTCACCGCTACCTTATACGCCGAAACCAGGCAAGCAAATGGGTAAGTAGTTTTCTTATAAATAAGCGCACGGAAAATGCATCTGAGAGTAATTCTGAGCACATCAAGCTCGTGACCTCGCCAGGCCAAACGATCCAAAGCCGTTGAATATTTGTCGTACCGGGTACAGTTTGTTTGTTCTAGTAATGCAATGCACAGCAGCAACTAAACTACTGTTTATAAACATGGGTAATCAATCCATTCGTCATTGACGCTGCTCTCTTCCGGAATGTTTCAACAAGCGTCACTCGGCCGACACTGTACAGCGCCGAGGTCAGCATCGCGGCAATGCCAAGCTTTACGCACACACAGCGTCATAGTTGTTGCATCAGCGGTGGATACGGGTCCATCCACGTCGGCGCCGCGAGAGTACATTATCCGACGGGCCACGCAAGCAGACTCTCGCAGTATAGCCGCCGTCTGCGGGGAGGTAGGCAACATGGTTACATTTTCTCCCGTCCCAAGCATGCTCCCATTGCCCATGAGGGTTACTTCTGCGCGCACACAGGCCGAGTGTCGACTGCCGAACGATAGGCACGCATAGCTGTATGCTCCCATGCATGCACACAATAGGAAAAGCGATGGAAATTGCGATAACATTAGGCCGGTCACATTGTGGCCTGCAAAGCCGCGATCCAGCGAGACATCCATACCCGTCAGTATCACCCCTGCCTGGCATGACGTGCAACCACTCTACCAACTTCCCCCTAGTCATTCGGACGGGGTAACTTCCCGGAACTGGACGTCGAGGCACTGCACCGGTTAGAGGAGCGATACGCTGCCGTAATCGAGGAGGACATGCAGGCCAAGCTGGTGAACGCATTGGAAGCCAAAGCGCAGGTGCGCGCTGTGCTGTGTTGCACTAACCTGTGCTGCAAGAAACTACATGTCCCCGCGGAAAAAATACGTCATCAAAGCGGCCAGCGAGCTGGCCTAGCTCATAGATCACGCACCCCACTTCAATCTAGGTTAGGCATGGTGCTAAGAATTTCCAGACATCCCTTGAGTTGCACGGCGGTCCTCGGCGCGGGCGCCGTGCGCTTCAGAAGCAGCAGCTGTGCTTGAATTCCGCTTTACCTACCTTATCCGTCTGCTCCACTGCGCGGCTCCGCGCGTGCCGCCCGCAGGCTCAACGCGAGCATCGGGAGTTCCGGCTGCGGCAATACATGCAGCAATTGAGAGCGGAGCTGGCGGCGCTTCGAGGGGAGCCCGCGCGGTTCGTAACGCAGCTTTCGCCGCAAGACGCGTGAGTAACTCGCGAGTCTTAGGATGCATTGACTGACCGCACACGGGAAGTTAGCCACGCCAGGGTTAATGGGCTTCTGGCATCGGCACCCGCCATACAGTATCTGTGGCACCGCATCTGCAGCGAGTTGCGGACCATATGTCGGTTGGCCCCATGACACCTGGCTCGCTGCTGGCTCAGACCTGCCAGGAACACCAATGTTGTCCGTTGTGGACCTCCCGGAAGACTGCTTTTATTTTTGTGGTTCTTCATGCCCGCAGTCGTATGGTCCAGCGATGGCGACGCAGCCGGCAGTTCCTGATACTCGTTGCAGTTGAAAGGAACCCTCAACCATCACCCACGGCGTCGATGGTGATGGCTTCGACAGCAGCGACGAGGGGGACTACCTGTGGCGGCGGCGTGGCGGTGGAGGTGGTGAGCGGTGCGGCGAGCAGTGGCAGCAATGGCGGCGGCGGCGGCGGGGGCGTGGTGGCGGGCGCGACGCTGTCACTGATGCAGCCAGAGGCTCTGCTGCCGCCGCCATTTCCTAGCAGCAAGCCCTTCCGCCTGTATGTCTCCAATATGTCGGTCCTGCCGTCACACCGCCGCCGGGGCCTGGCCAGGCGGCTGCTGCAGCAATGCGAGCGCGTAGGTGGGTGAGCAGTGAATGGGACGCGAAAAGCTGCAGCTGCGGGTGGCGGCGGCCGGTTACACACACACGGTGATGTCCAACCTGGGCGGCCCCGCACGCAAGCTGCGGACCGGCGACAGGAGTTTTAGGGGCTTGAGTTGTCCTTGATGGCGATTAGTGACCTTAGGGTTGCCGGGCAATGACAGCAACGTAAGAGGGTTAGAAGGTTGAGCTAGGGTAGGGAAGCATAAATATGGCTTTCATGATATGGGTTTGCCACCGCGAAATTGTTGCTTTCCTCGGTTCCGACATCCTGCCCCGTCCTGTCCCTGCCGCTAATCTTTACTTGGCGGTTTCCCTTGGTCCCATGTTACGCGTGTCCTTTGCAGCGCGGCTGTGGGGACACTCCTCCCTGTGGTTGCACGTCAAGCAGAATAACTTCGGGGCGGAAGCGCTGTACCAGAGCATGGGCTACCGGCGCGTCGAAGAAGGCGGACTGCGGCTACTCCCGGGGCCACTAGCGCACGTGCTCATGTGCAAGGAGCTTCCACCATTGCGACATCGGTGCTCCGTTGCCCTCGGTCAGTCAGCAGCGGTGGGTGGACGGGGCAAGGAAGGTGGCATGGAGCCTGGCGTGCGGGATGTGGTCACGGGCGTGAAGGGAGGCAGCCGGACAAGCGACGGTGTGTTCGTGTGGAATGCATTGGTGGGCGATGGGACGGATAGCAGTGAACCCGGCTAGCAGGTGATGTTGTCTTGGCATGGGAAGGAGCTTTTGATTTCGATAACAAGCCGCTGGCCAGTTTTGAGGGCCCACGGTACACTGTGACTTGTCACGTGCCATTGCATACCTGCGTGAGATAGAGGCGGTGAGTGTTCAGGTGGGACGGAGTGCTCGTGCAGACGCTGTGCGAGCATATGGCGTTTGGAATGTATTGTGTGTATGTGTGTGTGTATGTGTGTGTGTTACACCCCGATCTGCATTCTATCAAGCCCACCATAGCCGAATACCGCAGAGCCGACCGAGGCTAGGCATTCTGCCCTTGGCTCTAGCAGACCCCATAAACATCATTATCTTCTGTCTTCATCCGCCATGACACCTATTCCAATGCAATTACACCTAGCGCGAAACTGGATGGATGTTGAGGCGTTGCACCAAATGCCAGCTTCCAAAGACGATGCACCGTCTTCGGAACTTCTGAGGTGGCCCTGAGCCCTCAATACCTCTTCACTTTTAGCAAAACCGTGGAATGAAAGCAAGCGCCTTCAGGCTTCATTACCTCAGAAGAAAAAAGCGTGACGATCCTGCAATACGCACGCACACATGCGGCACTCGCACACGCATGCAGTAAACCCTATTAAATAACAATACAGGCACGAAAACAATGGGTTCGCCCACCACCAGTCCACACAATCGTATACACACATGATTATACCACAGGCTACACAGCTCATTTAATAGCCCCGCTGGGTTCTACTCAAGCAACTACGAAAGTTTACGCGCAGGTGCAGACGCCATGGACTGCCAGGAACCGACGCCACTTCACTCCGACCTACGCAAGCCAAAAATCCGAATTACCATGCACACCAACGGCAGCAGATGGGCACAGCCAATCAACCCCAATTGCGCTCCTCGAGTGCTACCCAATCGCACAGCATGAAGGACGGACCCGAACGGGACTACCTCGCCATGGTACGCAAAAACATTATTGAGGCTAGCAGCAGTCCGCCTCGTGTACCTCACCCAATTCCAAGCCCCCGTCGTCCTGATAACAATGCAGGTAAACTAAGGGACTCTCACTCAAAGAGCAATGCCAGCGCCTACACTTACACCTACCTACATAAAGCGACAAAAGAGATCACACATGTTTCGAAAGCTACATCTGCAGCAAGTACGGGCAAAAGCACCAGCAAAGCACGCTAAACCCAGACATGCCTGGTCGATGCGGCCGCTAGACATGTAGCGGAAATGAGAGACCTCCTGATGAAAAGGCTAACCCGCGCTGCAGGCACGACTGCCAAGCCGAGCATGGTGCGGCCCGCGACCAGGCTCCCACGAGCGACATGCCTTGCGCTGAGGGCAACGCAGTGCTGAGATCGGCCAGTTACAGAGCCCGCCGCACTGCTAGGGGGCCGCGCAAGCATGTGCATGCGTGGGGATGACGCCATGTCTGCAGAACCGAACAAGGTCGGTATAATGTGATCGTCATCAAGCAGATCCCCCAGCAGCTCATCCTCGATGCGGTATCATCGACGAGGAATGTGCCATGATTCGGTGCCTGCATGGGGGCCCCCTATCGGTGTAAGCTTACACCTAGTCCTCTGTTTCCAGTTAAGAGATTCCGATATGCATGCAAGCCAATTTCCATTAGGATGGAGGCTATCCATCAACTTCTGTATTATATTCAGAGACCGCCAAAAACATGGTTGCACGTTAAAAGCCCAGACAGCATAGCAACCCACCTTCCACCTTGCGAGCCTTATCATTCTTGCTGTTTGGAGTCGCCACTATTGCCGCATGGCATACAGGACAGCTGCTAATTGCTGCGCGGCAGCTCTGGCAACCAAAGTGACCGCAGCCCAAATCAACAGGCACATTGCTGCAGTCATCGAATTCCCGCCAGCAGACTACGCACATGCTCAGGGAGGCTGGGGCATTAGCTGGATGGACAATAGTACGACTGTATGACACCATCACATCCTTGGTGTATGATGTGATGCATGCAATACGACAGCCGCCGATTATAAGTACCGTGCACCCGTTAGCTGGTGTATGCTGGGGTAGGACACGTCAAAGGGAAGGGTTACAGGGCATCCTGCACTCTACGAGAATCGTGAACACGGTAGCAGCTCCCTGCACGGAAGCCTTCCCACAGCTTGCAATTCATGGGGTTGGAGGACTGCAAACCCGAAAGCGCCGTGACTCTTTCGTAAAGGTGGTAGCGTATCACCACCGGGGACACCTGCATCCTAAGCTTTTGGAGCACCTAGTGACGCAGCACAGAGGCATGGCACACCCCAGCGACCTACACCTAAACCTGTACCGACATAGCATCCTCCACTCTTGCACCTCTAACCTCAAGCCCAGGACAAAGACCAAATCGTACCCCGCAATTCCGACTACACACTATGCCAACACCGCACAAAGCCGCAGGGGGCGGTAGACAGCCAGGATGGGTCCAGCCAGCCCACCACCGCTCTGCTTGCATCAGAGCGGAAGACAACAGGATGACACCATCAGGCAGCCAACTTTCTCTCTTTCCCCTTCCTTTCCTTCCTTCCCTGCAATAAACCCTCGTCCTCATGCATCAGATATACGCAAACTCGTTGTGCGACAGAGCATTAGCCGCCCCCGCCCTCTCCCTGGCCTCCGCCGCCTCCCGCTCCTTGCGTGCCTCATAGTGCGGGTCGTCCGTGGGCAGCTCCTGGCGGCAGATGGGGCACGAGTTGTTCTGCTCCAGCCAAGGCGCCAAGCAAGTCGCATGGTAGCTGTGCTTGCAGGGCAACAGCTGCACCTCGTCGCCCACTTGCAGCACCTCCGTGCAGACCGGACACACCGCATCCCTGCACAACAGCCAGGGCCGGGCAAGCAGGTCGCTCAATCAGACGGAACACACCAAGGCAGGTAAAGGAGAACTGTGTTGTCAGGAATGCAGACACATGCAGGGTCCAAGCAGTAGGGGTTGAGCTACGTAGATTTACAGAGCTGCAGCCCTTCAAGATTGCCAGTCCAGCCAGCAGGAATGGCGGAGGGTAAAGAAGGAAAAAAACAGCCCAGGCAAAACCGGGGACCACATGGAGCGCGCATGCGAGGCAACTGGATACATCTACGCCCTGCACCGCTGTCACCACTATCAACCCTCATATTACCCGTGCCGTCACAAGTCCGGCTGCCTCAAGAGACTCACCGCCCAATCTGCTCCTCCAGTACAACCTCGTCAACGATGATGCGTGGCAGCGCTGCCACCGCCTTACGTGACGCAGGTGGGCGGGAGGGCTGCTGCTGCCCAGCGCGGGCCTGGAGCGCCTCCAGCACGGCGTCCAGCTCCCGCTCTATGACCTCAGTTCCCCTTGCGATGGCTGACATGCCCCTGTACACGGCCTGTGTGGGTGACAGCCACCAAAAAAAGGAGCCGAAGCCCATGAACAGTGTTGAATTCGGTGGAAAAACGTTTTTCCACGTTCTCTGTGGTCGCATCACGAGGGCTGTCAAGGGTGAGGTTTGATGACCCACGTATGACCGGCATCGTTGGGAAAGCTGGCATGTGGCAGTGAGGCCCTAAGCTCAAGCAAGACCACGGTTCCGTGTCACACGCTCGGCGGGCATGTCGCATCGATAGTGTAAGGAGTGGCACAAGGTATTGTTTGTGTAGATTTTCAAGCTGAGATAGAATTCCGCGTCCGGGCCATTTCTCGGGAGTTCAGCTAGGAAAACGGTGCATAAGAGAAGGGAAGAGCGGGCAGCAGAGGCGCGGCCTCTCCCTCTTGGCGCCAACAGAACTCCGCGCACCTGGATGCCCTCCAAAATTGCCGCCTGCAGGTTTGCTCGCTGCTGCATTCGACTCGTGTCACGTCCAGGTTCAGCACTCCCCTCACTGCTAGCATCGTTGGTTTGTTGCAAACTTGCCGCGTCAGCCGCTGCGGGAGCCGAGGTGCTGGCGCCATTGCCACCTTCGATCCTCTGACGCCGGGCTTGGTCGTCCAGTATTGGTCCCGTGTCGTCATAATGCGCCTCGATGCCCTGCAGGACAGACCAGGCGGGACAGACCAGGCGGGACAGACCAGACGGGACAGACCAGGCGGGACAGACCAGGCGGGACAGACCAGGCATACTCTGTTTGAAACTGTGCCGTGGCTGCATGTAACAGGCAAGAAATCAGGACTGCTCCACCCAAATGTTATCAACAAGAACGCTGCTACGTCAACGGTTGGAGTAATCGCATCCGTTGCAAGGAGTTGTGTTGCCAGCGTTCCTTGCTCGGCAGAGCGAGCCGGCGAGCTAAGCCAGTCGGTGACAGCTGCGAGAGGCCATACAATACTGAAGGTGGCAAGCAGGCGAACACGCACTGACGGCCGTACCCTTTGTGATTGACCTAAACCAAGAAGCAGGTCCTCCATTGGCACGTCTGCCAGCGCTGCCGCTGCGGCAGCTTCCACCGAGGCCGCAACGGCAGCTGCCGGGAGCTCTACGTCGTGCTCTGTGAGAAACTTTTCCACCTCCCCAAGACACTGTTTAATGCGAGCTTGCTGATCCACGCGCACGCAGCGTCGCTCGCAGACACGGAGGGTCTCCGCTGCAGACTTCCACTGTGTTGGGTTGGTGTAACGTGTACGAAGCAGGACCATCGTCCTCGGCAGCAGCTCTAGAAGAACAGTAACCTTTTCATCGTTGTTAGGAGACGTAGACTCGATAGCTGCTGCGAGCTCCTTGAGTCCCTGGTTAAATGTCGCTTTTTTTTCTAGGAGCGCAGCAATCGATTTCCGTTGTTCATCCATCGCAGGTAAATGTCTTACTCACAACACGCTGAAACCGTATTTGCAATAATTCACCGAGACGGAAAGAAGCTTTGCACCGAACGTCTGAAGCAAGTATGGAAAATAATTGGTTAGTTATGATAGATAAGTTGCAAGGCATATAATAAAGTAAAGACGCATAATGATGTGGCGCATAACCTGAGTCGGTTTATATCACGAGAGGCATTCGATACAAAAAAACTACAAAACACGAGAGCTGGCAACTCAGGGTTACAGAAACTTAGCTGACTGGGAATCCTATGAAGTGAAACGATCATTCCAAATATCTGTTCCGTATCATAGTAAACAACAGGTCCACACAGGTCACAGCGGCCGTACGACATGGATCAGGGTCATGACACAGCACCATGGGGCCCGGATATAAGCTTGGGTGGTCAGCTTCTCCGAGCTGAAAAATGCGCGGCCCCGGTGCAGCCAGTTACTCCGCAGTATTCCGCAGGGGAGGCTGTACGGCACTGGGCTGTAAGTTCAGGAACCGTGTCGTGCTTGGACTAAACGCTCATTATCATAGATAGCTGCGATGGCCGGGTGCGGCTGCCGGCGGCGTTAGAGTGGTGTATGAATCTGGTGTATATACTTGCTAAAGTGCCAATGCAAATCCATAGACAGTGCATTGCGCGCCGCCTCCATCTCAACAAGAACGGATGAACATCTAGCCTCGTGGTGGTGCACGAACCCAGCCCATTGCCAGTCGAACTGGGAAGTAAGACATGTATGAGATGTCCGTGAAACGGAGCAGAAGGCAAGGAGGGAAGTTCTGGTGCAGTTACCATGGATGGGCTGGAGTTGCGGAGTGTGGCGATGAGCTGAGCTATACCTAATCCAAGGAAAGAGCGAGAAAACCGCGCGGCCGCACAGCAATAAAAGCAGCATGAGCAGAAGCAGCGTGTGCACACACACACACACACACACACACACACACACACACACACACACACACACACACACACACCGCACCCCCTGTGTCATAAAAGGGTCGATACCCGACCGATTAGTTATAATCCAAATGGATAACCACATCTACCGACCCGATAACCGACCGGTAAGGTTACCGATCAAGGTTCTCTAGCGTATTTTCCATAAACAGCAAGTTGCAACCACAAAATTGTACAGTTTTTTTAACGTTATATAGCTCTTCATTAAGACTGCTTCTAGGTAGGCCGAGTCGCGTATGAATACCTAAGAGATGCTCGTCGTTTCACTTTGGGGTGAAATGACGAGCAATGGATCCAAAAACAGCTTGGTTTTTTTGTGTGTGTGAAATTGGTCCAAGTCTTGAAATATACCTCTGTACAGCGTATCATAAAATCTATACGTGGGCAGTCTTGTTACTGGAACAGTTGGCACGGATGGGCGGGGTGTGGCAGAGCTGAGAGGCGTATATTTCATGATTGCTGATGGTTGTGGTTGGGGACGCCTGGGAATCGGCCGCGGAAAGCCAATAGTCCGCACAGATATATGTTAATTCTTCGGTAATCGACGGAGAATTGTATGCAATTCTCAGTTAAGCGGTGCGAGGCTACGAGGGGGGGGAAGTCGCCTGCGGGAAGCTATCTTCGCGCACAAATGTATGTGAATGAATTCCTTCGGTGAATCGATGGAGAATTGTTAAATGCAATTCTCGGTTCAGCGTGGCATGCGAGTTCATCACGAGACGCGACGCTGACTGACTGACAAACTGACAGACTGACTGACAGCAGTGAATCCCGGGGGCCTCGGGCCCCTGAAAGGCACGAAGCGGGCAGCGGCCCAAAAGGAGCTAAAGAATAAGGGACATAACCTTCCCTCAAAGCTCAGTTGATGTCGAGGCCCCCTTTTCAGCATTACTCGCTCTCACAAGCTTGTTTCCTGAGTTCTGTGAGCCCTTCGCGTGCTCACAGCTCATCCCGAACATTCGAAGCCTCAGTATCTGCTGCAGCTGCTGATTCCTGCACCTCTGGCCCAGTCAGCATGGGCCCCGCCACACGGCCCCAAAGGTATGCTGCCAACGCCGCGGTGCTTGCAGTGACGTCCTCCGGCTCCACGTGCTCTAGAGGCGAATGGCTGACCCCGCCGCGGCACCTCACGAACATCATGCCCATCTGTAAGGGTAGTAGAAACCCCACCAGCAACATGCAATCCAATATTAGAAGTGAGTCAGCTCGGACTCCATTTCGCGACACGGCACACGGAGGCGCACCCATCATCTCAAGCACCTCCGTGCACCCAGAATGCGCGGGCGCGTGAAAGACACATGTTGCGGAACAAGCTACATCAGCCAATACACCGTCAACTCCTGAACACTTTTCGACTGCTACTAGGCACTTTCGCAGCTACCCCTGCAGTGCCCTGCCATACCTTCGGGATCGCTTCTGCAATGGCCATGGCATCGTGCCCCGCTCCGCTGACCAGCACGGGCACCGACTCCAGGCCCTGGAGAAGTCCTCCATAGCGCTGCACCTCATCCGGCGTCAGTGCCGCCAGAAGCAGGGGCTGCGCACGGAGCCAGACAACCAATACCCGCACGCGTAATATAGCACGTGCCGAAGGGCGAGGATGCTTTCATTACCCGTGGCTAGCCGTGTTATGGATATGTTGGGCTCCATAGCCCACAAGGCTTACAAGCCAATGTCCGGTTTACGACGGAATCAGATCTGATATGGGCTTTCCACGCTTCGAACATATGAAGGACGCTATGAAGTGGGAACCTGAACGCCTGGCAAGAATGCTGGAACGTATATGGTCTCACCGCAACTCTATCGTTCCCTTTGGTCGTTAGTATACTTCATTACTTGTTTCGTTGGAAGTGCGAGGTAGGATGGTGCTTATAGGCGATTTGGCAGCCCTCGAGCCCTCGGCTCGTACTAGGGTGGTTTGCAGGTACGGGGAACGCACCCACGACCATGTAACAACAACAACAACAACAACAACAACAAGCCAATTACGTTGAGCGGTCAACCCTCTCGTCCAGGAACCCCCCAAGCGACCTTCCCCACACGGAACAAAACAACGCACCCGACAGTACCTTTCAGATAACCATGGTTATACTAAGTTTTAGCGTGCCCGTGAACCTCTGATGCCTCAAAAGACCTTATCATAATACATCACCGAGGCGCACAGGATGCCCCAAGGGAGCCGAAGTGAAGGGCCTCCGTACACCTGAGAGTCCTGCCAAATACCCGACAAGACCGGTGCCCTCCTATGCCTCTCGTCGTTCCCCATTCCGCGTTCCCGCATGCGGCCCCACACACCTTTGACCAGGCACGTATGCCAGACCATACACGTGCCTCACCTGCGCCCTGCGCCACGCGCATGACTACACTACCTCCCCCCCTTTGTGCTACGTAGCCCCGGCACACCTTGGCCCTCTTGACCGCGGTACTCATGTTTTCGATGACCTCGGGGTCGCTGAGCACCGCCGCGGCGTCGTGCTTCCGGTTCACCTTGCACGCCACGTCGCGCCGCTTGCAGGTCGTCTCCACGGCCTGGAGCAGCCGCGCCACCGCGAGGTTGCGCATCTGGTCTGTCTTGCTGCGGATGTCGACACTGAAGCCCGTGTGGCCGGAAATCACATTGGAGGCACCAGGCCACACCTGGACCTCCCCCACAGTGCACACCAGGTTCTCTTCCTGCACATGCTCAAGTGGGCCGTGTGGAGGAACATGATGAGGCAAAGACGCACCGTAGGGCCGCACCGTGCAGTGTAGCTTGACGTAAGTAATTCCCGATATGTTCCCAGGTAATGGACAAGTACCAGCCGAGCAGGGTAAGAGTGTGCAGGCCAGAGGGCCAAAGGGGCGTGAAGGACATGATATCCAGCTCTGCCGGCCTCGTCTCAAGCTGCTTGACGGATCCGTTAGGCCTTGACGACCGGGAGCGGAGATAAGGGGATGGTTCGCGAGGCCGACCGCAGAAAGAACAGAAAGTAGCACCGCCTTGGCACGATAGCGTCACCGTAAGGAAGGCGCCTTTGGGGGAAGTGGAAGTCAGCCTGCAAGGCCGATAGCTCCTGTCTGGCTCCACACATGGCTGGCCAGCCAGAAGGGCTATGCGCTGTGTGTAGAATCGGCATGTTCAAGCAGCTCAAGAAGGGGTGATGCACCTGACGGTGATGCTGCTCTGCGAACCTCGCAGGTTAGAAGGTTGCGAAGGTTAGCATCAAAGCCTTAGGTTGTTGCAGCCCCACCCTCTCACTGAAGAGCTCCATTCTCGTCACCGCCCGGCCCTACCCTCCGCACTTTCCGCACCTCCGGGGCGCCACCCTCGCTCTCCGGCGCGATGCACAGTTCCTCAACCGCCACAATCAGCTCCGCTGCAGCCGCCAAGGCGTCCCGTCGGCCCCGCATAGGCACCGTGCCTGCATGGCCTTGCGTGCCGTTGACATGCACCCACAGCCGCGTCTGTCCAGCGATGCCCGCCACAACGCCCAGCGGCAGCCCCCGTGCTTCCAGCACGGGGCCTTGCTCGATGTGCACCTCGATGTACTCGGAGATGGAGGCGGGATCCAGCGCCAGTGCTGCCACAGCGGCCTGTGGGTCGGCCACCCCGCCCTCCTGCCGCAGGGCTTCCTCCAGGGAGGTCCCTGAGCGGTCCTTGGAGGCCAGCATGCTGTACTTCAGCAGCGTGCCGGCCTGCCCAAAAGGGTGTTCGAGTGGATTGGAGGAAGCCGCAGAGGGTGAGGGTGGAGGTGAAGTTTGGACGCCAGCCGCCAATGTCGCAGGCGGGCTACGGTCGGCAAAGCCGTGGCAGATTTACGTACGCTCGCAGCTCCGTCGTATCCTGAGCGCGGCAAGCAATGTGCAAATGCCGCTCCATCCAACCAAAATCATGCCTACACGCCTGCCGCGGTTCACATCAACTGCCGTGCAACATCCCCCCCACTCACACGCTCAATTCAGCTGCTGAGGAAGTTGGCATTCCTCCCTGGCCCCCTACCCTCAACCAGAACATACCACTGCGCGGCTGCCCAGGAAGGTCGACTGGAAGCGGACTCCCTCCTCGTCCGTGAAGGCCACCAGGTGGATGGACCCGTGGGTCAGTAGCGACGACGCCAAAGTGGGCGGGATGACGATATCGCCTTCCTGCACCGGTCCAGAAGCATGGGGTTGTTATGCGGATACGGTAGCAGTGAAAGCCACGGCCGATGGGCTATGATGATGATGATGTGAATTCCTGCACCATCGCCACACAACCTGCAGGGTGCCCTCGCCAGCGCCCTCACCAGGACATGTTCTCGCTAGCTGTGCTGCTGTGGGAGGTGCTGGCGTGCAAAAGGTCCCGGCCTGGACTGAACCCCGTGCAATTGGCCTGATAGTGGGTGCAGACTCCGGTTCATGATAATGGTGATGACAGCACTGACCTCCTCATCCGCCGTCTGCAGTGGGAGCCTGTGTTGCCAGCCACGCTGCACCATCTCCGTCAACAGCATGCTTTTAACTGCCGCTAGACCCACGATGATGCCCAGCGCGCCGTCGTACCTGCACCGTTGCGGGAAATGTGGGTGTTGCAAGGAAAGGAGGTGGGTCTGACGTGTGAGCCTAGAAAACACGTTTCGTGCGCTATACCGTACAATCGCATACGCATAACCCATGCTCACAAGAACCGGCGCCGCAGGTACCTTGCATGCGTGCGCCTCAAGGACCGTCACCACCGCGCGGTGCTGCAGCGCCGTCGAGTTCCGTTGGAACGTGCCTCTATAATCACCGGCGCAACAAGCCCCGTCGGCTTGCTTTGTATACCCTGGTTAATCACAGACGGACATCATAGTACCCTCAAGTGCCGTACTCACGCGCCTCCGTCCAGAACGGTGTCGTAGTGGGAGCCCAGCAACACCGCCTGAGTGCCGTCGCGGCTGGCCTTGATGCGGCCGTGAACGTTCCCCACGACATCTATCCATGACTCCATGCCACAATCCTGCATCCATGCCTTGATCTGCCGCGCCAAATCAACAAACCAGTCCAGGGTCAAGGCAGCCAGTCGCCGGCACAGTTGCAGTAAGGACCGGAGAAGCAGGGGCTGAATGACGTGAATTGGGGTTTCGGAGCTGCTGCTGTTGTGAGTTGGTGCAGCAATGCAAGGGCCTGAAGGTCAGGAGCCTTCCGGTCACCAGGAAAAAGAACGAGGTCAGGGTGGTAGGAAGAAGAGGTGACGCAGGAAGTTAGGGCTGAGAAATGATGGGAAAGGCCTGCGTGGTTTCCGCCGGTGGAACCACTGAAACGAATTAGAGACAGCCACTCTGTCGATCGGTGAGCGAGACGCGCAGCAAGGGCAGGTCGTACTTGTCGATACGTGACCCAGTGGATAGGGAGGAGGACCAGGGCTGACGTGGCGCCTAAAGGGCCTTACTTGCTCCGCCGCGCGGCGATGTGCAGGCGAGAAGAAGGTGCGGGCTAGGGATCCCTCCGTATCGCTAATCTGCAGAGGCGGCCAAGTTAAGTTACCCAGGGTGCGGGTGGAGACGGGAGTAGCGGACTGAGGCAAGGCAGCAGCAGGGACACGGTAGCAAGGTGCGTTCACATGTAAATGTGGCCCTTATTGCTACGTGACCAGGTACACTGTCTCGGGACGCAGGTCTGTCTGGTCCTTGTCCAGGTAAGGAGCGATAATTCATGGATACTATCACTGCCACTGTATGACTTTTGCGAGGCGCGGGGCAGCTTTTGGAGAGGCAGGCGGAACGGCTTCTGGTAAAGCGTGGCGGTGGCGTAGCTCGCAAGAGGCAGTTACTCACCGCCGCCAACTGCTGTAAGTGCTTGTTGGGTTCAATATGCAACGCTCGACGCAGTATGGGATCTGGCCCATCCGATTCACCTGTATTAGGCATGGCAGCGTTGAGGTAAAGATCAGCGGCGTGAGCACGTGTCCAGCAGCTTGCGATACCTACTAGCGGAGAGCTGGATAGACGCCCAGCACGCTGCTAAAGCGAGTAGCAACCGCCAATTGGCCATTTCTTGTAATCTTCTGATTAGCTATCTTGTCGAAAACGAGTGTGTCAAGCAGCCAACTGACAGAAACGCAGCAAGGACAGGACACCTTCCACTCCCGACATTGATGACAATGTAATTAGAATTGAATGCGCTAGGCAAATCCAGTAACACCCACTGTACCACGCTTGCGGCATGAAGGACTCCACACAGCTAACGGAATCAACGATTACTTGAAAGTACTATTATACTTTACTATGCTCTACCCCGCAACCAATATAACAATTGTCCAGAGTACGCAAGTGTTACGGGGCGCTTATACATCCAGTTTAGCAGACTTGTATCCGCAGATTATGTCGAAGGCTAGGCCGATCGAAAACCTGTCCTAACTTCTTGCAGCTGGGCTGTTGGTAGAGAAATCACCTTACTTTGGTAATGGTTATAATGTTCCAACCACTTTGACTACTTATCCAAGCGTCGGGCAAGGAGCGCCAGCAGCTCTCCGAAACAGTGAAAGCCGTACCAGGCGCATTTGGCAAATAGAAGCGTGAAGTAAGGAAACGCTCATCCTTTTTGGGATTGGCTGGGCGTATGCAGCGCCCTTCGTTACACCCCCACGGGCCAGAGGGGGACCTCTCTCCGGGGTTCCCCACCAGCGCGCCCTACCACACAAAGGACACCCTCAGCCCCACGGCTGCCCCCTGGGCATCTTCGGTGCCCCATGACCGTACCCCCGCAACACTCAGCCCAACCAAAAGCATCCCTTCCCATACAACCGAGGAAACCAGCCCCGGCGTGAGCCACCAAGCACTCCCGCGCCCTATTGGCGGCGGCGGCTTTGCTGGTCCCGGCTATGCCGACGCTAGCTCTACATTCTCTCTTTCCGCTATGGGCGGCGCCGGTGGTTGCTTCCCGCCACCGGGCGCTGCTGCTGCCGCCGTGGCGGCATCACACGCTGCCGCCGCGCCACGCCAGGCACCGGAACCCGTCATTCAAACCGCGCCACGGATGCCCTCCGCCATAGCGTTGTCGCGTCCGGTGCAGCCTGCTCGTAAGCGCATCGGCTCTGCGGAGGACCTGAAGCACTTTTTGAATGGCCAGACAGTTAAGGACTTCATGGCCTTTATCCTCTCCATCAATGAGGCCGTAAAGGGCAAGAAATGCAACGACCCGTCGTACACCCCGTCACCGGCGGTGCAGCGCATGTGCGCGCTATTGACACAGCTCGAGACGCTCGTGGACGAGGTGCCGCCGGAGCAGCAAAGCCTGCGGTACGGCAATCCAGCATTCCGTACTTGGATGGCACGACTGGCTGAGCGCGCTCATGCGCTGCTGGAGTCCATGCTGACGGAGGAGATGCGGCCGGCGGTGGTGGAGTTGCTGCCGTACTTCCTGGACAGCTTTGGCAATGCGACGCGCATTGACTACGGCACCGGTCACGAGACGCAGTTCTGCGCGCTGCTGTACTGCCTGGCCAAGATCGGCGTGTTCGGGGAAGATGACCGGCAAGTGAGTTTGGAAAGCTATGCAAGATTATGAAAGTAACCATTGAAGAAAATTTAACGTTGACTACCGAACAGTCAAGCAGCCAGAGGTGTGGCAGTGGTGGCAGGCAAACCTCCCGAGAGGAAGAACGTAAGGATAGAGCGCGATGTGTGTGTGTGTGCCTGTGTTTGTGTGCCTGTGTGTGTGCCTGTGTATGTGCCTGTGTATGTGCCTGTGTATGTGCCTGTGTGTGTGTCCAGTTGGCCGTGGCCGCAAGCGTGGGGCAGGGCTACGGAAGCCAGATTGGAGAGGGAGCTGGGCGGTTTCTCTCCATGGGGTTGGTGGGCGCGCCCTCCTGTCTGAAGGCAACGAAATGGGCTGCAGCAGGAGTGGCTTGAACAGGGGGACAGGGGGGTGAACAACAGGCGAAGTGGGCCCTGGCAGGACGTAGATGCGTACAGTATGGAAATGGTGGGACGCGAGGAGGCGGGGCCGAATGCAGCTCTGTGTTGGGTCGGGTCTCTATAACTGGCGCAAGTCCTACATGGCAAGAAGGCTGTGGAGCGTAGTGGGATGGAGCCTCGAGGGGCGGAAGTGGCTTGGTGACCCTGGGCGCTACAGGTGGTAGGGGAAAGCCTTTAGGGGGGTACACTGGGCGACATGGGTTGAAAGTTACGACGCGACGTTGCATGAACAGTGCTCCCTATGTCGATGTGTGGCTAGGAACGGCTGCACGTGGGTTCGTTGGTTGAGCAGGTGGATGGGGATGCTGCAGGGCCAATAGCCGGGTACACGCTTTGCTGATGTCCCTTGCTCCTCTTTCCATGCTCTATTCCTGGCGTTGCGCTTCCGGCAGGGCCTGGGCCTCGTGATATTCAAGCAGTACCTGGAGCTAATGCATAAAATCCAGACAACCTACTGGTACGCGACGTCAGCCTGGTCAAATATGCGCCAGCTCCTTGCACACATGCAGACATGATGTTCGTTTGTTCACACACACAGGCACGGTACTAGCCTTGACGAACATACCTATGGACACACATGCATGGCGTCGCCTCGACATAGCACATACAGAGGGGGCAGACTTAGGTCAATGTCACTAGGGGCGCTAACTGTTGTACAGCGTTGAGCAATGGAGGAGACGCAAGAGGATCGGCAGCGGGTTTGGCACTCGAGGTGGTGCGACTGAGAGGAGCCGCCCTCTGCGACAGGAAACCCCTGGAGACCCTGGCTGAGTGACCAGCAGGCCAGGGCACACCGTTCATGGTCAATCCTTCATGTCCGCTGCCTCGCAACAATAGCGGTCAACCTGACCTAAACGACGTATGCCCAGCATCTCTGGCCTCCAGCAGCCGCTCCTTAACACCAGCACCGCCCTTACATACCCACCCCAACAAACTGGCGGGAAACGCAGGCTGGAGCCCGCCGGCTCTCACGGTGTTTGGGGGCTTGACGACTACCAGTTCCTGCCCTTCATCTGGGGCTCTGCGCAGCTGATCGCACATCCCATGATTAAGCCCAAGTCCATACACAATCCTGACATCTTGGAGGCCTACGCCAGTACTTACCTATACCTGAACTGCGTTAAGTTCGTGAAGCAGGTGGGCAGAGGGAGTTATGGAGTGGCGTTTGCTGGGCTTAGAAAGACGATTGGATGGATTTGGTGGCCGTAGACGGCGTGGACCTCTGCACGTACGGTGCTGGCTGGTTGATGAGTAGCATTGTCAGGTCTGTGTCCGATGGCGCGGTGATGTCCTGCGCTGGCGCTTCCGGAATCTCAAATCCAGAGTCCTCATCTTCACCTGCGGCGTGCAGGTGAAGAAGGGTCCTCTTGGCGAGACGTCCCCTATGCTCAACGACATCAGCTGTGTGCCCACTTGGGCCAAGGTAGGATCGCGTTGTTGTAGGGAACTAAGCATGAGGTGCAATCCGGCCGGGAAGAATTTCACTTGGGTCGAATTTGGATCGAATTGCTTGCGCTGTGCGGTTTGGGAAGCCATACCTATGAATCGCCCTAGCTCACGCTGACCGACAGCTGCTGGAAACGCCGCAATGGCAGTCATGTCATAAACCCGACCCTGCCAGTAGGGCGGCCGAACATGGTCCCGCCCAAGAGCACCGAAAGAGCAGTGAATGCGGCGTGCCGCAGTGGCATGAACGACCGGCCGTGCTGGACCAGGTGCACACGGCGACCAGAGACTGCCAAACGGGACGGTGCAGCAGCGGCAGCAGCAGCACCCGTTTCTGATGCCCCCGTTGCTAATCAGTCTCTTATCTCGCACGTAATTCCTGCGTTGCCGTCGCCCTTCCATTCACCACATGGGGCCACGTGTCGGAAAGGTCGACCAGGGTTACCCGGACTGTCGGCTAGGGTTATCCGCGGCAATTGAGTTTTGAGCTGTGGTGCGTCGAGTCCTGGAAAGGTTTTGTGTGACTCCCTCTGCTCGATGGGTATCATGGGGCTTTGGCAGGGCCCACAGATTCCGCCCTCGCCCTTCCCTGGACAGGTGAACAGCGGTATGATCAAGATGTACCAGGTAGAGGTGTTGTCCAAGTTTCCCATCATGCAGCACTTCATGTTTGGGACCCTCCTGCCGTTTGAGTAGCGCTGGGAAAGGAGTGGGAATTGGAGGCTAGCCGCATGTTGAAGGCGGCGTGGTTCTGGCTGGCCTGTTGTACGGGGACGGTTTTGCACTTGTGCCGTTGTGTATAGGAAACTCAGCTGCAGGAAGTGAACACGGAGTACGCGCGGCAGAGGCGGAATGCTCCTGAGAGGAAACGAGCGCCAGAGCTGCTCTTGGCGGTATGGCAGCTTTTTTGCAACGACTGAGATGCCAACTATGTTGTAACCATGGTGGCGAAGGGCTCGCATGATAGGGTGGGAAAGGCGCGTCTGCGTGAGATTGCAGCTTGTTTAGGCACGGAAAGGACTGCAGCGGTGAATGTAACAGTGAAAAGGTATAAATAACGCTGCACGCTTAATTCTTAGGAGCTCTAAACGATGAAGCGGCTCATATATATACTTGCTAACAGTCGGAAACGCAAATCGAAAGGGCGACAGCAGGTCACATAGGCAGAAAGTATGACTTGTCCCTTGTCATGGGTGGGCGGGTTAAGGGTGGGTAGGCACGTGTAGCCGGTGTGTCACTCGGTGTCTCCTCATAAAGCGACCTGCCCAGAACCTAACCAAGGACATTTACCGGGTATCTTTCACAATAATGCAGATGAGATGGCACGGACAAGGAAGGCATTATTTATTTGACGATTGCAAATTGACCAACGCGACATTTCGTGGAAGTCCAAAACTTTTATAATGACCCGTCCCAATAAATCATCAACAATTATATATGCACTGCACATGATTTTCCGTCGGGATTTCGTTAACAGAAAAGTATTTTGCCGTGCTCCGGCACTTTGTCGAACAAAAGGTCACCGTGCGTCATAGGCGCGTTGTACACAGTTCTGTCCCATACAAACGATCGATATACAAAGTTGTTTATTTTGCATATCCCTCTGGCGCCGGAATTCCTGTGTCGACATCCCGCCTTTTTTCCTCTGGTCGACGCGAGTTCAGCTCCTCCGTGCCCGTTTCCTCTGCGGGGCCGCACTGAAACGTGACAAGTGATTTTACCTATGTCATTAAAGACCCGGCCAGCGAGCTTAGGTGGTGCATATGTTGCGCAGCCCTGGTACCTATTGTGACGCCCTTCATTCAACCGCGTACACAGCACGCCTGTTTCCAGATGTTGTCCTTAAGGCCTTTGGAAAGGCTTATCCTGCACATAGAGTTATCCTAGCGTCGCAGAGTGCTTACTTTGCAACGCTGTGGTCGTGGGTTTCTTGGCAACCAGCCTCTGGGCGAGGCTGTTACGCAGAGGAGGAATGGTCAAGCCTACCTTCCCATGACCTAGTGCTGGGCGAGGATGTAACGCAGAAAGGTGCGTGCGTGCGCTGAGCCTGGAGCCCGCTTGGCCGTGCGGACACGGGATATGCCACTAGCCTAAACACGCGCGCACGACCTGTCAGGCGCCATCATCACTGGGGAGCAGAAACCTCATTGTAATGTACTTCGCCTGATCCCTGAGTCAGGGGGGCCAAGTGGTTACGTCGCTCCGGCCTTGGCGCCCCTGACCAGAAGAAGGGGGTTACAGAACAATCTATCCTGGGTGGTGTCAACACTGTGCAAAGCGCCCCTGGGTTTTGGATGCAGTGCTCATCACCAATTACCAACCAAGCGCCACCACCACCAGCCGTGGTGCTACACAGACAGCCAACTGGGTTAACCTGTGACGCCTCCATGTGAACGCAGGATTCGAGTGGATCCTCGAGTATTTTTACGCATCGCCAACCGTGATCATCACCAGCGAGAATGCCTTTGACGTGCTCGCAGCGGCACACTACCTGGGAGTTATCGCCGTACAGACGGCTTGCGTGGAATTCGTGGCCCAGGTGCGCGCCAGGCATCCTGGCTGACGGAGGTTCCCTTCTGCAAGGCGCCAACTCACTGACGAAAGTTGATTAGTGACGAGGGCGTTGCATCACATCTTTCTGCTGAACAGACGAAAAAGTTCGATTTGGGCTCACGATATGAGCTCACGCAGACCGCCGCCAGGCAGCGCGCAAGCTTCCTGGTGTTGCCCTCATACCTTTCCGAGGTTCTGACTTGTCCTTCATCCTCACCGATCTTCCCGGCGCACCGCCAAAGCTTAAAATTGTTTCTCAAAGCTTGCATTCCGCTGAGCGCGGGTCCCGCACCCCTATCCACGCGCTTGCTGGCATAGGTCTTAACCTATCCACGGCATCTTCATCTTCATCATGTCCACATTAACAAATGTGTTATGCTTTCCCGCATCACCGTTCTCCTTACGTTCGTCGGTACAGCACCTTGACCCCCACAACTTGGCAGCGTGCTTGCTATGGGCAACACGTGCCGACCACGGCGAGGCATCCGACATGCTGGCGTCCTCATGCCGACGCCTCCTGGCGCTGCGCCTGCCACAGAATCTATCAGCCTGGGCGCCCGCGCTCGCCCGCATTGAGCCCAGAATCTTGCTGGACATTATGTCGTCCGACCACCTTGCCGTACCGACGGAGTACGACAGGTACGAGTTAGTGAAAGAGGTGGCTAAAATCTGCGCCGCTGCAGCGGCTGCAGCTCCTTCGGGCGCGCTGGCGGCGGCGGCAGCAACTACAGCAGCGGAAGAGACGGCAGGAGGCGGAGCTGAGGGCGGTGCAGACGGAGCTATCGGAGCGGGTGGGGATGGCCACAGCGGCGGCGGTGCCTCAGGAACGCTGGAGGTCCAGCGCATGCTTACCTCGGCATTGCGGCTCTCTGATGAGGGCTTGGCAGGGCATTTGGAGTTAGCCCGTTCCTGCTCGTCTGCCGGGTTGCCCTGCCCTGGGCTTCCACCTACCGTTGCAGCAGCAAAGGAGCCCGCCACTGCCGCTGCTAGCGCCAGTGCCGCAGTGGACTGCACGTTGCCCCGTCGGTGCCTTTCCTCCTCTGCAAGCCTGGGTTCAGTGGCCGGTGATGCTGACAGCGACGCTAGCTTGGTCGGTAGCGCAAGTCCGGCGGCAAGTGCCTTGGGGACGTCCTCGTCAGAGTGCACGAGTGTGGACGTTGCCAGTGTGCTAACGAGCAGCCAGGCGTCTAGCCGGAGCACGCTGCGGCTATGCGAGCTCGCCGTTCCAACGACTCCGGAGGAGCACCGGATTGAGGATGCGGTCACAGACACGGCTGGTAAGGCGCCTTGCAAGAATGCAACGGTAGTGGTTGCGACGGCTGCAGTGTCGTCGCCGCCACTGCGTTCTCATAAAACCCAAGGCAGTAACGACAGCTCGGACGTCGTGGACGTGCCGCAGAGGGCGATTTCGATGGTAACCGCGGGGTCTTCTGTCGCAGCGACAACAGCAGCGGCGGCCGTAGCTGCGTGCGCACGGATGCTGCTTCATGAAGCCGTACGGTATGAGCACCTTACTGTGCCGCAGTTGATGGCAGTTATGGGGGAAGGGCTGGTACCTGCGAACGTGCTGCACACAGCTTTGTGGGAACGTACGCGGCTTGACGTCGAAGTCCATGCTCGATCGAGCCAGGCTGCCGCCGCAACAGGCGAGCGAGCCGGCACCCACTCCATTGCTGGAGGTGCGGGAGGTGGTAGCAGGAGCGGACGAGTGGACGCTGCAGAGGCTGTACCGGTCGGTGCTCTGGTGCGACCGCTTCGTTTTCGAGCGTTTCGCATGTGTTGGCGCCTGCCATGCGGGGCGCTGCGGAAGCTGCAGCCCAAGGACGTGTTGCAGTCCGATTTGCACCAGCACGCGGGGTCGCTGTGGCACCTACGTGTCTGCTGCAGCGACCGCTCGCGCGACCATCTGGGGCTGTTCGTGGGGCGCCACCTGGCAGGTGCTGCTGTGGGAAATGCGACCGGCTTGTTGCGGCTGTGGCAGGGCGCGCGCCTTTCGCCAGCGAGGCAGATGGAGCCCGCAGGGCGAGAAGCTGGAGGACAGCAACCGCACCGGCTTCGGCCCGGTCGGCGCGGCCGTCTCCAACCTCCGCAGGAGCATCCGTTGATTGACCCGGTGCCGCCCCCGCCAATGCAGCAGTGGCAGCAACGGCAGCATGCCGCGTTGTCCAGGCCGTTCTTCGCCTACACAGACCAAAACGCGTCGTTGCGGGGCCGGTGCCGGCTTTCCGTGTTTCAGTCCGATAACACAGCGTTGCAGGGCCGACTGTGTCTGGGGGACACAGGCGATTTCACGGCTGACTTCGCGGCGGGTGGCTACTTTGGGCAGGGCCAGCTGATTGCCCGGGCTGACCTGGCGCGGCTGCCGGACGAGCAGGAGATGCTGGTGTTCATGTCGCTGCAGGTCCCCGTCGATACGGCGGAGTAGGCGGGTCAGGCGTGCTTGTTAAAGGACGCCAGCAGAAGATGTACAGTGTGCGAAGATGTCACAGCTCGCCAGGGCGCCGACTCCATTTTGTGGCGCGCTATGTGCGGGTGCAGCGCTTACGGTAACACGTGAAGAGCTTGCATCGTTCATTGGTTCATTCCGTTATTTAGAGCAAACGCTAGAGCAGATGGTGCCTGAGGGACTATTCATGTGCAATACGTTCAGTGGTCCGAAGGGGGAGGGTCATGCCACGGTCTCCGGCGACGGTCATGACCCCTCGCGATGCGCATGAAGTTGTAAGGGAGTTTCATGGAGCGCATTGTGCGCCGTTGCGTTCATTTGTTTTTTTACTTCTAGATCCGCACGGTGCATTTGCATGCGGACAGGTGCTTTACATATTAAGATGGCGAGATCTGTTGTAGTACGGAGGTGTGGTGAAGGTAAAGAAGATTGTTCGTGCGATTTGTTGGCCGATGTCGTTGTCGATTGGCGAAGCCATGGCCGATTTGTGTACCCTGGGAAAGCTGTTGTACCATATTATGCTGAGAGATGTGAGTTTGCGGGGGTCTTAGACGAGTTTCATGTTCACCGCTGGAGAAATTGTCAAGTGGTCGTCCATGCTACCCGCCACACGAAAACGATAGATTAGGCAGGAGGGAAGGAAAGCCCTGTCGCCGCCAAGGACGTGTGGATCCGTCTGGCTGTTCTGTCTTTGTCGGAGAGATGGGAGGAAGAGTGCAGACAGGTTTTGATGCTGTTTTCTAATTAATCCTAGGCGTGAATGGCCTGTGAACATTGGGAATAGCGCGAGAAGCTATCGTTTACGTTGCAGGGCGTCGCCCGCACTAGATGGGTAGTCTGTTGGTCGTAGCAGCAGTGCAAATCGATGGATCCATTTTCACTGGAAGCAAACTCCACGCCTCATTGTGCGTGCATTTTTGAACCCTAATAACCATTGCCGTACTAGCAGTACAAACCACCGTACTGTACCACACTCGGATATGAAAGCCCGCTGCCGACGACCGTGGATAGGATGAAAACTGTTGCCAGATTCGCATAGGTCCCTCGTCGAGAAATTGAAAGTCTCATCCTCATGTCCTCAGTTTCGTGAATGTGCACATGCATAGATATCGTTTATTATGGTCGTGTGGTTTGTATGGCCTTGGTTTGTATGGCCTTCCGGTAGGCGCCCAGGATAGCCTTGTGGTCTGCATGCCAAGAGGGATGCGGCCAACGAACGCGCTGGGCAAGCCGTGACAAACGAGGCGATGTAAACATAATGACGATGCGCAACATGCATATGCCTACTGCGTTCGTTTAGCTAAACATACACGCGGTCTGGCCTAGCACACGACAACGTTAATATACACTGCGGCACAGTGCGTGTCCAGTGCCGATGCATGTACAATAGGTGAAATCATGAAGCTGGGGAACTTGTAAAGTCTCCCCACTCGTTTGTGTCATCTGAGTCAGCCGTGCCGCTGGCGGGGACTGCCGCCTGGCCCGCTGTTGAGGCGGCGGACCGGCCAGCTACCCTGCCATTTGTCGCTTTGGAAACCGCTGGTGGCGGCGCCAGCTTCAATGCCCCGACTCCTTGCACCACGACCTCCGCAGCTTTGCTCCCGCTTAGGCCTGCACCAGTGCCTTCACCTTCGTGGCGTTTCTGTGACAAGAACAGAGCGCAGAGAGTGTCACAGTAGGTTAGGAAGATAGATTAGAGGTTGGCAGAAGCAAGACAGGATATAAGCCCTAAAGGTAAGCTTACAAGAAAAGGTATTGCGCAAGGACATGCAGGGTTAACCCATCGCAGCTCATGGGCCACGCATGCGGCAGCTGTTGTCCACAGCCGGACCCTCACAAACACGCGAACGCAACCTCGTGACAATCCAACTGTAGCACACTGCCTGCGGCTCACGTCTTGAAGGCCTACCGTACTTCCTATCTTCAGCGGGATGACTATATTCTCCTTGAGGCTGTAATCACGATGTTGGCCACCTTCACCGCTCTCCTGCCTCTCGAAATCCGCCTTCATGGCCTCCGCCTCCTGCTTGCGTCGCAGGTACTTGCGGTACTCATCCAGCCCCGTGGTGAAGCCCGACGCGTCATTGCGCTCCCTGTCAGGCCAAGGTTAGTATGCGGGTTGCAAGTGAAGGGACGTCCCATCATGTGTATGTCCGGTTCGACAGCTCCCCCACCGTGTGTCTCAGTGCTGCTCCCTTTCGGCGAGTCGATGACCCATGCTAATGTGCAACGCCCTGCTAACAAATAGGCATCTCCGGACCCTGCACCGGCGACCGGACCTAAATCCAAGGCCGATGAACGCATGTTTTCCTGTCTCCTTGTCCACCACACGCAATACGAAGTAGCGACTACTGTCTACGACGGGCTCCACCGCCTGCAAGTTACAGGAGGTATCAATATTATTAGGAGGGGCAGATTGGTCTCGAACGGCGGCCCGAGGCGATAAAGTACATTTGATGCGGGTCACGCCATGAAAATGAGTAGTGCTTGGCTCATGTTATCACATGACAAGGCAACAGCACAAACCAGAATGCCGTACATCTGGGCCAAACTGGACCGCTGTTGGCAGACGCATCTACGACCAAGCTTTAGTGCTACGTACATCGTACAAGAGTAATGGATGACGCTTTGCCATGTGCTAGTAGGGTGTGTGCCAAGAATCCTGAGCCTTGCGCTCTTGACCATGCACACCCTTTGGCGTTCCATCCAACACAACCCAGCACTTTGGATATGGTATTATGCCGCGACTTGAACGGACATGCATTATCATATCCGATTCCGCAAACCACTACGTGCAATCAGGGACCAGCACGACAGCATCAACACGTAGAAGAAACGTTAAAAAATGTAACTAGCTTACCGTTGTTAGAGGTGTTCCGTCGCTTGGCAAGGGGCACTCGGCGAACAACTCCCCTGCGATGCATTTGCCAGCCAAGGGTTTGGGAGAGGGTGCGGGAGCGGGAGGGAACAGCAGTGACGCACAACACCCATCCCGATAACAATCCATCAATCAACAATTCGTCCATACCTGTTTCCTGATCATTTAATCGCACCGTCATGTTGTCACCGGACGCCACCAGCTCCACCTTGAGGGCCTGCACCGTGACATGGCAGCTTGCCGGAACTGTACCTTGACACTTGATTGCCTCATACAATCACATTTGAGAATTATACCTTGAACCATTTATCCACATCCCATTTATCTGCCCGGTGTCCTGCTGAGCCAGCTGGTGGTATCGGCACATAAACATAGCCTTCCCTACAGCTCCATTGGACTAGCTCCGCAGCAGGCTCAGCGTCAGTTGGCAAGGACACCTTCGCAAGCCGCGACTTGGAAGCCATTCGAAAGTCCAGCTGGCAACCACCTTTAACCTAGCGAATCCTGGGCCCTTTCATCAAGATAGGACAACAAAATTTTTGGACGAAACGACGCAAAAAACAATATGGGCTCTGGAATAAACGACTGGACAGTACGGCTTCTGTTTGGGATGCATGCAATCCAAGCGAGGCTGCTTCTTTGCACCAAAATATACGTAGCATGCGTCATCTGATGTTCCATTTGACAGTTCCGGGATCCCTGTAACCCTTGCGGTTGGCGAGCGTAACGCATTTGTGCGCCTACGGCTGCAACAGCGCTCAGCTGTGGCGTTTTGTTATCGTTACCTATAAATGTAAGCTTTCCCTGCAATAATATGTATCAACGTGGCATGTTACACTCGATTTTATGCTTATCGCGCAACGTTGTCGCAGTATCTTGCCCTTTTCTGAGCTAGCGGCACTTCATTCGACAGAGTTCGCCCCGAAGCGTTGTCGTATTCTGTACCTGGCTAGAACTTATAGATAGATTAGGAAAACGTGGTTCGAAGGTCTCTGCAGGATTTGAATGCGCCCCGCTTTTCGGTATGTTTTACACGATATCCCTTAAATTAACGTAATTATTCCTCAGTAGCAGTCGTGCGACGACCACCATATCGACCTGCACCATCCAACCATCAACGTACATGCGCCCCTGCAAATGCCCCCTGAGCGTCCCGTGCCGCTGCCCACGCGCCACTCGCACTGCCCGCACGCCACACAAGCACCCGTCTCGGTGTCTATGAAAAAAAGCTCTTCAGGCAAACCTCCCTTTAAGCGCAATCCTGAGGCCCAGCACTATGGCAGCAATCTTCCTTTGGCTGCCAATTGAAAAAACCTGGTAATTGCTTTCCAAGGGGACCCTTTCACACCTGCATACGACGTTTCCTGCCGTGCTCTTGCCGGCTGACAGCCATCCCCTAGCTCAATTTCGCCCAAGTAGAGTGCCAGATATCGTCCGACCCACACCCGCCTCAAGACTCCACGTGTAGCTTCCGGTTGAGGTCAATCAGCCTCGATATCATCTCCTCGCTGACCGGCCCGTACCGTGCCACGTGTGCTCGCCGTAGCGTTTCCCTGGCCAATCCCGCCAGCCCGCTGCCGTCGCCATGCTCCTTCACTGTGCAATCGTAGTGCCGCACAGCAAGCAGCACGTGTAAATCTGACCCGGCGGACACCGCTTCGATGGCCTTGAGGCTCGCCTGCAGACAGCCGCACGGAAAGGGTTGCATGGATTACATTGTAGCGGGTAGGGGCTGCAAACAGTGCTGGAACAGGAGGATGCAACAATCACGCAAGCAGCAGGACGATTATGCATGCATGTTTCGCCTCGCCAGCCCGATTAAAGAAAGCATGGGCTATCCGGCCGTTTTCACTTGAACATTTTGTCAGGTGCGGGCGTACGGCGTAGGTTGAGATCCAACTGCCGTTAAGATCGAAAGGTGGCCCAATGTTAGAGGGCTACACAGCACGGCCTTGCTTTCCACGAGTGCTCGCAAAAGATTGGTAGCCGACAACCTACCGCTACACTCCGCTAGCTCGCCATCCGCACCTGCAAACTGCTTGCGTCTTCACCCTGTCCGAGCGCCGCTGCGCAGGAAAACAACAGGTCGTATGCGTCGTACATGCTCGCGATGATATACTGTCGTACGTCAGGTGCTAGCAGGGTCTTGCGGAAGAGCCCGTAGAGCCGGCGCAACCACGACTGTACCTCCCGCTGCACGTCCCCAACGGCCTCCATGTCGCCTACTGCCCGCCCCTCCAGGAAAGCAGGCCCCAACTTGTCGTTCACCGCCTCGAAGAGCTCCATGTACACGTCCTCCACCTTCTCGTAGTGCGCTTGCTCTGCCTGTGGGAAGGGGCTCCATGTCAGTCGTCAAGGAAGGGTGAAAAAGTTAATAGAAGACCGATTTGCCCCATCACGGCCATAGCGTTATGGTACATCACTGCGCCGCCCCGCGTTCAGGACAGGTCGAGAGGAGAAATGACAGGTCGAGAGGAGAATATATATATAGAAGACGCGCAGCCGCTAAGGGCGGTGGGAACGTGGGTGTGAGGAGGGCCCAGTTTTGTGAAGAGGATGCATATGCGTGGTGAGGTCCGGCAATGCGCTTCGCAGGACAGCGCGTTATTAGGCACGCAGACGGGTCCCAAATCCGGACCCAACTGGCAGCTCACCCGACACCGTTCACAGCTGCACTCGAAGCCGTAGTCCTCTGACAGGATGCCGATCCGGCGGTTGAAGGGCAGCAGCTGGGGGCGGCCCAAGTAGCAAATGGTCACCTGCGATACAGCATCGCAACTCTAGTCGACAGCGGCTGCATGAGGCACGGTGCATGAGGCATCCGTGCGCCCTTCACGACCAGAAGCATCACCCATGGCCCAGAAGCCTCCCACTCTGTAACAATTCAAGAAGCACCACCAATCTGCTGTCGTTAAGGGTGCGACAGTGCCGAGCAGACTCCTTCCCATCGACCTCCGCACATAACACCACAAACGCCATGCGGTACCTTGAGAGGCGCAAAGCAATCCAGGCTTTGACCGACCACCAGTCCCGCCGCCGCCTGCAAATCCCTCCCCCGGCATGGAAATCTGGTCTCACAATCATCTCGTGCGTTGCCCATCTCTTTGCCTGCAGCTTACCTCCTCCCCTGCCTTAATTCTCCGACACGCTCGCACGACCATGGAGCCGCCGATGACGAAGTTTGTGGTGTTGGGCGCACAAGAGTGGTTGAGCAGCGCAAACTCGGGCCACAGCCCGATGTGGCCGCGGGGCTGCTCGCCACGGCACTCACATGCCGCCAGGTCCTCTGCATCATCCCCAAAGCAGTTAAACTGGGACCGCCAAAGTACCCGGGAGGCGGGAGCGCGGACAAACAAGCAAGATAGCAAAAGACAGCAAGGAGTCACTGCTAAGGTGCTAAGGCAGAAGGCCAACCGAGAGCAAACAAAACGGATACGTCATCAAGCTGCCGCATCTTTATCGTGGGAAAACGACATTCTGGCAGAAGCATGCTTGTGGTGGTGCAGTCAGGATCGGGAGCAAGGCAGGCCGACGAAATACAAGTACATCAAGTACATCAACCACGCGCCAGATGCACATGCGTTGCTTTTGCTCCTAGCCCTTGCTCCTAGCCCTTGCTCCTAGCTGCCCGGGGAAAGTGTGCCCAGCACGAAGCGACAATTTGCACAAGCTTGGGCCTCCCCTCGGCACCGTACTCAACGCGGTCCCGGTGCATGCTCTTTGGCGGCGTCACGGGCCTCGAATGGCTCCTCAGGTGTCGCCACATGGCACGACAGGAAGTCGGGCACAAGCATGTGGTGTACAGTGGGCACCGACACGGCGCTCAAAACTCACCTTGACAACCTTTGCTAGGCGAGTTTGTTCGCGCCTGTCTGGCATGGGAAGCGCCTCGGCGGCTGCGGCCCCTGAGTCGCCTGCTGCCGCCGCCGCCACCGCGGCAGCAGCACTTGCCTGGGAGCTCTTGCCCCGCCGCGCAGTTGGGCTACGGCTCGCCAGGAAACCCTTCTTCTTGGCTGGGGGGACGGCTGCGGCTGGCCCTGCCTTGGTAAGGGAGAGTGTCGAGGCCAGGACTGGCTCTGGCGGCTGCTCGGCCCGTGGCGCATCCGTTCCTTCGGATCCTGGTGCAGTGGCATTACTGAAGATGGATGTTGAATCACAGGGAGCCAACTGGAACTGGGCATTACAAGAGCGGCTGCTCCCGTCGTATAGCACCGAGAACCATTTGCTGGCGTATAGCTTGCGCTCCAGGATTTCATCAACAACGAGCTCTCCCGAGGGGCGCTGTCGCTGCGACGAGGTCACCAGGGCGAGCGGTGGCGTGGCCATCACCACCTCCCCTAACGCAATGTCCCGGGTGGCGACAAGGCCGCGCCCCTTTCCTTGGTGGTAAGCGTGGATGGAGCGATAATAACGGAATTCGGTGAAGCAGGTTTGGATAGGTGGGATTTTATGGGCGTGGAATGGAGTCTTGATGCATGGCTCAAATACGCGTACCTTCAAGCATGGCAACCTTCACGCAATCAACTTGACGGGGGATTATCATGGTTGAGGTGTACCAGCTGTCGGCTAGCACGCCATGCCCGGTGAGTCCATTCGTTATAGACGCTCGAGGAGCCTCAACAATCGGGAGTTTTTCTGGATCAGAGGAATGCACAAATCGTCCGCTGGGCACATGCAGGTGTTGCACCAATGAGCCTTTTCCATGGGCAGCAAAACGCCGGCAAGCGCCGTTCCCTGGAACTGGAAGCATGGCATGCATTTTCGATACAGGGACTAGTTTTGAGCATTGCTTCGCAATTCTGGTAAGAGGTAGACAACGGACGGCAGGTACGGCAAATACAGCTGTGAAAGTAGCCCTTTCTTCCATTATGCAGGTTTATTAGCGTCAACTTTCTTAGCCTGGAAGAAGTCCTCATTAGTCTTCGCACTAGCTAGCTCACTGGGTGTCGGAGATGGCCGACCCTAGGACTGAGCTCAGCGTGGTTAATGACAGCGGGAGTGGTTTATGTAGTAGCTGTGGATATTGCGGGGGTGCAGACACCTCGGTGTCGCATGGAATGCCCACCCGGAAACTGACAGTATATGCGTACCAAGGTAACGAGCATGAGACGTCCTTCTTCCCATAAACCCCTCGCTCACACAGCAGTGCGTTGCACGCAGACCTGATTGATCAAGGCTGGCGCCGTTCAGGATGCTATCTTTATAAGGTTTGTTTTCGGTTTTCGAACTGACTGCACGTCAGGACAGTGGCAGTTACCCCCACACAACATACTTTACCTATCATGGCTTATATGTTTTAAATTTCCACACCCAGGACGATTTAGCAGCTTACTAACCTCCATAATCCAACTCCATGGTAACTGGTATTCCCCGTGCAGCCGGACCTCGCGAACTCATGCTGCAAAGCCTACACAATACGATTGGATGTGGAGCAGTTCACCCCAGACAAGGGACAGCGGCGCTTGATCCGCAAATGGCGCCGCTATCTCGAAGGTCCGATCCTCACCCGCATTCAGGTTGCTTCATGTCCTTAAATGCATTCGCGTGGGCGCCCGCGCCAGTATGGCACGACCCAAATCGGGAACAAGGCCTATCAAGTAATGGGTTTCAATTGAAGGGATGTAGCGGGCAGGTCCGCGCATTAAACATAGTGGTGACACTACAGGAAATGTAATTGGTGATGCTTTAAGGAGGCTCCACCACGGCACTTTTGCTCACAGGAGGACTCTTATCGCCAATAACTTTGCTGCAGGGAAGACACCAGAATTAACCGGGGAAAAGGATACTGGCGGCCGCGGCGATGCTGCAGCTGGCACGGGCACAGCACCTGTCAGCGCTTGTGATCTGCCGACCCTGCAGGTCCCCGCGGGCGGCAAGACGGATGTATCTGGAGCCCAACCCGGCCCAGGGCGGCGGCGTAGTGCCGCGGATTGCAGCCGCCAGGGGCCCCTGCAGCCGGCGCACTGTGATGTCCCCGCAGAGACGGTGGCGCGCAGGAAAGAGGCAGGTCCGTTGACGGTGATGGAAAAGCGGGCGCTGGAGCAAGGATCTGCTCCAGCGTTGGATCTGCTGGAGCAGATCCTTGTCGCGGCAGTGCAGGCAGCGGTGGCAGCGGGTGACCTGCCGACCGCCGCCGGCAACGCCCCTTACCCAAATCCAGCTGTACGCTGCTGCACCGATAAGCAACGCCAGTCGCTGCCAGCCGACGTCCGCTTTACATCATCGGCGGCGTTCCAGATGGCAGCGGCCATCGCGCGCAGGGGCAGCTCTGCCGCCGCGACGACAGGTGGGAGGTCCCAGGATGGCGGCTGCAGCAGTGGCGGTGGTGGTGCAGCACACCTCTCTGGTCAGCCGGACATGTCAAAGCTGCCTAAGCAGCTGGGCAAGGCGTTCCAGCCGCCGGAGGGCGCGCTTTCAGCGCAGAAGGTGGCGGAGGTGCTCGCTAGGCATTTTAACGCCCTCATCTCCTCTGGTGGCACTGAGGATGGGACTGCCGCAGAGGGGGGGGCCCAGGTAGCGCGGCTTAGTGGCCCGGGGCTGAGCGGAAGCTTGGCGGCGTGGGAGTGGCATACAGTGGGCAAGCCTGAGGCGTACGCTGCGAACGGCCATTTAAATATCCGCTTGCGGCTACCACTATCCAGCGGCGACGGCATCGATGCAAGCAACAACAGTAATGGACCTGCTACTGCAGCTGTGGCTGGTGGCAGTGAAGTGGCAGCGGCTGCGGACGAGGTCAATGGTGCACAGTCCCAGGGCCCGGCCACAGCGTCGCACGTGTGCAGCGGTCGCAGCTTGAGCTCCGGCCCTAACCCTAGGCCTAGCTTGCGGACCAATGCCGTTCCGCGGAACCAGCCTTGCACAGGTAACTTCTTCACGCTCGCGGGGTGCCGGGCTGCGGCGGCCTGCCAGGCCAGATGGATGCGTTTCCACGTGCGCATGTGCGTGTTTGTGTGTGTGGGGGGGGGCCGCAGGGGACCAGCCGCTCATACACGATGACTTCACCCACGAGAGCTGTGAAAGATTTGAATCCGGCAACTGCGCACAATCATAATGCGATCCATAGTGTGCGCTTATAGTGCGTGAACATGTTCGTTGTTGAGAATGCAGACGTTGTTACCCGTACTAGTGCTTAATATATGTTTTATGTGCTTATATTTATATATATTTTTATTAGTTCCGTCCTCTGGCAGATGAGTGTCGTGTTAGCGGTGTGTTTTCCAGTATATAGTTTACTTTTATCAAACTAAACGCGCGGTCCCTGGCCTCTGCTGCGCAACCGGCACCCTCCACAGCGGCCCCGCCGACGCCGGGGAGTACGGCCCAGACCAAGTCGCGACACACGACGGCGCTGGCTGGCACTCCAGCTGCCAGCAGCCCGGACCCTGACTCGTTGGCAATGCCCAGCGGGCGACTGCAGATCCGGATGGTGCCCAGCCGATTCCTTGATGAGGAGTTTGAGCTGTATAAGAAGTAAGGTTGTCAGCAGTAGGGCGTTCCCTGGCATGGGATGGCCGTTACCTGACTGGCCGTTAGCTGTTAAGATGCAGCCCTTGCTTTCCTTCCTGAGCTGCTTGCGTGGATGGTCCTGCACAGCGATTAGGGCAAGACTGGAGCTACAGTAGTTGCTAGCGAACCGGGGGCACTCCCGCGGGTAAGGTTGGTAGGACGAATCCTCCGTGGATACTCCAGGGCTCCAGAGGCGGGTATAGTTGTTTGACCGCGGCGAGCATCCAGCTAGGCGGGAAACCTTCCCCTATAACTACTTTCTCTACACACACACATACCAGCGGTGCAGAGGACGACGGTTGCCGTTGCGGCTCCCGCGGGGCAGTCTCGGACCCGTCTAATAATATGATCGTCCATGTAAATGCCCGTGTACATGCGGACCCTCTGCGTGCAGGTACCAGATGGCACAGCATGGGGACGAGCCATATCAGCTGAGTCGCGCGTCGTACACGCGCTTCCTGGTGGACTCCCCGCTGCCCCATGTGGGTCGCGATAGGGACCGCTCAGCGCCCGAGTGCGGCTACGGCTCCTTCCACCAGCAGTACTGGCTGGACGGTGAGCCGTGGGGTTACCGCTAGTCAGGAGGTCGCGAGAAGACAATCACAATGGAGTAGCTCGACCTCCGGAAATGAATTCTACGCCATGATCACCGCCTGATCTTAATTTCTTCTAAAAGGGTTCAACCATGCAAGAAAGAAGGAAGTATGCAATGAAAATTAATTTTGCAGTCGCTGTTTATGGTAACAAAGAAACCAACTGTCACTGACGGAGTAATACAAGAAGTCGCAGCCCCAAAAAGAAAAAACTATAAAAAAAAACAGCGCCTTAAAAAACCCCATAAAAATCCCATATTTCCATCATAACTCTATGAATTTTCATGCTGAGACGTCTAATAATGGATTCAGAATGACTTCCATGCTGTCATGCGGCCATCACTGCAGCATCCATGAATGGCCTCGCAGAGCGTACTGCATAGGGCATGCAAGTCCCTGGAAAAAGGAAAACCATCTGGGCCTTTAAATGAACGTTGCGGGAGAAGTGGCCAATCAGGGCCAATCGCGCAAATCCGGACGTGCGAATTCAAAGGCACGTGCCATCACGTGTGGCTGGTCTGCATCTGTCGAGGGCCCTGGGGCCCATCACCTGATCCTACCACTCGTCGCCAAGTGCTGTGTGTTCGTACCCCGCAGGAAAGCTGATCGCTGTGGGCGTCGTGGATGTGCTGCCCCGCTGCCTGTCCTCCGTGTACTTCTTTTGGGATACCTCCCTGGCATCACTGGCACTGGGTAGATTCTCCGCTCTGCAGGCGAGTGAAGCGGAGGGCAGCCGAGGGGTTCGACAGGAGTGAAGCGGAGGGCAGCCGAGGGGTTCGACAGGCCACCACGCGAAGTCCTCATTCAGCGAGTTGGCCAGAACGGTCACTCCGCGTTGCGAGGATGCTTCGTTCCGTGTCCGAATGACTAGGGCGGCTTACGTCTTTGTGGTGTTAAGGGGTGCGGCCGTGCCGGTATGGCAGGAGCAGCAGCTTCAGGGATAGAACTTCCAAGGCGATGCAACTGCTTGGTAACTTGGTTTGCTACGGAACGGTCCAAATCTTTCATGCGCGCTGATTCGCCTTTGGCCCCGTTGTGCGCGGTGGCTACGTACGGCGCAGGAAATCTTGTGGGTGCAACGGCAGATTCCGACTTCGCCTGATCTGCACTACTACTACATGGGCTTCTATATCCACACCTGTCCCAAGATGCGTTACAAGGCCGAGTACCGAACATCTGACCTCTTGTGTCCCGTGCGCAAGGTCAGGTAACAGGGGTCTGGCTGTGCGTGCCAACAGGTGACGACGCGGTCCGAGGTTGTGTAGCAAACCACCCACGTGTTTGGATAGGTTCCATCGCACGGCAGCGCGGGCTACTTGTCCTAGGGTGTTGGAAGCTCATTACGCGTCGCCGTCTTTCGTGCCGTAATATTTCCCAGGTCAGAGCAGTCAACGGAAGATGTTGTCGGTCGTTGCTTGCTGCTTAAGGTCGGCATGCTTTGGCCCGGACGCCACGATTTGGTATGGCTGCTGATCTAAGAGGTGGTCATGTCACGTCGTACGTGAAGCTATTTGCGTCTGATTTAGGTGAAAGAATTTCGTGCTCTTATGTATATTGCCGCAGGTGTGGGTGCGCATCACACCCCAATTGCTTGCAGCGATTGAGCGGAGCCCCTACGTGGCACTCTCTGCCCAGGACGGGGCGCTCTGCCAGGCCAATTTGGCGGCGCGGCCCACACCTAGTACGGCACCCGCAGCTACGACGGATGTACACAGTGTAAACACGCCTGGCGGTAAAGAAGACTGCAATCCTATGGACGAGACCGCAATGGATGAGACGCTCGTCCTCCTACCTGGGAAAGACGCGGCAGCGGGTCCAATATCTTTGAAGGTAATGATTGTGCAGGGTAGATAGTAGACTCGGAAAATAGTACATTCCGTAATCGGTAGTAGATGGGTATGACATGCTTATAGGGTAATTGGTTTACGATGAGGATGAGTGACTATACTCTTCGAGTTTCACCAGCATGACTAGCGAGACCTGGTTTCAATCCAGGGACCTCGGGGTTATGAGCCCCGCACGCTTCCGCTGCGCCATCTCGCTCATTTTTCAAGTTCTATACTAAGGAAACTATCACATTAAGCATAAAGACATGAGGACATGACCCTAACGCATCCGGGCGTTGGGCGTTGACTCGGTGCACCCAAGTTCACGCACACTACACTTCATGCCGCACTCCTGGCCTCCACCTAGATAGAATTGCGTAAATGGATGATTTAATGGAAAATTAACTGGAGCTAAGTCACCTGATATCCAAATGAAACTATGTATGGACCACCAACAGAGGCCCGAAAGAGTTACAACAGCGCGTCCCCGTAACACGGCTCGGAAAGCCCCAAAACAGCTAGATTCATTCTCTGCTCAGCACCTCCTCTAAAGAGAAGATTCTAGACACGGCCTGCGATTGGGGATCAGGATAAAGGCCAGATACGGGCACCCCTACCAGTCACCTACACCAAGACCCCGCCTGTGGACGGTTTAAGGTCGTCAAAGCCTGGGCTGAGCACAGGGGCCTCATACATCACCTTGAGAAGGTCGGCTGCTTACTCGACTGCTCACTGCGGAAACCCTTCTGCAACGGTTGCGATGCAGGTTCTGCGCCGGTGCAACTTCTTCTCACAGCGCGTGCTGCAGATGATCGAGAATGCCATCCGCGAATGGCGCAGCGCAGTGGGCTGGGCGGCACCGTCTCTCGTGTACCAATTATGAAGGTCCAAGTCAGATTGCGTCCCCAGTTTGGCAGGCTTGAAACGATCAGCGAAGATTGGATTACGGCGTTTGATTTGCAGGCAAGGCAGGCTGGTAGCGAGCGTAGGCGTTGTGTATGCGCAAGTGAACCTGATTTTCGAGACTCAAGCGGGTTGGATGGAATACTTCAACGGATGTCGAGAACTGTCCAAGTTCATATTGCGCATACAGGATCTCAACTATGAACACAGGCATGTGACACTGGTATGGGCTTTGTGGGCCGTCCCTGGCGGATTTTGGCGGCCAGGAAGAACCTCGGGACGAACAGCGTACGTTGCTAGGGATTTGCGTCATGCGCCGGACAGGATGCAGAACGCAAGGATGCGAGCAATAGATGCACTAGAACATAACCCTTGAAGACTTTAACAGAGCGTTTCGTTGGAAAAGTAAATGTTTTTAAGCAGCCCCTCGCACAAATGTGTCCGGTCGTACTTCGCGAATAAAAGGTCCGTACATCACGCCCCAAAAGCCAGGAGCGAATTTCACCGCGCGGGTGCGCGCGTGCGATTCACAAATTGCGCGTGTACAAGTGTATATATTCCTGGCCACATTCTCTTCCTCGCAAACGTACTTGGGCACCTTACAATCCAACACCATACGTGCTTTAGAAACGCGGGCAGCTGCTTCACAAGGACCCCCCTATTTATAAATTGGGCCGGAGAAGTGCGTATCTATGTGCGTACGTTATGTGGTCGAGGATGCGTGGATTCCGTTGTACACGCCGGGTGGTCGAGGGCTTTACATGTTAGCATGCGTAATTCCAACCCTGTTTTGCTCTGGGCATATATCCTTCGGGTAGTGCCAGAGGACACGCAAGTCGAAGCTTTGTTGCTCCATCTAGCGAATGAGTTGGCCGGTTGGGGTGGGTTGGCGTTATCCCAATGTGCTAAGCCCCAAGTCTTCCGTATGAATGCGCTCGCCGCTGTAAATGGACGATGCACTCCGTTTCAATTATTAACTGGACAGTGTTGCAAGGTAAACCCGAAAGGATTAGACAGTGCAGACCGGTCTAGGGATCGGGTGGCTTAATTACATGCCGGGTCATGGCTCCGCTGTACAGCGTATCAGATGGCTTGGCACACGCCACGGTGCTGCCTCTGGATCCGCGTGTGACTTGTCAAGGAGGGTTCCCCAGTCCAGGCATACATCTCCAGCACTGGTAGACGCCCAAACGTCACACGCCTATGCTATCATCGTTTCCTTGAATCACTGTACGTGGCAACTACAACGTGGGGAGGTAGAACGTGAGGCGCCCATCCTCTAATCTAAGGAAAACAAAGTTAAGCCGCCTCATGGCTGCCAGCAACACGAGAAGCAATTTTTAAGTGTCCCAAGTCCTCTAATTACCCCAACTCGGCCTTTAGAAAGCCTTTGCCCAGCCGTGCACCTGCGCCCTGACCGCGTATGGGGGTCAAGTCAGCGATGCGTCGCAGCTCTGCCGCCACCAGCCGGGCTACAACGGGTTGGGAGTACCGCTCTATCACGCGCTGCCGGGCCGCCTCGCCACGAGCCTTGGCATCCCCGCGGCCGCTGCAGCTCGCAACGGTGCGCATGAGCTGCCTCAAGTGAATTACCGACGGCTCCGCCCACTGGCTGCCTGCAGCCAGTCACGACATACAACATATTTCACAAGCCACTCATCCATTACTCGTGCTGACCAACACAGTCGTCCGTTGTAATACATTCCCGGTTGTTGCTAACATGCCAGCGATTACATCCCGTTCGCCAGCCCTTTCATCAGACCTTGAAGCTGTGGGCGGGACAATTTGAAGCGTTAATTTGGATGCCGAAATTCCCGACGTACCCTGGTACCAGTACGGTTCACTCGAAGGCACGGCCTCCAACCTATACGACAGCGGGTAGCCCACTTCCTCGTCCAAATAGGCGGAAGGCCCAGACCAGTTGGTTGCAATGACGGTTAGGCCCAACGACATGGCCTCCGTAATGGGGAGGCCCCTGTAAATGGCAAAACGCAGGGAGCAATCTGCGTGTATGATGGCCTTACTGGCGGCATTCCCCAGTACATGCAGCATATGCCGCAATACTATAACCAAGCACCCATCAGAGCTTACTGGCTGGCAAGCCTTGCGTTCGCGCATAAGATTTGCATACTACAACACACCTCACACGGGCACCTGCAAGTGCTCTACGAAAAGAAGCGATTTGCCGAAATCTGGAGATTGGCGTGTGGAACGCCACGCATGAAGCAAGAATCCAGTACTTACCAGCCCTCGCCACGGGTGGGCAGCACAAAGGCGTCCGCCGCAGCCAGCATCGCCACGTAGTCGCTCCGCGGCATGTGACCATTCACGACGTACAAACGGGGCCCTCGAAGTGGATCCAGATCCAGCTGGCGGCCCAGGACGTCCGTAACCCAGCTCCGCATGCGCTCTGGAAAGTTGGTGATGCGAAGGAGGGAGTTTGCGGCAGTTAAGGGAAAGGTCGTAAGGCCGGATAGATGTGACCGACCCTCATATACCAGTGAATGATGACAGCAGTAATAGACCCGAGGGGTTCTGGTGCTTTGCTATTGTTAACAAGAGGATCGTGGAGAACCTAGTTTGGTTGTCGGCAGGTGCAAGGATCTCCTTAATTTGGACCGTTACAGGCAGGGTGAGGGTTCCCTCTGTTCACTAATCCAATGCACCATGCAGACGCCACCGCATCAACGCATGCTTTGGCGTCCCCTGCTGTGAACCCGCCGGCGCACCCCTTGATGTTGCCTGTTGTGCCAGAATTCTGCGTTAGCGTTTTTCCTCTAGTGTGAGGTCTTTTGATTAATGCGTCCGGCACAGCAGAGCACATGCTTAGCATACTTGGCTAGCTCGAGGGAACCCAATTCGACACCTCCATTCCTGCTCGCAATCCCCGACTCGAGACCCCACCTACCATGCCCGCCCAACCTTTGGTAGCAACTGCCTGTCACTACCATGACACCCCGCATACCTTCAAGGCCCGGTCCTGGTTCCCCAGGCAGGAAGGGCTTGGTCAAAATGTACAGTGCCACGTCCGGATCTTCACAATCACCGGTCGCCGCGGCCGTCTTCGTGAGCGCCTGTACACCAGTGGGGCGCAGCGCGCTGCCACTGGGCTGATGTGACCGGTGCTTGGCCTTGGCAGTGCCACTAAAATCGCTGTCCTCCTCGCGGAAACGTTCAGGCGCCGAAACCTGATGTCGCGATGCAGCACCAAATTCCTCCAGGAAGGCCCGCAGCAGCACATCATAGCCCTTGCGCAGCTCCCATTTGAAGACTGAGATGAAGGCGAAGGAGGGCTTGCGTCCACTGAGCGGACCGAACACCTTGCAGCGCATGAGCAGAGCCCGTCAAGTGTGGGTGCGCGTGCCTGGAGGGAGAACTCTAGGGGTGTCTGCTAAAGCAGGAACATTGGAGTCCTCCATACAACTTTGTGCACATTGCTTATTGAAGCGCGTCAACAAGTGCAGGTGCCCGCGTCACAGTCACAGAGAAATACCAACACGGTACCAAAAATGTCTCGTCGTTTTTGAATTGGATGGGTACCTGCACTGTATACCTGCACAGCGTTGGGCGGTGGCAGTGCCGTCGGTCGCACGCGGGTCCTGTCGAGCTCCTGGGTGTCGATGCCCAGCGGCACCACATGCAGGGACCGCACTACACCCGAGTTGCTCAGTGCGATGCGAGACGCCTCCGTGGGAACCCATATCTCGTCCATTGAGTTGAGAGCGGCCACAAAATCAGCAGGTATCCTGTGCGGTGACGGCGACCGATGGCTTGGACAAGGCTGTGGCCAGCGTATTCGCATGCTTGGCTTGGGCGATGGAAACATCCGCAGCGGACGCAACCTAAGTGGCAGTACTGCGCCTGCCACAACCGAAATCAAAAGCGTTGTCTTTTGTGCGGACAGGCTTTACGCATGTCAACTTTGGGAAATGGGTTGGTTTTTGCACCATCCACAGGGATGGTCTATGTTCGTGCTGGCCGCACCTGCGGGGGCAGCCTGGATTACCCTTTCTTCTCCTGATTGCAGACATGCAACAACTTTCGATCACTCCCTCGTTTACTCCACCTGCTGGTTTCTGCCATCGCGCGTGCGACGGCGTACCGAACCAGCTCTCGTAAACCAGGTGGGGGGCAGGGCTCACAGCTGCGCCAACGAGGCGTCGGCCGCCCCAGGAATGGCGGTAGGTTATGGCAAACCTGTGGCGGCGTATGCATGTGGAAGACTTGAAGGACGCATGCGCTTCCTAGGCATCTGCCAATATAGCCCTATGAAAGCCCAAGCAATCACAACGGAAGATGTCTGTGACCAGGGGTCCCGACCGGACCTCGAGCCTGGACGGGCTCCAAGAGGAGAATCGTTTTAGCGTATCTCTTTCGGGCCACTTTCTTTCTTAAAAACTATAGACTTTGGTTTGGACCGGACGAATGCTGCCACTGGTGGTCTTACTAGCGCGCTGCAACGCACGAAGTGTTGTTTCCGCCTTCCCAAAAACACAAAAGGGAAGATGTCCCGGGTGGAAATCTCGAGTACTGTCCATGGCACTAGACGGAGCCAGACTAACCAGCCCGCCCCAAAACCCCGGGCCCCCGGCTCCAGCGCCCCACCACAATTGCTGGCTCAGACGGAGATCCGTGCAGCTCCAGCAGCTGCGTGTGATCACGTTCCTCCATCAGGCCCCCCTGCTGGTCCACACAATCGTTCTGCACATCATGGCAGCCGGGGCGCGGAAGCAAGTGCACTTGCGCGTGGCAATGGGCGTTCGTTGAGACCATATGCGCCAGGATGCCGTATCTGTGTGCACCTTACATGAGATTGAGTTCACGAGAGCCAGGAACACAGAGGCATTCCTCGCCCTGTACGGCGTGACCCAACCGTAGGCGCCGTATCCAAATTGCGTGCAAATTGACAGAGCTAGGCTCACGAGAGGGCACTGTGGTGCAGCACCTCGCCACACCTGCAGAAGGCCCACGTGTAGCCTGCGACTCGGCAACAGCTGTTCTCGGAGCAGGGAACGGACATAACCCGTAGCCTCAACTCCAAAGCTGCTGTGATCCAAGAAAGGAGCGAACCACCAAACGTCGGCGTCGACTATAGGACCGGCTTCAGGCTTCAAATTGATGTCAGCTGTGTTTAGAGCAAGGGTGGAACTTGGTTCCGTCACAGCCTGAGGTATCGTTGACGATAGTGCTGGGCCGCGCTGATGGTCCCGAGTAGTGTGAAAGCCATACAAAAGCAGACATGCTGTGGCAACCACGAAGGCAGTTCCATAAAAACTGTGGGCGCGACACCGGAAAAAAGCTGAAGTACGCGAAGGCATCGGCGGGTAGTGCTACTTCAAAATAATTTCGACCCGTGGGACGTAATTCCCTTACACATGAAGTTACAATGCATCCCGAAGCAGTACTCCATGAGAATAAGGGGAGCCTGTACGGTGCTGGACTAGATATGAGCTAGTTTTGGCTCTGCTGTACGAATCGCTGGACTAGATATGAGCCCTGTGAAAGCCGTCAGCTGCACATCAAAGCCACCGTGCGCCTCCATGCGCGCGGATCATCAATCTCAAAGAAAAAGTAATATAAACCCTTGTCCAAATTAATAGATAGCTCTCCCCTCTCCACACCACACCTCACAAACACCGCATTGCAGCAGATTGGTGCGGCCGACTGCTGTGGCCAAGGCTAGGAGAATATCGCAAAAGAAATCAAGGTGCAGGCGATGGATAACCAGGTCATCAGCCGAACGCAGTAGACTGCCTCCGCAAAGTTCATGAACAAGCCGCTATCGTAGAACAGGATGACGAGGCTGTTAAGCGATGTAATGGCGGAATTTTGCGGGATAATGGTCAATATTGATAGCGCCGCAAAAATGTACGGGTTCTTGAAGAGGAAGAGCAACCCGTATGCCCCGACGATGGCCGCGTAAGCGACGTTAAACTGAAAGCCCGAGGCTGCCTTGCCGCCTCCGCGAGGATCCATCGATCGACAGACATGAGATGGTACTAATATTTCCTCATAATCGAATTTCGGCTTCTGCACAAGGTTGCACGGGGCATAAGGGTCAGCCTTATCGCTTGCAAGCCCGTGCCTAACAGATCGCCCTTCCTACCGAAACGGCTCGTGTTACTAAGGCGCTCCCGCAGAAGGGCTGTGCACAGAACCTGTACAAAGAGGGCGAGGCCAAAGTCGGGCAGCACTCATTGGGCTCTTGTCGCAATTAATATTGCGACCTTGATATCCTGACCTTGGTAAGGAACATAGCGCATTATTGGTGGATATTTTCGCCAAAGCGCAACTGGAACTGCAAGTAGACCTCAACGCGGCATTCATCCTGAACAACAGCTGGTACAACACCGCCTGCTTACTTAAGCTCTTGCTTCGGTTTGCCCGTAGCAATTTTTTAACTTTCGACTGCTTTACTGGGTCTAGTGGTTAGGGAGATTATACGGCGACGGTTGAAGTTGGTTGCACCTATGCAATTCACATTATTCTGCCACTAAAGAAGAGCATTCAAAATTTTCTCATCGCGACAAAAGGAGTGCGGCATCAAAAACCTGCTCAGACACTTCAACTTCTCAACTGGGACCTGACGAATTGGAGTGTGTGGCCTCCAAGCCTTTTTGCGATTCTCCTGCCTACGGGTCTTTCCACACATCTTTTAACACTCTCTAGTTAGTTAAGAATCTCAATACAAATAATTAAGCAACCCATGATGGCTCTTGCCGGTGAAGGACCTACAAGCAGCCAAGCTGAGGCTGTGGGCCTCAGCAGCGTGAGCTACTCTTACCCGGGATGTGTACCATTCATCAAGGGGTGCAACTTGGACCTGCATCGTGGGAGTCGCTGCCTGCTTATCGGTGCAAACGGTGCGGGCAAGACCACCCTATTGCAGATTGTGGCGGGGAAATACATGGTGGCGCAGGACTCCGTCCGAGTGCTCGGGCGTTCGCCGTTTCATGACCTGGTAATTGCGGGAACAACTACGATTGGGGTGGGGTTTGAGGATGTGCGTAATCCAATGGTGGCAACAATGTTACCTAGCAGAAAATGTGTGGTTTACGTTCTCGTGCTGGTTGGGGCATTGCAATCACAAGGCGGGCGCGCCTACCCCGGTATCCCCCGGTGGGCTTTAATGTTTGCTGTTTGACCTTCTTTTGTGTTCTTTGTGGTACCTTTAAACTGGGATGGAGGCGCGAATCCTAGCGACAGTACCACGCTGCCTCGGACCTCTTGCCCGCTTTGCAGAAATTGACTTGTTCCGGCCAACTAAGCTATTTGGGAACTTCCTGGCGCAAGGACGTGGCATTCGCTGGATACGGAGTTCCCTTGCAGGTGAGGTGCTAAGGGCGCCCATTTATAGCTTGCTCGGGAAAAAGTGGCTACGCTGCGGCAGGACTTGGGAGTTGTGACTGTGCATGAAGACCACCTGTTTAGCGTGATTTCTAAACCCCATGGGCAAGTGCAGGGTGACATTAGCGCGGGGAAGATGATCTTTGGCGTCGAAGGTGTGGACCCGGCACGCCGCGCACGTTTGGTGGAGATGCTGGATATCGACTTGTACCAGCGTATCACGACTATGAGTGATGGGCAAAAACGTCGCGTTCAGATCTGCATGGGACTTTTGAAGCCATACGAGGTGGGTTGTTGGGAGCTGCCGCGTAATGTGGAAGAGGCTGCAGTTGCCTGATTTTGCACGCAGGCAATTTGATTCCGGCGAAGTTCAGCAAGGCTGTGGGTGCATGCACGCAAGGAACTAGATATACGGTCATTTGGTTTGCAAGCAAGCGGTTGTTGAAATGTTATGTACTGATATGTGCATTGTATAACATTGCGACTGCTAAGACCTGAAGGATTTTCGCAATGCATGTGCAATGCATGGTTGTGGTGGCTCTGGCTATCGCATCTCCCTTTCCATGCACACTGGGTATTCCCCCGAAGGTTCTACTGCTCGACGAGATCACCGTAGACCTGGACGTGATTGGACGCCTCCGCCTACTGGAGTTCTTCAAGCTGGAGAGTGAAGAGCGGGGGGCGACAATATTATACGCGACCCACATCTTCGACGGCCTTGAGGACTGGGTGACGCATGTGGCATACATGGAAGAGGGCAGCATCGTGAAAGGAGGCCCAATCACGCAAGTCCAGGATGCGGCGGCAGCAGCGGCAGGCACTGGCATGAAGCTCCTGCACGTTGTGGAAAACTGGCTTCGCGCTGAGCGGGATGCACGGATGGCACGTGCTGCAGCGGGCGCTGCAGAGGGGCAGACTGCCAGTGCGGAAACGGCCGTGCGGCCGCAGCGCACCCCATACATGCCTAGCAAGCACCTGGCCTTTTTTAGATAGCTTTAAATGTGTACATGCTTAGGAGCCAGTTGACGCATCAAGTTCGGGCCCGCTGGCCAAGGTTGGCGAGTCAGTGGTGCTCGGCCAGGTTGGTTTAACCAATACGGCGCACTTGTAGAGCTGACAAAGACAGGTTGTATGCTTCCTTGTGCAATGGGTCTTGCGCAACTCTGCGCCTGGAACAGTTGGGCGGCTGAAGGTCCTGACTGTGAAGCTGGAGGGGTCCTCAGCAGTAAGGATTTGGCCGGTGGGTTATGTAAAGTGCTGTTGGTCCTTCATGATGGCAAGGAAGGCACAACACGCCCTTGTCACATTGTTTCATCCTATGCAATGAAGGTTGGGAAGCAGGCGCTTGGTATCGAACAGCCGTGCGGGAGGCTCGGGCCCGAGCCACACTATTCTGTAACCGGGAGCACGGGCACACGGTTACAGAATAGTGTATAAATGCAAAGCGGGCACACTGTACGCACGAGCGTTGCTTCCTTGGGGGCTTTGGAGCGATCGATTGGGATATTGTCGTCTTCTGTGCAAAATTGGGCCCCCATCGCAGCCACTGTTCAAAATTGGGCCCGCATCGCAGCCATTACGACCCAGCCAGTCAGCTTGACCAGGATCCGCATCCTACATAACATCCGTTGACCATGTCATATATTTGTTTGTTCTCGACGAAAATTTTTGTCCGTTGCAGAAAAGGGAATGTGCAAATTGGGAATCCTTGTTTCCTTCTTGTATCTGCACGACAAGGAATTTTAAAGACAGTTGACAGCTCCCATGCTTGCCCCGCAACAACATCCCCAGAGATAATTGTGTGGAGTATGTTACCTTAGTGCTAGGCTCTTTGTACTGGATTATACTAGAGAAGCGTTGACATCGATAGGCAGCGGCCATGCCTGGCTTGTAAAAAACCTTACTACCTAATGATGGCGACCTTAAGGAAGAATGCTTTAATGCGCGTCATAGCCATTAATGCGAGGGAGCAAGAAGATCGGCGCTGCCTTGAGGAGCTGACCAACGCTACCCTACATGACGCAGACAACTTAGTTGCCCAGGCCAGGCGGCGTGTTTACCAACTACGTAATCGCCAGATAGTTGTCAAGACGCCTGATGTGAGCAGCCTCATGACTGTTTCGCCTTGCCTCGCACGTTATAAAGCCAGACTGCAAATGTAATCGCTCTTCAACCGCAGGGAGGTCGGCGTAAGAATGTTCCTAGAACTCTTGATACCGAAACTCAAGCAGGCTCGGCGCATCCAGGTGGTGTGCGAAAGGAACAGAAAGAGAACGACGCAACGGGCCGCTTTAGCCATGCTCCAGGCAGCGGGCCTGGGCAACCACAAGGGGTGGAGCATGAGCACGTTAGCGATGAGGTTTTACAGCGGGCGGAGCCTGCTGCTGCAAAGCCCAGCCCTGTGCATGCGGGCCAGAAGCGTGGCCTGCAATCTGCAGCGTCACAAGCAAAGCCTAAACGACCGAAGGCGCAGGCGGGGGCGTCGGCCCCTGTGGAGGCGTTGGATGCCACAGGTGGCTCATGTCACGGGCCGAGTCCGCAGCCCTCGGAAGGAAGGCCAGCTACGGTCGGCAAGCCTATCGACGTTGGCACTCTTGTAACCGCAACACCAGTACAGAGCCAACCCATTGGCGAGACGCCGGTTGGCCAGACGCTCGAGAAATCGGCCGACAACGGGTCTAGGCGAGGGCGTGCTAGGCCGAAGAAGCAGCCCACCACTCAGCCAGCAGGGGACGTGCAGACAGACATGGCGCAGCCGGCCGAGCCTGCCATCGCGAGAGGACAGTCAGCGGTAGTTGGATATTCGCCGCGGGTCACACGCTCGCGGCGCGCGCAACCTCCAGCGGCCACATCCCCTTCGGCAGCAGCAACAAAGCAGGTTCGCAGCAGAAGCACTCGGCAGAAGCGCGACATGAAGGAGGCGCAGCTCGGTTCGCCGGGCATGCATCCCAAATCCAAGGCTGCAACGGAACGCGGTGCCATAGTCCCGCCTGCTCCCTTGGTGACGAGTGAAAAGGTGGGCACTGCCGTGACGACGATCCAGCCCAGCACCAGCGGGGGTGCAAGTGAACAACATGTTGGCAAGTTGCAAGCGACCGCAGCCATGGAAGAGCTCAACGCTTGCTCAAGCGGACGTGAGGTGGACGCCGGGCAGCACCTAGCGGGCGCTCATACAGACGGGCCAGGCGAGGAGTTGTGCATGCACGAGCAGGACGATATGCCACTGCCACTAGCAGAGGGGGACGGACAGCCCAATGGCCCAGTAAGTGAACCTACGTTGGACGACGTCGCCGGGCCAGCAGCGGCAATGTCAGGACAGCTGAACACTGGGCCAAAAGTATGCGGCCGTGATGGTGAAGAACAGCAACCGGCGTCTTTCCAGCCCAATGAGCATGCTCCTGCACCGCAGCGAGGCTTGGAAAAGCCTTCAGCAGCAGCAACTGCCAACGTGAAGCGGATGCCGGCCAATGTTGCGGCAGCCTTGGCTGTGTTTGGAGCAATCTCTGCTAAAGCAGGTGTTAATTCTTCTGCTAAGGCTACCTTGGCGTCGCCGTGTGCAACGACTCGTCAGGATGGGCGCAGTAGCGCACGCAGGATCGATCCGCCAGGGCCAGGATTGGCGCCCGGTACAGAGGCGGTGCGCCCTGCTGAAGAGCTCTTCTCTTTTGGCACAAAGCCAAAGGAGCAATCCTCGCCCACAATGCCGCATTTCGGCTCTGCGGCTGAGCAAGTAGCTGCTGCCGGTAATGCTGCGTCAGACTCGCTTCTCTTCGAGCAGGAGCGTGACGGGACGCAGCACTCGCCGGTGGAGGCGGCTGTCCTCGTAGCGCCTGCAGAAGACATGGCAGCTGTCGCGTGCACACCAGGTGCAGGGCCATCGAGTGTCGCGGACCAGACCGAAGAACCCGAAGTGCTGGAGGAAGTGCAGGGCGCTGGTGATTGTGAGAATGCCAATGACCCCGACGCAATCGACGGGCAAGCTCCTACGTACGGTGAGGATGGCGCGGGGATAGGTGCGGAGGCCAATGACCGTGTGGAGTTTCGCCACCGGTCGCTGTCACTCACCCTGGCGGTGCAGTCGCCCATAACCCGGGCATCTGGTGCAGAGCTAAATACTCAACAGGCTTTGAGCGACGCCATTGCAGACAACGTCGGGTCCGGGATGATGGTGGAGGACAACGCAGTCCAGGAGCATGTGCAGGAGGCGACCCAGAGCACAGCGGTTGACTGTGTTGGTGAAGTGGTTGAAATTGTGGTCGACGATGCTGTCAAGGCCGGGCCCTTGGACCCGGAGCAAAGCTTGTACGACGGCCCAGTGCCGCATGGACAGGAAAGCTTCGTGGACGTCACTGCAGCAGATGAGCCTGAGGACACGCAAACTGAGTGTGTCGCAACAGTGGGTGCTGGTAAAGCTGAGGCCATGGAACGGGACAATCTGGATGGGGCAACGGGCTGTGACGCAGGTACTGGCGGCAGTAGCGCACCAGCTCCAAGCGCTCAGATGGATGTGCAGTCTACAGGTGCTCAAGCCGACCAAGAAGGCCACGGTGCAGATACAGAGGCGACAGTGCCGCCTAGCAAACCCAAGGGTAGCAACCTGGTGTCCGCTATTCGTAGCTTCCTGCCGCAGCGCACTGCACCATCACCACCGCCGGCGGCTGGGAAGAAGCCTGTGAAGGTACGGCGTCAGTCAATGGCCTTCAGTGATCCCTGCTGAGGGCACCTGCAAACATCCCACCGTGTTAATTGTGCTCATGGATGATTCAGGTACCTACGAGCTACCTGATATGTGTGATGTCAATTGTTTACCTCTTGTGAATTCACCATCGGCGTTATTGGTGTGGTATAGCTGCCTTAGGTACCTTATGGTGCCTGAGGATGTAGACCCCCTGAGGCCATCGCATTGATGCACAGTAACATGCAGCCTCACAACGATATGCTTTTTCTTTGTGCACAGGTGAAGGCCCTTGAGGCCGCTCAGGCTGCCAAGCAAAAGGAGGCTGCACGCCAAGCCGAGCGTGCGCTTGCGCGTGCTGCTGCAGCGGACCGCCAACGCCAGGTGCAGGTTGATGCCGGGCCCAGCAATGCAGGCGGCAAGTCAGGAGGTCCGGCGCCATGCTCGGTGCGGGTAACGCCAACGAAGTCGGCTGTACAGCATGGTGCCGATACTGCCGAAGCGCGCACGACGGCAGCTGGCGTCGTGTCAACTGCTGTGGCAGACGAAAAACGGAGTGGTAGGGTACCCATTAAACACACCAATGTGCCTTATACACCAGCGACGTGCATAATTTTGCCTCATTAGTTGTCCCATATTTCCACGTGCTGCAGATTGCATTGCGATTGGTGCCGCAGTTGGCACGCTTGAAGGTGTCAAGGCAAAGGCAGCCTTCTACCAGCAGCGGGAGGAACAGGCCAAGAAAGCTGCAGCGGCGCAGGCTGCCATTCGGAAGCTGGCAGTCCCCACGACCGCTGGAGCTCCGTTGGGCGCTCAGCCACTTGCGCCGGGCGACAAGGCGGGTGCGAACGCGAGGTGAGCATTGGGCTCCTGTATTCGACACATGCTCTAGTTGTAAGGGTACATACATTTTTCATTAGAGAAATGGTGGTTTGCGGCCCCTGAAAGATGCAATGCGCGGGATTTGTGGCAATATCCGGACCGATTTGGAAACTCTGCACTGTAGATTCCATGCTCTTTAGTACTTTTGTCCCTCCGGACAGGGCGGCGGTGGCGGCCGGTGACAGCGAAGCGGCGTTGGTGGCTTCTGCAGCAGCGGCACCGGCAGCGATGGCTCCTCCCAGTGCCGTGAAGCCCAGCGTTGTGGGTCTGACTGGTGTCCGCGGTGTCAATCCGGCACCATCAGCCGCATCCGCCGAGACTGTTGCCGATAAACAGAGGCGCGTGGAGGCAAAGCGCCGTGAGGAGGAGGAGCGGCGGCGCGCGGAGCTTGAGGCGCGCACGAAGGCAAAGGATGACAAGCTACGAAACATTGAGGCTGCCAAGCAGCAACAGAGGTTGGGGGGAGGGGGAGGTGCACCTCGGCCACCCCCACCGCTCATACCAAACCCTGTAGCTGTACAGGCAAGCGGCAGGCGGCCATTGTTGAACGGTGCTGGCGCCGGCGCAGGTTAGTGATGTATCGAATGATATGGACGGGGGTCAAACTGAAATCGCAGGGAAATAGCTGTAGAAGAGGTACTTCATGGCAACAGCGGGTGCTGTACCCGTGACTTGTACAGCAGGCGGGCGTGGTGACATGTTGCATGTTCAGTGCTAGCGGGACTCCATAGACGGAAATTGCCAATCCAACTCCTCAAAGGATTGGATGTGTCTGCTTGTCTGCACATGGCACAGCTGCACAACCGACTCAGCATTACGGCTTCCTTTTTTGCACAGGTCAAGCTGCGGCCGTCTATGTCAAGCCTGAGCCTGAAAATGGGAACATGGGCTTTGTCTCTCTAAACGCTGCCAAGACCCCTGGACCGAAGACTGGCACTGCCAAGACCCCCGGACCGAAGACTGGCCCAGTGGCCAACAACATGGTCTCCCCCGCTGTGCAGATGCAGATTAAGCTCCTGCCCGCCGTCCACGCCCAGTCTGCCGCTGCGGGTCCCGAGGGCACCAAAGCTGCTGGCGCTGCACCAGGCTTGCCCAGGCCGAAGCCAGTGGGCGTGGTGCAGGCAAAGCAGGCGCCAGTCGCGGCTGCTGGTTCCCAGAGGGAGGGTGGTGTAACGCCCGGAGCTGCAGACCTTACGGAGGAGGACCGGCGGAATGTGCTCGCAATTCAGACGTCGCCCTATGTCATGCAGGTCAAGCCGCGGACGCCCGCCGTGATGACAGCTACTAAACCCCTTTTCAACTATGAGATCTCACCATACAGGTACTGTGGATTGTGCACAAGTCGTCCTTGTCGCATTCCTGCATGCGGCTCTTCACCGATTACCTGTCTGCATGCGTCTCCAGGTTTATAGCTTGATCGCACTGATCTGCAATTGTTCCCGAGCATGGCCGCCAGCTTGTGATTGCGCCACAATGCAACGCAACAGTTGATGCAAGCCCGCCTCATTTGCGAAGGACGGAGCTCAAAGCCGAAATGTGATTTGTGGAGGTTGAAACCATTAGCATCGTATCTTAAGACTGTACTGCCTTCCCCATTCGTTAGGTCCGACTCGGATTCCGACACCTATGACGACGAGGATGGCCCTGGTCGCCGGTGCAAGCCGGTGCCTGCATGGGCAGCGGAGGACAAGGTCTTGCTCGCGGTGGATGCCCAAGCCGGCATGAACGCTGACGCCATCTTCGGCAGTTACCCCAGGACAATCGACGTCGTCAAAGTCTTTTCCAACATGCCCCCGCCGGGCGACAAGGATCCTCGTGGCCGGCCACGGCGTGATTACCGGCGGCGAGGAAGCAGCGGCAACTGGGAACTTGACATGTTTTGAGGAACGTCCCGGTGCGTGGTGGTTTAGTTGAGAGCTGACATGTGTTGTGTTTGAACACTCTCCTTTTTATTGAGTGGTATGCTTGCGTAAATATAACCAACGGCGGAAAGGATTGTGCGTTTGTGTGGCGGACAGTGGACGGTGGCTTAGCTTCCCTGTTATAATGCCAGGGGCGGATACAATTTCCAGGCTAACCGCTGGAGGCAGCCTCCATGAGTGTGGCTCTTTTTCGAACGTAGTGGTCGACACGTGAACAGCACTAATAAACACTATTTCAGCTGGTGCAATTTGTCCAGCATCATAACTTGTGTGTGCATCGCCGTGACTTGTGGAAGCCTGTGGCGTTGCTCTGTGAGGTTTGCACCTGCTTACGTATTACAGGCGCCCGCTGCCTTCGCAGTATGAGAAGGGCCAACCAGCACGTACACCGGCCGACGATGCTATTATAGTCGTACCGGTAGTAGGTGCATTAAAAAGCAGTGGAGACAGCGCAAAGCTAACCACCAAGGTCTCCCTGTACAGCCTCACTCCTCGAGGGCCAAACCCGCCCAGCCCAAGATTACTAAGCGCCGCAACACTACCCGAACCTATCCAAGCGTCCAGCACGGTGCGGAACCCCATGAAGTCTGGGGCATGGAAGGGCTTCGGTGACAGCTCCCGGCCTTCAGCTGATCCCGTCGGCACGAAAGTGTGTCGTAAGACAGGCGCCAATCTGACACTTAAATCCATGTAAAACCACTAGTGGTGTGTGAAAACACCACTGAGGCATCATCGACTGCCTACCTTGCCAGGTTATTAAAATCCTATGGTCTGCTGCCGCACCCCGACGGACACTGTACAACGGTTTCGGCGCAGCATACAGCGAGATCATCTCAAGCCTAGCATTGCACATCAGAATAAGATGCTTTGCGGCTTGGGAGCACCGTAGAAGCGCTTAAAGTCACGTTCGTTACGTTTCACTGCTTCCTCTCGCGAGATGGTGCCATCGGCCACCCTGCTGAGGCAAAGCGGTAGTCGCAAATTAACTCATCAGCGTCATCGTGAAATAGAACTAATGTTACTCACCGTGTCCCTTTGGTTTCTCCAGCCGAATCAACCAAGCTGCCGTTGCGCACGACGAAAACTCCAGGTCCAATTTCGCCAGGTTGTTTAGGCGTAATGATTCGCAGATATCCTATTTTTGACGTTAGCTCCTTGAGATGCTTGAGCTGATCTTCTGGATTAGACACGGACTTCCGGGAACGCGTGCTGAGGCGAGCTTCACGAATTGCCTCTAGTTTCTTGTCAGGCGCAAGGCGAGATATCAAACGTAGGAGTTCACGGTACTTGGAAAGGACAATGGCTTTTTGTGTTGCGCTCATGGAGGGCTGGGTTTTCAGGTAACAGTGCAAGCTTCTGAGTGCCCGCGTTGATATGTCGCATGGCGTACAGGCTTTAGCATCCATATGATAGATAGGATTAGACACCATCAAGAGCTTTCGAAAACATCACAGCATTGTCGTACAGTAAGGGCCTGTGGCACTGTTGCATTGACAAGCGTAGCATTTCACCTTCTGTACGCTTGCTCACTGCTTCCAATTGCTAAAGACCACTCAAATGGTGATACATGCAACGTAGCAATTGCACACTAACACCAGCGGACAGCATCACCGCGCTTGAATGCGCCACGGCGCTGCCGTACAGGAAGGGCAATCCAGTCAAGGGGACAGCTCGCTTCTTCTGGAGAAGGCCGGCGGTCCCCAAGTTGCAGCCACATTTCTATGATGCCATTTCCGAGTTTAACTTCAATCTGCTTTGATGACTCTTGCCTTGTGCTGCCATGGGCGTGGGTTTGCAATCCGTTGCGCATGCACGCAAAACTTCGAGACCTTGAATCTGGAGTCCAGACCGGGGCTTGAAAAACACGTTCTATGAGTGCGAAGATATTCATGAATTTCAGGGTTGACCGTAAAGAACGGAGTAGGTGGGTGAGCTCGAAGTCCAGCGACCTCTTCCTTCGCCCTTTGAAGCTTTTCCTGAGCCGCCATGCCGCCAAACGAAAAGCGCTACTACAGTGCTTCTGTGACAAACATTGTTTTGGACATTGTGGAGAAGTACAGTTAGCGACAGTGCCATCTTCGCCAGAGGAACTTAGCATATCCAACATCCGCAGGATGGCCTTGGATGGTCCTTACCACCCTACCAGGTGATCTATGCGAAATAGTGATGATTTCGGGGCCTACGATACCTCCGACTCCGCGGTGGCTGGTACACACGAAGGGAAAACCCTTTGCAGGTCTCAGCACCCAAGGGTGGCGGCATGAACCCCCTGCATCCTATGCGGTGGGTGCGCCGTGCTATGGGATCTGCCGCTGGGGGGGAGGTGGGACGTACTGGCATCTGCAGAAACGTACAGGCTAAAACAGAGGTGCTGATGGCGAGGGACGGGATAGACGCGATACATTAAGGACCTGAACTCCATAAAATACGCAATCACGTCTTCAGCACGTGCTAGGACGAGTGTATGTAGCAAGCGCGGAATTCAGGGGTGTCTACCAAGAAGCTTAGGACAGGCACGTGCAGGTAACGGGTGGGCAAGCTGGAGCTATGAAGTCATGTAGGATGCTAACTAGCTATCATAAGTACTTCAAGGAGCCGAACGGTTTACGGTGCTGCATGCACGTATGGCACACATCGTACTGTTTGCAAGTACGGAAGAGGTTTGGGTGGGTGGTCCTGACTTCAGAGAATATTTCTTTACATCCCCCGTCCAGCGCCAGTGTCCTGCCTTGCTTGATGTACTCTAATCTTGCCACTCTGGGGAATATGGGCATCAGCAACAGGAGATGCCGCCATTCCCCAGCGTGGCAAGGTTAGGGTTGCTGCATTGTGGTTGCTGCAATACCATACGGTATGCATTTTCTGATCGTCCTTGCGGTTCCCTTTTTGCATGGGTGACGGCCATGGCCTAGGCTGTATCCTGCTACAGCAACAGTACGAGAACAGAAGGCCTTTACTAGCTGCTGCATACCGACTATAGCCACAGGACTTGAACCACGCCGGGCACGCCGCTGTCGACAATTGCTTCCCGTTCAGCGAGAGCCAACATAGTTTTGTATAATCGAAGTCAATCACTTTCGACACCTATTTCACGCTCTCTTAATATAGCTGAGGAGGACTGTGTAGGGACGTGTTGTAGTGTCTCTAGCATGTATGCGTCGCTTGTTGCAGATTCTGGGACATTGCTCATGGCTTGCATTTTACCAAGGGCCTACCGACCTCAACGTAATGAGTGCAAGCGCACAACTTTTGGGGACCACCCCTCAAGCCGGAGCATTTCCTATTGTATATTTTATTAAGTATATATCCGTATATATCGGTAGTATAATATCTTATCATTCTCCCCTTGGCGAGCGACAAGCCCGTCCATCCGCGTAGGGCCCTCGCTGTCTCTGCAGCAGGGACAAGCGAAGCGGCATTGACGCAAGATTACTTCACCTTTAAAGCGCAAACACCAACCAGCTGTTACAGGCCCTTGTTAATGCGGCCGGTTGGGATCTTTCAAAGGGCGATTTTAATCGACAGCTGGAACCTGGAAGTTTATCCAGCAATGTTAACAAAGGTCCGTGCAGCCTTATTAGTTTTGGGTGCGTTTCACCTGCTACAGACTGATAGTACTCCAAGCGTGTTTGATTGTAATTTCCACGGCAAGGAGGAAAGATGTTCCCCAACCCTGAACGTATTGTTGCGCAGACAACCCTGGTATTATTACTGAAGCGGTTGTGACAACAAAGCTGCATTGGTGGCCCCTGCAACAGTGGCACCACCAGCGATGTCCGTTCCGCACGCTGTGCAAACCAGTGTGCCGCGGGGAACCTGCCTCCGCGGGTCCAATCCTGCTCAGATCGCAGCATCTGTGGAGACGGTAGCCGAGAAGCAGCAGCGCGTGAAGGCAAGGCGTCTGGAGGAGGACGAGCGACGACGTGCGAAGCTCCATGCCGACCTTCAAGCCAAGGAGGATAAGCGGCGCAATATCGAGGCAGCAAAACTGCAGCAGCGATTGGGAGGAGGCCACGGTGCACCTGGACGTAATCGTAAATCTTCGGCTGCACAACCATTTGGTCGGCCGCTCGTGGCGCCCAGCACGGCCCGCGCGGGACAGAAGCGTGGAAGGTGTTCCCCTGAATTTACACCAGCAAAACCCAAGCGACCTAAAGTCGAGGCGGGGTGGAGGGGCCCAGTGGAGGAGTTGGGTGCCATACCCGCCTTGGGTCGCAAGGCAGGCCCACAGACCTCAGGAGGGAGTTTAGCCGAGCCCATCAGTGTGGGTGCGGCTGCAGCTGCAGCAGCACCACCACCACAACTACGAAAACAGCCTACTGTTGAAGTGCAGATTGCCAGGGTGGCTGGTAAGCCGGTGGGCGGCGGGGCCCATGGTGCGTACACTAGCCGGAGCAAGCTTCCACACATGCAGACATTACGGGATGTGCGAACGGACACTTTGACGGAGTCGCGCAAGCGTGCCGCAGTGAGAGTGGCTTCAAGGGCAGTTGCTCTTTCTCCCCGAGCTCCGAGCTCACGACGCGTGCTACATCCAGCTGCCAATCCGCAGGCGTCCCCTTCGGCAACAGCAGCAACACAGGCTCGCGGGAGAGGCACGCGGCAGATGCGTGACTTGGAGGCTCAGTTCGGCTCGCTGGTCATGCATCCCAAAGCGAAAGCTGCCACGGAGCACGGTGCCATAATCCTACAGCGCAAAACACCAGCCGCAGCTGCCATGGCGCTGAGACGGTCTATTGCCGCACGTGCAGCCAACCCGCCAATAGTTCTCCAGCAGGAGCTGCCCAAGCTCGCGACCACGAGGGGAGCTCACGAGGCAGTTCGTTGTTCGTCACGGGTTGCACGCTTGCGGTGCATGCAGCCACCAGCTGCCAATGCAAGTGCGTCACCTTTGACGGCAGCAGCAAAGAAGCGGGGCGTGAAGGAGCCACAGCGTGGCTCCAAGGCTGCATCAGAGAGTGTGGTGACCATCGCGCCTGCACTCACCACTGGTATCGCGCCCGTAGCAGAAACGCCCGCGGAGATGGGGCAGCCTCGCCCATCTCAGCGTCAGCAGCCCGTTGCAGGCGAGGTGGTTGTTGACCCTTTGCATGTGAGCACATCTTTGAAGCAGCCAAACCGCTTAAGCTGGCAGCAGGGGGACGCCAAGCAGCCGCCAACGGGATCTTCTATGGACGGGCACTCTAGCAAGGAACCGAGCGCACACGAGCCGAAGAGTACTTCAGCTGGGGCGAGTGCTAGCTTTTCTGTCGCCCATGCCTCGTCCTCGCTAAAAGCAACAATAGAATCGCAGGATGGAGTTGACCCAACAGGCAAGGGTGATGTGCCAGGAGCGGCTCCAGCATCTGGCTTGGAGGGAGCGGGCCCTGCCGAAAAAATATTCCCTTTTAGCGCCGACCTTAATGAGCAAACGTCGCCGATGATGAGGCATTTCGTGCCAGCGGCTGGGCATTCCGCAGCTGCCTGTAGGGCTACAGTCGAGGCGGCACCCCCGGAGCCGGCGCGCGACAGGAAGCCACAGAGGTCGCCATTGCAGGTGCGGCTCCTATTCACGGATAACGCAATTCTTTCCGTGTCCAAAGCCCGCCAGATGACACGGCCCATCTCGTGTCACCGCTCATTTCTCCTTCATGTGCAGGCGAAGGCCCTTGGGGCCGCTCTGGCTGCAGCCGAACGCCAACGCCAGGTGCAGGTTGATGCCGGGCCCAGCAATGCAGGCGGCAAGTCAGGAGGTCCGGCGCCATGCTCGGTGCGGGTAACACCAACGAAGTCGGCTGTACAGCATGGTGCCACATGCAAGACAACTGTCGGTGTCATCCTTCCGGTGGCCGCGTTGACTTCCGCACGAGACAAGCGAAATGGTAGGATTGCCATGCACCCCGCATGCTTGCCTTTGCATTTATGTGACTATGGGCTGCACAGACATTATCGATTGTTACACTCATACCTCTGCTCCACCTGCTGTGCAGATTGTGCTGCTGGAACCGTGGAAGCTGTGCTGCACGGAAACGTCAAGGCAAAGGCAGCCTTCTATGAACAGAAGAACGAGCAGGCTAAGAAAGCGGCAACGGAACATACTCCCCTTCGAAAACAGGCAGTTGGCGCGACTGCAAACCCCGCATCGGGTTACAGAGCAGGATTTATGGGTCTCAGTCTGGTCAAGACCCCTGGACCGAAGACTGGCACTGCCAAGACCCCCGGACCGAAGACTGGCCCAGTGGCCAACAACATGGTCTCCCCCGCTGTGCAGATGCAGATTAAGCTCCTGCCCGCCGTCCACGCCCAGTCTGCCGCTGCGGGTCCCGAGGGCTCCAAAGCTGCTGGCGCTGCACCAGGCTTGCCCAGGCCGAAGCCAGTGGGCGTGGTGCAGGCAAAGCAGGCGCCAGTCGCGGCTGCTGGTTCCCAGAGGGAGGGTGGTGTAACGCCCGGAGCTGCAGACCTTACGGAGGAGGACCGGCGGAATGTGCTCGCAATTCAGACGTCGCCCTATGTCATGCAGATCAAGCCGCGGACGCCCGCCGTGACGACCGCTACTAAACCCCTTTTTAACTATAAGATCTCAACATACAGGTGCTGTGGGTTGTGCACAAGTCGTCCTTGTCGCATTCCTGCATGCGGCTCTTCACCGGTTACCTGTCTGCATGCGTCTCCAGGTTTATAGCTTGATCGCACTGATCTGCAATTGTTCCCGAGCATGGCCGCCAGCTTGTGATTGCGCCACAATGCAACGCAACAGTTGATGAAAGCCCGCCTCATTTGCGAAGGACGGGGCTCAAATCCGAAATGTGATTTGTGGAGGTTGAAACCATTAGCATCGTATCTTAGACTGTACTGCCTTCCCCATTCGTTAGGTCCGACTCGGATTCCGACTCCTGTGACGACGAGGATGGCCCTGGTCGCCGGTGCAAGCCGGTGCCTGCATGGGCAGCGGAGGACAAGGTCTTGCTCGCGGTGGATGCCCAAGCCGGCATGAATGCTGACGCCATCTTCGGCAGTTACCCCAGGACAATCGACGTCGTCAAAGTCTTTTCCAACATGCCCCCGCCGGGCGACAAGGATCCTCGTGGCCGGCCACGGCGTGATTACCGGCGGCGAGGAAGCAGCGGCAACTGGGAACTTGACATGTTTTGAGGAACGTCCCGGTGCGTGGTGGTTTAGTTGAGAGCTGACATGTGTTGCGTTTCCTTTCTTTGGCTGAGCGGTTTATGAGCTATGTATGGACATTGCGCTTCCCAACTGAAATTCATGCTCCTGACTGGTTCGTTCATGGCCTCGTTCCGGCTGCGAAGAGATCTGTGTCACATGTTGCAGGCAAGGGGCAGGGGGCGAACATGGCGGATAGTGGCAAGGCGGGTACGATAATCGCAGGGGGAAATACCATGATTCCAGCGCCTAACAAAGCACCAAATTTGCGAGGTTGGCGAACCGGCGTCGACACGCGTACTGTCCGGGTTGGATGCAGCTTGCATTTTAAGGACTGCTGCTTGTCCCTACGACACCTTGCCGGTGGGCGCGTTACATGTCTTGCAACTGTGTGTGGCCTTCCTAACAGGCGAGTAGCGTTTTTCACTATCATCCTACGACCTGTGTCGAGTTAAACTCCCATATGGGCCCCATTGTCACGAAGCTGTGTAGATGCATTTGTTTTGCATGGTGGTCGCTCGTTTGCTTTTGCAAGGTAACATTTTGTAATCTGTCTGTGGGTTTCAGCACTGCAAAATGTGTTGCAAGGTTGTAATTTAGTAGCAAAAATATTTTTGTTCGGCGTAACGGTTCAATGGGCGACCATTTCGCCACAGATAGTATTGTTCAAGCTGCGACGGTTTTGATTTTGGGCGAACATATGTTGACGTGCCACATGTACCGTGCCACATGTACTGATGCCGTCTCAAGGTATGGCATCAATAACCACATTTCGTTATTCGTCATTGTCGTGCGTTGGGCCTGTCATGCTTGAGCATTTCGGAGGAACTCACAAAGCTGTGCCAAGCCCTCACGTGTGACAGTTTGGGTCAGGGGAGAAGAGGTTTGGTCACGGCACAAATGAACTTCAAGTTGCCGCGCAAGGCAAGAACCGAATTCTGCCGCGCAAGTCCGAGTCTATTGTGGAATTGAAACGCTATAGAGACACCAAGATTCAGGTTTTATCATTAAGCCATTTAGGTTGTGTTTCCAGTGCGGATTAACGTCGCGGATTTACCCTCTGTCCTCCATCGATACTTGCTCAAACGGCTAAGTTGTTGGCAAACTTACCTTGCCTTTTCGGCCTTTGGTTCCCTTATGGAACGAAACTATGCGGTAAGCTCGTACAAAGGACTTCCGTGCCCTAATCCCTGGCCTTAACCCGCACTGGAAATACACCCTTATAGATTGACCGACAACTTTGAAGATAGCTATGATGTCTCTAGGATGTTACCAGCTAGGACACCCCTGTTCCTCAGGGTCATGAGCATTTTGACTCGCTGTGTTAACCGACTATCAAACCCTGATGCTGGCCATGTTGCCCGGTCATTACGGACGTTACAGTGAACCCGACCAGACCACCGGTGCTGCCCGGCCTTGTTTACTGTATAGGCAAGGAAAGGCCCGGAAAGGTACCACCAAGGCGAGCCAATTACCGGACAGGATTTGGCCAGAGACAGGCACCACCATCAGGCATCGACCACCGATGTCCCCACCCCACAGACGACATAAGCTTCACTTGGAACGGAAGCTCAGAGCAGACCAGTCGGTTACAGAGGTAACCGTCAAAAACCAATATAAGCCAGGATAAAATGGGACGTTAGTTACCCAAGTAACCTTATCACGCCTAACCATTAATGGGATCAGACAAAACCAACCAGGCACGTATAAATTTACCACTTACAGCCCGGGGCACTGGGTGGCCATGCCGACCTAGTTCATGTCGGAGCAGCCCCAGTATCGAGAAGGCATAAAGCCGTCGCCAAATCCGACCACCTGACGCATCGCTCGCTACGCCACCGCCTTCCAGGAACGAGTCTCTCTCATGTGTGCCGCCATAAACCTGCGCACCGTGTCCGCGGCTCATCGCGCACGAAATGCAAGGCGCAATACGAAATACAACGGAGTTCGCCGTACTCGTGAAATGCCAAATCCTGGTTGCCAGGAAAGGCCTCCAATGTGCATAAAATGCAGGTAGCCATATGACATAAGGTAGAGAAGGATTGGGAGTGCGGCAGCTGCCGCCCACACCAGCCATTTCCTCTGTTTCAGTTCTCCCAAAGTACATAACAGGCAATTTGCAGCTGTAAGCGAGGTCTCCAGCGTTTGTTTCCAAGCGCAGTAGCTCGCGCCACAATTGCTGTTCCCAAGGTCCGAACCAGCATTTCTTAACCACCATCCGAGGGGTATGGCACATTTACGCCCTCGGCTTGCCCAATTTGCTAGGCCGAGGAAAGATATAGTACGTGTACTAGGAACCACTCTCCCTGCCAAACTGAAACAACAATTTACTCTAGGCCGACAACCGGCAACGGAAATACTCACTATGTCGTCGTCACACCGCTCTTCCATGTCTGCCATAAAAAATGCCAAGATAAATTGAGGGAACGGGTCTTATGCATATGCAAGAGGAGGTGACGTTCGCCTTCACACGCATAGTCAGTCCTTAGTGCCAGTTCTCTCCCCCGGGTGGTGTGATGGGCCGCGACCTGGCGAAATACGACCCAAACCCGCCCCGCCTCGGCGCGGCGGGTCGCCTAGGCCGGTTTCCGTCACGGGCAAGGCGTGCGTCTCGTCCAGAGTTAGGCCGTTCAGGTGCGACTGGCACACCATGCACGCCACTAGCATTCCCACGCACACGCCGAACATGACGGAAAGCGGGAAGTGACTGACCTGAAGTTTGGGCATACAGGGATCCCGAGGTTAGTGCAACAGGGATTTTTTGTAAGCTTGCTACGTAAGGGTGCAGCTTGAGTCGCAGGGACCTGTGGGACAGGTCATGCATCCGAACTAGCAGGTCCGCACTTTGGGACCTACTTTGTACAAAACCAGGCACACAAATAGGTTCAGCGGTATTCGGAAGATGTTGATAATGGTGGACCGAAGCTCTTCCGGTACGTATCGTGCACGGAGCGCCATCATGGAAGGCCAGAAAACTCCAATGCAAGCCTCGAAGCCACAGAAAGCGAGTAACTGCAGCTTCCCCGATACTGATATGCCACCAGCACCATTATCCACTAACGATGAACCTCCTGCAAAGTTTGCGGCGCGGCGAAGGCAAAACACTAAGCTCCAAGGTGTACCGTACAGCAGCACGCAGCAAAAGGAGCCGTAAAGGAAGGTCGTCAGGTCAATAACAGCAAACTCGTCCATACACCAAGCCGCAGGCTTACCAAGGGGCAACGCCATGGGCAGTTTCCATCACTGTGCCAACACAACAGCTCCTAGGGCGCCACAGGGTTAGGAACCTCTGAAGCGCGCACTATATGCCAGCCGAAATTTCTCCAGGCGCGACTACAAGAGCTCCCACAACCTTCCAGGAACATAACCCACCGGAGCCCGGCTCTCTCCGTTCCATGTGGAAAGCAAGCGGCACCGCTAGGCTCAGCGCACCGAGGCCATACACGAGCCCCATGTAGTGTTGGGGGCTGTAGTGTCGAATCAGGATGCTTGTTGCAGCACTCCCCGCCTACGAACCAGGGCCGACAAAGAGACCTTTTTGAGACGATTTTGTTTTCCGGGAGGCCACACCTTCGTTGCATTTCCTGTCTTTGCAAGCCCCGGGGACCCCGAGTGACACCGTGAGGCAAGTCTCAGACAAACGTGCGCATCTGGCCTTTAGGGAAAGAGTTAGGCATGGTGCCCATAGTTGTTCATATTGTCGTCGCCAAGGCGGCAATCGGGTAGGTGTCACCCACGCAGCCAAAGCGGTCAAAAACCGCACAACGTGCCGTCGATTCACCATGCAGGCCGTCATGAAGCAGGAAAAGACCAAGCCATGTGGAACCTTCTCGCCGTTAGGACTGAGCGCGGGCGTCCACAGGAAGACAAACGTGTACAGGGACGCCTCGAACATGGACTGCATCGCGCCGAGCAGCGCGACGCGCGGGTCTGCAGGGCAGCAGATTCAGTACAAGCCCGGAACACGACCGCACAGAAATCATCAAGCAATGGCATTTTATAGCAGTTTGGAAGAACCCATGCACCAGGGCCAGCCAAACAGCCTTTTCAAGTGCCCATGCGAAGATTCTTGGAGCCCTGGGAATTTTAGCACTGGGATTTTACTCCAATGTGCACAATGAGTACTTGGATGGCAAGTAATCGCGATGATCGAGGGTTGGGATTCCCGCCAGCGTCCCAGCGTGGCTCCGATTCTTGCAGATCTTGGCGACTCGTGTTGCTGCGCGCCTACGTGCATTAAGCCATCCTATAAAGGTCCTTACCCACGTTTTCCTTGTGAATTACTTCGGACAGCCCTAGGCTGCTGGCAATTGGGGGCTCCTATGGGTCCGTTGCACCCTTGGAGGGTGACGCAACTCCAGGAGGTGTAACATACACACACACACACACACGCAGACACTACCCATGTCATCAAGCTAAACATTTACCCCAAGCATATAGCACACCAGTCTGCCACAACCAAGAAATCAGATGAGGACATCTGAACACAGCAGCCGGGGGGTGCGCAGCTTACCCGTCCATATGGCGGTCCAGCCGAGTGCCAACTGCGCAATCAACGAGCGGCGGTTGTTGGGGTTGCCATAGTTCTCGTCCCACGTTGCCAGCACCAGGGCCCCGCCTGCCAGCATGATTACGATGGCCGCATCGAAGGGTGCCACTGGCCCAAGCTGTAGGTCCTCCACCAGCACATTGCCCGCGAGACCAGACAGAATGGCCACCAGCCCAGCCCCCAAGAATACCGCCTTGGAAAACCTATCGGGTGAGACAGGTTGAGCGCAGGTCATAGGGATCAGAGCCCACGGGTAGTGATGCCGTCAAGCGCATACAGGATGCTGACATGGACATGGAGCTGGTTCGTGTGACCTCTGAAACGACGTGATGTTGCTGATGATGATTTTGTGTGGGTGCGGCCCGGGCCTCCAAAGATGTCGGCACGGCCACAGCTGCCGCGCCTGGGTTCCCAGGCTTCCCACCACCTCTCTTCAGTGAACTCAGTTCCCAGCTACAAACCCCGTCCGTGTCGCCTGGCCCCCTTCAGTGCCGCTCACGTGTCCGCCAGCAGCGCCTCTGGAAAGCCCCTCCGGTTGTGCTCCGCCACAAGCCAGCTCTCAAACACGGAGAAAAGCAGGCTGGTAGATATGCCGCCCAGCATCCTTCCTGACATCAGCACCCAGTATCGAGGGCTGTGCTTGGTGGCACATGAGAGGCAGTATGTGACCACGTACACCAGCGACGCACTCCGCCGCCCGCTGGGGAGCGTTTTGAGGGGGGGGGAGGGAAAGGGAGTCAGCCGGAACGGGAGGAGCTCCCGGAATGAGTACATGTTCAGAATCCCGTTACGATAAAAATTGCGCAATCAGCTGTGCAGGCAAACGGATATCATTGCGTGCTGTCTGCCTACCTCCCCGCCAGGAAGCGTGAGAAAGTTGGACTAAAAAGCGGCCCGACAAGGATAGTAATAGCGCTTATATATACTACTGGTGCCGTGGTGCGGCTGATAGTATTGCTGCTGCATCAGACCCCTGCTTTGCGGGGCTAGGTGTATTGCGCCCAAGGGCAGGAATTCCGCTGCGCCCGGCCATATGCCTCACATTATGTCGGCCAATGCGCCGACTACAGTGCCGAATACCAGCGAGCTTCCAAATCCCATTATAAAGAAGTGGCCAATGTCGCCGACCGTGTAGCCGTAATGTTCGTACAAGGCATAGATGTAGGGTCCCTGCAGCCAGTCACCCGCTGCACACAGGAATAAGTTCTACTGCATTTGCACTTCAAAATGTACTGTGCACGACTGAATGCCCAGTAACCGTTGAGGCCAGGTAGGCAAACAAGTAACGGCGCCGAGCCTACTGAAATTTTACATGTACCGATGTTGACTAAAAGAACAGTTGTGGCGCGCTTAGTAATAACTAACTTGAGAACCTACCAGAAAGGGTTGAAGCAAAGCCCAATTGCGACAGCGGAAAAGAAACAACGGGCACCACTTTGCGTGAAATCCAATCAGCTATCACTCACCCATCATAAGGCAAAAGACCAAAAGATAATTGGATCGAAAAACCCTGAAACGCTTCTGCTCGTCAACATTTTGCAAGGTCGCGGTTGGGCTGAGCTCCTCAGTGCCCGACCTAAAATTTAACAGCACGGTGACCAGCACTAGGCCAACGAAAAGAAAGACGTAGAACCAATCCATTTCATAGAGGCAAGAAGCAGGCTACAGTGATCAGTATAGCGCTCAAGCCCAACAAACGCCGCATCGCAGCAGATCTGCTTGTGCTATCGTAGACGATTTGGCTAATGCATTTATCCGGAAGATAGGCAGCTTGAGACGCAAGCAACAGGTGAGTGTGACGCACACCATATTTGCTAAATGCAGGGAAAGTTATGTTGCATGATGTGTAATGCAAGATGTGACATATGGCTGAAAGGTTGTAGCAGCAGCGAACTCTCAGCTTGGGTGCGGGTTCACCCGCTTACAAACGGGTACGGAATGCCCAGCTCCCCAACGGAATGCACGAAGGGAAATTGCGCGGCAAGATTGAATGAAGAATGTATTCGAGACGATACGATATGTGCAACCATGCGTTTCTTGTGTTAAGCAGCTTGAGCGCGCTTGCCGTGCCAAATAGTCCCAAGTAGCTCTATATGCACTCCGTACTACGTGTATATACCGTCCAATTACAGCCCCTTGACGCCTTCCTTAAACGCCGGGAATCAAGCGAAGCAGCGCCCCAATTGTGACAGAACGACGATGTAGGTGCAAGCTACTTGTGTTGCAGTACACTTCCTAACCGTAGCTGGCATCCTTCGCCTGATTAAGCAACAACACCGTGGTGGCTCCTCAGGTGCGCCACCTGACCAGCGTACATGTCAGCATTGCGCTCGGTCCATACAACTGTTTCTGGTTACTGGCAAGCGACCAACTTCCATCAAAGTTGTTGCGGAGCCTCACTGTCATCTGCGCAGCTGTACTGGGATCTTGGTTGGCCGCTTGATTACAACGATTATTCCAACAAAGAACATCCATGCCAACCAGTAGGAGGTTGCACGCAAAAGCATCTCTCTGTATCCACTCACATAACAAACGTCTTTGCTCGTCTAGACAGGGTGGCTCCCGCTCCAGACCACATCCAAGCGTTACAGGTAGTGTTGAGCGCTCTGTGCATGTACCCCATTAGCCTATAGGGAGCCATACAAGTTGCGTAAGAGGCTGCACGACTTCTGTACGGCATCACAAGGCGATCGAGACGTCCCTTCATTATCCCACGTGCCCCATTCCAACGCTCCAACCGCCTCCCTCCGCGACTGTTAATCTTCCGCAACCTGTGGGCAGCGTTGAACACCATCCCGATGATCGGCTTGGCAAAACCCATATAGCCCAAATCCTTAATCCCCGTCGGATTATCAATTCCAATCTCCCGCGAGTCACACACCTATAAAAGGGCTTCGCTGACAGCGGTGTCGAAGGAATTTGAGTTGAGAAATGCTCCATGCATTGTTCGAGGAGAAAGGTTTGGTTAATAACGGAAAGGTTTATTCCAAACTGCAAATGCCACACCCAAGACCATCAACGCTTTTCCGGCGGTGGGCTGCATATGCTTCACTGCACACAACTCCTGAAGAGCACACAACTCCTGGGAGTTACACACTGACAAAGCTCACGCGTACCTTGTCGTCAAGCATCCCGTTATGTACACACTACAGAAATCGTGCGAGCCGGCACCGCCTCAGCTGAGAAGCAGTTTCAGCCACCCACGTACGCCTCATATCTCATAGTTCGTCCAACACCAGCCCCACGTTTGCCTCATATCCCATTGTTCGTCCAACACCAGCCCCACGAAAAAATAACTAGGCTCTCTTCCCTCTCCTTTTCAATCTCTTGTGCTGTGCAGCTCTCTACTAAGTGGCACGCAGTGTAAAGTCCTTGAGCCCTCGGCTCGTACTGTGCAGGTTTTCACCAAACCTGTAATGTAATACTAACACATCAGCCCCGCAGTGTCGGAAGAGCCTGTCCCTTGCGAGGAGATAGAAACCATGGGATTTGTGCCTCTATGTACCTGAACATTGCGATGACCATAGCGTCCCAGCGCGCGGTCTATTTCATGTACGAAGCAGCCCGAAAGGTAAAGTTTCTGTTTAGGGATAACCACTGCCGTGGAAAGTCCACTGCTTTGTGGTGTGAAATTGAAATATGATAACGGGATTCTAAGCGGTAACGTGACCTAGCAGTTGGTTTAGGCTGGCCTCCGTCTCTCGGTATTCCGCTTGGCTGTACAGGCAACCGTGGCCAACTGTGCGTACGGAAACTCAGAAACTTCTCCGTCGGAGGACTGTCTATATAGTTGGAATTTGCTGCGATGCATTTATCATGATGCACCACGAAACGGATTGTGCAGTAATGGGCAAAACTGATGGCCATATCAGACGAGTAGTTCCCCTAATTTGTTAGGCGCAACTTCATGGCCGTTAATTGGGGTGCTTCTGATACTGTTTAATCTTTACAAGGAGGTCGCTATTCGACAAAGATGGAGACCGCAGCACGCCACAAGCGGCTCTGGATGGAGGTGAGGCAGTTTACCAATGGTTGCAGTGATGTACGCGATACCTGCACAACGTTAATGTGAAGAGCTTTACTTGACAATTCGGAAACTGCACGCAGGTTTGTACGCAGGCAATCGCCATCGGAGCCATGATATGGGGGTTAAAGATTTGCCTTGCGTACATTGATCCATATCGGGAGCAGCGAGAACAGGTGGGGTGGATAGTCATGTCGTCTGGAGCGCTAAGTTGGCTGTCGGCGTGCTGAGTGGCTCCGACCGCTCGCCTCCAAGCTAGAACTTTCATACCCGCAAACTGATTTTATGACAGGCAAAGAAGCGAGCTGCATTCCTCAAGCAGCAGCTAGGCAGGGCCCTCGAGCTTAATGAGTTCGAGCAGTTGTTGGCCGCTCAAGTTATTAATCCTGAACATATCGAAGTGGAGATGCAGGACGTGTCAGGCCTTGAAAGCATCGTTGCTGATCTGGTGAGTATGTGAAGGCCTGGTTGAATGTTACCCTGAGCGACCCATGGGCTGATCCACCGCTGTGCCGTGTGTGGTTGTTACAGCGGTGCCGTGTTATAGCCTGTCTTGACCACAAACAGGGAATTTCTTGCCGCAGGAACTGTAGTATGGCTACAGTGAACACATTCCAGAACCTTTAATGCCCCTTCAGGTCTAGTGGGCTAGCCTGTCTGTAACCGCTCTTAACGTCCTGTTACAGAGCATTCTGTTACGTAACATGCGCACATCTCGTGTGCTGATACAAACATATCGCGCTATGGCACACTTCGCGTAATGACCTCTACACACACGTTTGTGACCCACGCACGAACCAGTTGATGTGCAAATTAGCAAGCTGCACCTGCGCCGGTTGTGTTGCAGACAATGCTGACGCTGCGCCCGTTCTTGCACCGTGTCTCCTACCATGACCTCAGGAGATGAAGCTGCTGTACCCGCTCATGCATCCTCACCTCTATCGCACGACGCTGTGGAAGCAGACCAAGGGCGTTTTGCTGTAAGCCAGGTTGCCGGTCGTGGATGCGGTGTGGCGGATAAGCAATACGGCCCAGCACGGGCCATGGGTAGTTCCTGGGCAACCAACCGGACGATTGGCCGTTTCGTTGATATGCTGAGTGGGGGAATCTGCGCTCTTGGAGAGGTTGCGACTCGGAACCACGCTATGGAGAAGGCAGGCACGCGCATATTGTGCACACAGTAAATGCCCTTATCTCTGCTATTTTCGCGGATGAGTTGATAACACCTGGTGAACCGTTGTTGCAGGTACGGGCCGCCAGGCACGGGGAAGACCATGTTGGCCAAGGTAAGGAAGGGGGATGGGACTTTAGCCACCTTACCAGCTTATTAATTGCCTAGTGGACATGGTTTCTTAGAGCTGTGCTACAGGTGATGCCGCCATCCTGCGCACCGGTTCCTTCTCCCCATCCCTTGCTCTAAACCTCCCTATCAGATTGCTGCCCCGCCCAAGTGCAAGCGCAGTCCGCGTAGTATATCGGACCATCACTATGTTGTATCTGGCGCGCATTTTGTTGTGTAGGCCCTGGCTAAGCAGTCCAAGTGTTTTTTCCTGAACATCACGGCGTCGTCCATCATGAGCAAGTGGCTCGGAGACGCCAACCGCCTGGTTCGCGCCGTCTTCAGCTTGGCGTCGAAGCTGGAACCCTGCATCATCTTTATTGGTACGTCAGGAGCTTACAGCAGCACTTCAAGCAACCCCGCAGAAGCAATACTCGTGGCCGCCACGTGGTTTAAATCCTGCTTATCCTGCGAAGGCTTTACTAATATAAAAATTATTTTAATTGTGGAGTAATGTTAGGCGCTCCACCAATGGTTCCTGGTCGGAATATTCCTGGCGCCCTTTGGCGACAGTGATTAGAACTGTCCTCTCCGACCCCGCTCACAGATGAGGTCGACGCGATGCTGGGCAAGCGCGGCAACAGCAGCGAGCACGAGGCGATGCTGCAGGTCAAGACGGAATTCATGCAGCTCTGGGACGGCATGGAATCAAGCCGAGGCCAGGTGCGTGTGGGTCATCACGCCTGCTGGACACGGGACGTTTACGACACTGATTGGCCGGTGTTCAGGTTTTAGGTGTTGAATGTCTTCCCAGGTACGACTCGTTTACGCGAAGCCTTCGTCAGCTTTTTCGCTCCTGTAACCTCACACCGGACCGCACCGTGTGCATTCGAGCAGGGCTTAGGGTTTTTTAAACAGTACATAGTCAAAGTTTGCTGGTTCGTGCGTGCTGCGGAGCTCAAATCGTATGCCCCTGTTAACCCCTTATTGTGCTGACAGCGCGTCGTGGTCATGGGGGCCACTAATCGCCCGTGGATGGTGGACGAGGCGGTTCTGCGGCGGTTTACCCTGATGTACGAGGTGAGCCGCTCTTTCCAACCACGTCTTCCCCATAGCCTCACGCGGCATCGAAGCTCCCGGCCGTTTCGATTGTCTTGGATATCCTTCATGACAGCGAATCGCACCCCGCACTGAAAAACATCATGGCTTGTTAGATTCACAGTCGGCATGCCAGGTTTACCCTTCGCATTCTAAGTGACCCTTCCATTATACAGTTACCCTAAGTATTGTCATGGTCGAGGTTAAGTCCCGGGCAACTGTTTCTTAAGCTCCGTGGGGCTCGTTGCGCACAAGAGTTTGTCGCTGCATTTGGTGGAATTGTGGGGGGCTCGCCCAGTCACTTGGCCGCACCCGGCCCCGGCGCAGATCGGCCTACCGAACAAGGCTCAGCGCAAGGCAATCCTTCTGGGCTACCTGCGGAAGCACAACCAGGAGGTGCCCAACAGCGTTGCGGAGGAACTGATGTCGGCAGGGCCGGCACGCACGGCCGCTAGTAGCAGCAGCGGCGGCAACAGCACAGCCCAGGCGGTATCCGCGGCTCAGAACGGCGGCACTGCTCACGGACCCAGCGCACTTGACCGCATCGCGGATATGGCGGAGGGCTTCAGTGGGAGCGATCTGCTGGAGCTCTGCTCGCAGGCGGCGCAGGGGGTCCTTGCGGAGCACCTCCAACAGCAGCAAAGCGCGTGAGTACAAAGAGGAGGTCGAGGAGGTTAGAACACATTCCCACGTTCCTGACATGGCGTGAAACCATTTCAGTTAGCCTTGGATGTTGGCGGGTCATCCCGAGAGGGATGTTAACGTATGTGCGCATATGGCTTCTCCCGTTATCGTTGGCGGCGAGGTATTTTGAGTGTCATATGTGATACTACATCTCCAATCAGATCCGTCTGCCAAATACACTGCTTTTCTGACTGCCGCTGGGTATCGTCCTTTTTATGCCCAAGATGCATAGGTACTTCTTTTCGTCTTGTTACAGATTAGGAGGCTTCTGGGCCAAAAGAACTCATTTGGATGGTCATGTCTAGGATTAAAGACCATACAGCACCATCCACCGTTACCACACTGTACTACGCCATAGTGTGGTAATCTGCGGTTGATCTGTCTTTTAGCATCCCCCCTCATTATGTCACCCGAACAACCGTAGAGAGAGGGTTCAGCAATCACCATTCCAGCATGCGAATCTGTTCATCAACCGTGACCTATACTCCACATCTCAGCAGCTAGCCATAATCTCACGTTCCCGACAATGTCGGTGGTCTACCCAGAATCGAATTCAGGATCTTAACCGCAAATTCAGTAGTGTGTTCACACCGGACCATAGGTACAATAAGCTAACTCAAAAGTACTAATATGCCAACTGTTATCCCGACTGCAGAGATCCACTTCCGTCCTCGGGCAGACAGTCTCTGAGCATGAGGCCGTTGTGCATGGCTGACTTAGAGGGGGCTTTACAGCATGTACGGCCATCATTGCACCGGGCGGACGAATACAACAAGGTGAATTCATTAAGGGCTGCAATGTAACTGTCGCTATCTCACATATCTTTTCTTGGACTGCTGCGCTCAGGTGATGGCATCCGGTGGTGGTAGTGGAGGGCCACTGTCGACAGACATGGCATCTATGCTGGCCTTTTTAATGCAGCAGATGCGTGGCTAAAACAACATTGGAAATGCTGTGTTGATATAGGAACGGCAAAAGATTGCATATAGGTTATTTCATCTGTTACATAGTCTTATTTGATCCGTGTCGGTACCAAAGATCTGGCCAGCTTGGGGCCAATGCAAACACGCACATCGAAAATTGTAACGAGTCAGAACGGGCAAGTACGTTGCCGGATCACAATGCTATGACATGTCGAAATCATCACCGAGTCGTATGCCCCGTCGCATACGTATATATACTGTCAAAAAGATATGTACTTTGTTCGTTTAAAATTAAAAACAATATAATTGCATTGTTGCGCGATATCATATGTGTACAATCCGAATTTACACGGCAGCAGTAGCCTTCTCAGCAACCGGCGCTGCGGTGCTGCACTCCTCTGGTACCATGCCCAGCGCGACAATGAGCATGGCGTTAACCGTCGCTGTCATAATAGAGCCAGCAATCATGGTGCGCACACGGTGCTTGACCTGGCCGTCTGCTGCGTCAGCGGTCAGAGAGTCCATTGTCAAGAAAGCGTCCGACGTTTGGATGTACAGAAGAGTGGCCTGCAATAGGAACATACAAACTTCAGTATCGTACGATACCGTAGCGAATTATGGACGGAGATAGAAAATGACGACGGTTCCGAGATCACTTACAACAGCGAAGAGACCGAGCCAGGAGAGGCGGGTCTTGGCGTAGGCACCAGTAACAAGCGCAATGCCAAGACCGAAGATGAGAACAGCTTCAAGGCAAATGATAAACCTGCGATGACACGACAGCATCGGGTATCTCCGTAAGCGCCGCGTATACCAAGTCCATTAAGAATACGAAAGAATTTACCAGTAGTAACGGAAATAGCTCATGCAAGGAAGGCCGGTCGAGAAGCCATTGATGCCGGCGAGCGCTATATCCCAGCCGCTTGTGCACTTGTCCTGAACCGACGCAATGCCGGCAAGGGAGACCGACCTGGAAGCACGAAAGACATTGGTACCACGTCAGCAAAATGTCGCACAAAGACCCTGATACGCCACTAACTTGTCACTGCCGTTCAACCAGAACTTACCAGGTGCAGAAGACAAGGGCCGTCAGGCCCATGACAATTGAGTTTGAGGCCATCCTGAAGGAAACAGTTAATGGAGCGCCGTCAGGCTAGGAGTGGCATTCGCTGTCCAGCTTCCGGAAGCGCATGGAAGAACATAAACAGGACGGCAACCGGCTATACCATCTTCCAAATTTGCAGGACAGACAAATGATATGAATGATATATACCCCATTAGAACTAAGTAAGTTCGGTCTGCACCAAACTCACCTGCAAAACTTGTTTGACCAGGAAGTCGGTGCCGACTGCTTCGATGCTCTCTGCTTTGAGGAGGGCTTGCTGTAAGTAATGGCAGGCAGAACTTTTTGTGTAGATAACAATGAAACTTAGCCCAATGCAGGGCACGCGGCATTTTTATATCTCCTCGTCAGCCTATCCTGTCGTACTTTTGTGCCGGTGCCAGCTGGCATTAGCAAATCAAATTTTAAGCTCCACACTTTCCGTTAAAACTTCGCATGCCATATGAACATTTTCTGAATTTATCGGACAGCGCCTTTCAGTAGTTCCTTGCCGTTCAGTATGAAGATGGAAATTATGTAATTGCTGACAGCGGCAAGTGTCAGTAAAATCAAGCGATTATGCCTGCCTACGCAACACTTTTTAATGAAAGACTATAACATTCTAAGGGATGTGCACGTCTAGTGATATCGCTCTCGTAATGTATTCAGTCAACCAACTGACGAGGACATTCTAGAAGGAGGTACAATCCTCTCCAACGCTGGTTTTAGCAAAAAAATGAAGAATGCAAATTACATTATGGTCCATTTACGCCGTCCTCTTAACACGAACATGGTTACCTGCCTGCTGCTACTCAGCTTTACAGCACCAACAGTTTCATTAAAAATCGTCGCACTACTTTCAGAGTCATATGCCTTGCCCATGCCCGCTGAGCAGCTTTGCCAGGATAGGCTCCACGAAGGGTAACTTGTCCGGTGCATGCTGTTTGTAAATTCGTAGCAATGCTTGCGAAGTGACCTCTGGCAGCTCAATTTGCGCGCGACTACGTGCATCCTGAAGCGCGACCTGCACCATGAATGTGGACATATTAAAGCAGAAGTTGTATAGTGCATGGCTTTGCGAGGCTCGTCGTACCTTGTCGGTTATGTGGGCGGAGCACGCTAACACGCCAAACAGAGCCCGTAAACTTCCGCCCGCCGTCAGCTCGATTGCCTTAGCGTAATAAGAGCGCGCCGTCCTACACGTCGGATTCAGCGCGCGTTAACAGACGGCATAGCTTGGACTGGTGATAACACTCACCTGGGCGCTGAGAGCCAAATACAGCAGCGTGCAGCGCAACATGCACACACCGTCACACATCGTATTGTGTTGCTCGGGTTATAGCATTTCCCAGCTTCCGCAGTAACCATAAGGGCAACATGGCGGACAGAAAATATGCTTGACCACGTGACCACACGTTAGAAGCTGCAACCGAAATTTTCTCGTGCTTTCGTGAACAAATGTTCCACCTCTTTCGCGTGTATTGTCCCACCTCTGGGCGGGGTCTCAACAAGCGGTTTTAGTCACAGGTAGGCGGTTAGAAAGGCCTTCAATCTCGCATGGCCACGTTTTTCTGGCACTGGCACACGCATCCCCGCTGTGCAACATGCAGCCTGACATGGTTAACATTTGTCAGGTCCACGCCGTGGCGATACACCCTTTCAAGCTGTGCTGAACTGAGCCCCATCGCCAATGCGGAACTCACTTGTAATTAGTGGGGCCGCCGGTGGTGTACAAGATGTCAGCGTATCGCACGTAGTAGCTGCTGTTGCCCGGCACGTGCATCAGTAACTCCTCGTAGCAGAAGGCCGCTTGACGGTAGTTCTGGACCTGCGGTGATATGCCATCAGCATAACTTGGACCGCAAATCGAATGAGATTACCGTGTATGGCTATCTTTAGCAGGGTTTGCGTGCCTGCGTGGCCCGGGCAGGAATGCCTGCACCCAGGGGAAGCATGATCCCGGAGGAACATGATGCGCTTGCACCCTGTAGCTCCTGACATTATGTAACTCCAGGGCTTCAATGTGAGAGCCGTCCGCAATGCCTTGGCGCAAGACAACCGCCCCCAAGTTCGCACCTCCAAGTACAATTCTGCAAGCTCCTCCCAGCCCTCCTTGTCGTTCGCGAACGTGTCCAGGTACTTGCGCAGTGCCTCTATCGCAGCGTTCACGTTGCCCCGACTTCGCTCCAGAGCCACCTGAAATCATTTAGATTATTATGAGGCACGGTGAAGGGTTCCTCCAAGGGTTTCAAAACTGACAGCCGAGAAAGGATGGGACGGAGAGCACGAGAAATAATTGATGCTTCACAGGGCCGGCATTTGTATCCTGCTTATGAGCCATGACGTGATTATTCATTATTATCCGAAGAGAGCTCCTAATCCTCAAGTGGCTGTTATCGGGGAGTGCGTGGCCCAACTGGTAGAGATCACCTTCACTTCGGGGCCATAGGAAGCAAATCCGGCTGCTACAGGGGCTTGTATGGCCCACAGTTCGCGTGGCTCATTGCGGGTCGCCATGGTGGATAGCAGACTGCGAATGTTGCCGTTTGTGCTGCCAACCTACCATGCGCTTCAAAATCATTTCGTTCGCTGGGTCCTGGCCCAGCAGATCGCGGTAAATTCCCTCAGCGTGAGTGTAGTCGCCAACAGCCTCGTAGTACATGCCCTGCGCCGTCGTCATGCAATTAGTTTAAACGAGCAGGATGGACCGTGTGGCGTCCGGTAAACGTCACAGCACTTTGGCTCCGTGCCAGTTGCCCACAGGTAAGGCAGAACATGTCAGGTCGTGACCGGCATCACTGAATCCCGTAAGTTCTCAACGCCTAACAGCTTATAATCTCTTAACCCAGCAAGCTCTCGAACTGCACGGAGTGAAACAACCGCCTCCGTACAAGGCAATCTGATACGGACCCCATGACTTGGCTTAAAACAACATTAGTATGCCGGAATACATCATCATCGAGGCGTTCTTGGCCGCACTACCAATCGAGAGCCCTGCCTTGGCCACGACTGCCCCTTGATGGATATGGTCAAGCCACTGGCCCCAGTTAGGAGTTTGGCCGCGGCCGTCCCGTTGTCCCGTGCCTGCCACCTTGCCTGAAGCCGCTTGGCTCGGACGCTCTCCGGGAAGCGGCGATTGATGGCCTGAATGACGGAGGCCGCAAACTGCAGAGCATGGCTATCCAGGGCCGCGAAGGCAACCTGCTCGTGGACCGTCCACACTGCGGTCGGGTAACAACAGCAAAGTGTTTGGTGATCCGGTCGCATCCACTGTAACCACGTGGTCCGTCCGTGAAAGGAGCGCAGGGACAGCTTCATCAAAGCCGTCGGAGCGAGTGACACATGGCTAGATCGGTACGCGGGGGAATGCGGCAGGCAGTGCATATGCTGCCATTATGGTACGATGAGGTATGGAACCGGCATGCAAACATCCCAGACAGTAAGTTATTTTCAGAGCTTGATAGGTCTTTGCCACGGATGCTTTCCCGCTGGCTAATGCATAACGCGAGGATCCTCCCTTTCGCAAAGTGATACAACAGTTAATAGTGCATACTGCCGTGCACCTCCGTGACTTACGTTCCTCCTCCGACAGGTGGCTCTTGAAGTGCCGCAAAAGTATATTGCCGTAACGTGCGACCGTTGGTGAGTCGCGTATGCGGAGATCGCGCATCTGCACCCAAGGGGGAAGTGGTTGCGGAGGTGTGGCTGCGCACCGCCCCTGCAGGACTTCACTCCCACAGTCCCCGAAAGCACTCCTCCATGGGATTAGGATGGGCATAATCTCACCAGCCGCAGGTACTTGATGAGCTTATCTGCGCTGGGAACCCCTTTGGCGCCCCGCAGCTGCCGCTCGATCTCCTCCAGCTCAATCTCCATTTGGTCTATTCTATGTTACCTTAAACGCAACTTGGCATTTTAGTGCAGCTGGCTTAGAGAAGCAATACAAGCAAGGCGTCGAGACCCTTAGCCAATGCACTGTGTAATTGGAAAAATCGTTGTGGTAGGGATTCGCTACAAGCACAGAGCTTACGAGCACACAAGTTCCAATCAATACAAACTAGATAAGGCATGGAACTTGTCACCGCAAGTAACTGCCTGGGCACGCTGTGGAGTATCGTACGACGTGCCCATTTTCACCTTCGCGAAATTATTAAATGTTTTATCCTGATTGTCGTGTGACCGGACTATTCATAAATTCTGGTGCATGTATGTGTCAATTTTGTTTGTTAGATCGACAAGCAAACTGACTCGGTTCCATGCCGCCACGCAAGAAACCTAAGAAGGAAGTTACCTCAGCCGGGGGGAAGGTATGTTATGATGGGGGTAGCCGATTTGGGCTGCAGCACCTGATGGCGTCGTTCTGGGCATGGACTACCATGTGACTGCACGCCGGCGCCACTCCAACAATCTGATAGTATTCACACCTAAATCAAATGGGTACCCATGAATTGTCGTGGTCAACAGCAGAGACGGCGCTAGCATTCGTGTTTTGTTGTTGCCTTTGCGTGAAACAGCCATGCCTGCTGCGATCACTCCGGTTTTTGGAAAACGACTGTCTCGCAATTCGGCAGGTGACGGCGCATTCCGAGTCACCGACATCGGCTAGTGTTGAGGAGGACGCCCGCCTAGTGTCGCCGAGGACGAGGAGCAGAAGTCAAAAGACCGAACCGACTGCCGCAGACAATGAGGCGCAGGGCAACGCAACAGACTCGAAGCGCAGAAACTCCCGCCGCAAATACGGGGGTGGCGGTACAACGTCGGCTGATATAGACATGGATGCCGCCACGGGTGTGCAACCATCAGGTATCCCAGCCAAAGGTCGTGGCCGCGGACCCAAATCCAGCGCAACGGATAGTGACATGATTATGGAGGCTGTTGTTAAGGTACGACACCTGCCCACGCACCTGGCAAGGACCGCTGCACCTGCCTGCTAGCCGACGGGCCCCACAACCGACCTGCTCTATTTCAGTTAAAGAACGAAACATGGAAGCCCATGCTTTGGCTTAGTATTTCTACGGATTCTCTCCGACCTGTGGCCACATGTATGCTTTCTGACGTGGCATGTCCGGCGCGGTGCTGCCAGGTCTTCTGCGTGCACACGGAGCCTAACTACTCACTGCCTTGGCAGCGGAAACGGCAGTACAGCAGCTCGTCCAGCGGCTTCTTGCTGCCGGGGCGTCGCATCCTCACCAACGCGCACTGCGTCGACCACTACACGCAGGTAAGGTGGTCGAGGCTTGGGAACTGGGTTCAGCATCCAAGCTCCCATGCTGCACCCTTGCCTGCGGGAGAGCTACGCACCCGCAGCGACCTCTCTCCTCCACAGGTTACTTTGCAGTGGCGGGCGAACAGCTGGTGCCTGCAGCTTGCCAGGGTGCTAGGCTTTACAGCTTTCGCAGGGATGCCAAAAGTGTTACCTGCGACACAACCTCTCACAACCTGGGGACGCGATGGCACGAATCGGCTGCCAGTGCAGTTATTCCATTTCAGCAACCCATTGGGATTGCTGCTTAACAAGTTATTCCTGTTGCTCTGTTGCACGCCGGGGATCCCAGGTGAAGGTAAAGCGGCGAGGCTCGGACGTGAAGCACGTTGCTTCGGTGCTGTCTGTGGGCACGGAGTGCGATATCGGTGAGTTTCTAAAGCCGGCGGGGAGGGGAAGGCAATGCCGCCTAGGTACCACGGCAAGGGACGGCAGGTTCTCGCGGGTATCCTGCTCAAAGCAGGCGCCAAGGTGCCTTTGCCGAACGGATGCGGATAGCGTTTATGCGATAGGCCATACGGCACCTGGGCTGATCGCCAGGCTTTCAGATGCAGTAGTTTGAACCACGACATAGGTTCGGTGCGACTCGCATCCGGCTGCTTGTGGAGGATGCGGAGGCCCGGGCATGCACTTGCGCTAGCGCATCGCTGCGCGCGGTACCGCCTAGATGCCCGGGCCGGTGGTGGCCACGTTGGTGACCAGGTTGCGGCGAGTACCCTCGGCGACTCCTCTAGGATGTGAATGGCGCGTGGGTTTTGCCTGTTATCTTCATCAGGTGTTTTCCTCCTTGACCTCCCTGAGTGCTCAATCCATCCACCGGTGTCTGTCCCTGGGGCCGGCCCACTCGCACGCACGCACACGGTTTCTTTGTTGTCACCCGAGGCCCCTTACTGCGGTATTCGTCCCAACGCCTACGGCGGTTCCTCCCCGCAGCCCTGCTCACCGTTGAGGACGACTCTTTCTGGGAGGGTGTGGAGCCGGTCGTCTTTGGGCAGCTGCCCCAGCTGCAGGACGCCGTGGTAGGTCCGCACACGATGAATTGGCTGTTAGGATTGCCCCAAATGTGTTGTATCTATCACATGATTCAGTAGCTGCACGCTTCCACGTCTTGTTCGTCGTGCTGTAAAGTCCATTTTGCCTGTTTTGTAGTTGTGCCAGGATTAATAGCGCTCCGGGGAATGTTGGCCTGCGTACTGCAACTTTATGCATCCGTGTCCTTATCCCCGCAGACCGTCGTTGGCTATCCCATCGGTGCGTCTGGTGCTGAGTCGAGCAGGGTAACGTTTCTTCTATGATGTGTGGGAAAGGGGGGCATATCTTCACCCGTGGCCGCTACTCGGCGAAACCCTGCCTTCCCCTATATTTTGGGCACCCTCATCTAGTCACACTAGTCAACTTCTCAGTGGATTCCTTAGGTTCCGCACCCACCATCAGCATCGGAATCTGCCGGATCGACGGCGGCCCAACTCCATTCCTGGTCGGCTCACAAGTCAACTTTATCCCAGGTCACCAACGTCCATCGTCTAGGGGCACTTTACCCTCCACCATCGCATGGACTTTCGACCCTGACAGGTCTCGATCCGGGATCTCCCGGGGGCAATGGGGCAACGGTCCCGGGTGTTGCAACTTACAAGATACCAGTACGGGTGTTGCATCAGGGTTTGAAGTGCCGTAGGTTGTTATGCGTAGTGTTACCTATCGAGCTAGGGACACACAACTCGGTGATCGTCCAACTCGGCGGGTGCTGTTGCAGGCGGAGACACGATGTCCGTCACCTCGGGCGTCGTGAGTCGCATTGAAGTGACGGCATACATGCACGGTTCATCCGAACTGCTGGGCATCCAGATTGATGCGGCGGTAGGTGGGCTTTTTCATATTCCTAGATTTGAACGTTAAATGGACCAGCTGTTTTTCTCGCAAGTCTGGTCCGTCTATCGTTCTGTCTGTTGCTTCTGTTGCCCTACTGCTTTCGCTATCCCGGGGGCAGACGTGTCATGGTCGTGCAATCCGTACCTGTGGGCCGACAGGCCGAACTTTCAGGCCCGCTTCCATTCTGAGATTTTCTACGGCTGTGTGTGTTTTCTGCAGATCAACTCCGGGAACAGCGGTGGGCCGGCTTTCAATGAGGCTGGCGAGTGTGTGGGCATAGCCTTCCAGTCCCTGAAGGTGAGCAGAGCGCGCGCCGGCCGGCCAGGTGCTACACCCTACCTACCTAGCTGTTTCCCTTCAGGCACACAGTTACCAGCACACATTGGACAATCACGTTTGCACATGGTCTTGGAAATATCCCGACGGGACGCATTACAGGTTTACCTGCGTACCACGCGCGTTTACTTTCGGAGTTTGTGCACCGGCACGTGTTGAGGACGTACGGGGCGTCTCCCATATTTGATGGCGTGGCCTGGTTGAACTGAGGCTGAACCGCGCTCGCTCATTCCGTGCAAATTCCCGCCAGCACGAGGACGCGGAAAATATTGGCTACATCATTCCAACACCAGTGATCGAGCACTTCCTCACGGATTATGCGCGCCACGGCCACTATACGGGCTTCCCTTGCCTTGGCGTGGAATGGCAGAAGCTAGAGAACCCCGACCTCCGCGCAGCACTCAAAATGCAGGTGCGCCTTTAAAAATGCGTGTTCCTGCAAGGTGTAGGAACCATCGATCGCTTTAGGGGTTTTTCTGCGGAAATGTTACATGACCAGTTTGACAGGGGGCGCTGGGCGTCCTTGATTGGCGTCTTAGGATACAAAAGTTAATTGTTGCCTCCGCACCTGGTTGTCATTGTCCCTGTGCCGGGACACTCTCCGCACCCTCTTCGCTGCGCAGCCGGGGCAGAAGGGCGTGCTCATCCGCCGTGTGGAGCCAACCTCCGCCGTGTCGGAAGTCCTGCACCAAAACGATGTCCTCATGTCCTTCGACGGCGTTAGCATCGCCAATGACGGCACCGTGCCGTTTCGGTCGGGCGAGCGGATCTCGTTCTCCTACCTGGTAGGGTAGGCGGGGTAGCTAATCAGACGCAAGCTCCTCTATCGGCATACGTGTGGCCCGCGATTTGTTATGCAGAAAGCAGCCGCGCATGCATACAGTGTAGACTTCCGCAGCCGTATACCTAACCTGTGAGCACGTCGATCTGTCGTTTGTCGCCAGGAAAGCGTCCCATGCACTGAAAAGGAAACAGCCTTTTGATTGTACACATGGATTGTCATGACGCGGGAAACAGCCCGCCTTCTACGTAGCCTGGGCTTCCTTTTCTTGCGTCATTCGTGCGATTCTTCCACCGCATGAGGGCAAGTGTGCATGCGGGTATTGGCGGGGTCCGCAGGTGAGCAACAAGTACACGGACGAGGAGGCGGAGCTGGTGGTGTTGCACGACGGCCAGCAGCGGACGGTCCGTGTCAACCTGCGTGCGCCCGTGCGGCTGGTGCCCTTTCACACGCGCGGCGCGCCGCCGTCGTACTTCATCGTGGCGGGTCTCGTCTTCACAACCGTCACGGTGCCGTATCTGCGCAGCGAGTGAGTCAGAGGAGGCTGTGAGCAAAGAATATGGACAGGCGCAGGGGAGTCGTGCCGGTGCTAGATTGGGAAGTTGCGCTGCTAGCAAACAGAACTGATCGCATAAGCTTTCTTTGTCCAATCCTCTCGCCACAGCAGTGTGTGGTGGCCCGCGCAAGTTTGAGAAACGTATTCGCCGTCTTTCTTTTCTATGCAAGTTTGCTGTCCCATTATCTGAGAGTACGCTGGGGCTCTTCCTCGCAGCTCGAATACGGCGGCTGACCATAGGTTACGATTAATACGCAATGTACGCGCAGGTACGGGAAAGAGTACGATTTTGACGCACCTGTCAAGCTCCTTGATAAGATGATGCACGGTATGGCGTCGCATATGGACGAGCAGGTGGGTTACTTGCACATGCTAAGGTTTTCATTCCTCGTTTAGCACTTCGTAAGCTAATGCAGTTTTGTTTATGTTGCTGGGCTCTGGAGGCAAACAGAGCACGAAGGGGCAAGTACTATGTCCCCAGGGGGCAGCGGTTTTGCCGCTGTTGTGATACTAATAGCCGAATCAAGGATGAAAAACACGTGTTATTGGAATGCCCAGCCTATAATGATATTCGTGCTGTAGAGGGATTCGATAATCAACAGCATGTTGGAGGCTATTAAATGGGAACCAGTACGTCTGGCGAGGATGTTGGAACGTATGTGGGCTCACCGAAACTCAGTTACCCCCTTTGGACGCTAGTCTGGGCTGATGTGCGGTGTTTCCTGTTCTCCGTGGCTTTTAGGTGTAAAGATATTGCCCTTGGGCCTTCGGCTCGTATGGGTAGTCTTACAGGTATGGGGTCACGAACCCCCCAACCATGTAACACGCACACACACACATATGCTTAACATCTACAAGGCGGCATTTGCATCCCCGCTCAAACCTTGTTCAATGCACTTCCTTAGACCGCACTGAAGCGGTAACGGCTGCATTTACGGCAGCCGGGACAACACCACGGGTCGTTATCCTGGCGTTGTGTATTGCAGCTGACAGATGCATATCAGTCAGCGTTGCAGCAAAGGTTATTTAAGTGTTGAAGCCCTGTCAGGTTAATAGGTGCCGTGGTGTTTGTGCTTCAGGTGGTCGTCCTCAGCCAAGTGCTGGCGTCGGAGATCAACACGGGCTATGATGACATCACGAACACCCAGGTAGGTTAGTTCGGGATCACGTTCTCAAGCAACTTGGCGTCGGTACGCATCAGTCCAGACCGCTTTAAATTCGTGGTGACCCACGTGGTGCGTCCCTTGAAACTTCCTTCCCTGCCCTGGCCCCTGTACAGGTTTTGGCGCTCAACAATAAGCGCATCAAGAACCTCGCTGACCTTGTGGCACGAGTGGATGAGTGCACGGAACCATACCTGTGCTTGGACCTCGAGTACAACCAGAAGGTAGGAAAGCTGTAAGGCAACTGATTCGGCGTGATACACGACAACACCCCTCTATCTGCGCAGGTGGTGTTGGAGATGGCGAAGGCTAAGGCGGCTACACCGGAGATACTGTCGGTGCACTGCATCAGCCAAGACAGGTCACCAGACCTCATGAAACCCCGACTACCTACTTGCTGTGAACCGGGCAAACCATCCAAGGGTAAAGCTACGAAATCGGGAAAGCGGTGACGTACTTGTCCCATTCAATATGGCATAACAAACGATGATTATGACGATACTGAAAGAGATGGGTCGTCTATGCAGTTGCAATTACAGTTACGGAGCGTGTACACCAACGTTCGTTTATCGAGTGTCTACTTTGACGGATCAGAACGTCGGTGATTGCTATGGAGCAAGATCGCGTAGAAAGCGGTAATGACGCAACGATGTGATCAACTAGAGCTTGGCATATCTGCGCGTGGCTACTGTGGAGGAAACAGAGTCTCATCGCACTAGATCAACATCAATGCAACCCACATGACTCTAGGATGACCTGCAATTGACAGGCTACTATACTATCATCATTCTGTTATGTACAGCGTTATGTACATAGCTCCTATATGGCACCTAGTTAATCGTTCAAATTAGGCTTAGATCTTGGTAGCGGCGGCAGCCTCCTCGGAAGCGGGGGAGGTGCCCAGGGCAACGATCAGGATAGCGTTCACGGTGGCGGTCATGATGGAGCCAGCAACCATGGTGCGTACGCGGTGCTTGATGGAGCCAGATGCGTCGTCAGTGATGGACTCCAGAGTCAGGAAGGTGTCCGTGGTCTGGATGTACAGCAGGGTGGCCTGTGGGTGGAAATATGGCAAGTAGGCGGTAAGGCACGACAGGTTAGGCGTGTGTCATTGCGCTACAGAATTGCGTTTGCATTATGGGATAACATGAACTACACTAGGAAGGCTGCCTGATAGGAGAGGCTGTGTCATGAATATCACAAGCACTTACGACTGCGAACAGGCCCAGCCAAGACAGGCGAGTCTTCGCAAGGGCGTTGCTAGCCAGGGAGGCGCCCAAGCCAACGATGAGGACGAACTCGAGGCAGATAATGAACCTGTCCGGATAGGCGCGTTCGCAAGCAGGTCGAAGTTCCACAGGGATAGTATCAGATAAGCGTCCTGGAGGTAGTCCTTCTAGAGTTAAGATGTGCAAGATAGACAGCAATGAGGACGAGATGTATCCATCTTGGGCGAAACTTACCAGTAGTAGCGGAAGAGCTTCATGCATGATAGCCCAGCAGACAGACCGTTGACGCCGCTCAGTATACCGGACCATCCAACAGCGCATTGTTGCTGAACAGATGCAATGCCAGCAAGGCTGACAGCCCTGTTCACATTTGACAACAAAATGACCTGTCAATCCCTGCGTATCACTTAGTCGACCACGCTAGAGCCATGGACAGCGCTCTCACCAAGTGCAGAACACAAGAGCCGTAAGGCCGAGGATAACGGAGTTTGCGGCCATTCCTGTTCATGATAAGCGGCAAAGGGTTGGGAATAAGCTCATTGTCAACCTTGCGTTCAGATTGTCCGTCCATGGTAAAAGGCAAAGGCGCGGAAACTGCAACCTTGAAGCAATGCGTAACATTTATTAAACATGAATTTCTGAAACAAATGTTGCAATTCTAAATCACGTCTTAGCAGTCCATGAGGCTTCCCACCTGGTGCTTGGTTGTTGTTGACCGGGGTCAAAGGTAGGTCGTTTTCCCTGTCAATAAGTCCCAGTCGTCAAGAATAGGAAAGACTGTATATCAGACACAACTTTTAGGAACGTTTTATACTGCTGGAAGGAAGCGGAGCAAGCTGAACTGCTAAGTTGAATTTTGGCCGTACAGATTTCGGAACCTGTTGAGAGCACAAAAACTACCGTACCTTGAAGAATACATGTAGCTATTTCCTAAGCGTGCCTGCATATAGCGGAAGTTAGAGGGGCAAAAGTTTTGGATGCGTGAGTCGCGTAATCACTAGACGACGTTGACGGCTTGTAGAGCATATGTGATCAAGTCAGCTATAGAGACCCTTCTAAGTCGGTTTAGCCGTAACAGTAGCGAATGATAGGTCTGAATGTGGACCTCCTCACAAATTGTTCTATGTTGTCGTCCCCATGCTGTCCCGTTATTTCAGAACTTGCAGCGCCACTGCATCTTTACCGGTGTGTTGTGTGCATTTGCATGGTAGCATCATGCCTCCTCTATCCTTACAACAGACGGCACAAGGCTAGGAGGACGTGCGCGTTCCGAGAGCTTCCAAATGCAGCACGCGACGTGTCATGGGTACAGCTGGAAAGTAGGATGGCAACGATGGCTGTGCACGGAAACGTTCTGTCCATCCAACTTGCGCACTTGCAGTGCCCATCCCCTTGGGCGGCTACGCAAATATTGCCCCAGGTAGCATGTGCTTGAATATGATATATTGCGTCTTTGGACGCCGCCGGCTTGCTATTATGCGAAGTTGTAATCTCCACGAACCAGCATGTCCTCCTCCTTCCCCTATTACTTCTGTCCACACCCTGTCATTGTTCTGGACTTTCCAAGCTGAAGCCGTGGAGCGCGGCATGGTACCGTATCTTGCCGAAAAAGTGATGGTCGATACCATATCCTTCTCCCCATCTTCTCGTCTCGTCCGGAAATGGACTTCTTATGAGAATTTTGTTTCCGCCGACTGACATTGATGCCAACCTTGGAGTTCCCGCACGTCGTGGCCACCCAGGGGACAAGTAATTGAGACATAGCGCCGCGCAAGCTGAAACAAGGAACAGAGTGTGAACAGGGTTCGCAGACTGGGACAGCCCCCCGGGGTGCTCACGACATGCAGGGCGCCGTAAAGGTGCCCCCGTGAAGTTAAGGAAAGCGCTTCCCTGAAAGACTGAAACCTCGCCGTACTTGCTCCGTCCTGACGGACGACACAGTACCAATCAGCATTAGCCGTACTCTTGTGGAGGGCAAGGACTCATCCTGAAGATGCAAGCTCTGCACTTTGTGACCAAGATCCTCGCCGCCTATCGCGAAAGCGGCTGGCTAGACGTTCTTGATGCGACCCTTGGGTTGTCACGGAGACAGTAGAGGAGCAGCTAAACGTTGCGCGTATGCCAACCCTCTGCATACCACTCCTGGAGGAAATGGCCTAGGATTAAACACGGCAGCAGTGCCTACCAGGAATTAGACATAGGAGGTGCACGGTGTGCATTTCATGAAGTAGAATGGGCAAGTGCGTTCCGAACTTAAGAGTGCTCATTTCCTTCCAAAAGACTGGAGGCACGCTTTTACTCAAAATGAGTGGCATAGGATACCAGTACCGCAAATGGCTTAACGCCAGATGAGTAAGCAGTAGCTGAGGAATGCTTAAACACCCTAGCGACACCTGGGTGCCAAGGCCGAAGTTACTACGAACTATGACCGTCAATTGAGCACACAGATTACGTTTCGTTCGTGCATATTGAGTATCCCCGGCCGGCGGCATGGCGCCTGGCAAGGGTGTCAAATCAAAGGGTACGTAACGATATCATTCATGAAATAGGTTATAGCATCGTAATCGCGCCGTTCATTGCAGGGAAAGGAGGTTTCTCCGTCCAAATTCTCCTGACAGCAATATTGGTAGCCTTTGCTGCGTCATACTTCGCGTACAGAGGGCGTGATCACTTTAAGCCTCAGGTTCTTTCACCATTGAAGGCGCCAAAGCTTACGGAACTCCGGGAGTTCGATGCATCCTACAAAGATCGATTGTTGTGGGGTAGCTACAGATCAGGACTGTATTTCGGGATGCGCACAAGGTAGGAGCCGCTTGCCAGTAATCTACTGATCACGACCAGCATCGTGCTGGCGGACGCGATGATGCCAGCTGAACCCCGTGCAGAACACCAAAGGCGCTTCTTTCCGGGCTGTTGTGGTTTGATCCTGACGACCCCAACACGCTAAACCAAATGCGCGCACGGCACGAAGCGAGCCAGGGAGACGGACTGACCACGTACGGTTGGAAGCGGCATGACGGCCGGCTGTACGGCACTCAGGAGCTTATTGACGGGGAATATAACATTACTTTATCTATGGTGAGCCGCACCAGTCATTGGCAGGCCTTGCCACGCTCCTGGGGTGTCTCTAGGTCATTCACTACACTCGGGAGGCAACGGCAAGGCCGGCGCTGGCACCCTCACAGCCGCCCAACTGGACCCGGCCTCTCGTAATGCAGGCCTGTGTAAGACCCCCCCCTCCCGTGCCATCCCCTGCCCTGTAGTTGAAATCCTTTAGTCCAGAGTCCGGTCCCGGAGGTGACTGGTCCGTACGTCTGCAGCTAGCACGTACCGCGGGTACGCCTCCACGGCGACGCCGCATCAGCATTGTTATGTACCTAGGCGACGAAGACACCCCACGGGAGCCATGGCAGGTGGGTTTCGCCTTCCGTACATCACGCATGTATGACAAATCCGCAAGAGTCTCGGGTGTCCCCGCACCCAGGGGAATCTCGTGAGGGTGCGGACGGCGGGAGTTGCATGTGCATCGCCCTTTGGCGGTTCGTGCTCCTCCCCTTCACATTTCCCCCATTCCCCCTGCCTCCCGCAGGTCCTCCCTGATGGTGAGGTGGCGGACCTGCGCAGCGGTCCCGCCACTCTGTTGACCGGGGCCAGTAGTGCGCTCGGGCGGAGCGGCGCTAGATTGGCCCTGCATGCCATGGAGACCACCGATGGTGAGGAACGTCCGCGGGTAGGGGGAATTGATGACACCGTGGTCAGTACCACTGACCACCGCGGTAAGCTGGAACCGGATCGTAAGCTGGAAAGGGGTGTTGGGGACGGGAAGGGGAAAGCAGCTGGCTCCTTGGGGAGGGAGGAGGATATCTGTTTGCGATAGATTAGCGTGTCTACCTTTTCATAACATGCTTGCTTCTCCTCCGGCTGCAGCCGCGGTCTCCAACAGCCGCAGCCGTGGCTGTCGTCTGGATTACCTCAGCCTGGGGATGGAGCACAAGAACTACTTGTTGCGCATTAAGGAGCTCATGCTGTCAACGATGTATGAGCGACTGGAGAGGTGGGCATGCAGGGGGGGGCCCGGGGATGCAAGGAGGAGGCGGAGGAGTTGGAGGAGTGTTTCTGGTGGGTTTGGAGGACAGGGCGGAGTCAGCGAGGGCGGAACGGAGGTAGTGGGTAGGGTGTAGCCACGGGGCAAGGGACGGACGGCTTCTATGGTAAGGTAGTGAGCACGAGCAGGGCCTATGCTAAGGTTAACGGGTCGGTTGCACACATGTGGAAGTGGGGCGAAGGGCGCTTGGCTGGCGGGGGGTTGAGCCATCTTCACAACCAGATGCATTCACCCGCACTAACGAAAGAGAACGGCCCCGGCGATGTCGATGGCACCGGGCGGTTGCCATCCTCGAGGTGAGGGTGAGGGATGCGGGTCCTATGCTTCCTGCTGATGACACGTGCACTATGCCTTCCCTCATAACGAGTTCTGTGCCACATCTTTCGCCGCGGGCCATGTGGTGGGTTGCACGAAGTCGCCGACATCATCCCATCGCATCGCCGACGACGGCGCCACCGCAGGCAGCCCAGCAGCAACCGGTTCCGGCTGTACCTTCCCAACGGCGCCACCACCTCTGCGGACCTGGCCTTGTTCCAGGTGACCTGCGTCCTGCCGTCCGCAGTGGACTTCGCCTTCACGAGCAGCGCAGGCGGGTGCCGGGCTGACAGGGGCTGGGGGCCAGGGAGGGTTGGGGCCGGAAAACGATGCCCCGTGACTTAGGTGTCTGCTCGGGAAGGAGAGGAGTTGGGTAATGTGGGCCCCCAGTCGCCTGGTCGCGGCAGGGGCGCGGAAGGGAGGCTAGGAGGCTCAAAAAGGCCTCTGTTGCTCTGAAGTCACGTGCACTCTGTGTGCTGCTCGCGCGACGATCCACTGCGCCCATCTTCCTCCCTTCGGGGTCCCCCCAGCAGTGGCCTTGACCTCGCCAGTCGCCGCGCGGCCGCCATATGACCGCTCCGTGTTCCATGGCTTGGGCCCCTCTTGGGCTGCCCTGGCGACCGGTCTCCTCTTTCCACTTTCCAGCCCTCCGCACATCCCCATCCCCACCCCCACTTCCATTTCCATCCGCATCGCCATATCCTTGAGACTCACGTGCGGCATGCTGCCTCCTTTTGATTTTTCCAACCCTGAAAACCCCTACCTACCTACCTACCTACCTACCTACCCACCCTCTGGGCGGTCAGCCGGTTCTGTTTGCCTCTTTACCTCTTTCCCACCCCAGGCGGGTCGGATGACTGGAGTGATCGCTTGGGACCACTGCTTGGCTCCGGTCTGAGTGAAGCCCTGGCGGCCAAGCAGGCGGAGTTCGACCAGAGGCGAGTGCTGCTGGCTGCTCCGGGGCTGTGCTGCTGCTGCTGCTGTGGGGGGAAAGAAGGGAAAGGGGCCGCCAAGGGGTTTGCCTGTGTGTGTGCAAGGGAGGCGGAAGGGAGGGGGGGTTCATAAGCATGCATAGGACGCGGATGCGGAGGTCCACGCCAGCACCTACGCCGCGGTAATCCCGTGTGTGCCGTGCAGCTGCGCTGCGTGTGTGACCTCGCACGCATGCATGATCCCAATGCAACGAAGCCGTGAGCGCCGCTGAAGGATACACGTCAAAACTGCCAAAGTGCAACATAGCCTTACACACATACACACACACACACAAGCGCGCGAGAGCGCGCGTCCATCGCCCAGCTTGGCTACGTGGCTGTTGAGTGTCCCGCAAGCCGGCTGGGACCCCCCTGTCTGGTCCACACACACACACAGCACGCCATGGAGACCATCGGGAAAACAAGAGGCCATCGGGGGCCATCTGACCACACGAATCGAGACGGCCGCAGACGCATCACCCTGGGCCCCTGCGGTGTAGGTTTGAGCGCGTCTTCGGGTCCGGTTTGCGCGCGCCCCTGTCCGGCGGTCGGACCGTGACCTCGGAGGGCGGCGAGGGCTCCCTGCCGGATGGCGCTCTAGAGGTGTCCCGCGCCGCCCTGTCCAACCTGCTGGGCAGTGTGGGGTACTTCTACGGCAGCTCGCTGGTGGGTGGGTGGGTGGTGTTAGCAATAGCAAAGCGCCGGATGGGTGGGTGGGTTGATTTCGGCCGGTTTCTCGTTTGGAACGGGGGAGTCCCAATAGGACGCAGCGCGCGGCGGATGGACGTGCTGTTGGCTGTGCTTGTATGCTTGTGTGTGTGTGTGTTTTAATATTCTGAGGCGTGATGAGGGTAATGCCGATGGCGGTACACGAATAACGTTTTTCACCGAATAAAGCTCCGTTATCCAACGACGTGTTAATATTTCTAATGAAGCTGTAGACGCAGCTTGACTTTTGTAGATGTTGATTAGACGAGTGATGTCAAGAGCCTGTAGAAGTAAGCGGAGGCGCTGCAGTGGCGGAGGGCGACTAGGTGGTGGGTAGCTAGAACTGACCACACAGAAAGCAAGGGCACCTAAAGTCCCCACTAGACAGGAAGAACCTATAGACCTATTTTCCTATACTCCCTAAACTACAAAGTGACAAAAGGGTTACGCTACCACAGCGCGTGCGATCCGACAACAAGCTGTGTGTATGTGTGTTTAGTGGAGGTGGGAGGGGCGCATGGGGAGGTGATACAGGGGGGTTTGAATCTGCAGCACAAAGCTGGCTGATGGACGGACGGATGGACGGACTAGGCGGGCGGTAATCATGAAACCGAATCTGCAGAATGGCCGGAGTGCGCGGAGGGTGGGGTTGACATGGGTGGGGGTGGCTGGATGTCTTCCCAGGTGGGCTACCAGCTCCGTAAGTGTTGGGATATCGCTGGCTAGCCCTCTGTACTTCGAGGCCAACATCCAGCACTCAGATGCTGCACATGCACATGCAGGTGGGGGAACTCACAGTGGTGCGAATGCGGCAAATCAACTAATCAGCAACGGACCTTGCTGCACAGCCCTCTCGTTCCCTCTTTTCCTTCTTCCCTCAACTTTCCTCGGCACTCGTAACCCCACCACCTTCCTTTTTGGAAGCCTTGATTACCGCGTCGCCCTGGTGGTGGTGGTGGTGGTGGTGGTGGTTCTGCTTCCCCACGTTTGCAGGTGCGCACTGATCCCCCCGGCTCCGAGCCCCGGCAGTACTGGCCCGCCCCACTCTTCACGGCTGTACCCAGTCGCAGCTTCTTCCCGCGGGGTTTCCTTTGGGACGAGGGCTTCCATCAGCTGCTGGTGCAGGTGGGTGCGGGGGGAGGGAGGGTGCATGTGCGTGTCCTGAGGGAAAGGATTCGGGGCTGGAGGGCTAGAGGGGCTGAGGAAGGCGGACAGACAGACCCCGATGGACGAGTGCGAGGAGGGTTCACCTCACGAGTGTGTGTGTGTGTGTGTTCGCGGGGGTTTCTGTGTGTGTGTTCGTGTTCGTGGGGGCTTGGGAAAGGCCGCGGGGGACTACCGGTGGCTGCCCGGGATGATCACACACAAGGGTGGCCCGGCTGGGTGGTGGCTCCGAGAGCCACATCTGCAGCGCAGATGGGCCGTGTGTGACGAGGCTTTCCTTGCTTGGAGAGAAAGGGATGGGGTCAACTCCGTTTAGAGCTCCCGCGCCCCCTGTGCGTCCCCACCCGCTCCTCCGTCCCCGTTCCCCTCCCCCTCCGCCTGTCAATTCATTTGTATGTGTATGTGTATGTGTATGTGTATGTGTATGTGTGTGTGTAGAAATAAACTGAGGAGGGAGAAGTGCGTGCGTGTTCCTGCGCACGCGTGTGTTTGTTTCTCTGTGTGTGTCTGTATGTGTGTGTGTGCGTATGTGTGTGAAGATTAATAAGTATCCGGCCGGGCCTGACACTGGCCAGGGGCTGCTGCCCAGGCCCAACGGAAAGACCGCCTAAGCTCTCTCCCTCGGACGGGAGAGGGGCGCGAGGGGCCTCTGCCCCCTCCTAAGCAGTTGTCCCCCAGACGCCGGTAGTTCATTCCTGATTTACCCGCATACGATCCCCCTCCCCCCTTTTGCAGAGGTGGGATCCGCAGCTCTGTCGGGACATGATAGCGCACTGGCTGGACCTCATGAACGCCCACGGCTGGATACCCCGGTGGGGCCGGTAGTGGGTGGCAAGAAGACCGGAACTTAAGGGAATGACTCCCCCCCTTGGGGGAGTACTTCGCTGTGACTTGTGGGCCATTGGGGACATGACCTTTAGGGGTATAGCGCTTTTTGTGGACTGGCGGTTGGTGAGGGCGGATGCGGCCTGTTGGGGGGAAAGCCCGGGTGCGCGGGAAGGGGGAAAGGGAGGGGGGAGGGGGGAAAGAGCCAGTAGGAGTGGAAGACTTTCGTACAGCTGGGTCCTTTCTCTTTTCCGGTTGGTGCCCTGCACGCAAGCTGACACGGACTCGCTCTACACGCCGCCGTGTGTGTACCCCGGCGGGGGTTGCCGCGACATACTCCCCTCCCCTCCCCTCCCCCTTGCCAGCCCTCTAGCTGGTACTGGGCCCTCCCGCCCCACTTCCCAATTCACCATGGACTTCCGCCTCAGTTGTCTCCATCCTGCCATCGGTGTATGTGTATGTATGTATGTATGTATGTATGTATGTATGTATGTATGTATGTGTGTGTGCACCTAGTTGGTGTCCCAGCTGATGCATTTCCCCACTTTCCCGCACCTGCCTGCCCCACGTGCCCCTGTGTGTGCAGGGAGCAGATCCTCGGGGAGGAAGCGCGCACGCGGGTGCCCGCCGAGTTCGTGGTGCAGAACCCCAACCACGCCAATCCGCCGTCGCTGTTTCTGCCCATCGCCAAGATGGCCTCGCAGCTGGTGCAGGCCGCAGGTGAGCGAGAGGTTGGGACTGGCGGTTGGGGCTTGGGCTGCTGCACTGGACTGCGGCCAATGGGAGTGGACTGCGAGTGGGACTGGGATGTCTGGGTGCCCTGTACCCTGTGGAGGTGAGGTGGGGTAAGGGGATGGGACAGGAAAGCCACTCAGCGGCCCAGAAGTAGAGGGTGTGATGGTGCCCGTTGGAAGGAGACGTGTGCGGCGTGTGGGGCGTCCACAACGCGAAAGAGGAAAGGGACGAAAATAGGAGCAGCTGCAGCTAGGAGCTGCATGTGGCGCTACTGCTGTGGCGATGACGCGAGCCAGGGTGCCACCACCACATGCTGTCATGGAGGCAGGAAGAGGGTGGGTTGTGTTCTTGGGGACAGAAGAGGCCCACACGCTGCCAGGAGCACGGCTAACTTTACTCCTCGGTGTGACACCACTCCCAACTCTCCTCCAATGTAAAGGTCGCGCTCCGCGGGTTGATGGTGCGGTGGTGGACGTGAAGGAGGAGCAGGAGGAGGAGGAGGAGCTGCAGCGCGTGTCGGCCTTCCTGCGCCGTGCCTGGCCGCGTCTGGAGGCCTGGTACCGGTGGTTCAATGTAACGCAAGCGGGGCCGCTGCCCACCAGCTACCGGTGCGAGTGCGAGTGCGAGGAATATAACTATCACATCACCACCCCATCGTCACAGCAACCACCTCTGTGTCCTGCCCTGCCTCGCGCTCCCCCACCCCACCCCACCCCGGTGTGTTTGCGACCTCAACTCTTCCCGCTGGCCCGTGTGCGCCCAACCCTGGCTTGGTTCCGCCACCATCACCCACCACCACCACCACCGTCACGCCACCATCACCACCACACATCATCGCTGCTGCCACGTGACCAGGTGGCATGGTCGTGACCCCCTGGCTGCGGGCGAGCTCAACCCCAAGACCCTGACCAGCGGTCTGGATGACTACCCGCGCGCCAGCCACCCAGACGACTCGGAGCGCCACCTGGACCTGAGGTGCTGGATGGCGCTGGCCTCACAGGTACGTGTGTTTTGCCTGTGTATGTGTAGATACGCGTGCCCATATATGTATGTCTGTACATGTCCGGGTCCGTGTGTGTATCTGTGCGTGGTGCGCGTGTGTGTGTGTGTATTCGGGGGTGGCGAAGGGTGGAGGAAGAGATTGGAGTGCCCTTCGCCGCGCCGCTAGGGATACGTGTTCGTCTGCTCTAGTGCGTTGCTGTTGGACTTAAGGAAAGCTAGGACGGGGCGGTAGCTGTTTGGGATAGGCTAGACAGTAGACCCCCCCCGGGGCCGGGAGAGGCAGATGCTTCCTTCTTGTCCTTGGGGATGGCGGAGTGTTGCGCCGTAGGACATAGGCCCTCCTGGTGCCCGGTAGCTGTGTGGCTGCGTGGCGACGCCTTGCGCCATCCACATCCAGATCCACATCCAGATCCACATCCACGCATTGACACACATGTTGAAAGCTGCAGACCCGGAAGGCCACCCACATGCGTCACTTCCGTAATCACATATACCCACACCGCAGCTGGTGAGAACTCGCTCTCGCTCCGCACCCCCAAGTACCTCCCTGTTATGGCGCCGGACGAGGGGCGGGCTTACCGGGTCACATGTTCAGGTGGTCCAACCACGCACGCTCCGCACCTCGCATAAGCTAGTATCCTTTAGCGCACACGCGCATACCTTTTTGCCTGCTTTCCGTCTTGGTTGGCCTGCCTGTCGATACAGGCCATGTACGACATTGGCTCCTCGTTGGGCCTCCCAGGCCGTATCGTAGAGCGTTACCGTGCCGCCGCCGCGTCACTATCCGACCGGGGCGAGCTGCAGCGGTTGCATTTTGATTCGACGCTCGGTCGCTTCGCGGACTGGGGCATGCACACCGAGGACGTGCACCTGGGCCGGAGGGTAAGGGAGCGGATCCTGTCTGTTCGTCAGTGAGAGGGAGGGAGGCAAGGGCAGGGAAGTAGGGAACTGAAGACACGGCGGGTCGGCTTGCGCATGCTGAGCTGGGGCTCTGGGGCTGCCAGTGGACGATTAGAGCCGTTTGCTCGAGATGGCTGCGTCGAAACCATCGCTGCTGTTGCTGTTTCTCTCCCTCCGCACGTGTGATTTTCACCGCTGTCTGTCCCTTTCCAGCCCTCCCCCGCCCCAGCCCGAACCCCTCCCGTCCCCCGCCCCAGCCCGCCCTACCCGAACCCCCAACCCGACCCCCTTCCCGCCGCGCCCCGCTGTAGGTCATCACAGTGCCGGGCGCCAACGGTCAGCCGCCGCAGCAGCAGAGCGTCTCGCAGCGCGTCACCAGCACCCCCCCGACCCCCCAGTTCGTGCCCCAGTTCGGCTACGTCTCCCTGTTCCCTCTCATCATGAAGCTCCTCCCCACGGGCACCAGTACAAGCGCTGATGATAACGACCCGGCGGCCGCTGAACTGACCCTCCAGCAGCTGCAACTGCTGCAGGACCCTGCATTACTATGGAGCCCTCACGGACTGCGTTCGCTGGCGACCACCGCGTCGTTGTACAAGAAGCGCAATACAGCGGACGACCCGCCGTACTGGCGCGGCCAGATCTGGGTCAACATGAATTACCTGGTGCTGCGCTCCCTGTCGTACTACGCGAAAACAGCTGGCAGCGGCAGCGAGGTGGGCCGAGTCGCGGCTGCCGCACATGACGAGCTGAGATTGCGGTTACTAAAGACTTTGGTAGAGAACTACAAGCGTAACGGCTACCTGTACGAGCAGTACGACGACGAGACGGGACGCGGGATCAGCAGCCACCCTTTTACGGGTTGGACAGCTCTGGTGACGCTGATTATGGCACAGGATTACTAGCCTTTGGGATGTATGTGCGTGTGGAAGGGTTGCCTCGATACCTTCGCTAGTTATGTGGATCGCGTGTGCTCGTAGGCAGGTGGAGGTTGTAATAAGGATTGCGGCAGCTTTTTCACCCGTATGCTGGCTATGTTTGCGCCGGATTTGGCGGGTGGCATCCTGGCTGCTAAGATTTAGTGTGATGAGCTGGCGTATTACTGGCTAGGTGCTAAGCGCATCGAGATGCGCTTGGAGAGGAGGCTGCGTTGGGTCTATATATGTGCATACGGGGTAGGTTGCAGCTGCTGGTGCGACCTTCCGAGTAATTGTATGCTGGGGGCCCTGCAGCTGGGTGTTGCTTTGTGGCTGGTGCGTTTGAGGAGCGGGTGTATCCCCTTATTTGCACAAAGGTCGGGTGTACCTGCCATAGCAGTACACCAAACCTGACCTCCCAATTTATGGTAGGAAGCTTACATGGCAACCGAGCGAATAAACGTACGAAAATGATCGATTGGTGGTTCGGGGGAGGCTCCGGTTGAACTCGCAGCGGCATTGCATCAATCTATTGTCATAGATACCAGTCTGGCACCCCTCTCTTGATCCATGCAGAATGAATTGTTCTCGGGTACAACGTAATCCTAATCCATTACCTAATCGCCTGGCACGGCATCCACATATGCAACCTAGTCGGTTGCCGCTGTGGCCCCTCCGAACCAGGGCTCCGACCGCCTTAATCAATACAGCCCATTTCACCCCTCCATTTCAGATGCACGTGTCTCACGACCCGCAAACAGACAGACAGACAGGCAGACAGACAGACAGACAGGCAGACAGACAGACAGACAGACAGACAGACAGACAATGCTACACCTTCATAACGCAAATCACGGCACCAGACCCCAGTAAGGCCATTGCCGCCAGCCCCCAACGCCCCCAACTCCTCCCGTGTGCCTTGGCGAGGCATCCTGCCATGCAGACCCGTCACTACAAAACCCGGGGGACCTGGGCAGTACCCCCTGTATCCTCGCATTCATCGTCTTCGAGCACCACCAGCGTCCCCCGCCACGTCCGGGCGCTCTGTGGGCCCTGGCTCGCAGCTGCGCACTCACCAGCAACCTTCTGTTCCTCTCCTTCCTCTTCTTCCGCTCCATCCCGCAAGCAGCTGGCCAAGGGGCCCAACCTTGACCCAGGCTCCGAAACCGCTGAAGCCGCCAAACCCGCCGAACTCGTGGCGGTGCCGTCCGCGACTTGCGGCCCCAGCCTGCATGCGGCGGCTCCATCCTCACTGCCCGCCTTCGCGATGATGACCGGCACCCCAAGTCGGGCCACTCGTGCGGCCTCCTCCACCTTGAGCGCGATACCGCCTGCGGTGCGGCTCTCCAGGAAAAGTGCGGCGCGCAAGCAGGGGTGGCATCCACAGCATTACGGAGGGCTGCGACCGGCAGCAGGAGATGGACAGCCCGGGCAATAGAACCTGTGCCACAGGGAGCCCTGCTTGCAGTCATCTGGCTGGATGTGCACCTACGAAAGGAAGTTGGGCCCCACGTTGGCGGACTCCCTCCCCAGCAAACTGCCGCGTGCAGTAGTAGCCTAAGACACACCCCCCAACATGAAGAGGCAGAAGAAGAGGCCGCTGAAAATCCACACGGTCTCCCGGAAACACCCCACGCCTGTCCCCGTAAAACCCAAACCCACCTGTCACGTCGTGTGCATCCGCAGTCATCCGGACGTCCACTTCACCGCCGCCATCCGCCTCCGCAACCCGCCAAGAACCATCTGAGAGGCGGTTCAGGCAGCACGGGACAATATGGACCCGTGAGCGGACCAGTGGCACACACGGCAGGCTCTCACATGCAGCGCATTCAGGGACGTTTCAAATATGCACCGGTTCGCAGCAGCTGCTTTCTAATCCATGGCCGTAAAATCCAGGAGGCGGTTCTGCGCACTGCGCACTGTGTGGTCCAGTTCCTGCATCGCTGCTAACTAGCTACCAAGCGCAGCACAACTGCGAATGCTCGCCTACACCTCCCCGCCGTCAGCAGACCCGGCGAGAGGTAAAACGGGCTCGTAGGGGAAGAGGCGGAGAGTATACTTGCGTTGTACGCGACGCAAGTTCGGTCCTGTTACGCGAACGGCAACGGGACGTACTCAGCCGCTATCAGGCGACCTGGACAACAGTCTACAGGACACCGGTTCGCACCAGTGCGGCGACCACGAGGGAGCCTGAGAGCGGGGCACGCAAAGGGGTGGGTACTACTGGGCTTGTGGTGAGCTCAACACCGCCCAGGCCAGGCCGCAACAGCATCCTGGGCTTATTCCCTCCACCATATACGTATGTCGGTACTGTACCTTTCCGTACGACTATGCGGCGCAGCAGGCGCGCGCCCTCCTCCTCCGGCGGCCTGTCGTACACACCCGTGACATTAGTCTGCGTTTGCAAACATGAGGGGACAGCTGTGGAATTATCATCATCATCATTATCATCATCATTACCATCATTACCATCATCATCATCAGCAGCAGCAGCAGCAGCAGCAGGGTCACCCCCCGTTACCGGGGGTGCCCGGTATAACTACTGCGGGGATTGCCGCATGTGGGAGATGTGTCGCCCACCCACCTAGCAACGGCACGAACGAGCCCCGGCCCCCAAAGTCGGGGCAAACCCGACAGCAAGGAAGCTCCTAATGAGCCCCTTGGCGCGCGGAGCCCATTCCAAAAGAGCAGGCGGTTGTCCAGTCCACCTGCATTGATATCCCCTGTCCTGAGTGCACGTGTGCGGGCCTTCCAATGCTTCTCAACCTCACCAGGAAGACGACGTACTGCGGTCTCAGCCGTTCTGCCAGGTCCCGAACAAGCGTATCGCCGCTGAGAATGGTGCAACCCAGCTGCTCGTCCAGTACGGCGTCCCCGTGGAGTACGGGCACCAGCCCTGCCCGCAAGCAATCTGCCACAGCAGCGGCTCCCGAATTGTGCACCTGCAAGTTGCCGTTTTCACCGGTGGCGGCGGCCATAGCAGCGGCGGCGGAAAGGGTAATGCTGGTGTGGCAAGACCAGAGGTTGACAACCTCCCTGCCGGATAGGGAACCAACTTTTCAACACGGGTGGGACACTCCAACGGCCTGTGTGATCGGATCGACCCGGAACGGCGACCAAGACTATCCCCGCCTGTGACACTGTGCTCCTGTTCTGTGTGTGGCGAGTTCCTGTCAGCATGACTCGAAACACGGACACGAACACAAACACGGACACGCGTGCGGTGGTCTTAGGGGCAGCGAGTGAGCAAACGGAGGTGCGCCGAACGCCCAAAACGCGGACCAGACGTGTTCCACACCTCTCCTCTACCTGACGGCCACAGGTGGTGTAGAGACCCAGAGGCGATAAGCCCACTGCCGTAATACCAGCTTCAGGGGGCGGAGAGGGCGGAGTGACGCGGGGGGAGACCCGTTAGTTCCAGCAAGCGGATCAACAACCCGGCGCAGTGAACGGGAATGGGTGCAGGATGGGGGAGGTGTTTCGGAGCAAGCTATACACGCAAGCTAAATACAATCAATCATTCAGGGGTTAAGGGAGACCCGAGAAACTGGACCGGCGGGAAAAGCTCCAAATGGGGCAAGCATCATCTAGCCCGTCATCCAGCCACCAACCAGCCAGCGGCTGCCCGCACAGGAGCCACAGCTAAGAGGATGATGAGGGCCCCTGCCCGCTGCCCTGCACAGACACACACACACACACACATACACACCTCCTTCCCGCCTCCCGCCTTACCCGCCACAAGCTCCCCCGTGACCAGGCCGTTCAGCCGAGTTACAGAGGACCTGCACCACGCAGGATGACTCGCCCCAGTTGGTGGGTTGATGCCAGCCACCGTCCGTCCCCAGGCAGGAAGGCCGCCGTTGGGGTGTGGGGTGGCGGAACGAGGTGTGGAAGAAATGAAAAGGATTGAGGCACCACATAGACAAGTAGGGCGGGGCGCACAGGGACAGACAGGCACCCCACGGCCCAGACGGGCCAGGGGTGGCGTTCAAGCAAGCGTCCTCCGGGCTGCAGACCTGGTTAGTGTGAAGCCCAGTCGCACGCGTGGGTCGCTCAGGTTACCGCGGGCCACGCCGTACTCGGACGCTGGGTGGTGCTGTGCGGGGAGGTGTCACCGGGGGAAAACGGGGGGTGGGCGTTGCGTGTCGTGATTGGTGCCTGACCAGCTTTTCCGTACCTAGTAAGGCTGCTGACGTGAGGTGCGGTACCCTTTTGAAGGGTACCGCCCGCAGCGCTGTGAGTGCTATTATTGCGGACGGGTGAAAGGGCGGCATGACGCGGAATGCATGGTTGAGAGGGCAGCGGGAGCCATACGTTGCGGCTCCCAGATTTCCTCTTTTCCTCCTCTTGAGAGCCACCTCGCCTAGCGCCGCTGTGGAACGCGAAAGCCAGCCAGCGGACGTCCCACATGTACTGCACCGCCGGATATGGCGTGGCGCTGCTGTGGCACGGCGCGGCGTGTGGCGCTGGGCAAAGAACACCGCGACCGACCTCGCCACATCCCAGTGGCCAGCAGTTGCGGCTGAGTGAGTGCGAGCTCGAATCCGAGCTGGGCTCTCAACGAAACGGGAGAGCCCGCACAAAGCCAAAGTAAGATAAGTTTTTTTCAGGGTTTACCCTCAACGGAAGCTTCCGTTGGCGTTTAAGATAACGTGAAATAGCGTGAGCGAGGTCATTTAAGTGGGAGAGAGAAGCGCATTGGCCTCAAACGAGACGGGCAAGCGGTCATGCAGGCGGTCAGACGGGCTTTAGCAGTGCATTGCAGATTTCCACGCACCCCGAAGGATCCCGCGCCGTGAACCAGCACAGTGCCGCCGTCACTGCCGCCGCTGGAGGAGGAGGGGGAGGAGGAGGAGGACGGGGAGGCGGAGGAGGAGGAGGAGTGGCCTTCATTTGCGAGTGATACACATACGCGACGCAGCACATCTTGCTGCAGCGTTTCCAGCTGGGACTTGTGTGTGATTGCTGCACCGCCCAGCTTGATGATTCGCCGTACAGGTGCTGGCGCGGGAGGGTCGTGGACACTATAGGCGTGTTGGGGTATAGTGTGATGAAGGGGGGAAGGGGGGCGTTATGTAGGGCATGACGTCTCCAGGTGTGGCAGTGCAGTCGGATGAGACGCAGTGCTATGTAAGATGCGACTTGCTTCGTTATGCGGTTTTCAGTCAACGCCCCGTGAGTTATGCATTCGTGTACGTGCTTACTTGAAGCTCCGTGTTGAGCGTGCAAGGGCGCAGGGTTGTGTGGCAGGACTCATTTTAGAGCCGAAATTCAGGCCATCGGATACAAGTGAGCTTATAGCAGTGCATTCATGTATTCTAGGGCACCGAAATCGTAAGCATTCAGAAGAATGTCAACAACGCCGTACACGGTTGAACGGGAAAATAACGGATAGCCCGAATGCTCCAAGTGTATGGCAATCCAGGCAGTAGTTAGTCTAACGCTACCGTAGGTTGTGCGCTTATGCTTGACGGCAGTACAGCAAGGCTTGTTTAGCAGTCTCTGTGCGTAGCTTGGCCCCCACACGGACAAGAATGAGCAACTCGGGTGGGGGCTTCCTCTCAAAATTGAAAGCACTAGATGCATATCCCAAAATCAATGAGGACTTCTTTACGAAGACGATGTCGGGCGGCATCATCACGATCGTGGCCTCAGTTGTGATGGTTTTGCTATTCCTATCCGAGCTACGTAGGTGTAAAGCTTACCTAGACGTTTTTCAGTAGTAACGCGCTTCAAGCTGCTATGTAGCCAACGGGGTTGCCTTGAACAGGACTGTACATGACGACGCAATCAGTGCATGAGCTTTCAGTGGATGTGGGAAGGGGAGAGAAGATCCAGATACATGTGAGTATGCGTGTGCGTCGGCTGTGGCTTTTGCATGATGTCACCTTGTAACCGGTGAACTGCAACGCAAGCTGCCTTATTTCAGCTGATGTTTCCTATGTGTTCTTCCACAGTTCGACCTAACGTTTCCAAAGGTCCCTTGCTCATGGCTGAGCCTGGACGCGATGGACATTAGCGGCGAGCTCCACCTTGATCTGGTAGTTGAGACTTGACCCGTGTTGCGTGAACTTGTGTGCACGGAAGTTGGTGTGAGTGATGTTATGCAGAGCGGTTGACACGTTAACGGTTGGACTCGACAGGACCACGACGTGTATAAGCAGCGGTTGAGCGCGAACGGGTCGCCCGTCAAGGAGGTAGAAAAGCACAACGTGGAAGCTACGAAGAAAGTGGTGCCTGTGAACGGGACTGAGAACTCAACAGCAACCCCCGTATGCGGGAGTTGCTACGGGGCGGAGGACAGGCAGGGGGACTGCTGTAACACTTGCGACGAGGTAAGAAGGAAGCGCAAGGAGCTTGGCGAGAGGGTGATGAAGGGTGGGGAGCGCCACTTCCTGGCGGGCGTAATCAAGTCGTAGTTTTGGGGGCTCCAGAGTGCATTTGTGCCCCGCGGGGAACCCAGTGGAGGCTGGAAGTTGACATGCCCTTGCGGGGTAATGCATCCCAGATTGGTTGCAAGGCGAGACTGCCAATTATATCGCCAATTACTCCGCAACACGTGTCGTACGGTCAATTGACGTGACTTATGGAGCACTACTCCAGGCACCGGTTGCGTTCAGCCACCATTGGTTCCATGATTGCTAGGGCGATAGACAGTTTTTAGTAGACTCCCTCTGTCTATGAAATTCAGCAGCTGCGGCGGCAGCAATCCGAGTTAGGAGATCATCGACGTCATGCGGCGCCCTGGTACCCACACACACCTGGGGGCATGGTCGCGCTTTGGTCCCTGCGTGGTGCAGGTCCGTGCTGCGTACCGGCGCAAGGGCTGGGCACTGGCAAACGTGGACCACATTGAGCAATGCGCACATGACCTGTACACGGAGAGCATCAAGGAGCAGACTGGGGAGGGCTGCCACATGTGGGGCATGCTTGAGGTAATGCCGCCTGCCAGGAGCGCATACACCACTAGCATGTAAAAGGTCATCATAATAGCGGATTTCGAATGGCACAGCTGCTAGGCGGTAGCACGGGTTCCTGGTGTGTTGGAGTATCGCAGCCGGCGAGGACCAGGGAGTTGTGTGCCCTTGCGTTGTTATCGGCGCTGTCCCGGGTAGGGTTGTTGAGATTGGCGCATGGAGGGTGTTGACAGGGCCGGTAAGGGACTGATGAACTTGAGCCAGAGGCGGAGTAGGAGTGGGTCGATGAAATTACTGTCATGCTTTCTCGAAACCCTCTACAACTGTAGCTTACCGTGCGGAATCGGATTCCTGGTTTGTTCATTTGCAGGTGAACAAGGTTGCCGGCAACTTCCATTTTGCCCCGGGGAGATCATACCAGCAGGGCAGCATGCATGTGCACGACATTGCCCCTTTCGGTGACGCCGTCATTGATTTCCGTCATACAGTAAATAAGCTCAGCTTTGGGGCGCCCTATCCGGGAATGAAGAACCCGTTGGATAACGCCAAGGCGGGCTACAAGTCCGCGGCTGCGACGGGCATGTACCAGTACTTCCTAAAGGTGCGTGGGATGCGGCCGTGCAGTAGGTCTGACAGTTCGAGCTCTGGTGTCGTAGGCTGGCTGTCGCATCACTGCAGCTGAAGATCGATCTCAGATCATCCTTGTGAAGATCAAAAGTGAAGGGCCAAGCCTGGAACAGGTGCAACAGCTCAGCGCTGGTTCCTCGCTGACGCTGTGTGGGTGCATACCAGGTTTATCGACCTGCGGGTACACACATTACCTGGATAGTACTCATATTACGCGGTATTTGGCGTATGCGGTGCTCCTTCCTTCCTACACAAAACCCGAACCCTTGAGACCTCCGGATTCTGAGGGATGTGCACCATCCTAGCCAGTACGCCAGTAGCCGGGATGTGCAGCTTAGCATTACATTATGCATTGTGGTGGAAATCTTGGGGCTACCATTGCTTTGGTGTTTCAGGAGTATGGTCCCTGTGTTCGCGACGCCTACAGGTGGTGCCCACTTCCTACACGGGCATCGACAACAAGACGCTTGCCACCAATCAGTTTTCGGTCACGGAGAACTTCCGGGAGTCGTCGCAGGGCGGTGCCGGTAAAACCCTACCAGGAGTGTTTTTCTTTTACGATCTGTCGCCGATCAAGGTCCGCATCGTGGAGCACAGTTCGTCCTTTTTGTCGTTCCTGACCAGCGTCTGCGCTATTGTTGGAGGCGTTTTCACGGTTTCCGGCATTGTAGACGCGTTCATATATACGAGCACACGCTTGATACGCAAGAAAATGGAGCTGGGGAAATTCAGCTGATCGGATCTTTTGATCGTTTGCAAACGGCTTTGACGGGTTGGGAAGTGAGTTGGCGCTGGGGATGAGCGTACTGACGATTTGGCAGTACAGCTGAAGTCGCGGGCCAAAACGTTGGTGTGCATTGCCAATGGCCGCAGACACGGCAAGACGACGGCTATGATGTGGCAGGCGTTATGGATTGGTTTCAAATGTCATTAGCACAGGTGCATGGATGAAATGTGGACCCCCTAAAAGAGGTGCTTTTTGTGTGGGTTTTTACGGACTTGGGACCCCCTAAAAGAGGTGCTTTTGTGTGGATTTTTACGAACAAATGCCGATTCGCTCGTAGCATGCATCGGGCCACTGTAACAGAGTTTGTCCTTTAATCTGCGGGCAGTACATTTTTGCGGCAAAGGGCGTGGTAGCGTGGTACAAAGAATAGGAATGCTACATTTGAACAGCAATTATGTTAAATGCACTGTAATGAAAAGCATGCAAAAACCTTGCAGGGGGCCAACGCCGTACTCAATGACAAATGTTGCGAGGCTGAAAGATTGGAGCCCCACGCGCGCCCTAGCAAAGTGCGACGGTGCTACTACTGAGGTGCATATGGTTTGGAGCTTGCGTTGCTGGTGGGAGTCTTTTCAGAACTTGTAAATCCGTGTGCTCTCCTGTTCCATATTGCTATATCTTTGCTGCTTGCCATTTACCATTACAAAAATACAGAAAGGAAATGGTTATGACTTATGACTTATACGACATGGCATGAAGATTTGGTGCAGAATATCTAGGCTTGGGATTTCTAAAAGTATCTGTACGGCGCCAGAACCCGTTTCCGGCATGCCGCTCTGTACCGCGGATTAAGCTGGCTGCTGCGAATGATAATTCTGTAGGTTCTACGATTAGTTTCGAAACATTATTTTTCAGCGTTGACTACTTGGAAGTAGTGCAGTATCCTTGCCTGCTAGGTGCCGCCGACGCTGCGGGGCGGTGTTGCTTCCACTAGTACTTCTTTGCAGAGTCACTGTGTGCTGTCGTATTACAATTCTTCCAGCGTGATAGCGTATCGAGCTTTAGCGGCGAGCGTGGGTTAGCAAGTGTGTGGCGGGTAGTACTCGAAATTTATCGGCAGAAGTGCTAAAGGTGCTAAAGGTTGTTTTTTCCATTCTATGTTAATGATTTCTCGTGGCGGCTTAGGCTATCAGTGACCTCCGACTTGACTACATAACCACGGACGCAAAGCTCGGGGCAGCGGACACGGAACAAATGCAAGCCACGAAACAGTTTTCTCCTGGCGACAAACAGAAAGAATGCTTGGAAAGTACAACCAAACTTGGGCGGGTCGACTGCGTTTCGGTGTGCGAGTGCCCGCCGCTGAGACTTTCGGAAAGCTCCGCAAACCTACTGTCGCCGACATGTAGCCAACTGGAGCTTGCGGATTACAGGTCGGTAATTTTTTTGTTACTTTTGTTTTGAGTTCGTTTGTGTGCATACGACCAGTTCTAGCGTCATTGTGGACTGACTTGCTTCTCACGTACAACGCAGGGCTGGCATATGCAGCCCTGAAATTGGGTGTCAGGAAAATGAGCTGGAGCTTGTGGGCTTCCAAGTTGTTGGACAGGGTAGGTTCTGGGGAAAGCATGTTTCCCCCTCACAACCTTACCTAGGCTGCTGGCGATTGCACTTGGCTCTCTCGGGCGCTACGGCAACTACAAAGCGTGACGGGAGGTTTAGATGACGTCCGCAACCCAGACAGGAATACCAAGCGGGACGTGGCAAGCGGCCATGTGTGTGTGGTTATGGGGTTGCTACAGTGGGCTCCAGAGTCGTAAGGAGTGGCTATGTGTCCGGAAACGCGCGCGCGCTAATCCTACCACATACCACCACGGACCGCATAATCGCAGCAGGGCCTGTTTGCATGCTGCTTTTTGCTAGCAGTCAACTAGGGGCGCAAGACAACCTTTGGAATCACAACTGGCCTGCGTCCTGCTTCTTCAAAATACGCATTAAACGCCCCCTCGTGTTCGTAGGTATGCGGCCCACGTCATCTGCCTCGCTGACCTGCAACAGCTATGTGTCCCCCTCCTCCGGGGACTCCACCCCAACTTCCTTCGCGGCCGACACGGAAGCGGACAGCGCCACCGACTACAGCGCCACCGCCGCCCACACTGCTGACTACAGCGCCTCCTCGGTGCTCACACTAAAGCCGTCCGCATGTGTTGTTAATAAAGACGCCCTACCAGGGCTGTCTTGCGGCGGCGGCAGTGACAGCGACGGCACACACGGCGGCAACAGCCCCGCGGTGGAAGGCATGGCGTCCGGCGAGGTTTCGTACGCCAGTGATGAGGACGACGGCAGCCCCTACCTGCCGCGAGAGATACATCCTTTTGATGTGCAGCTGGCGCGCATGCTCTCGGCCGTGTCACAGGCCGCCGGCGCCAGTCCCGCTCAGCTGCTGCAGCCGCTGCTGAATTTCGCGGCGGAGGACTACCAGGTGCGGTGCGGTGCGGTGCGGCGGGGGGGGGGTCTGCGCGTGCCGACGTGGAGGAGTGGAGGAGTGGTCTAGCCGTTTGGCAAAAATAGAGGACGCCCGCCCTCGTGCGACATGCGAACAAAGCCGGCCAATCTAAGAAATATTGACACGCCAATTGCCCGTTGCCGGTCAAGGGTAACCTGTCGTTGCCATGCTGCTAAGATATTCTTATCAGGAAATGGCTTGGAGGTGTGTTGTGTTGCGCAGCGCGAAAACCTATATGTATGTGTTTTGTGATTTGTTCCCGCCGTGGACATGGCACGTCTCCGCTGCGTCCATTCTCTTCGATCGATCCTCTCGGTGCCAAATATGTCAGTGGCCTAACTCCACCAACAAACACATTTGTGCCCGGACGGCCACACTGAATGTCACCACAAGCAGGACTTGGTGAACGCGCTTGTGGAGAGCGGCTGCGGTTGCGTGCACCTGCTGGCCTGCCACCTGCACAACCTGCGCACAATGGCGGAAGAGGCTATAGATAACTCGTCGCCAGCTGCAATCACAGCGGCCGCTGCCACAGCCCGTGCCGACGCGGCCGCAGCTAATACATCTACAGCTACAGCTACAGCTACATCCGCAAAGGCCGCGCAGGCCGGCAAGGGCGCATCCGAGCGAGGCATCGGCGGCAGGAAGGGCAGGGCCAGCACCCAGGCAGCGAGTGCATCCTCCCCGGATGCGGGGCCCGAGGATAAAGCCGCTCAGGAGTCCCTCCGTGCTTCCATTATGGACCAGTACCGTCGTGTCGTGTATCGTCTGGTGGACACAGCGCTCGGGCTGCTCAACAAGGACGCGGGGCATCTGCCGCCGACCGTACAGCCTCCGCCGCCACCGCCACCGCCGCCGCCATCGATTGGTCGTGGCTGCGGCGGGGCAGGTGCTACTAGCAGCGGCCGGGCCCAAGCAGAGCAGCAGTTGGGCCGGTCGAGGTCTGTTCCAGTTTCTGGCTCCGCGGCTGCCGTCGCGGGAATACCCACACAGGCAGTCGGTGCTGTTGCTTCAGCATCGCTGCTGCGCAGCGGGCAAGGCCAGAAGGTCATGATGCCAGGCGCTCCGACGTGCATTAATTCCGTCTTATCATCGAACAGCACAATGATTTCAAGGGCAGCTGGAGAGACAGCAGGGATTGGTGCAGCGCCGCGAAACACCGGCGTTCCTGCCTCTGTTTTCGCTGCATTGGCAAATGCCGCAGACGCCGCGCCGCCGCGAAACGGCTTCGTTGACGCCGTTGACGTCATGCAAGCCATGAGGATGCAGCAGTTGGCGCCGAGCACCGCCCCAGATGTCGTGGAGGCGCTGTCCATACAGCACCTCAGCGGCGGCGCCGCCGGCCCTTTGACGACAGCAGCAGCGGCGGCGGCTGCGGCGGCGGCAGGACCATTGTTTACGGGCCCCACATCCAGCCTGGCAGCCCGTGGGCGTAGCTTGTCGCAGTCGTCCGCGTTGACTGGCTCTGGCGTGATGCCTGCGGCTTCTGCCACAGCAGCGGCCAGGGGCCGTGCAGCGACCGCGGAGTCGTACACAGGTGTCGGGGCGGGGCTAGGGCCCCAGCTGGTGGGACTCGGCATCGCGCCGGCGGCCGCGGCGGCGGTGGCGTTGCGTTCCATGGCAGGCGCCAATCCCCGGGGCGGCGCCGTTGCAAGCCTGGCGCAGGGCCTGCAGCGACTGCAGCCCGGTGATACCACCACGGCCCTGCTGCTGCAACAGCAGCAGCGACTACACATACAGCAGCAGCAGCAGCGGCTGCAACAGCAACTGCAACGGCAAAAGCTTCAACAGCAACAACAGCACCTGCAGCAGCACCTGCAGCAGCAGCGGCTGCAACAGCAACAGCGGCTGCAACAGCAACACTTGCAGCAACAGCTGCTGCAGCAGCAACAGCTGCAACTTTTGGAGTTGCTAGCCGCGGCGGATACCGCTGAGGGAACAGACACGACGCACGGCGATGTGCCCTTTGGCGCCATAACCGCACAGGGCCTGGGTCTGCCCCGGGGTTTACAGGTCCTTTCGCCATCGGATCTGGCGCCGCCGTCAGCCCTGACGGCGTCCTCGTCGGCGAATATGCTTAACGCCGCCGCCGCCGCCACAGCGGCGCAGCTGATGCAGGCGTATGACAATGCCGCTACGTTGGCCGAGCAGGGCGTCTGGCGGCCAGAGGATTCCCTTGCTGCGCTGCAGTGGCAGTTGCCGACAGCGGCTGCGGTGGCGGCTCCGTTCGGGGGCCCCGTCGGCGGCCTCGTCGGACCCCTATCATCTGCTGGATGCGAACATCCGCAGCCTGACCATCAGCAGCAGCAGCTTATGATGATGATGCAAAGTGGCCTTCTGCCAGCAGCTGGCGCTGGGACAGTGGGTGGCAACGTCGCAGCTGTTGCGGCGGCGGCTGCTGCTGCTGCTGCTGCTCTGCCGTACGGCACAGCGACCTCCTTCCCTGGCGTCCAGCTTCCTGGTGGCTGGATTGTGTAGAAATCTTTTTCCGACCTGCCTGGAAAAAATGTAATACAAGGACCATATGGAGCTGGTTGAAATGCGGGGTATTGTATATTGTGTTTTTTCGTCCAGCTGAGCACTCCCTTAGCAGCTACTGTTCGTTGGTATAGTGGGCGGCCTTTGTTGTTCTGGCTTTGGTGCATCTGCCACATGTTTGTTAGGTACGTGTCGTTTCTCGGTTGGGTTTTGCAAAGTGGCGCATGTGCTCAAATGCCCCTCAGCCGTATATCAGTGTCGAATGAGGCCGCCTGCACGTGCCTTGTCGACAAACCTTCGAAGCTATGGTTTCGCACGTCTGCTTCTTTATGTATGCGCTTTCCCTGAAGTATTGGAGTTCTTTGCATGGGCTATCTTCTATCCCCTCCCGAAGTGGGGCGCCGAGAAGTCCGGTGTAGGATTGCGGTCCACCGGGGGGGGCGGCTCCCACATCGGGTGGCCGCGCTGGAAACCTGAAGGCCTGTGCTTCTTCCTGCTCGTGGTGGTGGCAGCTGCTGCCCTGCGTGGTCCTGCCTTGGCGCGATGTGCGTGACCACTAGCCAGCAGCAGTGGTGTCACGAAACTTGGGCTGGGGCAGCATATTATAAGAATTGACCCCTCTCCCGCTTCATCTCTCACACCTTCGGAGGTGGGGTTGCTGGTGGCCCTACCAGCTTTGTGTGCCTCTTGGGAGCTCAACACGCACTTTCTTCGCTGACATCATCCCTCAAAACTGCATAACATTAGTGGTTTGATGGTCATGGTTTGTTTGTTTGTTCGTATGTTTGCATGTTTGTTGTTGATGATTTTATTTAAAGTTGAGGAAATGAAATGAGCAATAAGGTGTGTTTGCGGGCGAAAGGACCATATTATGCACTCAAGCCTTTCTGCCATTGTGTCGCCATTGTTTGTGTTTGCAAAATCGAGAACTCTGGGGAAAAGGGCGGCAGAGCGGTGTGGTGAGAATTGTCGGCCGTTGTGTTCTCCCCTAGGGCCTCGCCGCCGCCGCCACCGCCGCGTACCGCTTCCATTCACTCCGAACGATACCTGTTTATCAATATCATCCGTACTTTGTTAGCTAGCTGCTGCTGAAAGATTTCATCGGCACATGCGGCGGTGAGGAGGCGGTGCGGTGCCCGATGTGCCGTACGGTCATCAACTTTTGTCGAAGTCACCTCCGCTGCCGGGCCGCTTGTTTGCCGTACTCTTTGTGGAATTTTTGTCGTGGGGATTGCGACGACGTGTGATGATGGTGATATGCGGTTTTTATTCCGGTTTCTTTTCAAATTCAGTTTCAGGTTTAAGTTTTAAATTGGTCAGTGTAGGGTTGGGCCGCGTTGGGCAACGCGATGGATACCAGCGGGAGCCCACCAGCCGTATGTTCTAAGTCGAATCCTGAGCTTGTGCGTGCGTATGGACTTGGCAAGACTGGCTTGACGTGTTCCGCGGCTGTTTACAGGCTGACGTGTCACCACAGTTTCGTGCTATGTACATTGGCATTAATGAAGACTTGGTGGTGGTAATGGTGTTGGTGGTGAGTTTTGGCTAAGGCGTTGTGCGTTGTATGCGGTTTCGTGCCGGGTCTTCCCTCCTCCCGCCTGTTCCCCTTTCAGTCGATCGCTCACTCTTGAGCCTGAAGAGCTCGTAGCTACGGAAGATGCAGCAGAAGGTCGCAGAAGCTTTCGTTAGTAGGTGAAGTAAAGCATACACATGGCGTGTCTGCTCGCTGCAAGCTGTCTTATATGTTTTGAATTTTACGGCCTCCGATTCGTTTCGGGCCGATTCGTTTTTGGATGAGGCCCGTTTTCAGCTCTATCCGGTGGGGGTTGTTGGCACGGGGTCTGCAAGACGCCCTGTGGTGGTGCTGTCGGAGGGCAAGCCTGGAAGACCTGTGCACGGCCATATGCTGACCGGACAACACTTAACTGTCACCATGCCATCGTAGTTTCTGCGCTGACGCTATTAGAGGAGGAAGATTGGCCCGCGGACTGCCTATTATAACAGCGTAGTACACACATATATACATATATATTTTTATAAGACGGGTTTACCCAAGAGCTTTTAAACCCACTTGAGTTTGGCAAGTGGGGAGGCCTTTGCAAACGTCGCTGCGGCCACTGTTGGTGAAAGTTTTGCCGTTTTTTATGTGGTCCAAGTTGTGTCGGTCAATACGTCGCTTGTCGTGCGGCGGCGCACTCCTGCCATCAGTGAGCATGTTGATTTGCAAAAACGTGTATTCTGTGTTTGGTATACGGCAAGTAGGCAGTTTGGAATGAAGGCTCGTTTGATATTTGTTATGGTCTGTTTGTGCTCTGCTAGTGTTGGTGAGGATAGCTCTCGCGCGTATATGCTTTTGGCCAAATCTTCGGCAGGAAACGGTGGGTGTGAGTGGTTCAGTAGGGGTGATGTGAGCGCCTCGAGGCCACCGCTGTCCCTGTGCCCAGGTGTCCGATGCTGACGGCGCATTGCACTGCAAGGCAAGTAGGTCTCGTCCCTGGTAACCCGGCTGGGCCCAAAGGGGATAGGATAGGGGGGCTGCCGGTGTTGTGCGCCGTGTGTTTTTTCATGCTGACGTCAGCGTGCAGCGGCGGAAAGATCTTCCCGGCTCCCCGCGAACGTCGTGGTTGAGTGTGCTCGGGTGTGTAATGCTTTTTTAGTTATTTAGATGTATGTGTTGACATTCTTTCCGTTCGACGGCTTCCATTACATGGTTCGTTGGGGTTCGTTCCCCCGTCGGTCCACGGTCATATGCCAGGACACAGCTGGTTTGGACCCTGTTTAGTTTTTAGTGCGGTCGCGTTCCTTAGGACGAGTAGGTGATTATTACCTTCGGGCTCCTGGGCACTGCTTGTGACGGCCAAGTCGACTTTAGGGTTGATATTATAATTTTGCACGCGGCAATCTGCATCTACTTTGACGCAGTTTGCTCGGGCGGCCCGTTTCGGTGTGTGTCGTTGTGTTGCTTTTGACTGATGTGCTGCGACCGTTCAATGCGTTTGCGCAGGGCCCATCAGTTCGGGGCTCCGCTACTGACCGGCTCTGTTTCGGGCGCTTCCAATATATGTTATTAAATCACGCTACTTGCCACGCTTGTGAAGTATTAAGGCTGGCATGCAGCGAGGCTGGGCCGTACAGGCAATGTGTTGCGCATGTATGCTTTTTCTGGCGGAGGAATGGAGTAGTCGCTGTCATCATGCGGATGATTGCTGGTCCTGAGTTTTTGGGCGCTTTCGGAGGCAAATATTTTCGCTAAATTTTGTGTTTTTGTTACTACCCTCATATGCACATTTCGTGGGGTTGTGGTTCACCCGGATATCCTGATTGGGGATATGGTGAGGCTGCCCACTATCACCGCCATCGCTATTATCACCGCCGGCTGAACAATGTTCCTTGAAAAGTCAGCTCTGGTGGTTGTATCATTATTGTGTGCTTGTCAAGTCAAGGTTTGTGGTGGACGATTGGATTTACAAATAAACACGGGTGGATTCCTAATTATACCTTGATCCTAATCTGTCAGTTTAAAGCCTCGCAACACTGACTGCCTCTGCCTCACAGCACCGTCGGCCGGAGGGTGCTGGCACCGATTGCGAGATAGCTCAGCCCGTCATAAGGAACCCATCACTGCTTACGCGGGCGCATGGACTGGCGGCAGGGTGATGCTTCCGAACCTGTGGATTAAATCTGCGGCGGGTGCCTCTTGCACCCAACCGTTTCCATCCGCAGCTACGGCAGTTTCAGCTCCTCTCGCAACAGCTCAGTTGCGTGCGCGATGCGGCCCTCGTCTCATGAGTCGCGCTTGTCTAAGCAGCCCGAACACATGCCTGCGTGCCCGCCTTTCCCTAGGGGGGAGCACTACCTACCCCAGAGACTTCCTGTCGTGCTCATGTGTGTCGTGTGTCGTGCTCAACAACTCACTTAACCCGTGCGCTGAAGCTGTCTTTCCGCCCCCCGGTCATTGGGACACTTCGACTCGCTGCGCCAGGGACTGACCTGGCACAGCACAGCGCCCATTACGCAACCAAAAGCGGAAAGCACAAACAACGCGACCGATCGTGGCTCCGCTCTCCAGCACCAGGTTATTGCTATCTAGGTCGTGTATCGAGACAACTGTAGGCTTTCTTCCTCCTACATATAAGAGTAGTGTTGCCTTTCTCCTTTCGCCAGACTTCAGCACCCTTGCGGGCACGCAGCGGCAGATCTCGACAACGGCACCGACTGGAGCTGTCCCCGAACGAACGAACGAACGAAGGCGGCTGCAATGCGGCAACCAGCGCACCACAAACTCAATCAGCTACAAGCAATATCGGATATACGTCGCGCGCCGAGCAGTTCCTATTAAGCAACAAGCAAGCATAGAACAAACACCCGCAGCAGCAGCTTTGTAGAGGATTAACCCACAAGGGACGGATGCTGCATCACACCAGCAGCACCACCAGCGATCAACACGTCCATCGGCCCGCGCGCCCCTTCCCTCTTCCGGCCCCGCGCCTACCGTCCCCTTTGCCCCACCGTGGTGTGACAAACCTCGTCCCCAACCTTTCCCCCACGCGGTGCGGTGCGGTGCGGTGCGGACGGGACCTCACCTCACCGCGTCCCCCCCCCTCGTGTACCCGATATACCCGCACATTACCGCACTCGACAAGGGCAAAAGGGCAGTCGAACAGGAAATGCTCTTTCCTGAAGGGGCACAAGCACTGAACACACAGCGCACAAACAATTCAGGAAGCAATTATTCTGACCCATAGCTGCACGTCCATTCACAAAGGCCCCAAGGCCCGCACAAGCTATATCTTATACTCACCGCGAAAGGAAACCTGCAATAAAATAGTTATGTATACTATTACACAATAACTTATAAGCCATGTCGACCACGCGGAAAAGGCCCCGTATGGGCCGTTTGGCAGTCCATAAAATCCAACGCAGGACCTCAACAGAAGCAAACGCGATCCTAAAGCAGCTCTGGGGCCCTTGCTGGCGTAGTAGCGTTCATCCAAGCGAGGGCCCCGCGGCCAGGGTGGTCAACTACACTTCGCCTCCCTCTAGCAGACGGGTGAGTGGGTGGGCACACAACACATGGGGGTGAAGAGGATGTGGGGCGAGGGAGTTTTCATTTAGCATAGACAAGGTCAGGAAACAGCGTCGCTGGTCGTCAAGGTGGGTAGATGTACCCCGAGGAACAGGGGCTACACTGTTTTCCGGTAGCGACTCATGCACGCAGCAACAACGGCAAACAACATTCGTTCGGTTGCGTCATCCTTTCACTATGCACAACAGCATAACTGCACAACCAACCCCTCTCCTTCCACCTCTTCAAGACTCAGCTTCCCCAGCCCACCCCAAGGAAACTCCCACCTCTCCACCTAACCACGCACGATGACTGCCCCCCTCCGCCGCTCTCCCCCCCTCCCAACCTCACTCAGCCGCAGCACTCACCTGATGCGGTGCAGCTGCGTGGAAGGGCCTCGGCGTCTGTCCGTCTTCAAATGACGTATTTAGGGATGCCGTATTGTTCCCAGACCTTGCCACTCTCCGGGTACCAGCCCACGGATCCCTCCCGCAATGCGGGGGGCAGGTACACGGACGAGTCGACGGACGCGGGGGGCGCTGCCATAGCCAAAGAGAGGGGCGGGTGCTGCAGCAGGGCAGGACAGGGCAGGACAGGGCAGGACAGGGCAGGACAGGGCAGGACAGGGCAGGACAGGGCAGGACAGGGCAGGACAGGGCAGGACAGGGCAGGACAGGGCAGGACAGGGCAGAGCATAGCAGGTCAGGGCAGGACAGGGCAGAGCATAGCAGGTCAGGGCAGCATCCGCATCAGGGGTTGCAACTGCGGGATTGCATGAGCGGCAATAACGGTTAACCGCCTCGGCAACGGCAAAAGCAACAGCAGCAGCAGCAATGAGATGCGGATTCACTTCCGTACCGAGCTTGCCACCCCCATCCCACCCCACCCCATCCCGCAGCCTGTCCCCTCACCTCCAGCGGCCGCAAGTACCTCTTCACACACAGGCGGTGGAAAGCCACAATGGCTGGTGTGAGGGAGCACCACAGCAGCGCCGCCTGCATCCAGCCCCCGTTGGTGAGAAGCACCGCTCCCGTGAACAGCTCGCCGACCAGCAGGTAGCCGGTCATGTGGGAGAACACCACGGGGAACATCTGACCGCCTGAGGAGGTGCAGGAGGAGGTGCAGGAGGAGGTGCAGGAGGAGGGCAGGAGGAGGAGGGCAGGAGGAGGAGGAGGGGTTGGGGTGGTCATGGGGATACGGGTGAGGAACTATACGTCACGTGATGGTGGTGGTGCAAAAGTCAGACCACCACCAACTGCTGACGTCCTCGGACAGCAAAGGGGTAATGGGGGGTTACGGCGGGTTTAGGGGGTTTAGGAGGGAGGGAAGGCGGGGTCGGGGGGGAAAAACAGGGTCAGGGGGACGGCCAAAGGGACTGGGGATGACTGCGGAGGTCTCTCCCCATCAATGGACAAGGCAACTCCAGGGGGGCCGTAAGCGGGTGGGTTGACCCGGGAGTGGAGCGGGAGCGGGAGTGCAGGCTAGCAAGGGCGAGGGGGAAAGCAGTACCATGGGGACAAAAATGTGGCGATAATGGAGCAGCAGTGCAGCAGCGCTAAGAACGACGTCACCAGTACCTTCACCTCCCCCCCATGTCCTGACGGAAACCCTGCTTCCTGACCTCCAGCTCCTTCCCCCCTCTCCCCTTTCCCTCCCTCCCTCCCTCCCTCCCTCCCTCCCTCCCTCCCTCCCTTCCTCCCCCCACACCTCAGGCCTCACCCGACTCGTACTGTCGTTCGAAGATGTAGACAATGGCGTACCTCCAGGTGATGTACGCCGTTATGAAGAACAGCAGGGCGATGGGCGCTATGAGGGGGGCGGTTACCACGTAGGCCAGACCCACCATCAGAGTCTGGAGGTGGAGGAGAGTCAGTACGTGAGGGGCCGACAGCGGCGCCCCCGGGTGGGGGAAAGGGGGGGGGGAGGGGACCAAGGGGATGAAAGGAGGCGCCCAGGGAAAGGAACGCCGGGCTGCAGGCGGAGGAGACTGGAACGTTCGAGACCGGGATAGGGCCAAGGACAGGAATGCGAACAGAGGACGGGAATGTAGGGACGAATATAGGGGCGTGAGAAGTCAGGAAAGATGTGGTCGGAGGCCACGGTGGCCGGGGCAGGAGGACGGCAGGTTTTCCCAAAGCGAGTCTTGCGTTGCGTGAATAAAATTGGGGTTAGAGCTGGTGGCCGATTGGTGCTGGTTGCTCCTTTCTCGTGGTGGCTAGGAAAGGGCTCCGGAACCAGGAGTCCTGTTGCGTGTCCCTTAGTGGGATTTAGCAGTGGGGGGTTTACTATGACGACGATGGGTGGATGGAGTTGGTTTTGATCCGGCCGGGGCGGTTGGAGATTCATATCTTTTTTTACACCGTACGGCGGTCCTGTGGCGCTGTCGCTGTCGCTGCTGGTACTGGTGCTGCTATTATTACCGCCCTTACGTGTCGACTCCCCCTGTATTGCGCGCCTGTTACCTGGAAGACTCCGTTGTAGAAGGAGCTGAAGCGGTAGCCGGGAGGGGTGTGTATGAGGAACACGTCCTGCCATGAGCTGGGGATTAGGTGCGGCGGGTGGGGTCAGGGCGGGTGGGGTCAGGGCGGGTGGGGTCAGGGCGGGTGGGGTCAGGGCGGGTGGGGGAAAGACGAACCACGAACGCGGGGGGACGGAGACCGCAGGGGCTGGTCAGGGGGAAAAAGCTGGTCAGGACGCAACAAATGGCTCCGCGCCTCCTTACGAATGTCCGGGAGGGGGGAAAAGAAATCGTTCCTGCTCCGGAAAAAAATCATGAAATCTTGAGCCAATAGCTTGTTATTCGTAGAAGGAAATTTGTTGTAAAAATTTATCTATCGGTTCTTCTTTTGATCAGGATTTTCAATTTCGTGCAGATGTGTACAGGGACGCATCCCCCATTCCTGCAGAGACCCACATCATCCCCTCCCCTCCCCTCCCCTCCCGTCCCCTCCCCGGGTCCCCTCCCCCCCCTCCCCGCCCTCCTCCTCGCGCACCTGGGCAGCGCGGCCCCCGCCCCGCCCCTCATGATGGCCCCCGCCATGGAGCCCAAGTGGGGCCAGGCCACCCGCAACCAGTTGGAGTAGAGCCCCTTGGTCAGCGTGTAGTGCATGAAGAAGTTGGAGGCGGTTGGGAGGGCTGCGGGCGGGAGGAGAGGGGGAGAGGGGGAGAGGGAAAAGTTAGGGACACGGTGCAGGACTGGCTGCACAGAACCGACGAGGTGCGGGTGCGTTGGAAGGGAGGAAGGACGGTTGGCGCATTGCCCCGCGCAAGGGGTTGGTAGGGAAGGTACCGTGTGCGCGGCGTGTAATGTCGTGTTGTGTCATGTCGTGTACTGTCCGTACCCTTATGAGCCTGCGCTGTGAGGAGGAGGAGGAGGTGCGCTGCTGAGGGTCTGCTGTTCACGAGGAGCTGCTGTTCCCCAGCCCCCCGTCCCTCTACGCGAGTAGGGACCCCCCCCTCTGCGCCCTCCCGCACTGCCAGGCCCGTGTACCACGCACCCACCCACCCGTGCCGATCCGCAGTAGCAGCTTCCCCGGGTCCTGCAGGTAGGCCCCCAGCTGCTGGAACATGCCGCCCCCCACCACCGCCCCCAGGAACATGTTGAGCAAACTCCACCAGAAGAACCACCGACTCATCTGTCGGTCCATGGCGGGGAGGGACACACACCTGCGCCAGGGAAAGGGGGAGCGGGCGGGCGGGAAAGGGAGGGGAGGCAGCAGCGGGAGGGAGTACTGTGTACGCGTCAAGGCCTCATGGCTGCTCATCTCCATACCCTGGCCCTCTGTCTCTCTCTCTCTCCCCCGGCCTCGATTCCTCCCACCCGTGCTTCTCATTTCTTCCCATCCAACAGACGCCTACATACGCACACACACATACACATACACAGATACAGACACAATACAGGCACAATACACAGGCACAATACACAGACAGACAGACAGACAGACATCCTTCTAACCTGCTCTGAATGGCGGACAGCAGGTACAGCACCATGGGCAGCACCCAGGCGTTCCAACCCAAGGAGATCAGCGCCGGCAGCAGCCCCGTCAGCAGGCTCCTAGCCAGCCGGGCGTACAGACTGTGGGAGTCCCGGCGGTTGCAGAACCACGGCCAGTACAGCGCGTTGAGCTGGGGCGTGCCGCCACACACGGCCACTGGCAAGTTGGCCAGGGCGCCAGTGAGCACGCCTATGGGGAAGACCAGCACCGCCAGCAGAGGCAGGGAGGCCAGCAGGCGGGCGGCACGGCCGGTGGGCAGCGTCCACAGCGCAGGCCAGTACACTGAGTCGGGTGGCGGGGCTGTGGGGAGGAGGCGGGTGGAGGGGGGAGGAGGCGGGTGGAGGGGGGAGGAGGCGGGTGGAGGGGGGAGGAGGCGGGTGGAAGGGGGAGGGGATTACATGATCTAGAAGTCCTAAGGCAAAGAAACGACTGCCGGCGCCCAAAACGCCAAGGCGGTTAGGCGGACGGCGGGCGAAAAGGAGAGGGGTTTCGGAGTGAAGTGAGAAACAGGGAGTGCGTGCGGGGTGTTGAGGGATGGACATACATATCTAGACGCATGGTAAAACGTGGTTATGACAGGAAGTGCTGTGTAGAATTGCGGGAATGCGAAATCGTGGAGATGGAAGCTTGCGCAGGAACGGAAGTGTGCCCGCCTCATACCTCTATTTACCTGCACATGCCCGGAAGTGCAGCGGCTGCGCCCGACTGGGGGGCGCCAGCGGGCTGCATTGCGCCGCCACCGCAGCGTCACGCTGTGAGGAAAACAGCGCAATGTAGGCCCGCCGGGTGGGGCTGCGCAGCGCTCGGGCTCGCTCCAATAGGATGCGGTCCTGCAGCCGCCGTACCGCCGCCGCAGCCCGGCGGATCGCTGCCGTGTGGGTGCTGCCCGGCGGCGGCAGGTCCGGCGGCGCCGGCAGCGGCTGAAACCCCCCTGCCGCCGCCGCTGACGCACCGGCGGTTGCGCACGCCGCGGCAGCGGTGGAGGACGATCCGGCGGTTCCTGATGGCAAGGAAGAGGACGAGTCGGCGGCCGTGGAGCGTACGGCGACGTGCGCCGCCAGCAGCGCCCCCGCCAGGTTGCCCATGGCGGCAGTCCACTGGAACAGCAGCTCGTCGACGGCCTGAAGATATCATACACCACATTGCCGTAGGACAGAGAACACAGAAAAGAACGGAGTCCATTACAGCAGACATGCCAAACAGCCGCCTTGGCCTTGGCTTCATTATGGGCGCCGATCTGATCTGATAAAACATCAAAGTGGCGTGTTGATTGCCTTAGGTTTTTGACTTATTTCGGCACCGGCTTCGGCATGGACATTGATGTTGCGGGTTCTGCTGTTTTCCTGTGTTCCAATCCTCCACCAATCCTCCTAAAGCCTTTCGGGAGTTTAGAAAGTAAGCGGGGGGTTTCCTGCGTGCGCGTGCATCATGTCAAAACACCTGGTGGGGTATCCAGCGCCATTCCTTGTCTAAACCGGGTCCCAACTTCTACCGGTTGGTGGCCCGCCAGATAGCCACTTAGCCAGCAGCAGCGGTGGTGGTGGTGGTGGTGGTGGTGGTGGTGGCTACCTGGAAGAGGGAAGGTGCCGCTGGCGGCGCGCACCCAGCACCCAGCACTAGCCGAACCAGCGAGTCCTGGGCCCCCACATTCCTCACCCTGTGGCTGCACACAGGCACCAGTCGCTGAAAGCTATCCGGGAACAGCTGTGTGTAGTACGCCGCCACCGCGGCGGCCTCCTCGCTATCGTCCCATGGCACCTCCATCAGGGGCGGCGGTGCGGGCGCAGCACCGCTGCACGACCCACGCGCCGGAACGCCAATGGTTGTCCCAGCATCCGCCGCGGCGGGCCCAGACCCCAACCCCCGCACCCCGCCTCCTCCTCCTCCTCCTCCTCCGGCTGCTGCTGCTGGTGAAGCCGCAGGTGATGGTGAAGCTACTTCTTGGTCCACCAGGTGACTGGGGGAGCGGAAACCCACCAAGGCGTCTGGAGGTCCCGGCAATGGCGCCTTGTCCTCGCTCTGGCGCACGTCCCCATCCCCAGTACCTTCCCCCTGTTCCACACTACGCCGCGTAAAGGCAGTGGACAGCTCCACTGACTTTGCGTTGTACGGCACCTCCGTCATGTGGTCCACAGTGCCAGCAGCTGAGGCAGCAGCAGCTACACCGCCACCATCCAACCCAGGCGTCCGCACTGACTTCCGCTGCCGGTCATGATGATCGTTGTGTTTTGAAGGGTTTCGGAGCTCCCGTACCATGAGGACGGCACGATCCCGCAAGGGCAGGTCGCTTGGGGGCTGCAGCAGCGGCCGGTGGCGCCGCGGCCTAGGCAAGCCGCCATGGCCACTGCCGCCACCGTCACCTGCATCGACCGCCAACAGCGGGTTGTGCTCACCATCACTCCCCCCGCTGTCGCCATCGCCTTGACTGCCTCCATCGGAGCCCTCCGCCTCCTCAGCAGCGCACTTGGACCCGGAGCAGCCTCGCCCCGCTTCCCCTCTCCACCTATCTCCTCCCCTCCCTTGGCCTTTCCCTTGACTGCCGCCCCCCTCATCCCCACTGCCGCCGCTGATGCTGCCGTTACAGCTACTCCTCCAGCTTGTTCCTTGGGCGCTGCGCCGCTGGCCGCCCAGGCGCCGAGAGTCACCGCCGGGAGGCGGGTGTTGCTTCTGCTCCTGCTGCCGGGGAAGAGGACCCGCGGGGTACGCAACCCCAAGCCCACCTGCCGCTTCTTCCCTCGTTTCGCGAGCACAAGCGCCGTCGCCGTCGCCCCATTCGATGTCGCCCCGTACATATCGTCGTGGTGCCCTGTCCCCACCGTAGTGCTCTCCTCCTCCTCCTCCTGCTCCTCCCTCCGTGGAGGACCGCAGCACCGGCATGCCGATCAAGTTGAACCGCTCCACGGGTCGGAGCACTACGTCGCGGATCAGCACCGCGTAGTGGTGGCAGTTGACCAGATGGCTGCGGCCGCCGTGACGAACCTGACGGGCGACAGACCAACATCATCAGTAACTCATCGTCATCATCGCCATCGCTACCGTGGGCGCATGGAGGGGCACGAGGGGGGATTATGCGCGATCCAAAACTCAGAAACAAAGAGAAGGTGAGGATGTGTGGGTGGGTGGATTCATTGATGGATGAGGGGTCGGCCGCGGTCGGCAATGTGTAAGGCCAGAGAATGGCCTTACATAAGGAAGTGTCTTACGAAGGGAAAAGCACCTGCAGAGTACGCGGCGCTGCGATAGTGGTGCATATATTACATGTATTATACGTATATTACACGGCCGGCATGTGAGGACGACAAGGAGGGCGTGATCCTTGGCTGCAGAATTGAAGGCTGTCTTCCCAGCAGCAACCTGATCTGGAAAGGGAAAGATCGAACACGAGCAACAACACAGCGTGGAAAATGTGAGCAAGGACCGGAACGGCCATCATCAGGTTTTCAGGACGTGCCGGGTCTGTACCCTCTGCCGGGTCTGTACCCTCTGCCGGGTCTGTACCCTCTGCCGGGTCTGTACCCTCTGCCGGGTCTGTACCCTCTGCCGGGTCTGTACCAAGCCATGCCGTCTCCACAGCTTTCCTGCCAGTCTTTGCCCCCAGGTCCGTGTCCCCAGGTCACGAGGCTGCCGTTACCCATCTGCACACGTCTTCTCATGCGCGCGTGTGTGCGTACGTGCGTACCTTCATGAGCTGCCGCAGTCGCGCATTGCAGCGCCCCACCGCCAGGGGCTGCTGTTGCCACCCCGTCCATGGACGATCGCCATCCCCACCCTCGCCATCCTCCTCCTCCTCCTCCTCCCCATTCCCTTGCCCAGCCAGCTCATCGCAGCTGCCTCCATCATCGCCCGGGCGCATGCGGTGACGTCCGGGCCCCGGCGTAGTGGCACAGCTCCCAGGCTCCGCTGCAGCGTTGCCGCCACCACCACCGCTGCCACCGCCGGCTGCGCCACCACGGCTGCCTTTGGATACGCCGCCAGCATCGTCCTGCGCCCTGGAAGCAACACGAGCGACACCGTACGGCCGGCCCAGACCAACGCAACCACCACCACCACCGCTGGCATCAGCGCTGCCGCCCGTGCTGTCCACCGCTAGCGCATCGAAAACGGGGTTGGTCATGGATTCGAAGCCCAGCGGAGTGCGCGGGCCCTGCTGCCAGGGCGCCTGGCGGCGCTGCCGCCGCCGCAGGTCCCTGCAGAAGCACCGCTGCTCCGCTGACGGTGCCCAGTACCGGTACACCGGCGGGGACTGGCGGCTCTTGCTGGTATTGCCAGCGGCTCCAGCTCCACTACCCGCACCCACGCCGGGGCATTTCCGTGCCGTGGGTGCAGAATCATCACCCGCGGCCTTCCCTCGTGCTATTTGACAGGCCTGGCTGCCACCAGACGATCCCGCACCCGCCGAAGCCGCAAGCCCGCCTGCAGCCTGCTTGGCCCCCCCCTCAGTCTCTAACCCAGATGCCGATGCCGACTCTCCTTGGATGCTCTCGCCACCACAGGCAGATCCTCCGGACTCGCTTATGCCGCACCCGCCGCCGCGACTCCCCCCGCCACTAACGCCACCGCGGCGGTGGGAGCAGCCTGGCGCCGCCGTCGTCGCTTTGGCCTTCGCATCCCCGCCGCCTCCCGGCCCCAGCCAGATGCCCAGGCTTTTAGCCAGCTCGCGCACGCTCTCGCTCCAGTCGACGTGCGCCCTATGGCCGCCGGAGCGCCGCCAACGTGATTCCGGTTCCATGACATCCTCCGCACGACCCGTCAGCGCCATCAACATGTCCTCTGACGCCACCAGCAAGCCGCCGTACACTGCCGTGTCCGCCGGCGGGCGGCCCGACGCCACGGGCGGCAACGACGGGTCTGGGTCGACGTCGGCCGCCAGCTGCTGGCGAGCCCAGTCTTCCCGGTCCTTGGCCAACATCTGAAACGGACATAGATGCGGGTACTGATATACATGCGGGAAAGAGAGCCCATGTGGATGAGGGTTTTGGCCGGTGCATAGGAAAAAGGAAAAATAGGTTCAGGAACGTGTCACAGGTGTCATTTGTGAGGTGTACATCGCCTGCCCCATGCCATACCCTGCCCAGCCTCAGCCTCAGCCACAGTCTCAGGCAGCTGCTCACCCTAAGGGGATTCACCCAGGCCAGAAGGTTATCCGCCGCCTTGCTCCGTTCCGCCCGCTCCACAGCACTGATCACCACGTGTCGCAGCCAGGGCGCCACCAGCCGCAACCGCACACGCAGCGGCATTGAACCAGGAGCGTACGGCGCCCGCGGCGCCACCTCCGCTGCCACAGCTTCCGCCGCCGCGGGTCCCACGGCGGCAGGATCGTACGACATACGTGCGAGCCCAGCTGCGCGCTGAGCTGCGGGGCCCACAGATACGGTCACTGGCAGGCCAGCGGCTGCGGCCTGGAGGCTGCTGCTGCTCAGGTTCGGCCGCAAGCACTCCGCAGCGGGACCGTGCGGGTCGTGCCTGTGCAGCCCTGTGACGTGTGTGCTGTGGCTATGGCTATGGCTATGGCTGTGGCTGCGGGTGTGTATGGGCGGTAAGGCTACCATTCCATCACTGCCGCGGCTCCACGTCATGCTGAAGGAGCCGGGCCGCGGCGGCGCCTGACCCACCAGCCCCGCCGCCTCTGTCCCCAGCAGGTGCTGTAGAGAGGCGGAGCTGCCAAAAGTGCTGCATGGCATGGAAACGGCCGCGGCGGCCGCGGGCTCATCCCGCTTTTGGCAGCCTTCAAGCGTGTGCGCTCCCCGGGGTCCGCCGCCGCCTCCACCGCCGCTGCTGTGGGGTGTCCTTTGTCGGCGAGGGGGCTTGCGGTCCGGCTGCTGGTAATGTTGGGCGCCCGCCGCGTCTAGACACAACATGTACGCCATCCGTAGCTCCGCGTAGCTCTGTGACGACGGCAGGCGGGCAAACATGCGAAGGAGAGAAACCGCGCCGGCCCATATGGCCCGGTGGGGCCCCCCGCCCGCCCACCGAGAAAGTAAGAAAAAGAGCACCACCGCATCCCTCCGCACCGCACGAACCGCGCGCACAGAGACGAGACCCAGATGTGCGTATAGGGCAAACACACCGTCCTTTCCCCGTGTCCGGTCTTCGCGGTGGACCCATGATGGAGCTCTTCCTTCCTTCCCTAGCCGGCCCCGGCCCCCCTTCCCCCCGGCCCCCCTTCCCCCCGGGCCCCCCTCCCCCCTAGGGCCCCCCCGACCTGGCAGTGCACCAGCAGCACCCAGCAGCAGTAGGCGATCACCAGGTAGGTGGCCGCCGCGGGCAGCCACAGGATGGCGTGGCCGGGGGGCAAGTTGGAGATGGTGGTGCGGGACAGCTCAGCCACATTGGTGCCCCGGTGCAGCCGGTGGGTCACCACGTCGTCGAACGAGTAGTACGTGGGTAGCACTGCGGAACGAGTGCAGGCAGGACACCGGGGAGAAAAGGGGGGAAACGCGGGGGAACGCGCGCGCGCACAAAGGAATGAGGGCACCCGGGCATCACGGCGGGAAAGAGGAAGTCCGTGAGGTTCCTCCTGGGAAGCGGCACCAGCGCCACTCGTGCCTTTCCTTTCTCTCCTTCCTCTTAAAACCTTTTAAAACCCGGAGATGCGAGCACGGGGGTATTAAGCGGCGAGAAGTATCAAGTTACTGTAACAGCGACATTGAAGCGACGACCGCGGCCCCGTTCGCTCGCACTCATCGGAACCATGCCGCGCTGGCCTGTGAGTGCATAGCACACTACCGGGCGTGCCCTGGGGGCGCGCGAACCCGCCTAGACCCCACTTACGTATTCCCAGTGCTAGCACGGTCAGCACGGAGAATATTTGCAGACCCATTAGGATTGTCCGGTTGAGAAGCTGCGGCGGAAGGGAAGAGCGGTTTGTTGCCGGTTGGTCAGGAGGCCGCAGGTAAAGATGGGTAGAAGGGTGCGGCAAAGCTAAGCAAGCTGGCTTGCTGGAGCGCTGCAGCGCCCGACGCTGCATTGACAGTTCGTGAGCCGGGGTTGGGCTATAGCTGCGGCTGCTGCTAGGCAGCAACATAGCAGCTGATCGATTGCCTATCTCAAATCCGCTGCTCGGATAGCTCTTCCGTTCCGTGATCAAGTACAAAAAATACATGCCCATTTTCCCTCGAGGTGCCCTTTCGCTCCTCCGGTGTGAGCGGGCAGGGGCAGGTTTTGGATCTGGGTCGGGGGCGGCCGCAGCTCACCAGCGCGTCAAATCCCGCCGTACGCACGATGTCTGTGTCCGACATGCACATGACCGAAGTGGCCCATGACCAGGCCTGCCGCAGGCCCCCAAGCAGCAGCTGGGGAGGCTGCAAGAACAGGTCAGTGAGCTCCTGGGGCACGGGGCAGGTGAGTGCGCAAGGTGAACGGAAGTGAGTCGCGGGGACGGGACCGATAGGGGATTTTGGAAAGGGCCACGTAGCCTGTGGGGAAGGGGTAAGCAGTCACCGTGCGTAGGGGAACACCCCGGCATGGCGGCGGAGGAAGCCCAGGTAGTAGCAGCAGCAGCAGCAGCCGGCATGTGGAAGGACGGAATGTAAGACACTCGGCAGGGGGGCTTTTTGTTTAGGCGTGATGATCAGGCTTAATATTATACGGGCTACGGTGGGCTTTGCAGTTCATAATGCACGCAGCAGACAAAGAATAGTGCCGGTAACGCTACCAAACCCCGCCCCGAACTCGTTACCAGAACTCACCCGCCGGCGCTGGTAAACTCCCCCCACGCTCCTTAGGGTACCACGCATGGATATAAAGGCGAGCAGCGAGACTGCGCCTAGGATGAAGTTTAGGATGGCGCTGCGCAAAGGGGCGTGTCGGTACCGTGTCGGCACCGTGCTCGCGAGTATGCTACCAACTGAGGCACGCACCTTGCTTTGAGCTGGGTGTCAGAGACGACATACGGAAACTCGAATGCCGTGTGCCCATTGCTCACGTTCATGGTCATCTTTGCGGAGTTGCCTAGCTTAACCAGGTCAGCATGTCGTTATGCAGAGGAAAAATAGTGTATCAGAGCTTTGGATTTGCTTCAATACGAAATAAACGTGCTCAGCTGTCTGTCACTCAAGATTATGGAGTTGCTGCCATTTGTGGCAGGGCGAAATAAAGGAACAACTGCATAACCATATACGCGTAATCATTCTTATCTAGATTTAAATCGGAAAGCAGGTCACGCCCCGTGTTTGACCCTATGTCACGCTTCAACGCCCACATTATAGATTTCTGCGCTTAATCTCTAATTTCAGCGGACGCGCCTTGATCACCATGGAAAGCTGAAGGTGGCCTTCCAGAGCTGTGCAGTCTTCGGGATACCGTGCCGTGCTGTACATGTACAGCATGCGTGCTGTGCGTTGAACAAGAACAACAGGAAGTGTGCTCCGCCCATTTTAAAGGTAAGACTTGACACTGTTACATGCCTCCTTACAATCTTCCTGTTTCCAGACGAGCAACCGGCAGGATGCGCCCTCCAGTTCCCAGTGAAGCAAAACGATAGGTCTTCCTAGGGCTGAGGCAGCCACCTCTCTGCCTGGACAAGGCTAGCCGGAGACATTGCTGCGCAGCCCAAGCAAGGCCCTCCCTCAAGACAACGAGTTCCATCCTGTTCAACCTGATTTACGAAGACCTAAATGGACCCCTTCTCCCCCCGTACAATTTTCACGTTTTCTCATTGCTCCCAAACCCTGCTGTGATGTATAATTTAGCTTTCCTAGCATTGTGCATTCCTCAGTTTCTGCCCTACCTTCAAATTTGAACTGTATAAATTAAGGACTCTGCAAAGGCTCTGCACTCACGCCTGCTAGCCTATTACCCGTCTCAGCCGCTTCGCACTTTGTCTGCCCTTACTTAGCTGTCACATCTCCCAACTGCTTCGGTCACGTCTTTTCAGACTTTTCACTCCACGCTTTAGCCCTAATCTCCTTAATAGGCACATTTTCATGTGCCGCGCACGCCAAACCTCCTCCCCACGCCACTCCCCCCTCTCCCCTTATTCCACAAGTTACGTATACCTCGGGGCGCCGACTCCCCCCTGCCCCTGCTCCTTCTGCGCAGGAACCCGCTGGCCAAAGCCTCGCCCTCCGCCTCTCCCACCAAGCCCAGCACCCATCAAGCCAGCATCCGAACCGCCAGCAGCCCGTCCAGAACCCGCAGCTGCTTCCCCACCACCACCACCACCACCGCCGCCGCCACCGTTCCCGCTGCTGCTGCGACCGCCGCCGCCCCTCCCGCCGCCACCCCCCCGGCCCCGGCCCCCGCCGCCGCCCCTTCCGCAGACACCCTGAAGCGCCGATGCTACAACCGCCGCTGCAGCAGCAACGTCCGAGGAGCACGACTCTCTGGGCTGTTGTTGCTGCTGCTGCTGCTGCCGTTGCATATGCCGCGGTCGCTGCGGCTGCAGCGGCAATGACACAGCTTCCCCACGCCCTGACGCATCCGCTCGTCCCGGGGCACCTGCCGCCGCCACGTCCGCCACCACAACAGGCCCCGCCGTTTCCTGGACTGACCCTGATCCGGACCTTGACCCCGAACCATGCCTGCGGCTTCCGTCCTCCTCTTGCTGTCGCTGCTGCTGTTGGTGCTGGTGTCGGCGTTGCTGGGGGCCTCCTCGAAGTCGCTGGTGCTCGCCGGGTGTCACCACCGCACCATCACTACCCCCACCTTCCCCTGGCTGCGTTCCTTCCTCAGCTGCTGGTGCTGCTGCCACCCGCAGTGGCGCCGCCGGCCGGACGTCTCCATTCCGCTGCTGCTGCTGAGGTTCCTCCGGCTCAGGTTGGCGGTGCGACCTCGGCCCCGGCTTAGAGTGCCGGTGATATCGCTGCTCCCCTTGCTGTTGCCCCTGTTGCTGTCCTCGCTGGTGTGGCTGCTGCTGCCGCGGGCGGCAGTGGCCACTGCCACGAAGGTGATGGTGACGGCCCTTCCATCGGGTTGCGTCACTTGCCTCCGGTGCCATCCCCAGCTGCTGCCCCTCGCCCTGCTCCTGCTCCCGCTCTCCCACCTGCTCCCCTTGCCCCTGCCCCTGACTCTGACCCTGCGCCGACTCCGACCCTGGCATCCACCCCGCAATGGAGTAGCAAGCTGACTCGATGAGGCCCCCCGCCGCCCGCTGCCTCGCCAGCAGCGCCGCATGCCGAGTCTGCACCTCCCGGTAGCTCTCCAGCTCAGCGGCACTCAGCCTGTGCTGAGGACGGTGCTGCTGCTGCTGCTGCTGGTCCTGGTGGTTCTCCTGGGAGACCTCCAAGCCGCGGACGCCGCTGCTGCCCCGTCCGCCGGGGGGCCCGTCCGCCGGGCCCTCCCTGTCCTCTTCATCCCCCGACCACACACCTCCTGGCGGTCGGTGCTGCCCATTCAGCTCCGGTCCGGGGCACTGGGCCGTGCGCCGTGGGCCGCCACCACCTCGTTGATGGTGGCGGTGATGTCCCGAGTACCGGCTGGCACTGCCACCGCCGCCACTGCATGCGGTGGCGGTGGCGGCAGCGGCGGCCGTGCTCAGGAGTTGGTTTCGGAGCTGAGGTCCCAGGCTGTCCAGGTGTGCGGGTGCCCGGCAGACGGGGCAGCTGGTTTGGTAAACTCCATACTCGTCACGTTGCGGCAGGTCTTGCTCCTGTGTGTGTATGTGCATGCGTATGTAGGTTTTGGGGGGGTCCGGGTGTTCAAGAACCCTACGCTCCATGTCTCCCCCATTGCGCCACTTCGCTGCTTCGGCCCCCTACCCATCAGCCACCCGGACCATCACCCGCTAGCCGCCAGCCGCGCGTCAGCAGGGTCCCCCCTTCCCCCCTCCCGCCACACTCACCTTGAGAACGGACGCCGCTGAAGCCCCCGTGTGGTTCACCAGCTCCCGCTCCTGACGCTCCAGGGAGCGCTGCCGCCAGACCCACCAGGAGGTGTAGCAGCTCCTGCTAGGTCAGGGCGGCGCGGGGGACAGAGGCGGAACGACGAAGCACGGACGATTGGCGGAAAGAAAACACCAAAAAGACGGATATTCCAAGGTTAGATCAATAACTTAGGACAATATGCCGAGGGGTTACTACGAGGGTAGAAGGACGTAGAAGCCGCGGACCTGGACGTGGATTCACACGTTTGGGGTCGTTGATGAATCGATATGTGTGAAATGAAAGGTACCCCTAGGGGGAAAAGGCATGAGGTGAGGTGAGGTGAGGTGCGGTAAGGTGCGCGGCAAAACAGGCGCAGGCACGACGAGCACGTAAGGGGGCCTGGAGGGGAGCAGGCACAAGCAGCTAGTCAGGGGCAGTCGGTAACATCACTCAGGTCGGTGGGTGCCAGGTACACGCGGACGACGGGGTGCAAGGTAGCTGGTGGGCAGTGGTGATAGGTGCTGTAGGGACTGTCCAAGGCCCCCCCAAAACCCCCATTACTCTACCCCCACTGCCACTGCCATCCCACGGCATCCCACTACATCAAGTATGCCGTACAAGATTTGGTCCCCATGTAATTGCCGTACCCTACCTGTGAAATGCGTGATAGCACGGTAAGCGCACCAGCAGAGAGGGGGCTGAGGCCTGCTGGTCCGTAGGGTTGTGCGCCTCGCCTGTGTCCTGATTAGGATACGGTCCGGGGGGCTCCAAGGTGCACAGACAGAAGGCACACAGGCCTGCAGGGTGCAGGGTGCGGGTTTTCGGGGAGGGAAGGGGAGGGGGAGGGGGAAGTAACATGGCGGATGGCGGTACGGGAGGAGTGGGGGACAGGCGGGATAAGAGGTATGCGGTATGGATATAGTTGGAATCTGTGGGAGTGGGAGGTTGGAATGGGGTGTGGGCGCAGAGGAGTGGTGGGAAGCAAGTTGGTGCTAGGCGGGGATTATGGTGTTGGTGAGAAGCTGTAATTTACCAGACGCTAAGCTAATCTTACCTTCTGGGCGATTCTGCTCGGTCACCCAGTCAAGTGCGTGCTCGCACAGCACTCCCAGCGCCATCTCTCCCGCCAACGTGGATGCCTCCTCACATAACCGCTGGCTTAGAAGTGCAATCCTTTGGTCACCTATTCCCTTAGCATCTGTCAACTTAACTTGCGGACTAACGTCGGGATAACCCTGCGGAACCCAGATTCGCAAGACACCCGAGACGTAAGCATCGTGCGGTTCAACGCCGCGCGGTGCCAATTGAAAGGATATTGTAACAGAGATTTTATCATCCTCTTTTGGCTTTTCTATTGTGAGTTCATTGGCATAGATGGCTGCAAGAGCCTCAAGCTCAACCTCCAAAGCGCCATCCATCCGGGGTGCAGCTTCTTCCAAGCGATCTGTAAGAATTAGATTGTTGTAAAGGTACTGCATAAACCGTAATCATAATAATCCTCATGTAGACCGTTTTCCACGTACGGCACAACCGCTCACATTGAACCGCTCGTCGTCACGTCGTATGTAATCTGGACACGATGCAGAGCATAAGGCACTGATACCGAATGGCGCCATACTCAGAAGTCGACCTCAGGGCTCCCTCATGCTAGTGTACGATCTTGGAACTTTGGACTGTGCTACCAACACGATTTTCGACCTGTTTCGCATGTCCAAACCACAGCCGCCCTAGTATAGCAGCGCTGCAATGGATTCAGTTGCGAAAATGGTGGAATCCATGCTGGAAGGCGAGGACGAGGCGGAGGAGGTAGACAAGGGACTCGTGCCGTACGTCCAGGTCCTGCAACGATGGAAAGTTTGGCGGGACAACGTCCCGATCTTCTATTCGACATGCGTGCTGTTCACAACCCCATGGCCAAGGTAAACACAGACCCCGGAAACAGCTTTAATGCAAGCACGAGAGCTGCAGAACGTCCCTTTTTGCGTCATCTCGGCAAGCGCTTGGCGCAACCACAAGCTACGGCCTCAAGGTTTTCAATCCTACGCCATGCAGACATACAGACTAACTCATACCTTTCTGTATGCTCTGCCCTTCCATTTAAAGCTAATCGCCCATTGCATCCCGCCTTCCGTCTTCACCGTGAACCCCAACGCATCGACCCTCCACACTTGCCGTGGGCGTCCTCGGTACGTGCCAGCGCCTCGACAACCCTCCCCCGACACACGCACACACACATACACATACACACATACACACATACACACATACACACATACACACATACACACACACACACACACCCCGGCCCCCCCTTCCCCGCCACGATCTCACATTCCCCTGGCTTTACTCCCGTGACTCCCGTCGTCGTGCAGCCACACGGTGCAGCTATACCCGCACGTCCGCCGGGAGCGCGACGCGGACGGCCTGCTGCGGCATGCCGTACTGTACGGCAACCGTCGGGACTCCGACGACATGCCGGTTGTGGTACTGGCAACGGTCTTGGTGGACGATAATCCGGGTCATCTTAAGCAGCCCTTGAGCCTGCCGACGATGATGCCGTACACTGAGCCTGTTGAAGAAATTTGCAGTTTTCCCCATCCCCCTGGCCACGTCGACCGGGTGAGATGCAGTCCCCCCGCGAGACCGAACCTGGTGGCGGTCAAATGCGACGGAACCGCGCTGAGCTTGTACGACATAGGGCCCGCGCTGGCGCGGATTCGTGCCGGTGACGTGGAGGGAGCCGCGGCGGGCGATGATGGTGACGATGATGTGGATGGAGAGGGAGGAGGAGGGGAAGACGGCGGCGATGGGGGATGCGGGGGGAGAGGCAACGGGGCGCGGCGGACCGGAGAGCGCGGGAGGGTTGGAATAGAGGGGAGTGGCGGCGACGGCGATGACGGCGGCGACGGTGACGGCCTGGTCAGCGTACTGGACTCGGAGGTACAGGAGGGCGTGTCCCTCACATGGGCGGACTCCGGAGCTGGCGGCGGCGGCGGCGGCGGCGGTCTGAGGCTCTTCAGCGGCTTGCGGGGTGGCGGAATCGGCGAGTACGCCGTACTGGAGGACGGAGCCTGGCGGAGGTGACTGTACGGCGCGGCGGTCATGATGGTGATGCAACAGTGGTGGATCTAGCATGGGGTGGCTGTTGCGTTGGCCAAGACCAGTCGGAGACTGGGCCCGGCGCCGCCGCCGCCGCCGCCGCCGCCGCTGAAGCAGAGGCTGTGGCGGCGCCAGCTATGCTGGCATCGGCTGGTACCGATGGTCGTACACTGCTTTGGGATCCACGTCAGCGCCAGCCCGCGCTGCAGGCGCCTAGATGCCGACGGGACGTCAACGCCGTCGCCTTCGCACCCGCCGCCGCTGCAGCAGCGGGCGCAGGCCCGCTGCTCGCCAACGCCGGGGACGAAGGCATCATCCGAGTGTACGATATCCGTATGCTCGGCGGCGGCGGCGGCGGCGGTAGCGCCGCCGGGCCTACGGCGGTGCCAGCGCCGTTGCATCGCCTCACTGGCCACAACTGCCAAGTACAGCAACTGTCGTTCAGCCCTCACCTCGCGCAGCTGCTGGCGGCGGCAGACGAGCAAGGCCGGGTGTTGCTGTGGGAGCTGGGCCGGGTCGCCCATTCTGAAGAGGGGCTCGCCACGCGGCCAGAGCTGCTTTTCGCGCACGCCGGGCACGCGCTGCCGGTCGATGACATCAGCTGGAGTACGGAACTGTACGGCACGCTGGCCTCAGTGTCGGGTTTCATTGACCCGGCGGTGGTGGCGGCGGCGCGGTCGTATCCGGGCGCGGAGTCCGATTTGCCGCAGCCGCCGGCGGGTGTACAGGTCTGGCGGCCAGCTGGAGATGTACTGCCTCCGCCGCCGTCGAAGACGCCGACGGCGGCGAAGGCGAAGGCGGTACGGCCGAAGGCACCGGCCGTCCCCAACCGTAACGGCCCCTAACGGGGCTGACGGCAGAGGCGGTGAAATGATAAGTTGGAATCTGGGGACGCAGCACAAAAATACACAAACCCAAGCCGCGTTCTTGAAGTACGACCAGGAGTACGAACGTACGGAGTACGGCGCTTAGCCGTGAAGACTTTTCCTTTATGGAGACCATATTAAACCTGTATGAACGCGGGATATACGTGTGTGTGTGGGGTGGGGGGTGGGGGGGGAGAGGGGTTCCGGGTCCTGAGGGTCCCGGAGCTCTCCGGGTGGAGTGCGAAACGAAACGGGAACGGGGACGGGGGGCTGCTCACCGTTGGTAGCTATTTCAAAACTTTTCCGGTAGGAGGTCGTACGGCAACCTCGTCATCATGAGGCCACTATTACCACCGTCACCTGGGTGTATCGTGGGCCAGAGGCGATTGCTGTTGAAGCTGTCAGACGATTGCGATTCTCTGTTGCCTATGATCTGCTGCTGGTGGTGATGGTGGTCTTGTTGGCGGAGAAAAGGGAAGGGAGGAGGACGAGGGCGTCAGCAGCGGTGTTCGATAGGGTGACGATGATGACGAGGAGGAGGAACATGAACGGACTGCATCTGTTATACATTTTCTCCTGTCCAATATCCCCATGCCTCACGTGGTAATAGTTCGACGATTGGTCTACTTGAACGCCTCAGGCCGTCGCGCCCTTTTCGCAAGCAGCGCCTTGTGAAAAACGAATACACATTCGTACTGTCGTAACAGTACAACAAGTCTATTTACATCCGTATAACAGAACGGTTCCATCCGGACAGTATACAACGCCGTACGGCACGACGCATTACGAAAGCCGTACATAAAACACCACGGATTTGAAAATTATTCACGAGCACCGGGGCCAGCTGGCCATATCCATACTCCACCACCACGACCCGTCCGGAGGGACTCAAAAGAAGCAACAGTAGCCCACCACATTCCCAGGGCCTTGCGACGGGAGGGACATTTTTAGGATGCTGATAGCCTGGTAGGCCCGCGCGTACATTGCGAAGGAGGACGACCAGCCAAGCCAACACAGCACCCGATGCGGCGGCCGAATTTTTTGGCAACAGAACAGCCAAAAGCAAAATGAACTTCACTCTCTTCTTCACCCTCCCCCCCAAATTAAATAAAGCGCAATGATGTTAATTGAAGTCCAGTTGGGTAGACACTCAGACAGGGGACAGACGCTCCGAAACCTGGACAGCGACATATATACATACATACATACAAACGGATCTCTAATCCTGGCCAAGGACGAGATGATTGGTCGAATGTGCAGATAGATATGTCTAAAATGACGCCATCATAACATAACAATTATTACTTTATCGTTGCGCTGCCTCACCTCCGACGGACCCTTAACTCCTAGCAGCTGCACCAGGCAGCAGAGCATATGATTAACAGCACGGAGATGACAGGACAGGGCCGGACCGCAGCCGCCGCCGCCACACCGCCGCCACAGCCGCAAAGCGACGGTCCAACACCATCATCTCCCCAAAGACGCGGCTCACATGGAGCTCGTACAAACCTCGTACAGGGGGTCGCAGCGAATGCCTGCGTGCTTGTCTTCCTTGCATACACACATATACATACACACACTTATACACAGACATACATCACACACATGGACGCCCCAACAGAGGACAGCCAATATACACACACACACACAAACGCACCCTCAAGTATCCGACATGGATTGTGCAGCGCCAACCCTTAACCACCGCTCCCCACAACCAACTACCAGCAGACTAACGACCAACCAACCACCATACGCAACAATAAATACAAAAGTTGTGCTCCAGGGCGAGAGCAGCTCCGCCCCCTCCCGCCCGCCCAAAAGGAAACCCTCTCCGACGTCGGTCGGTCCGCAACTGCCGAAACATGTCATCATATTATTATCATCATCTTAACATCATCATCGCCGTTATCCTCAACGACAGCAGCATCAAAGGGGGAAGCCCCGCAGGCAACCCAGGGCAACAGGTGACAAATACAGCAGCAGCAGCAGTAGCAGCAGCTGCAGCCCATACCTGAATGCCGTACAAACCCAAACCCAAGGTTCGCACATCAACGCAATGTTCAATATTATCACTCACTTTCACTCGCCTACAACACCGGGCCCCTCTCCGCGCACGCACCCTATCACCCGTCCTCATGTGACTGCCCACACAACAGCCCCCTCTCTCGGCCCCCCGTCCACTACGAGGATCTCCCCCGCCCCTACCTCCCCGTCTCTGTCTGTCTGTCTGTGTATGTGTGTCTCTCCCTCTCCCCCTCACCCTCACTCACCCGCCAACCGGTATCCCCTTGTCGTCCAGAAACAGAACCTCCCTCGCATGCACTGTGGCGGGGAGGAGGGCAACTCTAGGGTTTTGCCTCTTATTGACAATCCAACCTCCCTACTACTCTTCGCAGTCTACCCCACTCCCACATTTCTTCGCCCCTCTGTCCGTACTTCCCTTCCGTACAGCACCTCTCCCTCTTCCCACTCTGAAACCTTCTCGCCACTTACTTCCTCCAAATTCTGCTGCACGTCTCTTTTCCTGCGCCATCCCGCAGCTCACACAAACATAGATATACACACGCGCGCACTGCTCTACTCAGGAACTGAAGCAGGACGGCGATTATGACACCAGCACTCTGTCCGCCCAGCTGAGCAGCAGCTGCCGGCCAATGGCGGGAGCGTCCCGAACCACCTCTCCGACCAGCTTCTGCGGGTTGATGTCGTTCTGCACCAGCCGAAGCAGGTTGAGCACCTCGTCCAGGTGCAGCTTGTTGTCCTCCGTGAGCGCCAACATCAACTGCGAACGCGACAGAGAGAAGGTTCGTTGCTTTCATAGCTTTTAAAGGGTGAAAGAGAAGACGGAAAGAAAATAGAAAAACAAGGTACAGGTATTCGCCATGATAAAAGCCGGTCCGTAAAAGTTTTAAGATCACTTGAATTTGAATTTAGAACCGATATAAACCAAACAGCTATCAACACGATAGCTTAAAGTAAATTGGAATCGATATCTCTCTGTCTCACCTGCGTGCGGAGTTTCTCGTCGAGTAGCAGCACCCGCAATGCATCCTTGGCCGTATCGCTCAGGTCCAGACCGCCATCGCTGCTGCGGCTACTGCTGCCCTCCTTGGCCAGCTGTAGCAAGTTCTCCAGACGCTTCCACTGAAATTTGCCATCTTGGAACAGCACCTGCACGCAAACACACACATATACACGCACATGTATGCGTCGCGTGCGCGTGTGGGTGTACACGTGTATATGCGTATGTATGTGCGTTTGCGACAAGTGTTCAGGTACGCAATGAAAGCCGGTGGCAAGCTAGCGACCACATGTCGCAAGTCGCAAAGCAAACGCCAAGTGGCGGCACCCCCATCATCAATGATATTTTTGCAGCCTCCACACCAAAACACCCTTCCCCCCCTTAACAGGCCTTTTTCTCCCCTCCCCCCAGGGAAGGGAAGGGGTAAACAGCACCTCCGCATCCGCTCCCCTACCCACCCACCCCACCCCACCCCCCACCTGGAACAGCCTCTCCCGCAGCGCGGGGTCCTCGTCCGTAAGCAGTCTCCGCGCCACGTAGGGGTAGGCCACCTCCAAAAAGTGAAACTCGGGCTTCAGAGTCATACAAATACCCTCCTGCAGAGCAGAGGGGAAAGAGAGGAGGGGTTGGGGGGTTTAGGGCGGATAATAGATTGCGGGTAGGAGGATGTTGTGTGGGCTGTGTGGGTGGGACATTGACGAGTGTGGAAGTGAAAGGGTTGGGGGTGGGTGGTGGGGTGGTGGGGTGCTGGGGTGGAGGAGTAACGTTGAAGCTTTATACCAATACCCGGCGCCATCATCACAGGACACGCAACGCGACGCACGGCACGGCAACACGATACAACACAATACCACTGCGGGTTGCCCTCCCCCATCTCGTTGTGCGCTTCAAACACCTCTCCCCTCCCCGTCCCCCGTCCCCCAACCCCCCGCCCCCCTCCTTCCTCCGTCCCCTTCCCCCCCTTTCCCTACCGCCCCCCATCTACACACAAGTAGACAGCTCCTACCTGCGTCAGGAGCGACCTGATGACGAGCGAGTACCTCTCCGGGATGCGGATGGGGTACTGGTACACCAGCTCGTTGAACTTGGAGGTCACTGTACGGAAATTGAAATCCGCCAGGGACTGGCCCTTCGAGTCAGCCCAGATCTTCTCCAAGGCCGGGACTATGGGCTTGATGTCCGTACCTGTGAGCGTGGCGCGACGGCGGTGTGGATGGGGAATGTAAGCGGGGTGTGGAGGCGCGGGGGCAAAGGGGGAGGGGTGAAGGGGGGGGATGGGATTTTTATTTAGGGGTTTTCACATTCGTGTTGGGTGCGCCATGTCTTGTGACATACATACAGTCATGTGTTGTGTCTCCTACCGGGCGCTAGGAACCCCAGCTTGATGAAGTCCTCCGCCATGGCCGTGTAGTCCTCGTTGACTGCATGCACCACCGCGTCAATGAGCACCGCCTTGTTGCGTGCGGAGAGCTGGGCCACGTTGCCGAAGTCCACGTAGGCGATCCGGCCGTCCCGCAGGCAAAAGATGTTGCCGGGGTGCGGGTCGCCGTGGAACAGACCAAACTGCGTGTGTGCATGTGTATGTGTGGGGGCGGGGGTGGGGGGGGTGGGGGGTGGGGGTTTAAATGATCGGAGTGTACGAGTGTGTACGGGTGCAACGGTGCATGGGTGTACGGGGTTGAGTGGACGTGTCGGTGCAGGGCGATGTTGAGGGGTTCCAACATTCAGAAAACACACACGTCGGCAACACACACCCACCACGGGCGGAGGGAGGTCTCCCCCGGGGCCCTACCCCTCTCTTAACAGAAGGCCCAGGGGAAGCCCACCCCACCTTGACTGTCATCCCCTCCCCTCCCCTCCCCTCCCCTCCCTGCCGCATGTGGCCATTGCATCCCATGTTCAGGACATACATACAGATACACACACATACATACATACATACGCGCACAACATACAGACACACACGACGTCCACCCATATCCGCGTTACCCCCTTCCCCCGCACCGACCTCCAGCAGCTGTCGGAGTCCGCTGACCACCCCGCACTTTATGAAGTCGTCCACCCGCACACCCGAGCCGCGAATCGCGTCAGGTGCCGTACAGCGGATGCCGTCGATCCACTCCATCACCAGCATCTTGGTGCCGCACAGGTCGGGGCGGACCCAGGGGATTTTCACGGAGGGGTCCGACCTGAAAGCACACGCACACACACACACACACACACACACACAGAAACGTACGGGATACACACACGTACGAGGCAAACCGAGCACACAGCAAGGTGGGCAAGGTATGTCAAGAAGCAGTGTCAGGAGGGGAGGTGGGGAACACAGAACGGGCGGGGGCTGTCAACTGGGGGAGGTGGGAAAGGAGGTATTGGATATTCCTCTTCCTTCCCCCCTTTCCCCCCTCTCCCCCCGTTTCCTTCAAACCCCCAAACACAACACACATACACACAACACACATATATACATACACACACACCTGAAGTTCCTCTCAAACTCCTGTATGTTCCGGGCCTCCTGCGTGTAGTCCAGCTCCTCCAGAAGCTTCTCTCCGAACTCGTCCACAATCAGCCGGGTGTCGCAACCCAGTCGCCGCCGGGACAGGGCATTGAACAACCCGCCCACGAGCCTGAGGGGAAGAAGGGGGGGAGGGGGGGAAAAGACGAACCACACACGAGTGAAGCAGCTGCCAAGGGGGAGGGGGGAGGCAGTAATCACACACAGGGGCCGCCACATAAACCCCCCTTTTTACAGTCGCCACAAAGTACAGTCTGTAGCACATGTCTGTACGGATTACGATCCCCGTGTCGGAAGGCGGCAGGGGGAGAGCTGCATTGGCTCCTCCCCAACAGGGTTGCGGGTGCGCAGGTGCGGGTACGTCACCCCGCCATGTCGCTTCCAACCCCCCACAACATATCGCCCCCTCGCTCCGCACAATCTTTACACGGGCCGTACGAATGGGCCAGGGTCCTTCAAATGATGATTCAGGGCCCGGGGGGGGTGCCTCCATCTTCCCCTCCCGGAAGCAGCAGCAGCAGCAACTAGAGGGGGTTCCAGCCGCACTCACCGGAATATGTAGAGGTCTCGGAGGATGGTGGGTTCAACTCCCGGTCGCTGCACCTTGATGGCCACCTCCTCGCCCGTGTCGCGGAGGACGGCCTTGTAAACCTGAGAGGGAGAGAGAGAGAGGAACGGAGCGGAGAGGGACATGTGCGTTTGCATGCGCTTATGTCACAGACGTGTGTGTGTGTGTGGTTGTGTGTGTCTGGATGAGTTGCCTGTGTGTGTGTGGTGGTGTGTGGTGGTGTGTGGTGGTGTAGTTCTATGTACATGTAAGCTGCATTGTCGTGTAGTTCATTAGCATCTGCAACCCCTCAACCCCCCCGGGGGATCACGAGTCACTACCCGGGCTTTGACACACACACATGTGCGCGTGTTACTCAGGCACCCAGGTACGGCAGGGAAGCACGGCCCAATAACCCCCCCGCCCCGCACTTCCCCGCCTTCTACCTCCGGCTCCCCCCCTCCTCAGTGTTACCCGGTGTTTCTAGACACCTCCAACTCTCTCACACCCTTCCTCTTAAATGCCCTCCCCCCTCTCCCCCCTTCTCCCTCAACCCCATCCCTCTCCCTTTCTCCCTTCCCCCCCACCTGCCCCAGGCTAGCCGCCGCCACGGGTTTCTCGCTGATGGACGAGAACACCTCCTCCAGCCGCCGCCCCAGCTGCTGCTCCATGATGGAGAACGCGACCGAGTCAGGGAAGGGGGGAACGTCGTCCTGAACGGGGGGGTGGGGTGTCGTACGGGTTGGGAGGGGGGTAAATAACGTCGTCGGGAGCATGATTGAACTCCGCTACAGCCTGTGGGGTCGTACGGCATCGTACGGCATCTGGATTCTATTTCAATTGATCAGCAACACCTTCCTTACATCCAGCGCCTCCCTCCCCTCGTCTTCCCCTCCCCTCCTTTCTCTTCCCACCCCCCGCCCCTCTCTCCCCTCCAACCACCTCCACAATCCGAAACACACACGCAGAGCCAAGTAGATGGACTCGACCGCCCCCCTGCCCGCAGCTCGTCAGCACTAGGTGCACCAAACCGTAAACCCGGGGCCTTACCCCACCCCCCCCACCCCTTTGATACTCTCTTGCCCTGGCAGCAGCTTCAATCGTGTGTGGTTCGTCTCCCCCCCCCCCCACTCCTCCCCGCGCCCCTTTCCGGTCCGCACCTGCAGTACACACAGCTCATTCATGTAGTCCTCCCGTACAATATCGGGGCGGTTGGCTAGCACCTGCCCCGCCTTGATGAACGAGGGACCGAGAGCCGTTAGCATCTCCCTGGATACCAAAAAGGGGGAGCGGGGTTGTTTTTGTTGTTGTTGTTAGGGAAATGGGAAGGAGAGGGATCGGGGGCAGGGGGAAAGAGGTGGTTAGGCGAAAGGAAACCCCCCTAATCGACACGACCCGGCACAGATGGGGAAGGGGAGGGGGAGGGGGAGGACGAGCGAGCGCAAGGGCCCACAAGACGTCAAGTTGGGAGGGGAAGTGCTTACTGCGTTTGTTTGTCCCTCCCCCCTTTCTGCCACATGGTCCCACCTCAACCCTGAAACTCCCCTCCTCTCCCCCCTCCTAGCAACCCCCTCCTAGCAACCCCCCTCCCAAACCCCACCGCAGCTCCGCCGCCCGCAGCTTGACTCTGTCGGGGGTGTCTTCGTGGCCCAGGAGCCGGTCCGCGTACAGCATACCCACAAACCACCCCACACGGGCCGTGATCTCGCCGATACGTAGCTGGAGAGGGACAAGGGGGAGGTGGGAAGAGGGTATTTGGAGGTTGGGGGGGAGGGGAGGACGAAACACGGACGCGAGCAGCTGATGCCAAGGAGGATAGGCCCGAAGTGAGGAAGCAATGACCACCCAGGAAGGGGGAGGAAGGCAGGCGATATGGAGGGAAAGGGCGATATGGAGGGAAGGGCGGGGAAGCATCTTGTGAAGGTGGGAGTGCCGGGGGCCGGGGGGAGCCTGGTGCCTGCGTTGACTGCACCTGCCCTTGTGGTTTTTACTTGGGCGGGAATCCTTGGAATGTTTCCCGCAGCCTTTCCACTTCCCCACAACCCACCCACATATACACATACAGACAGACAGACACCGTGTAGTTGCCATGTGAAACCCGGAACCCCCGCCTGCCGTGGTGAGTTCTTAGCGCACACTTGATCCGAACGGTTTAATAGTAAGATGGAAAACGACCGGGGCGAGACGCGTTCTTCAGTGGTTATGTGGTTTCACCTCATCCGTATCCATACCAGTATGACATTACTCTCTGCAAGGCAATGACCCTGGCCGCAAGCCTTGCAGCATGCCCTCGTAAAAACCGTCGTAACTCTCGTACCATGCACATGACAGCATCGGCGGGCCCGCGCAACACCCTGCTCTTGACGTACTCGGGCGAATACTTGCTGATGATGTTGCAAATATCGCGTTCCATATCCAGAGGATTGTCGTCAACTCGGCCAAGAGGTCGTAGCCGGCTGCAGATGCACAGTGCACGGATTTAGGTTTTCGCGAGCGGGTGAGGTTTAATGGTTGCTGAAAGTAACATAATAAAAGCGACAAACTTGTGATAAGTCATTCCTGTGGTGCTCCACGGCGGAAGCTTGTGCGATGACATTAGCTTGCACAGGCGTCAGCCAGGTCAGCAGCGGATGGGTGTACCTGGGTGCTAGCGCTGTTGCCGCTCGTGCGGGTGCAATTGTGGTGACTGCTGCATGGCAGCGCAGACGTCCCTCACGTCCTCGAGCTTGGCCCCGAACGGCAGTCCTCGGTTGCCAAAGGTCCAGCCGAGCCTCGGGAACAGCTTGTCGTTGATACAAATGCATTATATTTATTACAAAGCACACAGGCTTGGGAAACCCAGAATGGAATACAGGTCAATGCCTACAGCCACGATGCCTCCTACACGTCTCAGCTTTCAAGATGTTGCCATGCACAGCTGGTATAGATTTCGCTTAAGCCCTTGAAGGAACAACATCTAACAGCCGTTTGCCAAAGCTGTCCAGTAGTGGGTGCACAAAAGTGAGTGGCTCTAAACAAGGGTCTGTCGTGGTACGACAAGAAGCGCAAGGAACCGCTATACTTAATGCCTGCGCGTGACGAAAACTTAATTTTAGGTTGCTTCACTGCACTTGATCGTTGTCGCTATGCAGCAAGCTCTGGCTAGCGGCGGGCAGGCAACGTGCCCCTCAGTGCGTGAACGCATCCTCTCCTCTTTTGTTAACTTGCAAAGCACTTCGGGTCGATGCTGCTATACCACCTCTGCGCCGCCATTCGCTCAGCCACGCCGCCATCGAAATTGCCTACCATGCCCGGCGGCTAAGGGCGGCAAGGTTGCAAGCAACCAAGGCTTCAAAGGCTTTGGTGAACCACCCAAAACGTCAAAGAAAGCTGAGCGTACAATGGCCTTCGATCCTGAAGACGAGTCCGAGCAAGCCGCCGCCAGTGCCCAACAGGATTTGGAGAACGAGCAAGAAATTGCGCTCATGCCTTGCTACCAAATGTACACAGACGCCGGTTACAAAGCCCAGCGCTTTGTAGGCTCGTTAAAGATCGACCAGCCTCAAGGTAAGGTTGTCTTTGACCAGTACTAGGTAGCGTTGGCTTTGGTGGTTACAGCAGGCGCACCCCGCTTCCTCTACCGGGGAGGGCCTCTAGACCCACCATAAATCACCTTCCGGGTAACCCGATACGGGCCGGCAGCTTTTTCCTGCCAGGACTTGTAACTGACTTATCCGGGGACATGCCTAATTGATAAGCCCTGGCCACATCTTCCTCTTGTTAAAAATCTCCTTATCCTGACTTCCACACACCCGCCTGCAATTGTTGTTGATTGCGTTACAATCTCTTCGTAGGCGAGCCGTTGCCAGTTCTGTGCACCACACGAGCCATGCTACCCGGCGAGCTAGCACTCGTGCTGCCGGCAGTTGCCATGGCTGAGGGTGGCTTCCAGCAAGTTCCGGAGCTGGAGGATTTGCATGCCATTCTCCTGGAAGATGGACCCAGTCCTCCACAGCGCCGCGTCTTGTCATTACTGGAGTCTCTCCGTCCAGGACCCACATCACCATGTCCATCTACACCATCCCCTTCCTCCTCCGCTACCTCTGGCCCTTCGTCCACTCCAAACAATCCGGAGGACCCTCCTGCGTCCCCGACAGCCGCCGCGACCGAAGCCAAGGCATCGACTGCTTCACCACAGCCACCTCAAACACTCCCTCACCTGTCAACACTGGACGTCAAGTTCTGGTCGAGTCGTGGGCGCGACACCGCAGCAGCAGGTATAGATTCCAGGCGGCTGTTGCGGTTGCTTAGCCGCACTGCCATTGCCGACGACTCCCAGGACCCGGCGGCTATGCAGGCGCGCCACCAGAAGCCCATGGGCTATGTGGGCCTGTGGCCGGAGGCGGCGCTAATGGGTCATAGCTGCGTTCCAAATACGTCACAGCTGGTGGTGGCTGATCGTATGTTTGTCCACCTAGCGGAAGAGCTGCCGCCGGGGGCCTCGCTGACGAGGAACCTCATTGGCGCAGCCGTGACGGCACCGCTGGATGTACGGCAGAACGCAGTGGCGGAGGCGATGGCGGAGCAGGGTGTCGCGGTGGGGGCGGCTGTTGCGGAGTTGCCGTCGTCATCGTTGTCACCACTCCTCCACGCGTGCCATTGCGCGCGATGTCAGCTGGAGGCGTCGGTTTCGGAGCAGCTTCGGGACACGTTGGCGGAGGCGCATGCCTGGTACGTGAACGAGGCCAGCGAGGCGTGGAACCGCGCCAACGAATCCGAGGATTTGGCGCTACTACGTGGGCTACTGGAGGAGTGTGAGACGATTGTGGCCGAGGTGGAGGAGGCGGTGCAAGCGGAGCCCGGTTTGGACGATGAACAGCAGGATTGGCTACGCGCATCTGCATACGACGTGTACGATATGCTTGTCACGTTGGACGAGCTGGTTAACCAGGACTCTGCTGACCCGGATATTCTGCGGACGTGTCTGGAACTTATTCGCGTTCATTCCCCAGGCTCTGGAAGTCACTTGATGGTGGCACTGAAGCACGAGGCACTAAGGCGGCATCGTTTGGAAGTGTTTAGCGATATCCTCAAACGGGACCGCGGCGCGGCGCGCAAGGCTATTTCCAAGGGCGACAAGCGCAAGCTCGTGGCGCTTAAGACCGCGGCGGATGTTGCGACGGAGTTTCGTATCGAGGCAGCGGTGCTGAGGTACGGTCTCGTGACGGAGGACATCTTGGCGCAGCTGACAGAGGGCTTGGAGACGTATGTGGAAGGGTTGGAGCAGCTGAGTGTCATGCAGGCGCAGGGCATGACGGAGTTGACCCGGGAGATGGAGGTGGACGGAATAAAGGTGCAGATTGTGGACCGGTTGGAGGTTTCGGAGGCGGCTCGGGCGGGGCCGGGGGCTAAGGTGGTGAGCAGTAAGGATGGCGTGCAGCTGATGGTTGTTGAGGATGCAGGAGCAGCAATGGAGATGTCGGGTTTGGGAGGGGGGATGGTGGAGTCCTGGCAGGCGGAAGACGAGGTGGAGGAGGAGGGGGCAGCGGAGTTGATGGATGGGGAGGAAGAAGAGGGGGAAATAATCGATCTGGAGGTTGATCCCGATTTGGATTTCGATGTGGATTCAGCGGTGCAGGCGGCAGTGGATGCGGCGCTGGCAGGAGGGTTGGTGGAGAACGAGTCGGAGGATGTGGAGGGAAAGGATGGTTTGCAGGGTCGGCCTGGGACTGTTGTGGTGACGCCAAGTCGGTAGTAAGTAGCGTTATTAATGATGGTGCGCAGGGATGTGCTTTTACTACTTCAATTATGCAGTGGGTAGTTGAATAGGCCAGACCATTGTCAATGCATTACGTTATTAGGTATATTGGATTGTTTTGGCACAGTGTATTCTTTTGGCTGATGAACAATGTCATGTCGGTAAGAATTGTGCACACACTGCTGCCTAGTATGCTGTACTAAATTACGACATGCAAGTATTCTATCCACACATATATAACATGCAATGGGAAAATCCACATCTTTCTCAATTGTAACAAACCATTCTCAGAACACAATCACTACATGAAAAATCCCACAAAAACAATATATTATCCTTTAACAGCATGGAGCTAGCCTATGTTATTCCTTCTTCCCAATCATCTCCTAGACTCATTCCCAGCCATCAGCTGCATTCTCCGCTCCTCAACGCCGCCACCAGCTGCAAATAGCCCTTCTGCTCCGGAGTGATGTACCCGTGACGGACGAGGAAATCGATAATTACCAAACTGTGGCCAGGTAGGAGAGATGGGAGACAGATAGTTAGACGCTCATCCGCCTATCAACGCTTACCCTTCCTCTGCTGATCTCCAGTAGGGGAAGGGACCCCAATCGGCGGGTTGTCACTTACGGCAGATTGTCCGCCGACGCGGCGCCGCATGTACTGGATTCATCTTCACCCCAGTCCCGGATTCCCCCCTCCCTACTTCCCTTTTCTATTCCCACCTCACCAGCAATTGGTTTTGAACTCCGTGGTGGTGGCCACTATCTCCGCCACCTCCTCGATGGATTTCAAACTGAACTCTGACACCTCCCCGTCCTGAGAGAAAACCGTCAGTCAGGGAAATCGGTATCAGCGCGAAATGTGCCCGGGACCATATGTGGAAACATGTGGGCAGGAGGAAAACAACACCCGGAAATTCAACGCGGGTAGGAAATCAATGCAGTTCTAGGACGGCAGGTAGGATCCTCCACTATATAAAGCGTTCCCAACCACCACCAACTAAACCCAACTACTTCCTACCACCCGGCCCACCTGAGGCATGGGCACGAAGTCTGGGGGCAGCTCTAGGTCATAGCAAAACAGCACGTCGGGTTTGTAGCCGTTAGCGGCGATGGTGAGGTACGACACCGCCCCCACGGGTCGGGCTGTAGCCGCCAGCTCGGCGGGTATCCCAGCCTCCTCCGCACACTCCTTGAGGACGTTCTCCCGGCAACTCAGACCGTGGGGCTGATCCGCGAGAGAGGGACGAGGCAAGCGAGGCTCATCGTCACGACAGACCACCAAGGAGCTCGCGAACAGCATGGCCAGGTGTGTGTGTGTGTATTTGTGTGTGTTACATGGTCGTGGGGCTGCGTACCCCGTACTGCAAATCACCCAATACGAGCCGAGGGCTCAAGGGCTGCCAGATCGCCTATAAGCACCATCCTACCTCGCACTTCAGACAAAGCAAGTGATAAATTATACTAACGACCAGAGGGAACAATAGAGTGTCTAGAGTGAACCATATACATTCCAGCATCTTCGCCAGACGTTCAGGTTCCCACTTCATAGCGTCCTTCATATGCTCAAGGGTTTTGGGTGTGGCATGGATGATGTGCGTGGGAGGTAGGAATAAGGAAACGATCATCAAGGGGTTGGATGGGTAGAGGATGTGTGAGGGTGCAATTACAAGGCTCCTTCCAACCGCAACCTGTTCCACCCTCTGGCAACCAGCCGCCGCCAGGTCCAGGTCCACTCCCTCTCCCACCCCAACCCCAACCCCAACCCTCACCTGGCCTCCCGCCACAATATGGTCCAACTTCCCGGGCCAGTTGGGTTTTGTCATGGACCTGCGTGCCACCCACAGTTTAATAGCCCCTGTGTGGGGCTCTCGTACGAAACCGTTGACGTGTACGCCGTACGCCTTGATGCCCAGGTGGGTGGCGGCTGCCCTCTCCACCAGCAGCAGTGGGGTGTCGTCGAATGAAGCAACCACTGGGTACAGCTCGTCACGCCAGCCAGTGATAAAACTCTCCTTTCGGAGAACGTCCAAGACATCTGTAGGGGTGATGGGGCGAAGGGGAGGAGATACGGAGAAGAAGCGAGGGCGGATTGGATGCAGGGAGGCGAAAAACACTGACGAGGTTAAAGAAGAACGAGTAGGTGGAAAGAGAGGTTGAAGGGGAGTGCCCTCGCCAGTATCACAGACGATGGCCTCAAGGCGATAAGAGTTGAGAAGCTAGAGATGTGTCATCAGAGGCGCTGTCTGACCCACCCGCTATTTTGGCCGACCGCTTGTCGCAGGAGTCCAAGTCAGCATCCAGGCTGACCCGGCCTGATGGACCAGGAGTGCCTTCAACGACGAAGACCTCAGGAAAACGTCGCGTTTGTTCCACAAATCTGTAGTAAAGTGGCACGGCTGTTCGCTGACTTGTTTGACGGATGCGGATATCCGTCCTTGAAGGGCAATTGGAGGCTTTGCGCACCTGGGCTTTAGCTTTCCAACTTCTTTGCCATCAACGACAAAGGGTGTCAAAGTATGCAACTCTTCTAGACCAGTATTACATTCACGCACGCGCTGTATGAAACCATTAAGACTGCGCATTTCTGATGCAAGGTTACGCGGGGCTGAAGGCGTAGTTACATGACTTGTCAGCGAGCATTGTACTTTAAAAGTTCCGCGAGACCGCCGTGCGACGTAAAGGCCGGAGGTACTCCTAACCGTTTGTCGGCATACACGACGCATTTCCCTTCTCGACCTCAAGGACAAGGCATATCACCTTCCATACATTCTGCGACTTGACGTTTCAAGCGCCAAACGATTTGTCATGCGTGAATAAGTATCTCTCATGCCGAACAATGCTCGATTCCTCGATACTCGGCGTCGTACCGGTACTGCACAAACAAAACTGTCATTTGATCGCCTTGACCAGAGACCCTAAACCCAAGCATGAAGAGCGTGCTTCAACCAAAAACAGTTCTCTATGCAAATCTCTCATATGCGCGCCGTGTAAGCCGCGCTTCGAAGGAGAATGGTCGGCCAATTCCGCCACATTCCTAACTCTCACCTGCACCAAACAGCCATCACTTTGGGTTCTTCCAGCTACCACCATATCCGTCTTACGAACTCACCCCCGTCTACGCCTACCCTTAAAAATCACAAGGCATTAACAAACTGCCTGATGCCCCTCCTTGCGTCCCAAGGGCCGCTGAACGCCTGCATAATCCGCGCCTCCCTCCTGCTCGCCTACCGATTTTTTTTCCACCGCACGTCGCTCACACCTGCGGCGTCCCCAAACATGCCAGCGGCTGCATCTGCCCCAGCTCCGACGTCTCCCACATCACGGGCTGCACCAGCAGCGTCACCGACCTTGCCCAGCCAGGTACCTCCAGCTCCACCAGCCGATACCGCGCCACGAAGGCCTCACCCACCCACACCGACCCGCTCCAGTCGGGGTGAAGAAGCTGCCATAAAGGAAAACACGGCGTGATGACAGCAGGGTGTGTGTGGGAAAGTGTGCGAGTGCGTGGAAAAAACGGGCTCTACAATACTTGGTTTTGAAGGGTAATACAGAGCGGGTGATGACATGCGTGTAAGGTGTCACTAGGAGCCTGTTTTTCCTTTACGTGTACTTTTTTGAGTTCATCCTTCCTCCATCATCCGGGGTAGATGTGCAACTGCAGACGGGGACGGCAGGGGCACAGGAGGGGGGTCGGGGACCGGGATGGGGCGGCCAGGTATACACGCAGATGCTGGACCCGACACCCCCTTTCCCTCGGGCCCCGCCCAAACACACATGCACAGCCGCCTCCTCCTCCTCGTCCTCCTCCTCCTCCTCGTCCTCCTCTGCCTCACCTCCCAGGCGCCTTCGCGTTCATCTCCGCCACAACAACCGCCGCCACCGCCGCCGCCACCACCGTTGCGCAGCGTGACCAGACCAGGGGACGACGTAGCTGCCGGCGAAGGCGACGTCGCCGCCGCCGCTGCCGTCGGTCGAGCAGCACCTTCTCCCGCCGCAGGCGCCACCGCCGCGCTGAAATGCGCCCAGATATGGTACGAACGATGACGCGGCGTGCCGTGCACCTCAAACTGCGGCTCCCAACTCAACTCACACGTCAGCAGCCGTGCATCATCTGCATCATCGCCGCCGCCGCCGACACCGCCGACGCCGAGTGTTAAGTCGCCTTCGCTATCACCCCCGAGCGCCGGCGCCACGACCTTTACCGGTGAGCCGCCAGTGGCTGCGGTGCCGCCGCCGCTACTCGAGCGCTCCCAGTCCTCGTCCTCATCGTCGTCAACGTCCTCGCCGCCGTCGGCTGAGTCCACGAGCTCCCCGCTGTCCCGCGGGCCCTCACCCCCCACAGCCACCGCCTTGCTGCCGGGCCCCATAGTCAGCTGGGAAGTGAAAGAAGACGAACCTTTCAATGATCTCGTCCGGCTACAGCCAGGTCGGCCCCACCGTACTCGGAAGCAACAGCCGCCGGACAGCGGTGGCACTGCCACTGCCACCAGCGGCGGTGCCGCTGCCGCCAGCGGCAGGCCCAGCGCTGCGGCGGCTGCTGCTGCCGCCGCCGAGGCGGCGGCAGCGGCGGCAGTAATTGCCGAGGGCTCTGTGGCGGTGGCTGCGGCTGTGGTGGTGTTGGCTGTAGCTGGTGCCGTCTCTCCTCCCCCTGTTGTTAGCTCCAGGGTGGGAGCTGGGGGGACGTCGCTTGGGTGGTGCTCGCGAAGGACCAAATGGCCTGATGAGGAAGGGGCAGGAGGAAGAAGGGGGAAAAGGGGGGGACGCGGTTGTCACGGACGGGGCGGAAGGGTGTTACTATCCTTCGATGCTGTACCGGACGCCCACACGAGCCATGATGGGCCCTAAGCCCCTATCGAAAGCTCTTTTGTCCGCGGTAACAGATACAATGGACAGCTGCTTTCCTACTTCCCGAATATATTACGCCAAACTAGTCCTTCTGTAGGAAATGTGGCCCTTGCCTCACAGAGGAGGAAAGACGGAAAGAGAGAGAGGACGGAATGCAGCATGCGGCTCAGGTCCCCGTGCTTGTTTCCCCCCACCCCATAGCGTCCCTTCAATATACACATACACACAAACACACATATAAGACACACAGGGAGAGCCTCCACGCCCCCACGTGGCCTGGTGTTCCGTCCGTTCATTCAGCTCCCCCATATTTACCCACTACACCGGTTCCAGATCAGACCAGGCCTGGTTCGGGGCCCGACCTACCGAGATATCCTAGGTAAGCCCCTCCCTCGCCGCCGCCGCTGTCCGACGATACAGCTGCTACTGCTACTGCTCCACTAGCAGGCGCCGAACCTGCTACCGCGCTACTGCCCACATGGCCCGTCGTACTGCCACGCGCTGATGTACGACCACTGCCGCCGGCACTGGCGGAAATGGCGGCGCCTGCCGTCCTGTAGCATGCAATGCCGACGGCGGTAACGACGGCACCGCCACCGCCACTGCCGCCAGGCGGCCCGGCGACTAGGCTGTACGGCAGGTGTGCGGAGCAGGTAACCCACGGCAAGCCGGCGGCGGCGGATGTGGAAGTCGCCGCTGCTGTGGCGGCGGTGGCCGCGGGGTTGACTGCGGTAGCGGCTGGTGTGGCCCCGAGCTGTGCCAGAGGACACGTCATGGTGCCGGTGGGGACTGCCGTACAGGCTATACACGTGTACCCTGCAACCTCAGAATACACGAACCGCAAGAGGCACACGTACACTCACTCACAGAGGGCAATAGCCTTCAGAGAACCCGCTGCGCCGATACTGGCGGTACATCGACATACATACATGCATACATACATACATAGGTACTATGGCCACAGGAGGAATCTAAGCACCAGCTCGATGAAAGAGGCCAATCCCCGGCCCGTCCTCCTTCCCTCCCTCCCGGTCCCACTCATTCACCCACCTGCTGTCCGCAGCGCCTCCACCACTCCCCGGTCGCCAGCTCCCCAACACCCCACTACAACACCAACCCGGGGAACATCACCACCACCACCACCACCAGCCCCCGTCGACTGCGGCAGCAGCGGTGCCGTACGCAGCACCACCGCCACGCGGCTGCTTCCCGAACAGGCCACGGTGTACGACAAATCTAGGCCGGCGGCGGGTACGGGCAGATGTGCTGAGTACAGCTGGTGTAGCCAACAGGGCCCTATGCGGGTGTTGCTAGAGTGTACGTGGGAAAAGGCCGGGGTCTTGGCCGTTGTCGGCTCCGTCTCCTCAGCCTCGCCCTCCTCCCCCTCCTCCTCCTCCCCCGGCGAAGCCAGGGTTAGTGTCAGACACGAGCCTCCGTGAAAAGCAAGCTGCTGGGTGTTTTGCACCCGTAGGGGGTACGAGGCCCTGCTTCTGCCTGCACCTGCCTGGTCGCGGCGGAGGCTGCTGTAGCAGCAACTGGTGGTGGTGGTGGTGGTGGTGGTCTCCGCCACCACATCCTGCGCTGCCAGGTTGTACCAGGGCGCGCTGCTCACCCGGCGGCCCCCCAGCCAAACAGCCCGACCCGCACCCAGCCCGAAGCAGCTCGCCAAGGGCAGGCGCTGAAGCAGAGCAGGCCGGGGAGGCCACACGGCACGGATCTGCCGGTGCGGGTGGCATTGGTTGGTTGGTTGGTTGGTTGGTTGGTTGGGTGGGTGGGTTAGCCAGGGTGTGTCGAGTATATGTCGAGCAAAGGGGTGTGGAAGGGTGGGATCATTGGCATGGTGGCACGGACTGCACGGAGCCCGTCCCATACACTTCCCCTTCGGGGACTTGAAGGGGAATGGCAATACGCCCAAAGGAAGGACGTCAAAGTGAGTGAGACGTGCCAGAGGTGTGTAGAGGCGGGAAGAGGGGAGAGGGGGAAGATGGAGGAGGGTGATAAAGGGTGTAACTGACTGACAGCACATCCAGCTGGGGAAATCCCATGCCTCACCCGCTCCTTCCCCCCATTTTTCCCAGCTCACATCAGCTTCACTCGCACGTGGTTCGTCTTTCCCCCATTTCCCCCTTCCAACATCACCCCTTTCCCCCCTCCCCCTACCACCTGCACCTGCACCAGCACCTCCACCAGCACCTCCACCAGAACCTCCATCCCACCCCAGCCCTGCCGACACACAAACGACTCACCCGGCCCCAGAACTCCTCCTGACGCCGCGGGAACGTGTCCCGGGGGAACTCCTCATACACCCAGCCCGGGGCGAACAGCGCCACGGACACCCCGGCAGACCGGGCAGCGGACAGGGCCACCGAGCAGTTGTCCTTCGGATGTGCGTGTGTGTGTATGTGTGTGTGTGCATATATGTAAAGACGGAGGGGAGGAGGGGTGGAGAGCGTGGGGTGTTGGTTTTGCACGAACGTGCAGCAAGAAAGAGGAGGGGGGGAAGAACAAGAAGCTGAAAAACGCTCGCACTCAAAGGGGTGGTGAGTGGTGAAAGCCACGAGGCAATCGGGCAATCTGTGGGGGAAGTAAGCTGCCTGTGCGTTTTCCTCTTACCCTACCATACTTTGGACATACGTGTCGTACGTGCCGTACCACACCTACCTTGCCGCCGCCGTAAGAGCCCCGCCCAAAGACGTCCACACCCATGAACACGTCCGCCGCGCGGCCCCCCGCCGCCGCCGCCGCCTGCTCCGGCGCCCCCTCCCTCCACGTGTAGTTGACAAACAGCGCATCCGCCACGTCCAGGAAGGGCGCGTTGAGGCGGGTGAGGCCGTTCTGCCAGGCTAGCCGCCCCTCCGTCGTCACGGCGTCGTACCTGCAAAAGATGACGTACGACAAGCCGGTGTACGAGAGGACAGTGTACGACATGACGTACTCCAAAGGCGACATGGGGGGAAAAGCCCCTTAGGAGAAAACTCTCCCAGCTGGTGGTGGTGGTGGTGGTGGTGGTGCTCCTCCTGTTCCTGCCATCTCTTCCACAGTGCAGATGAACCAGCCCCCCTCCAACGCTTTAAGCTAACCCAGCCGTACTCATTAAAGCACGGCAGCCAGCGCCAAATTCCAAATACAGTCGTAGCTTTTCTTCCTGATCCCCATTTTCTCCCCCGTCACCTCTCATCCCCCTCCCCTCCCTCCGTAGAACAAAACACCCACACCCACACCCACACCCGCACCCGCACCTACCACACCACCAGTGCATGCGGCCCCACCACCTCCACCATCCTCGCCCTCAGGTGGCCCACAAAGGTGACCATGTACGGCACTGTCTGCCACCGTACACCGTTCTCTATGTTGACCAGCCAGCCGTCAAAGCCGTGGAATGCCGCCAGCGCCACCAGCCGCTCCGCCGTGTCGCGGGCCGCTGCGGGGCTGCTGCCGATCAGGGCCTCGCAGCGGGACCGACCGTCCTCCCAGGCCTCCGTGATGAAGGTACCCAGGACCTGGGAAGGGAAGAGGTGTGTGTGTGTGGGGGGGGGAGAAAGACGAACCACGTGAACGAGTGAAGCTGCTGTGCCAAGGGAAAGAGTGTACAAGAAGCAGAACAAGATGTGTGTGTGTGGGGGGGGATGGAAATGGGAATCATATGCGAGAGGAAGTGGATGGAAGTGAGAGCTGCCGGTGTCCTAGGTGATATGGGGGGGGAGAGGGGAGAGGGGAGAGGGGGAGAAGGGGCGGGGACGGAGAGGGGGATTAGACTCTCGCGTAAAATACAGAAAACCCAGGTCGACTAGTTATTTGCCAACGGCACGACGACGACGTCCAAAGCTGACGCTTGTTACTGGGGGCGGCGCCCAGCGCGGTGAGATATAACGAACTGCCCATGGTGGGTTCCGGAGCCTCAGTGGCCACAGCCACAAACAAAACAAAACTCCCAACATTGTCATGTATTGTATTAATTGTGTTTTCGCTTTTCCTACCAAACGCTGAGGTTACTTCAATGCCTTCCGGCACACGGGGAGATGGGGAGGGGGGAGGGGAAAGGACGAACCACGAACGAGTGAAGGTGCTGCCAAGGGGGAGGGGACATGGAATACGCCCTAACCCTATATCTATTCTGTTGTGTCACGGCATTACAAAAGAAAATGCACCGATCGGCGGATGTCAGAGTCCCGTGATACACACCCTCCAGGATACAACACATTCCCACCCGCCCGGCCCCCAAAACCCTCACCCCCAAAGACGCAGCCCCACCCTCACCCCCACCCACCCTCACTCCGTTTCTGTGGGCCGCAGTGATCCACCCGGGGGGCGGCAATGTGATCAGATGGTGGGAGAAGTAGATGAAGATGTCGATTTGGTCCCAATGCCACAACCTGGGTTTGGGGTTTGGGGGGGGGGTTGGGGGGTGTTTGGAAAGGATAGGGAGGGGAAAGACGAACCACGAACGAGTGAAGCTGCTGCCAGGGAAAGAGTGTACAATAGGGGGGAGGTATATGCAAAGGAGACCGGGGGGTGAAGGACGAACGGGATTCTGGGGTGGGTAGAGGATTCACAGCAGGAAACTAACAACTGACAGCCTTTCAAAACCTGTGTACGACAGTGCACCAACACTTACCTTCCGCATCTACCATAACTAACTTCCATGAAATCTATTAGAACCAATTATTTCATTAACTAATATATTAGTAAATACGAATATTTATTGTAGTCTCAAGAGGCTCCGACCAGATTCCCAGGAGTCGCTAACACAACAGCACCCGAGGACGGAACATGCGAAGTGGGGGTTACATTAGTACTTGTGTTCTGTCAACTTTCTGTGCTATACCCGGTTCTCCCAAACCGCAAAGGCCCGCTTTCTCCCATCCATCCTGTTTCCCTCCCCCCCAACCACCACCACCACCACCACCACCCCACTCCAATCTGCTTCAATCGTCTGCTTGGTTCGTCTTACCCCCACCCCCCACACCACCCCACCACCCCTCCCACCTGAAGAACCCCGGGTCCGCCGCCCCCTGCACCAGCCTGTCCGCCAGGTAGCCACCCATCATGTCATGGCAGACCAGCAGGCGGGGACGACCGGCGGGGGGAAACCCATCACCGACACGACAACTGCCATCATCAGCGCCATGATCACCACTGCTGCCACCGCAACCGTGTCGTACTCCTGCGCCTTCGTCGTCGTGTTGTTGCCCACTCGCGGAGGCGAAGGGGGTCGCTATTGAACCAGCTGCCGGTCGCGGCGTTGCTGTTGTTGCCTGGGTTGCCTGAGGCGCTGGTGGTGGTAGCGGAGGCAGAGATGATGGCGGTGATGGCGGTGGCGGTTGGGTAGCGGAGGTTGGGCTGATGGGCGCTGATGTGGCGATGAGTGCGTGGGGTGCGGGGGTGGGCAGCCTGAGGGGCGCGTTGTACGTTTGGCAGAAGGGCGCATCTGGGTCGAGGGAGGCGGCCAGGAGTGGGGTCCAAGAGAGGAGCTGCTCCAGGGAGGACAGGGGCCGGGCCTCGGGGGCGCCCAGGCCTGGGGGAAGGGGACCCAGTACGGAGGTGGGGGGTGAGGAGAATGGAGGGCCAGCGAGTGCGAGAATGCATGGGGCGCGTGCGGAGACGGTGGGCGTGTGTCGTTGCACGGCTGAACCAGGGTGGGTTTGTGGTACAATTGGGTGCATGATAAGGTTCATGAAAGCAAGGGGGAGGAGAGAGGTGCTGGTGGACGTGATGACGAGGTTGGCGGATAGTGAGTAGTGAGATGGCAGAAAAGATAGAGCTGCTTAGGCAACCCGCAAGCACCTCCTTAAGGTTTGGTAAGGAGAGGGCTAACATAAGGATAACAGACATAGGGCACGTGCGTCGTTCTTTTGCGATATCCGTGTGGCTTGGGACGGTAGAGCATGCCGGGAAAACGTGCATGGCGTTACAGTTGCTGTGCTTGCCCGCCGGCAAGCATAGTTGGAAGACATATAGGTGAGTTTTTCTACCTGTAATAACTAGCTTTGCCTTGACTCCGCATTTCTTGGACTCTCGCTGCGCGGGGCGAACTGCTTGCGTAAAATTGCGTTGGAACTAGTCACAGCACGTGGTAGGGTCGGCCTCACAGGACTGCGCACCTGTTGTCGTAGCGTCTTCCTAACGAAATCACGCATGTAATCGCTTGCCGCAAGGATGGCCCTCTTGCAGTCCCGCGCATGGCGCCGATTCCTCCACAGGTATAGTGCAACAGCACCGCATCCAACAAGCATCAAACTGAACAGGGACCGACCTCGCCTTCCCATGGCTTGGGCAAAAAGACAACGGCTGGGGAGGATGTAAGGCCAGTTCTTGCCGGGGTGTCGTTAACTACGGGTTGTCGGAAAGCCCTGCGCGAATCCCGTTGCGCAAGTGCTTGCGAATTAGCCTAGATCATTTTCCCTTGTAAAACTATCTAACTTCGACGTCAAGTTGTTCGAACTACATGCAGTCCACGAAAACGCCAGACCCTAGCCTTATGTCATCATGCCGTATCCACGTTTGACCTAGCACGAAGCAATCAGCAGTCCAATTAAAAGTGCAGGTACCTTACAGCTGCACTTTTTTCCTCTTCCAAACAAGCCCGAAGGACTAGACGCAAGAGGCCCGTGGTTCGTCGTGGTTCAGCACTGTTCAGCCAACAGCTCGCCACGCCTTAAACACCACCGAATTCGCTCAGAGATGTAAACACAAAACTGCACCTCGAAACTGCGTACCCCTTCCGATCATAAAGTTGCATTTACGCTCTCTAAAGTCCGGATCGCCGGAAATCAGGCGACGGCGGTGCGCCAAAGAGCGCCCAACAACAAACGCCTCCATGACCGCGCCCATCTTCCATTTGGGCTCCCCCACAGGATGGGTGGGTACACACACACACGCACGCACACGCACACATACTCCTTCCCCCTCCCTCTTCCCTTCAAGAAAACCTCGTTAGCGGTTGTGGTGATTGTGGTTGCCGCAGGTCAATGACCCCAACGGTCCCCTCCTCCATAACGGCCGATATCACCTGTGAGTATATGTGGGGGAGGGAGGGAGGGAGGGAGGGTGAGAAGAGAGCTGCGGGCCCACGTCCTAACCTTTGACAATTTCTGTCGTCCCTTGACGCATCACCTCTTAGCATGGCGCATCCCTGGAAGCGGGGGGCCCGGGCGGGCAGGAGATATTGCCATGAAGGAGTTTGTTTCGTTGTAAGCCATTTCTCTTCTTCCCTTCACCTAAGCCCCCATCCCCCCGGGGATTAGGGCGTATGAAGCACACGACAACCACATAATAATCTGCATTTAAAAAGCCCAATCCAATCCAATCAAAAAAATCCAAGGAAAAAAATAATCCGAGAAATCCAAGAAATAATCCAAGAAAAATCCAAAATTTTTGGATTTGAGGTTGAAACAAACTCCCGCGTCTCCGCTTTCCCCAGCGCCGCCCTTTAGCGCCTCTCCCGAGGCATCGCCCCGTCAAGATCTCCCCCCCTTCCATCTCCCCTCACACCCCCCACTAAACCTCCAGTTCATCACTGGCCATTACCTTACAAATAAAATATTCCTGATGCAGTATCAGTGTTTAATCCTGTGAGGAGTATATCCGTCTATGGCTGCTGTATCAGCTTCATTCGCTCGTGGTTCGTCTTAGCTCTCCCCATATCGCGATGACTGCTTCTTCACAACCGCCGATTGGTTAGTTATGCTTTCTTCACATCCGCCGCAGCAGTCTTTCCTCCTTGGCATCAGCTTCACTCGCTCGTGGTTCGTCCTTCCCCCCTAACCCACCGCCCCGCATCCGTGGCTTCTTGCATGAGATTGCCCCCCACTACCTCTGCCTTCCTGCTTCTCTCCCCCCCTCGCGATTGCCCCTCCCCCCCTCAGCTTCTACCAGTTCCTCCCCAACCGAACCCAGTGGACCTGGGGGCTGGCCTGGGGCCACGTGGTGAGCACCGACTTAGTGCGGTAGAGGCGACTGCCGCCGGCGCTGCTGCCGGGCAGAACCGGTCTGGATCCAGATCCAGATCGGGACACGACTTCGGATACGAATATGGATTCCGGTGATGAAGATCGGCACAATAAAAGTCGCCGGCGGGCCGCGGCGGCTACCGCTACTGCCATCGAGCAATGGGATTTGGATTCCGCGGGTTGCTTTAGCGGCTGTAGCCTTGTGGACGAGCAGGGAGTGCCCACCATTTTGTATACGGGGGTCAGGTGAGAGGTGAAGAGGGAAGGGGGGGTAGGAAATGGGGGGTTTCGCAGCAGCTGACGAGGGGGATAGAAGGATGGGGAGAGAGACGGGGGGGGTCCCAGTCGAGTTGTGCAGGAAGAAGAACCCCGTGTCAACAGGCCGACACGTCCAACGAACCAACTACCGCAGGAGGTTCCCCCAACCACCGGGGGAAAGAGGGGGAAAAGGGGACACGTGTTCAGACAGGGGGAAGGGGAACCCTAAGACCTGGATTCAAACCCGCACGGCCACCCACCCCCCGGGGCCCCGCCCCCGGACCCCACGACGGTAATGTCCATGTGGGATTGTAACCCGGGGGGACAAAACACACAGGCTACGACCCGGGGTGCCGCCTGACGTGCCCGGTATGTACGGCACCGTTAGTCAGTTGGCGGAGGAGCGGCAGTTACTGGCCAGGGCAGCGGACCCAGGTGTGTTTGTGAACGTATGTACGTACGTATGTGTGTACGTATGTATGTGTGTATGTGTGTGTTGGGGATGTGTGGGGTGAGGGAAGAGAGGGGGTGAGGGACTCCCCCCCCTCCTCACCCCACCCGCCGATTCCCCCCCTCCCCAACTGTCATGTTCCCCGCGAGACGCCGTAGATGATCCCGACCTGATCACGTGGGTTAAGGAACCCCGGCCTTGGATGGACGCGCCGCCACCCGGCATGCCGTACAACTGCTTCCGGGATCCGTTCCTGCTGTCACGGCCGCTCCGGAACCAACCCGCGGGTCATCACCCGGCGCTCGAAAAGGGTGTTGGGGGTCAGGTTGTGGGGGGGGTTAGTGTCGTTGATGACGACTTCAGCGCCGGCTGTGGTGGCGGCAACGCGGGTGGCGGCGGCGGCGGCGGCGGCGGCTGTGATCGGTGGGTGGTTATGGTCGGATCCGGCCGAGGTGACTACCGGGCCGCCGCCTCCCGTGGCTGTGTATTGACGTACAGCACACAGCGGCTCAGCAGCAGAGGTGGGCAGTGCGTGTGGGGGTGGTTGGGTGGTTGGTGTTCCCACCGGGGTGGTTGGGTGGTTGGAGGGGAGACGGAGGGTGGAAATGCTATGATGCCAGGAAATCAGGTAAATGACCCATGACGGTGCTGCCGGAGGGCGTCCTCAAAGTCCGGAAATCCCCCAGGTGCGTGAGTGAGTCCTAAGCGATGATGACGTCACCGACCCGCGTTGCCGCCTTTTCTATTGATTAAGTCATCATCATCGGGTCTCTGAGATTGTCCTTGAGGTCCTTGACATCCAACTTTAGTAGTGCGGACGAGCTGCAGCTATTGAAGGATGTACTACTACTACCACTACTACTGGTAGTAGTAGTAGTAGTAGTAGTAGAAGAAGAAGGAGAAGAAGAAGACGTCCGGGGGCCACCTCAACCGGGACGAACTGACCCACGGAGCCACCTGCATGTGCCTGTGCGCCTGTATGTATGTCTCTTTGCCGCCCCAGATTGGCGGTTCGAGGGTGTGCTGGCGGAGAGTCCCTCCGCCCAGGCGGGGGCGGTGTGGGAGTGCCCCGTGCTGGCCTGGCTGCCTAGGCGGGGGAGGAACAGGAGCAGTAGCGGGAGGCGCGGTGGAGGCAGCAGCAGTGACAGCAGTAGCAGGGGGAGTAGCAGCAGCTGCAGGGACAGTGCGGTTGGGCTGCTGGAGAGGACCGCAACTAACGGCCGCCGGGGCAATCAGGAGGAGGAGGGGGAGGACGGGGAGGGCCGATTCCCGGTGCTCACTGGAGCGCCTCCACCACCACCTTCACCACCAGGAGCAGTAGCAGTAGCAGCACTGCCACCGCCACGTCAACAGCAGCAGCAGCAACAACAGCAACAACAGCAACAACAGCAACAACAGCAGCAGCAGCAGCAGCAACCCAACTATGCCAATGTCGGGCTGCTGGCGGCGGCAGCGGCCCCG